TTAATTATTCTGAACTCAATTTAAATGTTGCAACCATCTTTTTAGCTAATTCTCTTCCCAATTCAAAACCAAATGAATAAAACATAATTTCTCCAATTAAAGCATAATCTGGAACCATCATAGCTACACCTCTGAATAAAGCTTTTAAGTTATCAGGTAATTCAGTTCTACCAGCATAACCAGGATTCATTGTTATAAACACAGAGAAGGTTGGTTAAATTTTAATTATTGATCCTTCAAATTCTATTTATGGAGTGCCTTTAGCTTTCTCTCCAAATAATACCAATAATTATTAAGCAATAACTGATAATACTTCTATATTAATTCTATTGAATTCATCAAAACAACACCATGCACCTGCACTTGCTAAACCTTTAAAGAATTTACCAACCATTAAATAATCCATTGAATCTGAACAATTAAATACTACACATTATTTTGCTAAAGCTTTAGCTAAATCTTTTGTTGATTCTGTTTTCCCTGTTCCAGCTGGTCCTGCAGGAGCTCCTCCTAAATTTAATTTTAATGCACCCATCAAAGTCATATAACATTTATCAGTTAAAGGAGTAATCACTAATCTTAAAGTGTTTCCTAAATATTCATAACCATATGGAAAATTTGTTTAAACACATTTTACAAAACAATCCTCATTTTCCCAATAGTATCGTAATTAACTAATCCATTCAAAAGCACTGACATCAATCACATTCTCTTTGAACAATTTTTCAACTACATCCTTAGCATGAACATCAATAACAATCAAAGCATTTATTGTTGTTTATTATTATTTAGTTAATTTCGTCCTTACTAATTCAACCAATTTATTAATCTAAGCTTTTAATGTTTTCTCCCAATATTCCATTACATTATTGCTTTTTATTGCTTGTTCTACTTCTTTCGTCCATAAAATTTAAGAACCATTTAAAACACACTAACCAGGATGTAATTAAACCCATTCATGTCTTGGTTTAACAATATAGTCAGCCACACTATTTACTAAGGCTTATCTCACACTTTATTTCATCATATCTTCGACTTCTCCCATCCAATCTTCTACATTTTTTTTATTTGGATCTAATAACTTAACAAAGTTAACTTTTTCCCCTTCAGCTGAAAACATAGCATGGATCTTCTTTGCATCATCAAACTCAATAGAATTAATATTTTCAAAAACTTTTCGCAAATGTGGTTATACTGCTGTAGGTTCTTTAGTTTAGGATAAAATTTCAAGTAAATCATCATTAGAAAGGAAATAGAATCTTGCAAATTTTTCTCTTTTCTTTTCTAAATAATTATTTAGTTCTTTTTAAATGATTTCTAAATTTTTATTAGCTTCTTATAATCTTTCTAATAAACCTTCCTAAGTACAAACTCTTAAAACTTAAGCATAAGTTTTAGCTTATTGCATAGTATGTTTCCAAGTTTAATCTACGGTTTTGAATTTTTTAGTTTCAGCAGGTAATTGTTTAGCAATATCTGGTGAATCAAAAATAGGTTATAAATACATCCATTAACCTTAGCATTTACACCATTCTTCTAAAACATCAGATGTCATTTTAAGGGTAGTATTCCAATTATTGATTCTATCTTCAAATGGACCTTTGAAAGGAGAGAAAGACATTGCTTAAGTATTAACGATATGTTCATCAAGAACTTATTAAATTTCATCATATCCTCTAATAATAGATGTAATTGATTTGTAAGGCAATAATTAAAAATTGATACCTTCCCACATAGATTCCATTTAATCTAGCATTGTTTCAATCATATATTCTTTCTAAGCTTTTTCTCCTACTTCAACACAAATATCCACATTTTGCATTAATCCCATTTCTAATACTTTTGTAAATGTAAACTCACTTTCTGGTTAAGGTTTTACAAATCCAATTCTATTTTTTAATTCTAACCAATGTCTTTCCTTCATTCCTTACTTTCTAAGTGCAACTAATAAAGGAACTTTAGGTTTAAATTCTTCAATTTACTACTTAATGGAAGCAGCAATTCTTAATACTCCTTAAAGTTCTTTTTCTTTGAAAAAACGACAAACACCAGTTAAAATTCTAATAGCTTCTTCAACCCATTTTTCAGCAGCAACAGCATCAATGGTTGGTAATTCATCCTTCATCCAAGATTCTGAATTATTAAACCATTAATTCGTAGTTATCCATAAATTACTATATGGTAAGAATTCTCTTTATAGTAATGTAATTTTATTGTAATCAGTCTGCTCTTAATCAAATAAGGCTTCTCTAGAATTAAACTTACGAGCTTATTCTTAGAAATCTGCCAAATATTTATTAACATCTTAAGCAGTTTAAGCAATTTCAGCATGACTTTTTAATGCTTAATGTTAACTAAAATTTTAAATAGTTCTTTCCAAATTATCTATACTTTCTTTAAATTCTTCTTATTAAGTTTTCATTTCATCTTAAAATTTGACTTTCTCTTTTTCCATTTCTTTTTATCTCTTGGTAACTAAATCAAAAGTATCTTTGGGACATCCAAATACATACCATTTTCTATCTAAGTCTTCTTTTTAGAATCCTCTATAACTAAATTCATCCAATATTTTATAGATATCAAAACATTTTTAAGTTTCAATTTTAAGTTTATCAACTTCATTAGGTAGATTTTACATAAACTCTTTGATTTCTGTTAATTTTTCAATATTAGTAGGATTCTCTTTAATTTTACTTTAAATTCTTTAATAATCTTGGAAGATTTCCATAGTTTTCTTTCTAGCTCTTCTTGCTATCATGTCTATCAATAATTTGCTAATCATTGAATACTTTTCACAAAGATACATTTTGATTTCTTTACATTAAACTTAAAATATTGAAACTTCAACAATATCAGGAATTTAAGTTTTTAGTTCTTCTTCCATTTTATTATATTTAAATATTTCTTCTTTAAGTTAATCAATTTCCCAAGGATTATCATCCATTTCTATTCTTCTTATTTCATCATCTGGATTCATTTATAAAATAGGTTTGAATTTTTCAAATATTTTTAAGTAATCATCTAAAGGTCTAATACCTCGTATTAATTCTTCTTTTATATGTTCAACTAATAACCATATCCATTTATTTTCATCTGGAAATTTCTTAGGTCTTTCATTAGGATTAGGTGTTTAAGGTCTCTCTTTTGGTTTTACAGGAGTCTTAATAAAAGAATCTGTTTTTTATTTATAAAGATCAGTGAGTAATTTAGGTTCTAAATCTGGTACTTTTGTAATTTCATCAAGAGTTTTATCAAATAATTAGATGATCATATTTACAAAATTCATAGGAGAGGTTGAATATAGAAATTCTTTATCATCATTGGTTTTAATCATATCAATTGTAAATATTGGTTTGACTCCAATAGTTTTATATTTGTTAATAATATTTGAAGGATCATCTACATTTACTTCATCAGGAATAAATGATTTCAAATAATTCACAAATTTATGATAATTGATTTCTACTAAACTCTATACAGTATCCTACATCATTAATCTTACAACAGTTAAGAATCTTTTTAATTTGCCAAAATCATATGTAATTTTATTTGATTCTTTCATATTAAACCATCCTTTGCCTACACCTGAAAAGTAAGTCTTCATGATTTTTAATAAATCTTAGATCCAAGATCCCCTTAAAGAATACAACATTTAAGAAATTTAACTCTCTTGAACATGTTTAAATTCTTCTAAGACCATAACTTTATCAATTTAAAAATTGAAAATCTCAAACTCTTACATTCTATTACATTCATTTTTAATTTCTTATAAAGCTCTTATAACTTCAGTTTTTATAAAAAGTGTGCTAAAACAAAAGTCTTTAAATGTTTCTCTAAAATTCTTAGGATCTATTTAAGTGATTTCTCTTGGATTATACATTTCTAATTATTTTTCTTTACTCACTGGAAACATTCCATAATAGGGGATTTATTTTTATTGATATTCATCTATTTATAAATTTAATTCTTCATCTTCATACTCTAAATATCTATCAAAAATTATTTTATTCATAGTTCTCATATAATCATAATTGACTTCTGCAATAAGTGCTGTAGTATCTAAATTTTCTAATTTTTTAGTCTTAGCTAATTATTCTAACCTTCTTTTTTATTCTGTATCTAATTCACTTAAATCTTAGATTGGCATTCCATCAATAAAATAGTTATATCTAACTCGACTATCAGCAAGTTCTCTATTTTTTAATGCTGTTCCCAATCTTTTAACAAATTTACGAGGATCTTCAGCATCAAAACAAATATATAATCTATGAGTTTTAAAGTCTCTTCCATCTTTTTCTTTTAATTTTCCAATAAATAATCCATCCTTGAATTCAAAAATTTCACATCGTCTTGCTTCATATATACCATCTTCTTTCAATAAACAAGTTGCATATAATTTTCTATTTCTTCCTTCTTCATCTACTTTCCTCTTAATCCAATCTTCATTTGGATAATCATCATTTGAATTATCATCAAATAATTCAAGAGGTAACCATTAAACTTATGGATTTGTCATATTTAAATCAATACCCTATAAATTTGATATTCAATCTGAATACTTCTTAATCTAATAACTGCAATATATTAAATGATGCATAAAGCTTTTATTTTCGATTGATTGCTACTTTTCTTGGAATGTTATCTCCAATAGGCTCATATGGTTCCAACACTTTAGGCTCCACCACCAATTCTTCAGATACTTTATTTATTAATAATGCCTTTACTCTTCTATATTGAGTGAGCTCCAGATAATCTAGATGTATTTGTTGTTTTCTTTAATGAATAAGCCTTAGGCACTTTTTATTTCATGGTTGTATTCAAAGTTATATCTGGAAGATATGATAAGTCCTCTTATAATCTCTCAATATTACTTGATACAAAACCGAATTTTCAGGGTTAATCACTTCTGAGTAAATGGCCCGTTAACGAGTTTGAAAGAACGACATACTAGGTTATGACATTCCCTCTTTAATTATTTAAATAAATTTATGTCAGGTTTTCACATCAAAAAAAAATCAAATTTCTAATTAAATCAAATTGGTATTCCTATATCATAATGTCCTGGTCTATATATTAAATGTATCTCATTCTTTGATTATTAACCATACTTCAACTAAGTTACTTCACTGTTTTTTTAATCTATCAAATACACATTTATTATTCTAAATGCATTTCAATTTATTTACATATTTAAATACTTTGCCAATGATGAATTTATCATCTCTGAATCATTACACTAAAATTACCATGTTAATAATTCATTACTTAAATCTGGTTTATATTCAACAATTATCTGACTATTTTATCTTAAATATAGCAAATAGGCTAAATTTCTAAAACATATTATTGCTAAACCATAAAACTCTTGATTTGGATCAGCCATCATTTATTCTAGTTATGAAGGATTATCTCTTAGTATTTATAATAGCTCAGTCATTCTTTTTGCAAACTAATTCTATAAAGTAGCCTCTATGAAATACCCATTAAATTCAATCAAAAACTCCATTGTCTCAATTTGATTTATAAACTCTCTAAATTCCAAATAATTAAATTTATTTAACAATATCTCAAAGTATTGAAATGCTATTGCCGTAAAATAGCAATTACCATCCCCACTAACTTATCTGTACCCTTTTAAATATAAATTTAGCTATTTTTAAGTCAAATCATCAATATATAAATCATTATAATTTTTTGAAATGATAGCAGAACCTATAAATTTTGTATCATCACTATTTAGACATGACATATTGTATAAATTGAATATTTTTTATTTAACAATTACATTTTTTGATACACTATAATGATTATTATTTTCCACTTAATTTGAATACACAACCCTTTATTTTTTTAAAGGGTCTTAATAATTTTTAGGTTAATTCAAAGTTATTTAAGCATATTTCTACTAAAGTCTATCTTCAGATCTTTTCAAAGGTGAATTTTAATCAAAATTTTCTTTTTTTTTAATACGTATATCATCCATTAATAATTCCTACTCTTCTTAACTGGTATTCATTTTAGCTAATTATCGGTCTGATTAAAAACTATAATTCACTTAATTTTCTTATTTTGTTATTTAATTTTCTACTTTTTAGGGATGTTGCCAATTTTGCATTTATTCCTCATTATAAATTCTATTTTATTAGTGTTGAGTTGGAAATGATTTTTAATATGATGATTATTACAATTTGATTTCTTTTCTTGTTTTATTTGAAATCCTTTAGTTAGCTTAAAAAGATTCGTTGTTTATGAAATACTATTTAAAGTATATTAAAATTAAACCAATTATGATACCACAGATTACTATTAAAATATCATACATTATGTTTAATTTAAATTTAATAAAAATAATAAAAAATTATTATTAATTAGATGAAGAATTATTAAGAAAATTATTATATATCAATTTTTTATAAAGGATTTTAAGAATTGGATTGAATATTGATACATAAAAAAAATAATTAATAAACTCTTTTTTAAGTAAATCTTCTTTAAATAGCTAATAATTAATGAAATAAAATAATATTATTAATTGATAAAATACGCACTAATATTAAAACCAATTTAAAAAAGAGAAATGAAAGATTTTGTGAGATAAATATATATATATTGATATTTCTATGAATTTAATTGAGTAAGCAAGATAATAGGTTTCTTTTGATGTGGATTCAGTTACTCCTTTACTTTATGGATCGAAAGAATAAGCAGAGTATTTATTTACCATATTTAGTCATATAAAATAATTTTTAGAGAAATGTAAGAATATTCCAGAGGTGCAGACAAGCCCTGATTATTATAATTGGAATAGAGGAAAGCAGTTTCTAAGTAAAGGTGACTAAGCACTTGCTTTTCAAAAATTACTTGATTTTAAGTTGGATGAGATTCCTTTATATTTAGGAACAATATTATATTCAGCCACAACAAATTATTATGGAGTATACTTTGGAATGGTTTTACCAGCACTAAAAGTATTAGGAACAGATGAATAAATAAATGCGTAAAATATAATATATAGATAATTTAGTTGGTATAAGGATTGCCTCAATTTAAAAATAGCAGGTTGTTATGCTTAAACTGAATTAGCACATGGTTCAGATGTATAGAGTCTTTAAACAACAGCTACATATGATGAAAGAAGAGACGAATTCATAATACATACACCATCAATAGATGCAGTAAAATGTATAATTAAAAATTAATTATAGTCTGGCCAGGTGAATTGGGATTCTTAGCTAATTGGGCATTAGTTTATGCTAAACTAATAGTGAATAATAAATCACATGGAGTCCAAGCCTTTATGGTTCCTATAAGAGATCTAAATACTCATAAACCATTACCAGGAATAGAAGTAGGAGATATCGGTCCAAAAATAGGATATACTAATAAAGACAATGGTTTTCTAAGGTTTACTAATTGCAGGATACCAAGATTTAATATGTTGGCTAAGTATATAAAGGTTACAAGAGATGGATAAGTAATTAGATAAGGTGATCCTAAAGTGTCTTACTCTGCCATGATGATAATGAGAAAATTAATAATAACAGTTTATCCTAGAACAGCAGCTACATCCTTAACAATTGCTATCAGATATTCAATAGCTAGATAATAATTTACAAATGATTAAGGCTAAGAAAACTCAGTATTAGAATATTAAACTTAACAACATAAATTATTTCCTTTATTAGCAAATCTATATTCAATCATTTTTACAGGATTAAAAGTTGGATAATTAGTTGATCTCAATTTCAATCAAGTTTAAAAAGGAGATTTCTCTTTGATGGCAATTTGTCATGCAATCATTTGTGGAACTAAAGCTAATTTTACCTACTTTGTTTCTAATTGTGCTGAATGGTGTAGATTGTCTTGTGGAGGACATGGTTATGCTCATTATTCTGGATTACCAGCTATTTATTAAGATAATTGTCCTAATATTACTTTAGAAGGAGAAAATCAAATTATGTATTTATAATTAGCCAGATTTCTACTTAAAATTTATAATTAAGCCAAATCATCATCTAAGAAAATTAATGAAACATATTTTGGATTATTTAATAGAGTATTTAATATAAATATCATTTTAGCTTTAATCTATTTCTGATTATAAATGCACTTCATTCACTAGAGAATAAATCCTTTTACTTTTAGAATCCAATGTTATACATTCAATTTAATATACAAATGATAAAATGATGACTCATATTAATAATGGATAAGATCCTAAATCTGTTTGGGATTATAAAGTTGGAACTGATTTATGGAATTCTGCAAATAATTTCATAGAATATTACAAATATATTAGTTTCTTGTAAACTATTGATTCAACTGATAATATCAATACTAAAAAGGTCTTGAGAGATCTAGCTGATCTATTTGCTGCTAGTATTTTATTAGATGGATCAAGTACTTTAATTGAAAATGGTGTTATTAATGTAGAATCTATTAAATTAATAAGAGAATTCTATACTTTGTAATTGTCAATTATTAAACCTGAAGTATTTTATAATTAATATTTAGGCTATTGGCTTGGTTGAAGCTTTTAGATATAATGATGCCTCTTTAAGAACAACTATAGGTTGCTCAGATGGATAGCCATATGAAAAAATATATCATTCAGCTGTTAATGATAATTCTTTAAATAAATACGATTTTAAACCAATAATCAATCAGCTCAAAAACATAAAAGCCAGATTGTGAAAATCAATAAATAACAAATGTATCAATCAAAATTTAATGTTAAATCTTAAAAGTTTTTAAAATCTTAATCCATATTGTATTTGCCCATTTTTATTCTCTTATTCAATCATTAACAAAATAATATTTTCAAATTAAATTCATAATTAATTATGAAGGTATAAAACTATCTATTATAATTTCTTGACTATCTATGTAATCCAATTTATCTATTGCTAATACACTATCTCAAATTACTATCTATCATGCAACCCTAAAATCAAGCATTTTCCTTCATCTATTCTATCTTCTTCTATTGTTTTGCCTAAAAAACAATTTAGTATTTAGGATTTGATAAAATTTTACCTTTTAACATTTGTAAGAAATTTATTATTTTAATAATANATGTATTTATAATTAGCCAGATTTCTACTTAAAATTTATAATTAAGCCAAATCATCATCTAAGAAAATTAATGAAACATATTTTGGATTATTTAATAGAGTATTTAATATAAATATCATTTTAGCTTTAATCTATTTCTGATTATAAATGCACTTCATTCACTAGAGAATAAATCCTTTTACTTTTAGAATCCAATGTTATACATTCAATTTAATATACAAATGATAAAATGATGACTCATATTAATAATGGATAAGATCCTAAATCTGTTTGGGATTATAAAGTTGGAACTGATTTATGGAATTCTGCAAATAATTTCATAGAATATTACAAATATATTAGTTTCTTGTAAACTATTGATTCAACTGATAATATCAATACTAAAAAGGTCTTGAGAGATCTAGCTGATCTATTTGCTGCTAGTATTTTATTAGATGGATCAAGTACTTTAATTGAAAATGGTGTTATTAATGTAGAATCTATTAAATTAATAAGAGAATTCTATACTTTGTAATTGTCAATTATTAAACCTGAAGTATTTTATAATTAATATTTAGGCTATTGGCTTGGTTGAAGCTTTTAGATATAATGATGCCTCTTTAAGAACAACTATAGGTTGCTCAGATGGATAGCCATATGAAAAAATATATCATTCAGCTGTTAATGATAATTCTTTAAATAAATACGATTTTAAACCAATAATCAATCAGCTCAAAAACATAAAAGCCAGATTGTGAAAATCAATAAATAACAAATGTATCAATCAAAATTTAATGTTAAATCTTAAAAGTTTTTAAAATCTTAATCCATATTGTATTTGCCCATTTTTATTCTCTTATTCAATCATTAACAAAATAATATTTTCAAATTAAATTCATAATTAATTATGAAGGTATAAAACTATCTATTATAATTTCTTGACTATCTATGTAATCCAATTTATCTATTGCTAATACACTATCTCAAATTACTATCTATCATGCAACCCTAAAATCAAGCATTTTCCTTCATCTATTCTATCTTCTTCTATCATGTAGATCTAAAAGTTCTCATTTAGAACTATTTTTCTTTGATAAAGCTGAACATTTACTTCTTTCACAAATTTCAAATCCTCAAAAATCAATAATCTAAAATCTGGATAAAGCTTGCTATAATAGTAAAGAAATATTTTCTTATTCATCCCTGAGTTTCACTCTCATATATATTGTAGAGAATTGAATATTTTCAACATATGCTATAAATTATGTTTTCATCTTCATTGGTATTATAATCATGTTTTTCACAATTATTATAAAATTCTTTACTGTTTAAAATTTTTGTTGTTTCATCCAACTTTAACCCATGTAATAAGGAGATTTCTAATATTTTCCTCTAATTACTAAAATCTTTTGCTTAGCTATTTCTAATTTATTTTTTAATTTTTTTAATCTTAATCTATTTTCTTTCAATTTTGTTTCTTCCATGATAAAAGAACGCATGCTAATAAATTATATGAAAATTTTAAATTCTAAATGTTCAAATTTAGATAATTTTATTATCTAATCCTCAACTACTTTTGTCTAGACTTGATGCAATAGAGAGTCTTTTTTTTTATATTTCAAGCTTACTTAAGAATTTGAAGACAAATTAATCAAATTTTATTGAACAAAAGCAGTTTTTTTATTTTTTTTAGATATCTAAAAATCCAGATCTTTTTGTATTATTCTTGAATTTATATTTTTCTAAAATATTAATATTGAGAATAATAAAATTTTCAAGTAATTATATTTATTCATTAATTGTTAGAATTTATTTTAATTAGTTATAAAAAATTAACTATTTAAAAATTGATTGTTTGTTGAATATATTAAATTTTTGTGAGATAAAAAATAATTAGTTCAGTCAAAAATTTCAACTTATGAGCATAAATTAAGTATAAATTGTTTAAATAATTATTCAAGCTTTTAGTTCCATTTTCGCCTTTGCTATAATATATTTAAAACCTAGTCTTTATTTCTTAAACCTAAAATCATAGAATCCATCTTATTTTTTTCTTTAACATCTAATAAATATATGAATTAATCTTCATTAGGGGTGATATATATCATCCTCGTATAAAGTTCTTCTTCTTCAAAATCAATATCTTTTATTGGCATACTTTTAAAGATCTTTATGTAATATAGATCTATAATGCTTGCAATCTCTAATATTTTTATTTTACAATTAACATTATGATTGAATGATTAATATTTTAAATTATTAGCTAAATCAAACATTGAAATCATTATTGCATTATACAATATATATTCACTACAAATTAACTAGATTTCTAAGAGATTTAAAGGATATTATTAAAATTAAGTTCTTTAAGCAACAAATAATTATACATATTAATTATTTTTTCTATATATAGTTTAAGACATAGCCAATATAATTTCTTTTGGTATGTTACCTTTTCTAGTAATTAATTCTAAATTTTAAAATAGAATTTTGGCAAAATTTAACATCCAAATTTCTTCTTAATCTTTTTTTTCTTTTGTCTCTTCAACTTTCATTTCAAAAATTTTAGGTAATGAATTTTGGAGATGAAAAAATATTTTTTATAGCGAAGGTCCTATCCATTTTCGAAAAGATTAACTTAAAGACTCATCTATATTTCTATTAAATTTAAATATATTTTTTTGATTCAGCATTATTTTTAATTTATTGCTATATAAGGATTTTTTTGGGCTAGTATTAGGCAAAATATAGTAGAATAATGAAATAATTTTTCCAATAACTTTACTAATAACTTTAAACTTTCTTAATAATTTATTTTAAGATTTTATTTATTTTATTTTTGGAAGTTTGCAATTTAAAGAAAAACCTAATGAATTTCTTTTACTATTTCTGTAATGTTATGAAAAAATAGTGGAACAGTTAGCAATACTTTCAGTTTATTAATCAAAATCTTCTTTTTAACTCTTCTAACTTTGTGAAAAATGTCTATATGAACATTTATTTTTTGAGTTCTTAATTTATTTAGAATAATTCTCTTTATAGATAAAATTTATACATCATAATATTCATCCTTTTTCCCTTCAAAATTGCTTATGAATGAGATAGGAGATTCGCATTAATATCTTTACTGAGCTTAAGATTTAGTTGTAATTACATAATCATTGTTATTTTCATAATTTAGGTTCAATATAGTTCTATTTTTAAAAGTTTATTTTCTTTAACTTGATACTTTTAATTTTATAATTTAAGGATCTTATTCTCTTGATTATTCATAGGGTTTAAGCCATTATTCAAAAATATAATCAGAACCGATTGATGAATTATTAGTTTGATATTTTGAGCTTTACATTCTCTATAAAAAATTTTTTAATTAAAAATATGATTATTTATATGAAAATTATCTAATTAAGAAACTGGTTAGGTAAATACTAAGATTTAACATAGTTTCAATCATAATTACATGGCAAAAAGTAATATAAACTTCAAAGGAAATTTTAAGTGAAAGCGTAATCATTCCATATTTAAGTTAAAACTTAAGAAAAATCTAGGAAGCTCATATTAAATATATTGAAATAAATATTTATACTGAAAGTTTATTATTATATAAATACTTGCACTTGAATTATCTTCTAATACAATTTATTTAAAAGACTTGCTGCATTTATATTATATATTTGTTAATACAATTATATTTAATTTTTAAGAGATAAGCATTATCAAACTTTGATATTTATTTGAGTAAAATAAACAATTGTTAGATTCTATTCTCATATTTAATTTATTATTTGTTTAAATTAAAATTTAAAAAGTTTTATGAGATTCTTGAATTAGTTCTTTTTTACATTTTTTATAATAAATATATAATTAAGTTTATGAAGTTGTTTATATTTGAGTTTAAATAAATTATTGATCTTAAATTTTTACATTAATTGAGGTTAATATTGAATGCTGAAAATAAAAGAATATTTAAATTTAGAAGCGACATAAAGAATATAAATCCAAAAAGTAAAAAGTAGAGATGATAAGAAGTTCAGATAACAAAATTATCGCTGAGCATAAATAAATAAAATGAAAAATCAATGAATTTCAAATTAGTTTCCATGAATTCTAAAAAAAATCTATAAAATATTAAAAATAAATAGTACATTTCAGTTCGTTTTCTTATTATGTAAGATTTCTAGCAGATACTGGATTTTTTACTAAAGGTGAATTTAAAAAATTATTTGCAATTTAATCAAGACTAACCTTTTTTTATGTAAAATAATTGTTAGATTATTGAAAATGCTGATAAGATTAAGTTTGCTCTGAAAATTGATTGATTAGTTGATTATTTTCTTTTTTATTTAAATTTAACGATTAGAGATTAAACTCAATATCCTACTTTATTTAACCCTTTTTAGCTTTATTTTATAAGTCATCCTTTTTTTTTTTGAGAATTGGTGAAAATTAAGTAGACTTTAATTGATCCTTAGTATTCTTAAATGATTTATGATCATAAAAATTGAATGTTCCATTTTTAGGAGAGAGTGATTATTGTATATTAATAACTTTTTCTTTAAGTTCTGCCATACCGTCTCTTAATTTTTGTTATTTACAAGAACCTAAAAATAATGAAAATTTGAAATTATAACTTGCAATTAGTTTAATAGTTTCAATGGAAATGTCTTGGGTTTTACTTTTCATAGCTGAAATACCAATGATAATTAGATATTTAATTAGTTTTTGTGAAGGTTTGAGTTCATAATCTAGCATAAACTAATTAAGTTCTTTAATATTCATAGCTTAATATTTTTGTTATAAATTATAGGAAACAAAATTAAAAATAAATTGATAATAAATTGATCAAAAGTGTACAAATAATGATTAAAGATATACGATTAAATCAGTTTGAATTTGAAAATTAATTTTAAATGATTATTTGATCAGAGTTAAAAAATAATTGTAATAGATATTAAAGGAGGATTTAATTGATTTAGAAATCTGAAAGTAGGAAAGTATAAATGAAATACAATTTAAATTAATTTTATAATAATGGAAGATATATAAAATGATATAAAATAAAAAAGATGTATGAATATCTATGTATAAATTCATTAAGAAAGATTGATGTAAATATTAATAATATAAATAAAAGTAATGAAATTGTTTAATTTTTTGTAAAAACAAACTAGTAATGAACATCATATAATATATTCAAATAAGGATGAATATCATGGTATTAGTATTGATAAAATTGTAAAGGGGAAATGAAAGACAATATGAAACATGGAAAAGGAGTATATAAGTTTACCAATGGAAATCGTTATGAAGGAGAGTGGCAATTTAATGAAAAACATGGAAATGGAAAATATTTTTACAATAGTGGAGAATTGTATATAGGATAGTGGTAACATAACAAAAAGAATGGACATGGACAGCATTTTGGAATTTATGGTGATAGATATGTAGGATAATGGGTGAATAATTGTAAACATGGAAGAGGAACAATCTATTATACTGAAAATTCAATATATTCTGGTAAAATTAGAGTAAGAGTTTAGGTGAATTTTTTGAAAATAAGAAACATGGTCCTGGTTATTATTACAATTCAAATACAAGAGAGTTGACTTATTAATTATATGATAATGATAAATTAAAAGAGTAAAAAATAGTACATGAATATCCTGTTGAATTTGAAAATGTGTTTTCTGCATTTTTAGCTAGAGACAATAATATAAAACATCCTCAAGAATTACCCAATAATAAATAACTAGAGGAATTACACTAAATTTAGCAGGAAACACATGGAATAGAAAAGTTAAAAGCTTTAAATGAAACTGAGATACTTAAAGGGAAAAAGAAAAGTATTTAAATCTTATATTATATTTTTATTTATTAGTGTAGGATTGGAATATAGATGAAGTTTGTACTTGGTTAGATTGTTTAGGATTATCATAATACAAAGAGAATTTTATAAGAAATCATATGATAGGAGATACTTTGCATGATTTAACAGATGTTGAATTAAAAGAAGAATTAGGCATTGAAATATTAGAACATAGAAAACTCATACTTCAGTAAATCAATATGCATAAGAAATATTATATTAAAAAAATGGCTGGATAAGTTCATAAGACTGATAGTGAAAATTCAGCTGATTAATCATCAAAATATGATTAGTTGTATTCTATAATATAGAAAATTGAATCTACAGGGGAAAGTTCTGAAATTTAAGTTTTAAAATAAAAGAAATCAAGACGTAAATGGTCATCAGGGTCAGATGATAAACATATTTAACCTTAATAATAAGAGTTATAATAGGAGGATGTAAAATCATCACCAAAATAAGGAAATTAGGGTTAAAGTTTAAATTTAGAATCTAATTAAGTAGTAAGTAATTTTAATATTAATAATACAAATGGTTCAGAATCTTCCGATGTGAATTCTAGTAGTTCTAATGAAAATTTATAGGAATCTAATTAATATCTTTCACCTAGTAAATAATAGATGAATTCAGAGTAGAATTTGTAATAAAGAAATTAATAAAAATTTATGAGTGTAATGGAAAATTTAGGAATCAATTTACAATTGTTAATTAATTATAAAGAAATTAAATAAGGATCTTAAATTGGAAAAGGAAGTTAGGGAATAGTTTTTAAAGGAAATTGGTTAGGGTAGGATGTAGCAATTAAATCTTATTGTAAAAAGCAAGATAAGTAAAAAAATAAATAATTAATGGTTGATTTTTTAAAAGAAATTTAAGTTATCTCTAATTTAAGGCATCCTAATATAGTTCTATATATGGGTGTTTGTATAAAGAAACATAAATTCTACTTAATTACTGAGTAATTAACGATATAATATTTAGATATATGGAAAATGGAAGTTTATTTGATCATCTTCATAAAAGGAAAACTAAAAATTTAAATTTTATATAAATAATAGAAGATATTACTTTAGGAATGAATAATCTTCATGGTAGAGGAATAATGCATTGTGATTTAAAATCTTCAAATGTTTTGATTGATTAAAATTGGAATGTTAAATTATGTGATTTTGGATTATCAAGAATAAAAAGTAAAAAAACTAAATGTATGATTGGAACACCACATTGGATGGCACCTGAAATAATGAGAGGAGAACCTTATACAGAAAAATCTGATGTATATTCGTTTGGAATGATATTGTGGGAAATTATAACAGGTCAAATACCTTATGAAAATTTATCTTCTACATAAATATTTGGGACTGTTGGTTGGGGATAAACTTAAGTTGAAATTCCACAATTTAGTAATCCTCCTATTTTGGCAATTCTAGCAAAGGATTGTCTTTAACTAGATCCTTCATAAAGACCAACATTTGCTAAGATTCTAGAAAGAATATAAGAAAGTTAAAAGTAGAGATGTTAAAATAAAGAAAAAGCCAAGAAATTTTTAATTGATTTTTTATCCAATTGACATTAATATAAATATTTATATAACTGATGGATTCTAAAAAATAAGCTAAAGGATCAGAATAAGTTTAAAAGAGTAGAGGCAATATTGACATGTTGATTCGAACAAAAAAAGAGGAATTATTTACAATCAAATAAAAAAATGATTAAAAATAAAAAGAGACAAGAGCATAAGAAGAATTTAAAAGAGCTGAAAGAGCTAATAAAATAGAAGATGAAAGTAAAAAAGCTAATTCTAAAAATGCTGAATTGGAATAGGAATGGTGTAATTTATAAGAAAAGGATGAATGCGAAGAACTTAATAAATTGATCAATTAATAAAAAGATAAGTTTGCTTAAATTATGCATGCTAAAGATGAATTAATTAAATAATTTTTAGATGAATTAAATAAAAAAGATGATGATTTTGGTAAAATGATTAAAGAATAAGCTATTGATATTCAAACATTAATTTAGAAAATGAGATCTTAATTTTTTTAATTAAGAGAATGTATACATGAAGACCTTGAAGCTATTGAAAATGAATATATAGATGAAGTATTATATTTCATAATATATAAATTAGAGAGCTAATTTATTGAATAATTATTAAACTGAAATTAGAAATTTATTTGATAAAAGAACTGAAAAAGAAAAATCATTTGTTGATGAAAGAGAAAGAAAAGAAGAAGAATATACTAAAGATATTGAAAAATTAAGAATTTAAGGACTTAAATCTTATGCTGAATTAAAAATATCAATGGAAACTGAAATCTAAAATTTAGAAAAATGTTATGAAGATATGAAAGCACTCTATCAATTAAATACAGAAAAATTAGATTATAATTTAAAAGTATTAAAAGAAAAATAAATATCTCATACACATACTCATGATGATCTAAAAAGAAAAGATTAAAATTTAAATAATAGATTAAGAAGTCTAATTAAAGATTATAATGAATTTGATACTAAATTTAAATAAACTAATAAAGAATTAACTTAAGAATATAAACGTATTACAAGATAATTTAAAGAATTATAAAGAAAATTTAAACATTTTGATAAAGCTGATTAAAAAGCATATGCAGATATTCATTCAATGAATGAATTAGAAGTTAGAAAATTAAAGGCTAAGATTCTCAAATGTGATAAAACTATACACATTTAACAATTAGGTGTAGATTGGGAAGAACCATAAGATTAAAAAGAAACTTAAGGTATATAAACTCTTTACTATTTAAAGAAAAATCATAAATCATGGCTGAAGAAGAAGTTCAACTACCTTTAAGTGAAGAAAAATTATAAGAAATAGTTGAAATATTAATAGAGGAAGTTGATTTTTTAATTGATGATAAAATGAGAGAAACTTTAGAAAAAGCAGAATAATAGGAGATTACTAGTGTTAAATTAGGGGTCATTAAAAAATGTCTAAATATTGATTCAATTGATGAAATGCTTATTTTTATAGATGAATTGATTAGAAATTGTGAATTAAAAGTTTAAGAAGAATAACCATAATAAGAAGCTGTAACAGAAGCTATTAAAAAAGTGTAAATTGAATAACCTTAATCTGTTCCCGATGAAGCTCCTAAAATAAATTATGAATCTTTTATATTAAATTAAAATAGCATTATTAACTTTTTAATGCATTGGATGAAAACTAATGAATAAAGAAAAAAACAAATTGAAAAAATGTCATCTAGAAGAGCTGCTAAATAAGAAACTGAAAGATAAAAAAAAGAACGAATTGCAAAAGAAGGCAAAAAATATTGGGAAAAACTAACTCAAGTTCTTCCTGAAAAAACGTTTAGAGTTTGGAGAATTTTAGATAAATAATTAAGCAAATATTATGAATTACTTCTCAAGAGATCTAAATTAGTTGAAGAAACTGGGTAAATTCATAATCATAATGAAGAATTAAAAAATCTACTTAATTAATATTTATAAGTATCTCATTTATTTAAATTAGATTAACCATGAATTAAAAATTCCTCCTACAAGATTTTTAAAACTAGAATAATAATAAGAAAATGTTAAATTACAAAATAGCAAATGACTATATAGTCAATTAATATCGTAAATATATATTTTTTTTATTTTTATTATTATTCAACTTATATAAATTCCCTTTATTGTTTATTATTCATCTTTGAATAGTATATATTCATATACAAATTCATCCTTTTAAAGAAATTATATTTCTTGACTCTTCCAAAATTTATAGTTTTCAATAAATTATGCTTACAATTAATTGTTAAGCTTAAAAGCATTTATATAAAGAACATTTTAATCTTTATTTTTGCATTAATAAATTGTACTTATCCATATATAAAATTCTTCTTTATATTTAGATAGATTTATAGATTATTTCTTATGAGTTTCAATATCAACTTATCTATTGAGCAATTCTTTGCATTTTAAAGTAAAACAATAATCTGAATCACAACGAAAATCAGAGAATTTATAAAATTTATCTAATCTATCTTTCAAAATTAATATTTATTAATTTTAAATTTATATGACAAATTTCATCTTAAATTATGAAGGCATTTATTAATTCATTTTTATAATTTTTTCCGATCCATCAAACTTGAAAAACTCTTCATTTAAAATTATTAGAATTTAATTAGTATTTTGTATTTTTTATATTTATATATCTTACCCTGTTCTACATTACATCTATGCATTTATTGAATTAGGATGGCTAAGGAATTCTAAATAAAGAAAATTTTCTGATTTATGTAATTCTATCAATATTATTCTATCATCAAAAGAAACTAGTTAAAATTCAGACTAACAATCTATTTAATATCTAATTACTAATATGATACTGCTAATATGGAAGATAATCAATTAAAAGGAGATTTGTATGTTCTTTTGGATTGAATTATATTAAACTTCTGTTTCCCTACCTTGAAATTAATGCAACAATAGATTTTCCATTAGTAATAACATTAGATAGTATAGAAATGCCTTAACCTAAATTGTATGGCTTTTCAAATTTACAATTTCCATTTTATATCTGAAAAAAATTTAACTATTGATGATATGAAACAATTTTCATAGATTCTAATAAAAATTAATAAATACTAAATTTTTATTCTACTATTTATTCTCCAAAGATAGTATATCCATCAGTAAGCTTTACAATTTGTTTAATGGAATTGAATACTGATTAATCAATTTCGAAAGTAATAAATTTTGTAATCATTATGAAAAATAAAATACAAATAAAATTTATTTGGATAATTAAAATATATTTACATTAATCAACAAGATTTTCTTAACCATCTCATTTGAATTAAGTTGTTTCTTTATCCAATTTTAGTCTAGCCATGTGCTTATGTTCTTGTCTTTTGATAATAGAAATGTCTCAAATGTCCAACTATAAGTTCATTACTTAACAATGCCAATTAGTTTTCATCTGCAAGGTTTACTATATTTTATAATTGATTTCATACACTCTTCAAGTGGTTCAGTTTCTGGAACTTTAAATGGAATATGATTCTACTTATAATATTTTCTATAATCTCTATGACCCAATCTAATTTTAAATAATAAAGGATTACAATTTTCCATCTGGTAATAGTAATTCTCCAGTTTTAGTTAACGTGGCTTTATGTTTACTGATTTATTTTAATAATTATTTAAGTCTCTTCTGTCTTAATTCTTCATCAGTTTGTAATTCATCAGTTTATTTTTATTTTAATTTCAAATCTTCATCATTATCATCATCATCTGAAAATTCATTTTCATCTTCATCATCTTCCCAATCTCCTTCATCCTCAACTTAGATATCATTTTTCTTTTCATTTTCATCAAATTTTTATTCTTATTTTAATTGTAACTATTATTTTTTTGCTTCAATTTATAATTGTTGTTCTTTTTACTCTGCCAAAATTCCTAATAATTTTTCCTCAAAATTATAATATTTCGATAAGACTTTATATTCTTATTAAGGCATGAAACAATGTCCTTTATCTAACATATGATCTTTTGCTGCATGACTATTTTTGAATGTTTAAAAACAATGTAAACATGTGTTATTCTTATTTATTTGTTCTGATAATGCTTTTAGCAATCCTTCTACATTAATACAGTGTTTTTATTCACGAATAAAAAATCCATGATTACTCATATGTTTTAAACATTCTTCAAGATTATCACATAATTCATCACAAAATAAACNGATATGAAACAATTTTCATAGATTCTAATAAAAATTAATAAATACTAAATTTTTATTCTACTATTTATTCTCCAAAGATAGTATATCCATCAGTAAGCTTTACAATTTGTTTAATGGAATTGAATACTGATTAATCAATTTCGAAAGTAATAAATTTTGTAATCATTATGAAAAATAAAATACAAATAAAATTTATTTGGATAATTAAAATATATTTACATTAATCAACAAGATTTTCTTAACCATCTCATTTGAATTAAGTTGTTTCTTTATCCAATTTTAGTCTAGCCATGTGCTTATGTTCTTGTCTTTTGATAATAGAAATGTCTCAAATGTCCAACTATAAGTTCATTACTTAACAATGCCAATTAGTTTTCATCTGCAAGGTTTACTATATTTTATAATTGATTTCATACACTCTTCAAGTGGTTCAGTTTCTGGAACTTTAAATGGAATATGATTCTACTTATAATATTTTCTATAATCTCTATGACCCAATCTAATTTTAAATAATAAAGGATTACAATTTTCCATCTGGTAATAGTAATTCTCCAGTTTTAGTTAACGTGGCTTTATGTTTACTGATTTATTTTAATAATTATTTAAGTCTCTTCTGTCTTAATTCTTCATCAGTTTGTAATTCATCAGTTTATTTTTATTTTAATTTCAAATCTTCATCATTATCATCATCATCTGAAAATTCATTTTCATCTTCATCATCTTCCCAATCTCCTTCATCCTCAACTTAGATATCATTTTTCTTTTCATTTTCATCAAATTTTTATTCTTATTTTAATTGTAACTATTATTTTTTTGCTTCAATTTATAATTGTTGTTCTTTTTACTCTGCCAAAATTCCTAATAATTTTTCCTCAAAATTATAATATTTCGATAAGACTTTATATTCTTATTAAGGCATGAAACAATGTCCTTTATCTAACATATGATCTTTTGCTGCATGACTATTTTTGAATGTTTAAAAACAATGTAAACATGTGTTATTCTTATTTATTTGTTCTGATAATGCTTTTAGCAATCCTTCTACATTAATACAGTGTTTTTATTCACGAATAAAAAATCCATGATTACTCATATGTTTTAAACATTCTTCAAGATTATCACATAATTCATCACAAAATAAACAAACTTTACTATCTACTAATGAATTTCCTGTTTAACTTCTATTAGTTGTTATAGGAGATTTTAATTAATTTTATTAATGACTTTTTGAAACAAGATGAGCTTGATAAGTTTTACTTGACTTAAACTCTTTATTACAACATTTAAATGTTTAAGATTAAATTGGACTAATAATCTTTTATTCTGATATTTTATCAAATTCTAATAATTAACTTCATTGATTACTTTCTTTATAAGCTTCATATGAAACAGGAGCTAGGTTAATCATTTTTCTAGCTATGTTATATCTATGAAAATCTGTTTTATAATGATCTTTATAGCCTAGTTCTTCTGGGAAACTAAGTAAACAAGAAGAGCATACAAATTAACTCATGTTATAATTTTATTATTTTAATTAAAAGGAGAATATAATCATTTTTTCCATGATTATCTAAGAGTACCTAAACTTTTTTGTTATTTCTTATAATGTTACATAGTCTTGGAAACAAGATCAAAACTGTTTCCAATAAGTTAAGATTATCTAGTAGAATTTCTCATAATTTTTGAGTTTCTATTGTATTTTTCTAAACTGGTTGATTCAATTCTTTAGGATGAAAACATTTCACTTTTATTTTCTTCAACACATCTTCTAAGTTTCAATAAACTCTGTTCTTTTTCAGATTATTGTGTATCAACTCTAATTTAGATTTATTCGTTGTTTTTCTAATCTTACATTTTCTTAAGTAATTATTATGGATTTGAATAAATTTTTAATAACTATTAGGTATTGATAGTTGATGCAGATAAAGTATATTATTTAGTTTTAGCACTTACTAATTAATTCAATCTATCATAAGCTGTTGGTGATTTTTTGTTAGGATCTATTATAAAATTAGTTTAATTGAGATTTTAGACTTTATTTATTGATATTTATGAACATATATTTTCTAATTACTTAATTTTTTCATTTTAATTTTTGACTTCTGCTTCATATTTCTATTATTCTTCTTCTAGTTTTTACATAAGTGCTTCTATTTACAATCGTTATTATTATTCTACTCTTATATGTTATCTAATAGTATTTTCAAGTCTTTGAATCTCTTGTTCATACTTATTGTCTATGAATTCTTCTAACTGCTCCTTTAGATTCTAAATAAGAGTTATAAGTTCTCTTACTAATTCAAGGATACATTTTCTTAATCTTTCATTTGAGACTTCTTTAAACTGTTATGCATCAGCAGATTAAGGTTTGACTATTTATAAGAGGTCAGCAAAGAGAGAAGCTAAACATTAATTATCTTCCATAATAATTTAAATTTTTATATCTCATCCACTCTTGAACAAAAGAATTGCTACCTATCCCATATAGAAATAGATGAAATGTTTGGTTTCATGTGTAACATAAGATCCAAAGTTTCTACCAACAATACAATGCCAGGTTGGATTATATTTCTTATCAAATTCTTTCTTGATAAATGCCTATTCAATCTAAATACTTATTTACAGCAATATCCTTCTCTATATTGAATTTCTCTAAAGCTTGATTAGCACAATCAATTGCATCCTATTACATTTCTTCAGACATATCTGCATTTTTCACAACTGCCTTTCTATCAGCTTAAGCCATTATTTAATTAAATATATTTAATAAATATCATAAAATCAAATTCTGATTACTGAAAATAAGTGACGAATAGTTGTAAAAACAGGCGAAACAGATCTCTTATAAATTTTAAGTTTTGGTGCTGAATACATTGTATTTAAAGTTATTTTTTATTATTTATTATTTTTAGGAGATTTTGATTCAGAAGGTTATGTTAAAAATTTATTTTATCTTTATTTCTCAATTCTTAATAATGCTTCTTCAGTTTAACACTTTGATAATTTAGCTTCTATATCTTCTGAATATTCATTTTGATTATAAATTTAAAGATCTAAATCTACAGAAATAATTTAAGAGTCTTGTAAAATCTCTAATTCTTCTTTATGTTTAGTATCTTAATCATCAATTAAATTTTATGAGAAGTTTTCTTGGTGAAAATGATGAGCACTTTAAATAGTTGATGCCAAAGATAAATGATTTTAATCATTATTGAGTAATAATTAATTGATTATTAATTATTGTATGTTAGAAAGAGATACCATACTTATTGAGGAAGGCTTAAAATTTAATTTATTAAAGAGTTTGCCTAATTTAATGATTATAATTTACTAATCAATTCTCTTGGTACAAGATTCTTGCCATAAAGTTAATGAGATATTAATTTTCCATGAGTGTATTTATTCCAATACCATTCTTATTGGTAATTACTGAAATGAATGCCTTCTCCATTGTATTTTCCTCTATAGACATTGCCATAGTAAATATCACCATTTTTATAATGCATAACAGTAAATCCATCATAGTTTTAGTTTTTAGCAACTCCATAACTTAATGGATTAATTCTAATGAGTAATTTATTACCATAACAATTATTCTTAAAAGAAATAATTTTATGTAAAAAGCCAATATTTTCAATATCTTGAATATATTTGATAGTATCATCATCTCCCCAAAATAATTTAAGACAAGAATTCTTTAATTTATAAACACCTACATCTTTAGGTTTAGATTTCTTAAAAAATCCATAATAATAGGCTAAGAATTAATCTTAAAATTACATCCATCTGGATTGATTACTAAACTATAACCTTCAAGATGTGATTGGTTAAAAGTCCCAATATATAGAGTACCATCACTTTAAAGAATCATGTCTTTATCAAGCAGACAATTTTGTAGTTGTTGCATAAATTTATTAATTAATTTTAAGTATGAACTTATTTTCGTTTTTAATATTATAATGTTAAAGAAAATTGTTTTGCTTTTAATTCTTATAATAGCAATTTAAGCTAAACATCATAGATTAAGACATACTAAATCAATTGTTGGACATAATCTAGCAATGAAACCTGGTGATGCTTGTTTACCAACTACTAATTTAAGTGGATAGAAAAAAGAAGAAACTTCAGCTAATTAAGCTAGAAAACATCTAACTGTATATCTATTTTATAAATATAGAAATTTGCTGATGATTTGACTGAAGAAAATAGAAAAGCTACTGAAAAATAACCATTTCCTAATCTTTATACATATTAAGATAATAATTGTGTTGGAAATGCTTAAGATCCTCCTAAAAGAGATAGAAGAATGAGAAGAAGCTGAATTTAATAGAATTAATTCTTATTATTTACATATTCCATTAACTTTTTTTACTATACAAAATAATTTAATATAAAATTTCATTATAATTTTCTACTTAATTAATATAAATAATGAACAATTTCCATAATGAAAATTAAGAAAACTAAAATGAATCAGATTTACCAACTAACAGACAAATTTTATCCTTTTTATAATTAGGAATTTAACAATTTGAACAATTCAATCTAATTTTTGATAGTATTCCACTTTNGTATTTATTCCAATACCATTCTTATTGGTAATTACTGAAATGAATGCCTTCTCCATTGTATTTTCCTCTATAGACATTGCCATAGTAAATATCACCATTTTTATAATGCATAACAGTAAATCCATCATAGTTTTAGTTTTTAGCAACTCCATAACTTAATGGATTAATTCTAATGAGTAATTTATTACCATAACAATTATTCTTAAAAGAAATAATTTTATGTAAAAAGCCAATATTTTCAATATCTTGAATATATTTGATAGTATCATCATCTCCCCAAAATAATTTAAGACAAGAATTCTTTAATTTATAAACACCTACATCTTTAGGTTTAGATTTCTTAAAAAATCCATAATAATAGGCTAAGAATTAATCTTAAAATTACATCCATCTGGATTGATTACTAAACTATAACCTTCAAGATGTGATTGGTTAAAAGTCCCAATATATAGAGTACCATCACTTTAAAGAATCATGTCTTTATCAAGCAGACAATTTTGTAGTTGTTGCATAAATTTATTAATTAATTTTAAGTATGAACTTATTTTCGTTTTTAATATTATAATGTTAAAGAAAATTGTTTTGCTTTTAATTCTTATAATAGCAATTTAAGCTAAACATCATAGATTAAGACATACTAAATCAATTGTTGGACATAATCTAGCAATGAAACCTGGTGATGCTTGTTTACCAACTACTAATTTAAGTGGATAGAAAAAAGAAGAAACTTCAGCTAATTAAGCTAGAAAACATCTAACTGTATATCTATTTTATAAATATAGAAATTTGCTGATGATTTGACTGAAGAAAATAGAAAAGCTACTGAAAAATAACCATTTCCTAATCTTTATACATATTAAGATAATAATTGTGTTGGAAATGCTTAAGATCCTCCTAAAAGAGATAGAAGAATGAGAAGAAGCTGAATTTAATAGAATTAATTCTTATTATTTACATATTCCATTAACTTTTTTTACTATACAAAATAATTTAATATAAAATTTCATTATAATTTTCTACTTAATTAATATAAATAATGAACAATTTCCATAATGAAAATTAAGAAAACTAAAATGAATCAGATTTACCAACTAACAGACAAATTTTATCCTTTTTATAATTAGGAATTTAACAATTTGAACAATTCAATCTAATTTTTGATAGTATTCCACTTTTTAGAAATGATACATTCATAGAAGAAGAAAATAACTCAAGATTTCTTTAATTTGGAAGAGCTTAAGTAATTCTAGATGGCCAATCATCAAGGTATTTTAGAGTTCAAAATTTAGAGAAAAACTTTTAAATATTTAGAAATACCTCGAAAAGCGTACTACCCAAATTTAAAACAATCAGCTTGATCCAAAATAACCTCATATAAAAATAACTCAACTTCGAAATTTAAACATAAATCACGAATATTTCATTAATGAGTTTGGGTAAATTAAATACTCATTATTATTATAGTTTAGTTAATTCTAATAAAAATACAAATTCTGTAGACATTCTAATTGGTCGATAATATAGTTAAATTTCAGATATTATTCCAAATGATATAAGTAATAGATAATTTATTTATCAGAATAGTCTTACCTCAAGATAGGTCTATATCTCGAATTCATTGTAAGATAGTTTATAATGATTATTTCAGAAAAGATTAAATACTTGATCCTTTTCATTTAAAAATCTTGAAACTGATTAATCTTCCATCTTAAATTAAATCAAGGATTAGTAAATTTTTAGAGTAAAATATATTTCTATTGATTTAGAAAACCTAAAATAGTATAAATATAAGATCTTGGAAGCATTTGTGGTACTTACTTACGAATCTTCAGATAGGAACCTTTCTTAATTTAAAAAGATCATAAATTTAGTATTGGAAGTGACACATACTTTAATATTGTTTTTAATCACAGATCAAATTAAAATTTAAAATAGATAGATGATGAATGGCATAGTATTATTTAACATCTAAAAACATTGAAACAATCCTAAAAACATGAGATTCATTCGAGTGAATTTCTAATTTTACCTAACAATTTTGAAACTTTTGAAAAATTAAAAAGTTTATCCATAGTAGATCTTTATAAAAAATTAACTGAATATGAACTACCTATATTAATTGTCAAATTTTCAGGTTAAGGTGTAGATATAAATAAATCAATAAATTTATTTGTAGGAACGACTTAAGCTGATACAAATGACTTTTTTATAGGGAGAGGAACTGAAAACAATATTAAGATTAATTCTAATACAATATCAAGAAAGTAATGTCGTTTAAAATATTCTAAGAAGTAAGTGATAATTTAAATTAGATTATCTGGATGGGTGATAAATGATGGCTTTTAAGATCGTGATTCAGCAAATGGAACTTGGATTAGTTTATAAACAATAGAATAATCAGAAAAGATATTAGAATCAAATTTAATTGAACTTCATCATAATGATGAAATAAAGATTAGTGATTTTATTCTCAAGATAGAGCTTTTGAAAGGCACACAGGAAGGAATTGGACATAAAATAAATAAATTTCTTCATGATTGATAATTATTAATTAAATAAAAAGTGACGCTATTTATTCTTATTCATAAAAATTATATCTTTTTTAATCTGAAAATAAATTTATTTATCACAAAACAAAAATGAGCAACATTCCACCCTCTCAACATCCACCATAAGCTCCATAAGCTGTTCCATTTTAATAACCAACATTCTAACCAGGATTCGCTCCATAATATGCTCCTAGTCCAGTTACATATGGACCACCCATAACATCATCTCCATTGAGATATTCACAACCACTTTATTAAGCACCAGTTGTTTAATAACCTGTATATGCTCAACCAATTGTTCCTCAACCAGTTTATGCCCCATAAGTTGTCTAACAACCAATAGTAACACAATCTATTGTTGCTTAACCAGTTGTTTAATAATAAGTTGTTGCTTAACCAGTTGTTTAATAACAAGTTGTTGCACCATAACCAATCTAAGGAGAAAGCAGAATTGAATATATTCCATATGAAAAGACAGTTTTAGAATATGAAGAAGTCAGATAAAGAATTTAAGTACCAAGAGAGAAATATGTTACAGATTATTATGCAGTGGAATATCAAACTGAATATGTTCCATAAGTATTCTAAGAAAAATACACAGGTATTATAAATAGACATATTTTAGAATATGTTCCAGTTGATAGATATTAAGAAAGAGTTGAATATTATCCAGTTGAAAGATAAGTTGTTCATTAACCAGTTTAATAAGTCTAATAAGTTGTAGCTTAACCAGTTGTTTAATAATCTGTTTAAGTTGTTTAATAACCAGTCTAAGTTGTTTAATAACCAGTTTAAGTTGTATAACCCTAACCAGTCTAAGTAGTATAATAATAGCCAGTCTAAGTTTACTAATAACCAATTGTTTAATAACCATTGGTTTAATCTATACCTGTTTAAACTGTTAGACCACCTGTAGCTCCTGTTTATGCTCCAACTACAACTCTTCCTTTAGGATAAACTGTATCCCCAAGACATCCTGGTGTTACTACAGTTCCAGGTAAACCATTAGATAAAACTTAAGTATTACTTTTATATTATTCTATCTTTAGGGGCCAAATCAACCAGCTCAATAATAGAATAAGCCAAAGAGTTTCTTAGATAGACTTTTTGACAGAGATTGAAATAAACAATTATGAATATTTTTATAAATGCACAAATAACATTTAAAATTTTGAATTTTAATCATCTTTCTTATTCTATTTTTTTGTTTTCCATGATCTTGTTATTCAGTATCAAGTGATTTCGATAGTCAATTGATTTAATTAGTTTGCAAAATGAATTCATAATTTTCTTCACAACCAAAAGTAGAGGAATAAAATGCCTAATAATAACCATTTACTTTACCTCCTCTTCCAAAATAAGATGGAATCTAATACTACCCTATTTTCTATATTAAACAGAATAAGTAATTTTCTTTCTTATTAAATTAGTTTGCCCACACATCCCAATTTATAATAACTGCCAACTGATCATTAAAATTGCTGGTTTGTCTGTCATCCTTTATTGTAAAACGATCCTTTCTTTCCTGATATATCTAACTTTTCTCAATAAACACATAAAACATAAACTTTTACTCCAGAAATACCTATTAAAATAGAAGATGATGAAGAAATCAAATAATCCAATTTGAAATAACATTCACAACAACAATAGTAGAACTTAAATAATTTCTAAATAAAGAACAAAAAGCAAAAAGATTCAAATAAATTTAAAAGAAACGTTGACAATTTCCAAGACCTAGAAATATTACCATGTAATTGTTCATAGAGTAACTGTCTTAAAAGATATTGTGCTTGTTTTCATAGCGGTAGAATGTGTTTAGATGAATGTTAATGTAAAGATTGTAAAAATTGCTCTGATTTTTCTGAAGAAAGAGATGAAGCCATTAATCATGTTTATAAAAAATGTCATCGAGATAAAAAAGTTCCTGTAAATGAATTACTATCTTTATAAATGAGTTATGGATGTAAATGCAAATCTACTGGATGTTAAAAAAAATATTGTGAATGCTTTAAAAGAGGATAAATCTGCGGTGAATTATGTTCTTGTGAGGATTGCCTCAATATTCCAATTAGTTTATCATAGAAAGATCTTAAGAGAAAGAAAACAGTATTAAAATGAAATCATTCATTTAAATTCATTATAAAACATTTATTATCATTTATAATGACACTTAAAAAAATAATATTTTTCACTCCTTATTGTCAACCTAAGAAACTTTTTTTAATTCTCTTTACATATTTCTCTTTTTCATTTGTCCCAAATAATTCTTATATCATTTATTTATGTTTTTGGATTTTATTAAGTTCCTAATTAAAAGAATTTATTAGATAAAATTCGAAACTAATTTCTCTTTATTTAATTTAAAGTCTCTATTAAATAATATTGAAAATCATTCTTAAGGTCATAATTTTAAGCCAATTCAAATATGGAAAATTATTAATTTATACAATTGATCTATAATTTGAATGTAAAATTAATCATTCGTTTATATATATATTTAATTATGAATTAATTTTATCATTTAAATAACTATATGAAATATGTTTTAATCCAAACTAAAATTTACATACTTAAAGGTATTAAATTACGATTTATTTTTTATTTTTGTGTTTTTAATTTGCAGCTAATTATTATACTTAAATTTTTAAATTATCATAGATAATTAAAATATTAATTTAATGAAAAAGCTCTTTTCTTCAATTAAAAATGCAACAACTCAATTTGCAAAAGGAATTTTTTCTTCAAAAGAAGAATCTTCATAATAAGGTAATAGATAGGATATGACATCTGAAGAATAAAAATAATAATAAAATTAAAATACCCAAACATCAAATGATGATTAAATTAAAATTTATTTAGATTCTTAAAAGGAATTAAAAGAAAAGATTTTGTAAAACAGAATTCATTTTAATAATGCAGTGCTTGAATTATCCTGGAAAAAAATATTGGAAATCAAAAATGTGTATGCTAATGAAAGAAGAATTAATTTTTAGCCAAGATTAGTTATATTAGAATAACAACATTGGGAGAGAATTGTAATTCAAGTAGCTGAATTAATTTAGTCTTATTATAATATTTAAATTTATTATGATAGATAAGAGTTAATTAGAATAGTATTAAATAATTTTATTTTATAGATTAAATAAAAGGTTTTAGAAGAATAATGTATTAAAGTTTTGTTTAGTAAAGAAGAAATGAAAGACTATTTTTAGTTTTATGAATAATCAGATGTTTTACTTAAAGAGTTTAAATAATAATTTCCTTAACTCATGATTGAATATTCTTAGTATTAAATTAGGGAAATTTAAAAGCAATATTTAATAGATAAAGCATTTGATTTGTTTAAATTTGATGACTGCGATGAATTCAAGGGAATTAAATTATTTCATGATGATGAAGAAGTTTTAACATGGTATAAAAGAAAACAAGCAATTACCCCTTGACTTAATATTGATGTATATATAATGCTGTCTTATTAATAAACAAGTAATCATTATGTAGTAATTATCAAAGTTAAAATGATAATGATGATTAAGCTCTGCTATTTTGAGTACTGCTTGGGAATATTTTTTTTGTTTATTTTCTATGATTTGCTCCAGTTATATTCTATATTATTTTAAAATATTTGTCTCGTTAAAAAAACTGATTAATATTTCTTTCTAAATAACCTGTCAATGGATATTATATTATTTTATTTGTTATTTTATTTTATTATTATATTTTAGGAGATTATTGTCTAATCTTAAATTAGCAGCTTTTTTATTCTTTTTTATAAGATTATCTATTTTAATTGGAATAAGGTAAAATATATCTTTATTCTTACCATGCCCCAAAATCAGAATCTTCCACTATTATTATAAATATCTATTGAATTACTAACACTTTTAGCTCTTTCTTTTACTGTTGGGTTCTATATTTCAACTGTTTGAAATGCACTAATTGCTTCTAAATATGATTAGGCATCATTCTCTACTTTCAACCTTAAAGGAGAGATATTTAGTTATACAGAATTTTCAAATAATTCTGTAGAGGTGATCTAAACTATTTTATTTTCATACATTGATTCTTTTTATATTAGATCTTTAAGGCAATGGATTTACATTTTCATTATTTTTGATTTTTATAGGTTTCATTAAGCAAGCAAAACTTTATATTCGTTAATAAATTATTAATTAATATAAATAACTCATTCATTTTCTATTTTCTAGCTTTCTTCTTTTTTATTTTCTTCTTATTTCTCTTTTTCTAATCTTTAAACCTTCTCTTGTAATAAGCGATTCTATTCTATAATATCTTCCAACTCTAAAAATTACTATAATTTTTCCTATTATTTTTTTATCACATCCTTTAGAATCTCATTTTCTTTATTTAATCTTTTTATCTCCTCTTATTATTCGTATCCACTTTTAAAAATTATACTACTATATTTGTCCAAACTTCCATTTTTTATTTTCTAATAATAATTATTCGAAGTTCCAATTTATAATTGCTTTTCCAAAAGCTTCTGGTGAGATTAGGGTATAAATTCTTTTTTTTTTTATTAAACTTCTGTTGGAGGAGATCCTAAAAGATTATTTCCAGTTGAAAGTTAAGAAATATGTTTGTTTCTAATAGGAGTAAAAAAATTAACAGAATATTTGTATTTTTCTGATGTTATTAAGGGACTTTGTGATCTCATTAAAAGAAAATTATGATTTATTTAAAATAAATTTTATTGCGATTTCCAAATTATGAAGTTTTTTCATTGCACTAAAGTTTTTATTTATGGAATAATCATTATTAAATAATTTATTATTAAAATTTCTTATCTTAAGATTAATTTAAAGTAACATATAGAATAGCTAATAAATAATAATTTAAATAAGGTTAAAATTTTATAAGTAACATTATATTATAAATTGTATCATTAAGCTTATTAAATTCTTTGAAGTTTTTATTAATGATATGTTTTATAAATTATTATTATAATTATTTGATGAGGTCAATTTATTGAATATCAAAGCCTATAAATTATAATAAAAAATAAAATTTTAGAAAGATCATTATAATGGTTGTTTAAAATTAGTAAACATTTTAAAAATTATTTTGTCCAGGAATTAATAGTACTAATATTAAAAAAAAAATTCATTTTATATAAATTATTATTTTTTTATATATAAAATAATATTAAGAAATTAATATGAAAATAATGTCAATTATGCAAGGATTTCTATTTTTTTATGTTTCCAACTAAATATATTATAATTAATTACTTAAAAGACTTAATTATTTTTTTTCGAATTCACTAATTTTATAAGGCTTTTTGATTGGATTATTTCTAGAATAAACCCTTTGCATTAATTCTTTAAGAAATTTACTTTATTATGGTTATCCACAATGAAATGTTTGATTTCGTTCTCTTGATTTTTAAGAGTCACTTCTTCTATTGTCAGTATCTTTAGTTTCTTTACTTCTGGTAACATTTGAAACAATGTTCAAAAAGGTACTTTTATCGTAGAATGATTGTTTTTCAAATAAACATAATTATTTGCGATTTTTCTTTTTATTAGTATCCATATGATTTGATTTATTATTAATATTATCTTAAGAGTTGAAACTACCATATTTTTTATTCATTTCTTTATAATCTGTGTCATCTTTTTCTTTTAGTTCTTCTAGTTTTTCAATTTTAATTCTTGGTATGATAAGTTTTTATTAAGATTTGATTTCTGAATTCTAGAATGAACCTAGAATAAGGGAAGATCTATGTGATTTTAAAGATTTATCTTTATTAACTTAGATTGGTTTAATAGGACTTAATGATGAAAACTAAAATTTAGGTGAAGCACAATCCTTAAATCCTTCATTTGTAAGTAGTAAAATCTTATCTCCTAGTATATTAAGTTTTGTATTATTTGTATTAATCTAATCAGGAAATTAGATGCTTGATAAAATACTTAGATTTGTTTTCTTGTTATTAGGTTAATAACTAATATTTAGTACATCCTATAATATTTTTAATTGAAAATTACATCTAGAATAACATGTTGTTTAGGAGATAATGTTTTTGTTTATGATTTGATTATATTGTAGACTAATTATTCTTTTTGGCTTAATGAAATAGAACTCTTATTTATGTTTTGAATGATTTCTTGCAACTTTTTATTCTCTTAAGCAAATAAAATTGTTTTTTGCATATTTAATGAATTTGAACATAAAAAAGCTAAAATTGAATTAAATATAAATTACCATCATCTGAAATTTATTCCGAATCCCAATTTAATAAATTACGCTTTTACAAGTTCATCTTACAAGCTTTTACGAAATCAATACAATCATGCAACATTTTGTATTCATTTTTTTCATAAAGAAGTAGTTCTATCTTCTCAAAATCAAAGATCACCTATTCTTATGTTAATTAGAAAAATTACTTGATTAGTTTAATAGATATTTTTGTTTCTATTATAATTGAATCAATAATTTTTGAATTTCAGTTTAAAGTTTTTTTTCAATATCATCTTTTTCAGACTAAATTTCAATTAAAATTTATCATACTTGTATTCTAAATGCATAATCAATAATTTCAGATATGTCCACACGAATACTTGATGAATGCAAATTTAATTTATCTAATTCAACATAAATTTTTTCTGCAAAATCTGCAATTGACATTTATTTTGAATTTAAAAATAAATAATAATTTTTATAATTAAAAGTATTGAGAAAACAGAAAAATTAGGAATATATAGTAATATACAGTAATAATATGAAAAAATAATATGAGACCTTATAATAATCAAAAAATTCTTTTGATAATATTATCCAAATTGTATTCAGGATAGAAGTGCTCATAATTTTTGACTAAATCTATTTCAAAAATTGTCTCATAAGGGTCATATTTAGGTTCTAATCAAGATTAATATAAATAATTGATTACTTTGTGGTATAAATATATTTTATGGTTTGAATTTTTATTATTATTAGATACCAATTTTATTCATAATCTGATTGAGCATAGTTTTTATTTCACTAATATCATCTTGATGTTATTCTTATGTTTCTTCTTCTTCGAATTCTTCAAAAATATATTCAAGTGGAATTTATTATTTCATTGACATTCTTTTAAACCTTCTTTCTCTAAGATTATAATCATTGATTGAATTTTAAACCTTCTCAGAAATAGATACTGAATTGAATTAAAATCGTTTTTTTCTTTCAAATTCTTCTCTTTTTTGTTTATCATCTTTAATTTTGAATTTAGAAAAAAGTTGCTTAGGATAATAATGAGTAACATCGCATTGATCAGCAAGATGATTATCAGATTAACAAGTGTAACATTTTAATTCTAATTTATTATAAAGTTCTGATTGATTAGTGAATTATTTGGAAATGATATAATGATAAATTTCAAAATCTTTGGGAAAGTTAGAAATTTCTTTTAAAAAATCGATTTTATCCAATTTATACATATTACAATATTATAAAGTTTTTGCTTTGAATGGATATCTTTAATCAGTAAAGAATGATAATTGTCCTATACATTGTCCAAATTTAATTACATCAATTCTAGTTTTAATATTATATGAGGCGTGATCAGAATCCACATACTAATAATAAGATACTTAAGAAATACAATTAAAATTTCTCCATTTTAAAGAAACCATAATTAAGGATTGATGATATCAAATACTATATTTTCTCCTGGTCCATAGCATTCTTCTTTCATATATTATACAAGGGAACGCATGAAAGTTTCAGAGAAATCAAAGTTCCAGAATATTTTGCATTTAACAAAATTGATATAGGTTTCATATTATAATTGTTATCTTAGTTCTGGAGCGAGTTTAGAGATTAATAATTATTCAATGGGTCTATTTCTATTTTTTTCATCCTACCAAATGTATTAATAATAATCAATAATTCTGGCTTAAGTTGATAAAGATATGTTTTTAATTTTCATATAACGATTAATAACAGCTTCATAACTATTATATCTAGTTTCTTATGAATTCATTTCTACAATAACATCTCTAATAGAAGCTACATTAAATGCAAATACCATTCCAGCAATAACTAATTATTAAATGAAGAATTACTCATAGTAATTAATGTAATACCAATTTCATAATCATTCTTAGGTGTAATATCTCCATAACCTACAGTTGAAACAGTAGTAGTTGCCCAATAAAATGAAACAACATATCTGGACCAATAATTTAAAGATTCAATTGTCTATTCATCTTCAACATAACCATTATATTCGATCCAAGTTGGAAGATTGCCATCATCTTTCTAAAATTACTTAAAGGAAACACCAAAGAAAAAACATGCCATCAAATGATTGACAAATAAAACTACTATTATCAATTTTAATACAGTATAGGCTGCCTTCCAATCTATATAAAAATATTGTATTAATTACTGCTTCTTAATTATAAAGAATGATCAATCTTTTCACTAAATCTTATTACATAATAAGATCTTAAATAAAATAAAATACGTATATAGTCATTTTTTAAAAGTAGAGACAATATCAATGATATCACTCCAATTAAATCTAATTCGAATTCCTAATATCATTTATCAATTAATACCCATATAACATATTTTTCTGCAATTACTTTACGATCTAAAATTACTTCTCCTCTCTTTTTAATACCTGTATTGAAACTTACCAACAAATCTATACCAAGCATTATGATAGAGAAAATTAAATAAGATTTCACTCCTATTGTATCAATTGCATTCGTGCCTTTTCCTTCATCTGTAAAAGCTATCTAAATTATTAATATTCTAATACTTTAAAAGGGATATAGAATAAGTACGTAAAAATTATTATTACGACAATCAATTACCAAATCAATAAACACCCTGATTCTGGATGAAAAATAGGAATTGCATCCAATATTCTGGAACAAAAGTTTCTTCTAGGTTCTGCTTTAAAAATTTAGATTTCTTTAGACTGAATTTTATAGGGATTTAAATTCTCAAATAAAGGATCAAAATCCTAACTAACATCAAATAATTAAATTTAAGCCATTGCTGGAATATCATACACTACTTATGATTTCCCTTATTAACTCGTTCTAATGGTAAACTCCATAGAAATATTGTCATCCAAAAGAGCTTTATTCATTTATCAAAAATTTTATTTATTATAGTAATCAAGTTGTACTTTGGATAGAAATATTCATAATTTCTCACTTCATCTATGCAAAATGATTTCTCAAAAGGATCAAACTAAGGTCCTACACTATTTATTGAATAATTTACGTTATTATGTAAAAACTTTAACTCTCTATTTCATATTCTCATCTTCTCCTAAATGTCTAAGAATTTTTCCTAACATCAATTTAATCTCTCCTACTTAATCTTAATATTATTTCTACTATTTTAAATCTTCTTCTTCTTCTTCAGATTCCTCAAAACTGCCATCTAAATTTTATTGTTTCTTTAATTAATACTACTTCATTCTAATCATTTAATCTTAAGCTGCATTATGTAATTAATGTTAAATAAGAATTGATTTATGATATTTACTTCTTTTTCTTTCAAATTGTTCTCTTTTTAGCTTATCATCTTTAATATTAATCCTAAAAATAAAATCTTTTTTATTAAAATGAGTCACATCACATGAATCTGCTTAATGCTACTCTGAAAAACAAGTTAAACATCTAAGATCCAATTTTCTATAAAATTCCTCTGGTTCACTGTATTTCTTTGATATAACCAAATGAAATAACTCAAAATCTTTCTAATATTGTCTAATCACCTCTACAAATCTTGATCTCAATATTCTATATATATTGCACCAAGATTATGTCTATGCTTTAAATGGATAACGTTCATTCATAAAAAAAGATTGTTGTCCTAAACAATTCCCTTAATTTACATAATCTACTCTCGTCTTCACCATTATTTAATTATAACAGCAGTCCACATGCTAAATTTCATATAATTTATACTATTAGAATTTCTCCTTTTTATAAATACATCAAATATTAATCTCCTTATGAATCTTCAAATTATATTTCTTCTTTTGTACCACATGTATGTTCTTCCATATATTATGTTAATTAGTAAAGAAAGTCATTACTAAAATACATCATGTAAAATATTCTACAATTTACAAACTATATATAAGTTTCATATTATAATTGCAATTTTAAATCAGGTGCTAATTTTTATATTAACATATCTTCTATTTCTCGATTACGATTTTTTTCTTGTTTCCAAATATACTAAAAATAATCATTGACTTTTTCTTAAGTTTTAATAGATATTCTTTTCTTTTTCATATAATGATTAAGAATTGCTTCGAAATTATGTTCCATAATTTCTGCCTAATTTAAATTTAATAAGGTTTCCCTAATTGATGAAATATTAAATGCAAATACCATTCCAGCAATAACTTAAATATTTACTAGAATATATACTCATTGTCAATAATGTCCATGCAATTTCTTAATTATTCTTTGGGGTTATATCTCCATAACCATTTGTTGATACTGTAGTAATAGCCCAGTAATATGCTATCAAGTATCTGTCAAATATTGAGAATTAAAAGATTTCTTGATCATTTATCACAAAATTATTATAAATTATCCATGTATTAATGAAAATGGTTTCACTGTTTTCATCTATTAAGAATTCAGCATATGAAATTCCATAAAAAATACAAGCCATTATATGAGCTACAAAGAGCATTACAATTATTAGTTTTATTAGGATATAGATACTTTTTATTGCTAATTTAATATCCTATAATATTATTACTTTTTTTAAGCAGTAATTTATTATCTATTTTGTTATCAAATCTTATGACATAATAAATTCTCAAATAAAATAATAATCTAAAGATATCATTTTTCAAAATGTATGAGATAATCAAACTCAACACACCAATTAGATCTAATTCAAATTCCTATATTAAATATTATAATCATACAATAATTATATAATTTTTGAATATTTTATTTCTATCTAAAATTACTTATCCATTTTCTGTATATCCAGTATTAAATGATACCAAAAGATCAAATAATAATATAAATATGGTTAATAAAAGAAACGTATTAATTGCTACATCATTATCAGGTCTACGATTACTTATTTCATCATAAAATGCTAACTGAATAAAACTTCTAAAATTACTTTTAATGGAATGTAAAAAAAATAAAAAAATATGATGACGACAATGAAAAATTACCAAGCCATCAAACCTTTTGAAGTTGGATGAAAAACTGGAATCTGATTTAAGAATTTCTGAAATAAACTTATTGCCTTTTTATCTTGATATGCAATGATTTCAGGAGAAAGTTTAGATTCTGATAAATTTTCAATCTAATTGAAATCTGAACTACTGTCATATAATTAAGCTATAGCTTCCTCTGGTATTGATTAGAATCTAAATTAAGAATTATTATTGACACTGAATTCTATGTAATTGCCATCTGCAAAAAGATGACCATTCTACTTATATTTCATCTAACTAATTATATATATAATTCATAAAATAAATTAGTATATTTTCAGATCATTCATTTCCTTTTATTGCATTAGACCACGAAATATGATTAATTCATAATAAAATATACTTCTCAATGTTGGTTTCCAAAATTCATATCTTATTCCATATTTGTATACATTCTTATTAAACTGTTTCCTTTAGGTTAGTTACACTTTAATAATATATCCATCTTTTAAATTAGCCTATCGATTGTCTAGTTGTGAAACAATTTCTTCTGTAAAATATTTTAATAATGTTTTAGGTTTTTTTATTCATAATCATTTTCTATTTCCATTATTTACATACATCTCTTGGTTGTTCTTATTATCTTTAGAAGTTTAAGAACAGGAAATAATTATCTATAATATATTTAGATTATTTAAATTAAAGATAAATCTTTAAATTATATTATAGATTTTATATGATGATAAGAATAAAAATTAATAAAAATAATCTTTATAATTAAGAATGGTTGTTGTAAGAAAATTAATTTTATTTTTAGAAAAGGTTTAATTTATTATTAATATGCATAATCAAAAGATTGTAACTAATAATGATGAATCAAATTGTGAAGAGAGACAATTAGTAGATCAGTCTAAGAATATTGAATAACAATAAGAGATTCCTCGTATTAATGATTCAATATTGGATGCTATAAATTTAAATGAATATGATTATTACAATTATCCACCAAAATTGGAATAAGCAGAAATACACAGATAAGCTTATTATCTTTGTCCTGATTAATATGTACTTGATCATTATACAAAAGAGTATTGTGAATGTTGCAAGTAACAGATAGTATATTAAACAATAGTAAAAAATACCATCGATCATCTTTCAATTGGTTATTTGGAGATTTGTATGAAGCAACTGTTGATGAATATGGTTTAGCAGCTCCTCTATATTTTACAATAATCAAATTCTAATTAATTGTGTTTATAATAGTCTTTTGCATCTATGGAATATTTTTCATAACAGAAGTACATCGAATCTGTAATTCTACTCCTTTATTAAATTGTGATGTTGATAACAATGATTTGTGTAGAACTTGTGAATTTTAGTATTCCTATGGCTTTATTGATATTGTTACAGTTCAAAAATACTTACATTAAGAAAAAGGTTCAAATTACTAATGGTTTTAAGTCTCAGCTTTTTTGATATTTCTAATCAATCTACATTTACCATTCTTTTATGATTTACTTATAACTTATATGTAAGTATATCAAATATATATAACTTAGATAATTTAAGTATTGGAATAGGGATCCTTATAATATATAAAATGAAACAATCACTTCAATATATATTAGAGGAATGAATTCTAAACTAACTCAACAAGAGATTTTGAATCTTATAAAGGAGAGCATGAAAAGAAACAATAATTAAATTATTTCATCTTAACATTAGTATTTATTAATGTTGATATCAATAGATTATTAGATAATGTAAAAATTGAAGAAATTGTTTATATTCACAATACTCATCAAATTAAAGAGTTATAATAAAAAAGATAAAATTTNTACATCTCTTGGTTGTTCTTATTATCTTTAGAAGTTTAAGAACAGGAAATAATTATCTATAATATATTTAGATTATTTAAATTAAAGATAAATCTTTAAATTATATTATAGATTTTATATGATGATAAGAATAAAAATTAATAAAAATAATCTTTATAATTAAGAATGGTTGTTGTAAGAAAATTAATTTTATTTTTAGAAAAGGTTTAATTTATTATTAATATGCATAATCAAAAGATTGTAACTAATAATGATGAATCAAATTGTGAAGAGAGACAATTAGTAGATCAGTCTAAGAATATTGAATAACAATAAGAGATTCCTCGTATTAATGATTCAATATTGGATGCTATAAATTTAAATGAATATGATTATTACAATTATCCACCAAAATTGGAATAAGCAGAAATACACAGATAAGCTTATTATCTTTGTCCTGATTAATATGTACTTGATCATTATACAAAAGAGTATTGTGAATGTTGCAAGTAACAGATAGTATATTAAACAATAGTAAAAAATACCATCGATCATCTTTCAATTGGTTATTTGGAGATTTGTATGAAGCAACTGTTGATGAATATGGTTTAGCAGCTCCTCTATATTTTACAATAATCAAATTCTAATTAATTGTGTTTATAATAGTCTTTTGCATCTATGGAATATTTTTCATAACAGAAGTACATCGAATCTGTAATTCTACTCCTTTATTAAATTGTGATGTTGATAACAATGATTTGTGTAGAACTTGTGAATTTTAGTATTCCTATGGCTTTATTGATATTGTTACAGTTCAAAAATACTTACATTAAGAAAAAGGTTCAAATTACTAATGGTTTTAAGTCTCAGCTTTTTTGATATTTCTAATCAATCTACATTTACCATTCTTTTATGATTTACTTATAACTTATATGTAAGTATATCAAATATATATAACTTAGATAATTTAAGTATTGGAATAGGGATCCTTATAATATATAAAATGAAACAATCACTTCAATATATATTAGAGGAATGAATTCTAAACTAACTCAACAAGAGATTTTGAATCTTATAAAGGAGAGCATGAAAAGAAACAATAATTAAATTATTTCATCTTAACATTAGTATTTATTAATGTTGATATCAATAGATTATTAGATAATGTAAAAATTGAAGAAATTGTTTATATTCACAATACTCATCAAATTAAAGAGTTATAATAAAAAAGATAAAATTTCCTATTAGATTTAGTGATTGCAGCATAATAAATCAAAGAATTAGAAATGCAAAAAGAAATTACTACTTATAAAGATAATGAAGTCAAACTTTACAAAACTTATACTAAAGAATTTTTATCCTAAAAAATAAGTGATTTAATCAAATCACTATCAGATGTTAATGATGATATTCATAAATAAGTTATCGGATTATAAATCAATAATATACCTATTAATAATTAAGATATATGCAAACTCAAATTAGAACCCTTAGAATTTAGTCACAAAGCTATTATTAGATTTAATGACCCATATATAAGTTAGTTAATTTTATAGAATTTTAACATTCCCTGGTATAATAGATTAAGAATTAAATTAAATTTGATTCCAAATCCTAAAATAATTGATAAATTAATAGTCAAAAAATCTTTTCGAATTAATGGTATGTTTTGGGAAAACATTGGTTTTAGATCTTCAGAAAGAATAGCTGCAAAAGTAAAAAGTGCTATCACTATGTTGATTGCATGTGCTGCATTAATGACTGCTTATGAATTTATATATTTATACAAGAATGATCCAGAATATAAGATTGAAAAGAATGATGGAAGATTATCTATTGCTTAAAAAGTATTAACAAATATTTTTACAGTTGCAGTTCCAATAATTACAACAGTTGCTATTTTAGTAGTAATAATAAATTTGAAAGAATCAAGAAAGAATACATTTGCTCATTTAGAAAGAAGCTTCATGCATGTTTTAATAGTAGTTAATTATTTTCTTGTGACATTTTTGCCTTATATTTTTACATTTGAACTTTGGAGTGGTAAAAGTATATCAGCTTCTGTTTATGATTTAGTTACATTAACTTAAAATAAGATTATAACCAAACATATATTTCATACAGTTCATATTCGTTATATGGGATTTGTTTTTTTAAGAAGAAGAATTTAAAAAAATTACAAATAGTTTTTTTAAGGATAATTAAATAATTTAATGACCCCTCCAACATTTCCCTAAAGAAGTAGGGTTTGTAATGCAATGTACAGTTTGACTGTTGGTTTATGTTTAGTTTATGTATGTCCAGTTATAACTATCATAACTTTTATATTTAACTGTTACATTTATCTATTTGATAGATATAGTATCACTCATCTCTATTCAATTGATAAAAAATTTACTATTTCACTTATGCGACATTAATTAAAAATATATTCTCTTTCATTTTTTCCTATTAAAATTTACCTGTTTATTAAATTATTCTGGGAATATGGATGGTTAATTTATGCTGGTGTACCTACTTGTTGTGTATTTACTATTATCTCGATTCTATTTCGTGAAAGAATTGTTTAATTTTTATTGACTAAGGTTTTCAGAGTTTCCAGAAAAGAAGATTCCAAATATGTACCAGAAACATATGCATAAAATTATTATTAATATATAAAAAGTAATCTTGTTATATTTTATTTTTAGAATTAAATATTGATGAATAAAACAATATTACAAGAAAAATACTTCACTCTTAAGGTGGTGAGATTATTTGATATATAAAAATTAGATTAATATATTTAATCAAGATTTATCTATATTTTGTATTAATCTTAAGATTCACCATGAATATTTAAAAAAATATAAAATAGATTGCATATTTTTATTAATAAAATTTGCAATTATAAAATAATTAACGATTCAATGAAACAATTACCAAAAGGTGATTTACCTATAAATCCACTAACAGATTAATCTATTGAAGAATATAAATATCCTCTTTAAACTAATCAAAATTTAATGGAAACTGTTCAATCTCATTCATCATTTAAACCTTAACTTTAAAAACATTAAGATTTGTATGAAGAATTGATTCGAAAAGCAGAAACAGGCAAACCAGAATAAAAACAATTAAAATGGAGAACTAATATTCATTTAAGATTAAATGAAGAATATAATGAACTTTAATAAAAAAAAGAATAATTAAAAGTGAATTATTAATAGTTAGAATTATAATAATGCCCATTCTAACCATCAATAAGTAATAAAAGTAAATAAATTGGATCTTATTTTGGTTCTTCTCCTCGTTATTTGTCACCAAAATCTTTTTAAACTTAGACATTCTTAACTTAAAATAAAGAAATAAAACAATCATGTAGAAAAAGTAATAAGGAGAATAATCCATAAAATATATGGGATAGATTATCTAAATAGAAAGAAGTCCATTAAACTCCATAATCTTTTTAAATATAACCTTAATCTACAAGAACATCTTAAAGACATACTCCTGAAAGAATAGAAGCTGTTTGCAATCGCCTTTACGAAGAAGCTTTTTAACCTAAGAAATTTAAATTCAATAACTAAGAAATTCTAGCTGCATCACCTAAAGTTACTAATTAAACTTAAAGATCTGAAAAACATTTAGTCAGACATTTTGTTAAATAATTTTATGAAAGTATTACAAATGCTAGAATTTGGACTCTAGATCATTTAGATGAAAATTTAAATAAAATTGACTTTAAATTTGAAATCGAAAATGATTTGTGTTTATTGACTATTGATGAATTAGCTATAACTTTAGATAATCTTGGATTTGCTCCATGTTAAACTTATGATCATACTAAAGAAGATAATATTGTTTTCACTATTTTTAGAGTCTTAAAATGTCCGGATGAATTAGATCTCATTTTATCCAGAAATTTATTAACTTTTTTATTAGCTATGTAAGGATTTCATGTAGATTTCTAATTATTACCTAAATATAATAATAATTATAGTATTTAATTTCCAAAATATTATAAAAATGATCTTGTTGAATTTGAAGATGGAAATGTGATAATTTAAAGCTAAGAAATAATATCCAAGTAATTTAATCAATTATATGTAAATTATTTGGCTTATAAAAAATAAAACAAAAAATCCTAAATTTAAGATTAAAATTAATAATTTTTATTATTGAATAAATCTAATTCATAAACTAATGAATTAGCTAATAAATATAGAGCAAGAGTATAATCATAAATAACAGAAACAAAACCAATAAATTTGATTGACTATGATCATTATTATTAAATGAAAAAAGTATAATTAAAATAGGAAATTGATACTAATATTAAACAATAATGTCCTTTTTCACCAAAAATTAATTCAACTCAAACTAGTCCTAGATATCATTTGAATAAAAAGAAAGTACTCTCACCAAAATAAGAAGAAACTCCTACCTTTCAACCAAACTTAAATAAATCTTAATTATCTAATATGAATGATTAGATTCCATTACCAGATCAAAGAGAGGCTATAAAAAGAATGGTTAAGGGGAGAATAGAGAAATAATTGAACTAGATTATTATATCGTAAGGAACTTGTTATTAAAAGAAAAGAAAAAACATTGAATAATAACTTTATCAAGAAGAAATTAGTAAATTAATTTAATAACCAATAATGTATATAAATGTTGCTTTAGAAAATAATACAACTAAAAAAATTGCTATTTATTAAGGAGATCAACCTAGGAAGTTAGCAGAGAAATTTGTCAAAGACAACAGATTAGATTCTAATTTAATAAATTAGTTAACTTCACTCCTCCAAGAATAATTACATATTTGATCATTTATTAGTTTTACATAATACCTTATTACTTTTGTAAATTATAGATTATGTAATTATTATATTCAATTTTTTGTATTTTAACAATAAATGGATTATGATGATTTATTTCGTTTATTGCCAAAACCACCTAAAAAATGGACAACATAAGAAGTACTAGTCTGGTTAAAATATATTGGATATACTTAATTAGATACTTATTTTGGTACTAATTTAAATTAGATTGTTTAGTTAAAGAATGTGTTGATGGTTCATGTTTGGAGATATTAACAGATCAAGATCTTTTAGATTTAGGAATCTCTTCTGCTTTATAAAGAAAGAAACTTTTGTAATGTAAATATATTAATCATATAATACAGGGATATAAATTGGTTTGAAAGAATTTACAAATTATTGTAAAACACATACCAAAAATGAAATTACTCCATAGACGGATTAAACCTTTATGGAAGTTCAATAAATTTCATCTCCTAGAGTTGAAATATCTTAATAAGATAGATTACCTTTAAAAGACATTCAAGATAGAATATTATAATCAAGACATGAATATGATATAGAAATAGATGAAAAAACAACTATGGGATAAATTCCAATTGAACCTCTTCCATCACCAGGAACAAGATAAAAGTAATAATACATCTTCCCTGTTTAAAAATCTCAATCCAAAATAACTGAAGAAGATTTAGCTAAATAGGTTTAACATAGCAATAAAAAAGTAAATATATTTTTTAAATGAGAATATATTCGCTGAGTTATAATTAGAACCAATTAAAAAGTCTATTATTTTGAGTCCTTAAAAACAACAATAATAAGATTCTGATTATTATTTGCCTTAATTTGGTACTCCTAGATTTGATAAATAAGAAAAAAAAGAATATTAAGAAATTACATAAAATAATTAGTAATAATAATAATAATAATAATAATAATAATAATAATAATAATAATAATAATAATAATAATAATAATAATAATAATAATAATAATAATAATAATAATAATAATAATAATAATAATAATAATAATAATAATAATAATAATAATAATAATAATAATAATAATAATAATAATAATAATAATAATAATAATAATAATAATAATAATAATAATAATAATAATAATAATAATAATAATAATAATAATAATAATAATAATAATAATAATAATAATAATAATAATAATAATAATAATAATAATAATAATAATAATAATAATAATAATAATAATAATAATAATAATAATAATAATAATAATAATAATAATAATAATAATAATAATAATAATAATAATAATAATAATAATAATAATAATAATAATAATAATAATAATAATAATAATAATAATAATAATAATAATAATAATAATAATAATAATAATAATAATAATAATAATAATAATAATAATAATAATAATAATAATAATAATAATAATAATAATAATAATAATAATAATAATAATAATAATAATAATAATAATAATAATAATAATAATAATAATAATAATAATAATAATAATAATAATAATAATAATAATAATAATAATAATAATAATAATAATAATAATAATAATAATAATAATAATAATAATAATAATAATAATAATAATAATAATAATAATAATAATAATAATAATAATAATAATAATAATAATAATAATTATAATATTAATCACCAAGTCTATAAAAACATTAGTTAAACATTAAAATAAAAAAAGAAGGATTACCAACTTAAATAAAACTAATAACTAAAAATGCTACAATAGGAAGAAATCCAGAAAATGACATCTAGTTAAATCATGAATCTGTAAGTAGGACTCATGTTTGGGTACTTTAAAAAATTTAGTTTAGCTCACTTTTAAAGAAAAGTAGTTTTATTTACAAGATAGAGGAAGCTTAATAGGTACATTTATACTTTTAGAAACGAAAACTCAAATTATGCAGGGTTATATAATTTAGATGGGAGCAATAGAAGTAATAGTGTAAAATCTCTAAATAAATGGTTAATGTAAAATTAAACTTAAATTATTTAAGAATGCAATATTACTTTTGCTTCTCAAATGGGATTTGTTTAATTTACATTATTAAATGGGAAATCTAAAATGATTGGATCATAAACTTTTGGAGATCAGTCAATGGCATGTGATCATGCATTATTAGAATTCACTAGTGAAGGACTTAGTATAGAAGATTAAAAAACTTCTAGCGGGTATATTTATAAATTTAAATAGAACTTGGATGAGATTAAGCAAATCTGGTGTTTAATCATAAAGTGTACCTCTAACTAGAAGGAGAGTCATCAAAATTGCTGAATATATACTTATTATAGAACCAGAATGATTTTTTTATGTTTATTAATTTAATTTAGAACTTTTTTATTTCATAATTTTTATTATTATTTTAAGGTATTAATTAATTAGTTAATAATTCATATAATCAATATTACAAAAGGGAATAGTTCTCAGCTTGCAACTAAAATATTTAAAATGATTGTTATCTATTGATCAAAAATATAGGAAAATAATTACTTTTTATTAATTTTGAGATTATAAAATTTGACTTTAAGAAATTACCTAGAAATTTAAATAACTAAATTAATATATTGAGTTTAAAAATAAAGGATGAGCAAAAAGTTCAGGAAATAAATATTTTTTGGTTATTTGACCTATTTTTTAGAAAAACAAGTCCTTAATATTCTTCAAGAAATTCAAACAGGAGAATAATTAATTTATTAGAAATAGACAACTTCAATGATATTTACAGTAATAAAGGAAAAGGAATTACTAATTCTTTAGAAAATTATTTTGAGTAAACACTGTTTAGAATGGAAAAATATAATATAAATGTTTAATAACAATAACAACATAATTAAGCTTTAAGTAAGAAGTTGGTGATTTGTTTGATTATTATCTGTTATATTCTATTTTTAATTATAATTTGTTAGGATTATTAAAAAAAATTATCCTTAACATTTTAATTATATGAATTCCTAAGTTCTTAATAAATAAATGATGTAAAATTATTAAAGACATGAAAAAGAAATAACAAATAGAATTAAACACGTTTTATTATATAACTTAGATGACATTAATAGTGCTGTTATTTTATTTAAAATAGAGAATTTAGAGGATTAAAATAATATTCATAATTTCCTTAAAAAGAAATTTAATAAAACAGACTTTGAACTATACGATGTAAATGCGGATAAAATAGAGGTTATAAGATTATAAGATTTGGAGAGCATAAAAATTTACTTTTTAGACAACTCAAATAATATACAGAGTAAACAATCAATTGCTTAATTAATAAATAAGTTTTTTCATAGAGACAGATTTATTAAAGATATTCAAAAAAAGTTAAAGAAAGGTATAACTTAAAACTAAAATGTAGAAGAATTAGATTTAGCTCTAATCGATTTATTAAAATAAACAGATTCTATGCTCATACTTAAACTTATTAATCCAATAGAAGAATGGCTAAAACAATTTAATTTTGATGCAACTAAAGAATAGAATAATTCAAAAAACTAAATTCAGCAAACTTTCAATTAAATGAAAAATGAACTTTATTAAATAGTTAAAAAACAAAATAATACAAATTAGAGAGATTAAATAAACATATATAACTAATTGTAAGATGAAAATGAATCTCTCAAATAAAAAAATACAAAATTTGAAGAAGAGATATAAAAATAAAGTTAAGAAAAAGAAAGAATAAAATAGGAATGGTTTGATAACCTAAATGAATAAAAAAATATTAATAAAACATTGTAAGAATAGCTAAATAACAATAATGAAATGATCAAATAATTATTAAATGATAAAAAAGAATTAAAATAATAAAAGGAAGATTAAGAGAATTTAGTTAAGAATTTAAAATATGATAATAGAAAATAAATAATTGAAATCGAAGATTTAAAAATAGATAATTTAAACCTTAAAAAATAAATAAAGCAACTTTAAACTCTTGTTGATGAAGCTAATTCTAATTCTACAAATCAAAAATTAATTTAAGAATAAGTTTTTAAAAAATAAAACTAAAGATATAATGTTGATTAAAATAATTAACAAGAATAATTATTAGTTAAAGCAAATTTTAATGTAAATCAACCTAATAAATCATAAAGTTAATATAAACAATCAGAGATTATTGATAAAGATTTATGTCCATAAGTTCCCTCAACATAAAATTATTTAAAATAATAAGAAGATTTATAAAAAGAATAATAATCAAAAGTTCCCTCAACATAAAATTATTTAAAATAATAAGAAGATTTATAAAAAGAATAATAATAAAAAGTTCCCTCAACATAAAATTATTTAAGATAATAAGAAGATTTATAAAAAGAATAATAATCAAAAGTTCCCTCAACATAAAATTATTTAAAATAATAAGAAGATTTATAAAAAGAATAATAATAAAAAGTTCCCTCAACATAAAATTATTTAAGATAATAAGAAGATTTATAAAAAGAATAATAATCAAAAGTTCCCTCAACATAAAATTATTTAAAATAATAAGAAGATTTATAAAAAGAATAATAATAAAAAGTTCCCTCAACATAAAATTATTTAAGATAATAAGAAGATTTATAAAAAGAATAATAATCAAAAGTTCCCTCAACATAAAATTATTTAAAATAATAAGAAGATTTATAAAAAGAATAATAATAAAAAGTTCCCTCAACATAAAATTATTTAAGATAATAAGAAGATTTATAAAAAGAATAATAATCAAAAGTTCCCTCAACATAAAATTATTTAAAATAATAAGAAGATTTATAAAAAGAATAATAATAAATAGTTCCTTCATCAAATATGTTCTAAAGATAATAATAAATCCCAAAATTTCAAATTGAAGAGATGGATTAAAACACAGAATTTTAAAATTCTTGTGGACATAAAATCACAATATAATAATTAGAATAATAACTAATATCTGCATTTTAATAGAAAAGAGATCCAAAGTGTCCAAAATGTTATTGCAAATTATCAAATTGGTCAAATTAATTTCCTCATTTATAGATTAAAGTTAAAGAGGAAATAAATATATACACTTTAAAAAAAATTTTAAAATTTTCAGAGTATTAAATAATAAGAAAATAATTGTTAGTAGCTAAGTGTAAAAATATAAAATGTAATTTCTTTTGTTTTTGGGATTAGATGGGTTAATTTGCAAATTTATCCTCAGCCTTTTGTCAAAACTGCGATTTAAAAACGGTTTAAAAACCGTATTGAAATAATTTTATTAAAATAAATTTTTTTATTAAATTAATTATAAATTTATGTTAAACGAATTGAATCTTAAAATAATCAAATAAACAGTTTATAATTTATAAAATCCTTAAATCTAAATATCTAAATATTTCGGCATAAATTTAAGAATTTCAAAGACAAAAAATTTTCTTAGATGCTAAATAAATTTCAAACTTAAAATTAAAATATAGTAGATATGTTATGAAATCTAAAAATCGATTATATAGAAACTCAAATTCTTTACATTATTTCTTTCTAGATTTAATCAGGTAAAAAAGGGTTTATAACGCTTTGCTCACAACAACATAAACAAAAACTGTAAGTTTATCTGGATTGTAATTGATCTTACGTTTAGTTCCAAATACAGAAAAAATTGCACTTTTTATTTTTACAAATTGCTAACATTTCAGAATTTTGGTTGAATTTTTAGTTGATAATTTTTTTTATACCTAAAAGATTAGATTTATATTTTGTCTCAATGTAAAATTTACCTAAACATTAAATTATTAAACAAAGTTTCTCTTATATAGGTTAACTACACTTATCACAATGAGCTATTTATTTATTTGTAAATGCTTTAAAAATAATATTTTCTAATTATTATATTGAGAATTTATGACCACATTTGTTGACATAATCTAAATTTAAAGAATCTATTAATAATGTATAATGTTACTTGATATTTGGTTTATTTTTTTTGGATATTAAATTGTTTATTAATTTTAACATTGTTAAAATTTTTTTATTGTGTTTTAAACATTAATTTATTTCATATCTTTTTAATTTAATCTTTTTTTCTCATCTTCTGAAAGAAATTTAGCTTTTTCATTTAATTCAAAGATTAACTAAAGAAGTCTTTCATTTTCTTATTAAAGATTATCAAACTTATTTTATTCACTTAATTTAATTATTACAATTACCTAACAACTTATTATATTTATTATTGCAGGTTTTATTTTTCCAACAAAATTTGTTCTATTAATTGATGACATTATAAAATTTCATCTCTAACAATATTTAAATACATTACTTAATAAATTAATTTTCTAATTATATATTAGTGAGTTTGGATTGCTCTTATTTGAGAAGATTTAATTCATTAAAAAATTATTAATTTTTATTTCTATATATACTTTAATTATTACATTAATTATTAATTTTCTTAATTTAAATCTTATATTTTTAAATTGCATTTTCGTATTTGCTTATCAACAGACTACTTTTCATTTTTCAATTGTTAATATTAATTTTATAAGTCATTGTATTGAATTTACTGTTGCTATAGAGAGTTACTTATAGTAATGGATTAAATACTTTAACGATTAGATTTGTTATTATAAACCAGTAATTATTTAATTATTATTAATCTGAGGCTGTTATCTTTAGAAAAGATTTTATTATTAAGGTGAAACTGAATAATTTTATTTTAAATCATTTGTAGTTAATTCAAATATTTTGTTTTATTATCCATCTCTACCTAAATCGAATTGATTATTATTAATAATTTGATATTTAGGGTTTTAAATAAAATTATTGAAATTTCTTCCCCTGGGAAGAACATTTTTTTTTTATTAATAATAAATGGTCCTTAAATTTTTTTATTTTAATAAGTCAAAAAGTAATTCATTTGTGTTTTCGATTGGTTGATCTTTTTCTATAAAAAAATCAAAATCTTAATAATTTTCAGACCTCATTAATACTTATTTAACATCTTAGAGTGTTGTTTGTCTGGATATTCTAATTGTTTTTGAATATGATGAGTTAGGTAAGTCTTTGTTTAATAAATTAATTAGTAAAGCCTCGCCACTTGGAGATTTTGAGTTATTTCTATTATTCATTTATAAAAATATTAAAAATTCTTTAACATAAAAAAAAATTAACTTTATGTTTATTCTATTATAAAAATAGAGAGTAATTCTAATAGATTTGGCTTGTAGAGTAACTAAATCGACTAAATTTAGAGATAGGATTTTTTACAGTGAAAATTTAATAATATGGGTAGTCAATTCTTTGTAGAGATTTATAATTGTTAAATTAATATTTAATATGATGTTATTTATAAATTAAATGAATTTATTACACGAGCAAAAAATATTTAATAACTAATAAATCCATAAAATTAATAAAGAAAGATAAGAATACATTAGATTAATATAATTTACTTGGAATAAATTATAATTATCTAACTCCAAAAAATAATCTTTAGCCATAAATAATTATGTTTAACTAATTTTACCAATAATTTTGTAATAATTCTAAATCAGAATAAGAATCAACACACTACAATAGATAAACTTTGGTGATATAAATTTATTATTAAAAACTCTTAATAGAAGATTATAACTTAGTAAATTAAACTTTTAATTGTTGTGAACCAAATTAAAAAGGAAAAATAAATGTGTGACTTTACCCTATTTTTATATTTGAAAACAAAAAACTTAGCCAGCAGAATAAATAAGTGAAAGGAAAGACTCTATCCTAATTTAATTGCTATTATAAAGAAACAATGATATCAACTATTAAAATAAAAAAATCATAATTTGATTAAGAAAGAAAATTTAACCATAAGATTGAGATTAGGATAAGAGTATTTCCAGAAAGTTTATTAATTCTATGAAAAACTGAAGGGAATATTTTATAAAAGGACAGGATTAAAAAAAAAAATGGAAAATTTTAATTCAAAATTAGAAACGAATTAAATACTTTAAATATTTAGAATAATTTAGGCAAATTGATGAGTAAAATTTTTTATCTTTTAATAGAATTAAGTTTAAGAGTTGAATTCTTCAGACCTATCTTAAAAATCAAAAAAAACAGAATTGTCATGATTTTAAGTTCATTTAATAAAACCCTCAGAGCATTTTTGTTAGAGGTATTTATTTTTTGATCTTGCAACAGTAATAACAGACTCAATCTTCACTTGTTCAATATACATACTCTTAAAGTTAGATGGAGAATTAGGATCATATTTAAAATTATTAATTAGATAAATTGCAATAATAATTTATAAAAATGAAAGAGATGAGTAATTTTTAGATAAGTACTTTTAAATAGAAATTCATAATGAATTTAAAATCTATTTATAGTTCATTAGGTTAATAATTTTCTCTTAATAATACTAATTAAATAAATTAAACTATTGTTTTTTGCCCTAATTGTAATAAATTATCAATCTCAAATCTATAAAATAAATAAAAAAATAAAAAAAAACCAATATTGTATAATTTTTGATTTTTAGATAATAATATTCATAACTCTATATAAAGTAGAGAGGCTATCTCAATTAAGTATCATTTTATGATTATCTTAAATGAGTAAAAATTATACATATTTTTTAATTCTCCTTTACTTCGTAAAATAGATTATATTTCTATTACTTCTATTATTATAAATATTAATATCAAGATTAAATGTTAACTCTCATAAGATCTAAAAATCCTGTTTTCACTCTCATAACTTTACATAATCTTAACTATGATGAAGGATAAACAGAAATGACCTATAGGGTATCAAATGTAACAACAATGTTAGACTTACTCATTTATTTAGAAAAAAAATATTAATAAGATCACCAAATTTATTTCTATATTAATAAAATAAAATTATTTGATGGTGATATGAATACTTATGTTTAGGAAATTTTGATTAAAGAAAAAATAAGAAAATTTTTTTATTAAATAAAATATAAAGATTCCTAATAGGGCATCTAATTCTAAAATTAAAATTACTCATAAAACTTTTAATAAAATTAATAAAGATATTAAATTTAATAAAGTTCTTCAATGTAATAATAATTAGTAACATCATATTTTGAAGAAAATCTATAATTCTAACCTTAGAGTAATAATAACAATTTAAATTATTAAAGTAGTTATTAAAATAATTAAGATTAATAGGATAAAATGAATGATTCATTGTAAAATGAAATTTTAACCTTGAAGTAACAAATCAAGAGTCTTAACTTAAATTTATCTAAATTGTAAGATGAAAATGAATCTCTCAAATAAAAAAATACAAAATTTGAAGAAGAGATATAAAAATAAAGTTAAGAAAAAGAAAGAATAAAATAGGAATGGTTTGATAACCTAAATGAATAAAAAAATATTAATAAAACATTGTAAGAATAGCTAAATAACAATAATGAAATGATCAAATAATTATTAAATGATAAAAAAGAATTAAAATAATAAAAGGAAGATTAAGAGAATTTAGTTAAGAATTTAAAATATGATAATAGAAAATAAATAATTGAAATCGAAGATTTAAAAATAGATAATTTAAACCTTAAAAATCAAATAAAGCAACTTTAAACTCTTGTTGATGAAGCTAATTCTAATTCTACAAATCAAAAATTAATTTAAGAATAAGTTTTTAAAAAATAAAACTAAAGATATAATGTTGATTAAAATAATTAACAAGAATAATTATTAGTTAAAGCAAATTTTAATGTAAATCAACCTAATAAATCATAANACTCTTAAAGTTAGATGGAGAATTAGGATCATATTTAAAATTATTAATTAGATAAATTGCAATAATAATTTATAAAAATGAAAGAGATGAGTAATTTTTAGATAAGTACTTTTAAATAGAAATTCATAATGAATTTAAAATCTATTTATAGTTCATTAGGTTAATAATTTTCTCTTAATAATACTAATTAAATAAATTAAACTATTGTTTTTTGCCCTAATTGTAATAAATTATCAATCTCAAATCTATAAAATAAATAAAAAAATAAAAAAAAACCAATATTGTATAATTTTTGATTTTTAGATAATAATATTCATAACTCTATATAAAGTAGAGAGGCTATCTCAATTAAGTATCATTTTATGATTATCTTAAATGAGTAAAAATTATACATATTTTTTAATTCTCCTTTACTTCGTAAAATAGATTATATTTCTATTACTTCTATTATTATAAATATTAATATCAAGATTAAATGTTAACTCTCATAAGATCTAAAAATCCTGTTTTCACTCTCATAACTTTACATAATCTTAACTATGATGAAGGATAAACAGAAATGACCTATAGGGTATCAAATGTAACAACAATGTTAGACTTACTCATTTATTTAGAAAAAAAATATTAATAAGATCACCAAATTTATTTCTATATTAATAAAATAAAATTATTTGATGGTGATATGAATACTTATGTTTAGGAAATTTTGATTAAAGAAAAAATAAGAAAATTTTTTTATTAAATAAAATATAAAGATTCCTAATAGGGCATCTAATTCTAAAATTAAAATTACTCATAAAACTTTTAATAAAATTAATAAAGATATTAAATTTAATAAAGTTCTTCAATGTAATAATAATTAGTAACATCATATTTTGAAGAAAATCTATAATTCTAACCTTAGAGTAATAATAACAATTTAAATTATTAAAGTAGTTATTAAAATAATTAAGATTAATAGGATAAAATGAATGATTCATTGTAAAATGAAATTTTAACCTTGAAGTAACAAATCAAGAGTCTTAACTTAAATTTATCTAAATTGTAAGATGAAAATGAATCTCTCAAATAAAAAAATACAAAATTTGAAGAAGAGATATAAAAATAAAGTTAAGAAAAAGAAAGAATAAAATAGGAATGGTTTGATAACCTAAATGAATAAAAAAATATTAATAAAACATTGTAAGAATAGCTAAATAACAATAATGAAATGATCAAATAATTATTAAATGATAAAAAAGAATTAAAATAATAAAAGGAAGATTAAGAGAATTTAGTTAAGAATTTAAAATATGATAATAGAAAATAAATAATTGAAATCGAAGATTTAAAAATAGATAATTTAAACCTTAAAAATCAAATAAAGCAACTTTAAACTCTTGTTGATGAAGCTAATTCTAATTCTACAAATCAAAAATTAATTTAAGAATAAGTTTTTAAAAAATAAAACTAAAGATATAATGTTGATTAAAATAATTAACAAGAATAATTATTAGTTAAAGCAAATTTTAATGTAAATCAACCTAATAAATCATAAAGTTAATATAAACAATCAGAGATTATTGATAAAGATTTATGTCCATAAGTTCCCTCAACATAAAATTATTTAAAATAATAAGAAGATTTATAAAAAGAATAATAATAAAAAGTTCCCTCAACATAAAATTATTTAAGATAATAAGAAGATTTATAAAAAGAATAATAATCAAAAGTTCCCTCAACATAAAATTATTTAAAATAATAAGAAGATTTATAAAAAGAATAATAATAAAAAGTTCCCTCAACATAAAATTATTTAAGATAATAAGAAGATTTATAAAAAGAATAATAATCAAAAGTTCCCTCAACATAAAATTATTTAAAATAATAAGAAGATTTATAAAAAGAATAATAATAAAAAGTTCCCTCAACATAAAATTATTTAAGATAATAAGAAGATTTATAAAAAGAATAATAATCAAAAGTTCCCTCAACATAAAATTATTTAAAATAATAAGAAGATTTATAAAAAGAATAATAATAAAAAGTTCCCTCAACATAAAATTATTTAAGATAATAAGAAGATTTATAAAAAGAATAATAATCAAAAGTTCCCTCAACATAAAATTATTTAAAATAATAAGAAGATTTATAAAAAGAATAATAATAAAAAGTTCCCTCAACATAAAATTATTTAAGATAATAAGAAGATTTATAAAAAGAATAATAATCAAAAGTTCCCTCAACATAAAATTATTTAAAATAATAAGAAGATTTATAAAAAGAATAATAATAAAAAGTTCCCTCAACATAAAATTATTTAAGATAATAAGAAGATTTATAAAAAGAATAATAATCAAAAGTTCCCTCAACATAAAATTATTTAAAATAATAAGAAGATTTATAAAAAGAATAATAATAAATAGTTCCTTCATCAAATATGTTCTAAAGATAATAATAAATCCCAAAATTTCAAATTGAAGAGATGGATTAAAACACAGAATTTTAAAATTCTTGTGGACATAAAATCACAATATAATAATTAGAATAATAACTAATATCTGCATTTTAATAGAAAAGAGATCCAAAGTGTCCAAAATGTTATTGCAAATTATCAAATTGGTCAAATTAATTTCCTCATTTATAGATTAAAGTTAAAGAGGAAATAAATATATACACTTTAAAAAAAATTTTAAAATTTTCAGAGTATTAAATAATAAGAAAATAATTGTTAGTAGCTAAGTGTAAAAATATAAAATGTAATTTCTTTTGTTTTTGGGATTAGATGGGTTAATTTGCAAATTTATCTTCAGCCTTTTGTCAAAACTGCGATTTAGAAATGGTTTAAAAACCGTATTGAAATAATTTTATTAAAATAAATTTTTTTATTAAATTAATTATAAATTTATGTTAAACGAATTGAATCTTAAAATAATCGTTTAGAATTTATAATTTATTGTTTACCTTAAAATTATTTTAATTTCAACCAATTAATTTAGATTTCCTAAAAGTCTTAAATGCTATTTTTAACTATTAACATATATACATAAAACATTTCAATGCTATTTATGGTATTTAATTATAGTTACAATTTTAGAATTTAGTCTAAAAAAAAGTATTTCTTAAACAATAAAGAATGACAAATTTTTTGGAGCGATTAAATTTTTTTTTTAATTTTAGAAATAGATTTTCAACTGGATTCACTTATTTTTGTTAATTCTTATTCATCATCTGTTAATTGACTTTTTAGATTAAAGCAGATTCAAAGTTTTCGTCCTTTAATCAAGAAGAGTTGATTATTTTGTTCTTGAAACTTTGTTTATTAACTTTTCATTAAATTCTTACCTTTTATGATATATTTAACATTGATTGAGAGAGTTTTGATTTTCAATTCTTTGATTTTTATATACTTAAACTTTAGATTAATGGCTCTGATTATTGTTTTTTTTAAAACAGAATTTTATTTTTAATTGATTTATTACTTTTCTTTAATGTATTGTCATCAAATAATAAATCTTAAAACAATCTTCAAATTGAATTAGGATAATATTCACTAATTATATTTCTAATTATATTTTGTGTTTTAATCATAAATATTATTATTGATTTTTAATTGAAATGAACAATTCAACACCAATTCCAAAATTCTTTCAATAAGAATTTGAATGTTCTTTGTGCTTAACTTTCTTTACCAATCCAATCACTATTCCTTGTGGACATACATATTGCAAGGAATGTATCTCTAATGCAGTTAAATAAATTCCACGTTGTCCAACATGTAGGTATTAATATTTCTTTAATTCAGATGTACCATTGCTATCGAGATAAAAAATTTAAAAGAGAATTTGCTAATCAAATCTACAGTTAATGAATTGAAAAAGCATCTGAATGTTGTTAACAGTCCTTAAAAATCACAAATATAGAATTTATCAGAAAAAAAAGATCAACCTCAAAAATTAATAATTCTTTATACATCAGAAGTTATTACACCATATCAATATTAAAGAATTGAATTAGAGAATGAATAATTTAAAAGCTTACCTAAAAATTAAGAATTTATCAAATAGATATTTGCTAACATTAAGAAGTTTGTTATAGCATTCAAATCTAATAAAAATTAGGATGTAAGCATGTGTATAATATTAAGATGGGATATTTGGCATAATTATAATTGGTTTAAATTATAAAGGGGAAAGTAATCGCACAAATATTGACTGAAGATATAGTTGAATTGTCAAATAAGGAACCTACAGAATTTTAATTAAACAATGAAAGTTAAATAAAATATATTCTTCCAATTATATCAGCAAAGATACTTGAAGAGGAATATATTGATTTAAATGACGATGAAACTTTGTATCAAATCTCAACATTGATTTAATAAATTTAAGATGTATTAAGTCCTTTAATTTTTTAATTAAGTAATACATAAAATGAATTATCATAATATTTGCATCAAAGTGGGTTATTTATGTATTTAAAATTAAAAGTCGAAAAAGATTGGAAATCATTAAAAAGACTTTCATTTTTATTACCAAGTTTATTAAATATTGATAGAGTATAAAAGAACAATATACTAACTTAAAATAATTGTATTTAAAGATTAATTTTGATAAATAAAAGCATTTAAAGATTTAAAAATACATCTAATCCTATGGTTGTATTTACAATGAATAGAAGATCTAACGGGAAAGGTCTCTTGAATTAGTTTTGGTTGATAGCTATTTCAATATTGCTAGCATATTTATACACAAAACTATAGTTCTGATTTTAATTTAATGTTAATAAAATAATCAATTCTTATTACAAATGTGATTTGTTCATTAATAAAAATCCTTTCATAATATAAAAAATTTATTAAATTCCTTATTGATTTCACATTTTTAATTCAAAATCACATATTGTTACCAAGCCAGTAGCCCATTATATAGCAAAACCATCAAATTTTTATTTAAAAAGAACTTTAGTTGAGTCATTTTTTTCACTAACTTAACATTTTACAACATATTTTGGGTCACTGAGATAGTCTTTACGATTTTGGCTAAGTTGTTGTCTAATTTCTGTTTAAATATTCTATTAAATAAAATTTGAAAATACTTCATTTGCATATTACTCTAAGAAAACCATCATAAAATCTTTTTTCTCATTTTCAACTTCAACTCGATTTCCTTTATCTGTGATCTTTATTTTAAAATCATTAATAATTTTTATTCTAATTTAAAATTAGATAAATTAATACTCCTCTTCAATTACACTTTTTAATACTAGTTCTTTTCTGAGGTGTGGGATTATAACAGATGGTGGGTTTGGGGTTGAGTTTATAACAGGCGGGGTTGGGTTTTGGATTAGAACAGGTGTTGGGTTTGGGGTTGGGTTTATAACAGATGTTGAGTTTGGGGTTGGGTTTATAACAGGGTTTGGGGTTTGGATTATAACAGGTGTTGGGTTTGGGATTATAACAGGGGTTGGGTTTATAACAGTTGTTGGGTTTGGGATTAGAACAGGTGTTGGGTTTGTGGTTGGATTTATAACAGGGGTTGGGTTTGGGATAATAACAGGTGTTGGGTTTTGGTTTAGAAAAGGTGGGGTTGGGTTTGGGTTTGGGTTTGTGTTGGCAATTGTAACTCGGTTTGGGTTTGGGATTAGAAAAGGTAGGGTTGCCTTTGGGTTTTGGTTTTGGTTTGGGGTTAGAATAGGTGGGGTTGAATTTATAAATTGGTTTGGGTTTGCATTTGTAACTGGGTTTGGGTTTGAGATTGGAAGAAGTGGTGGCGCATTTATAACTGGGTTTGTATTTGCATTTATAACTGAGTTTGAGTTTGGGATTGAGGTTTGAGCAGGTAAACAGGTAAAACGGGTTAGCTGAGGACCAAAATTGGTAACTCTATTATTAGGAACAGGATTAACACCATTATTGATGACTTGAGTATTGTTTTGAATTGGTTTAAAAACAGTACTTGGAATAATATTTGAAGTAATTTTTTACCTAATATTTTCTGGTTTTTTGAATTCTGTGTTCCTTGGAAAGAAGGGTGCTGATTATTATTGATCTTAAATTTTTTCATTAGAGACAATTTTAGTTTCCCAGATACTCTAATTAGTGGCCTCCAGTTCTTGCTATTTCTATTCAACTGCTTTTTTCTTTTATAGTCATAAATGTTTACTGTTATTTTTATTGTCCCTCCTTTACCATTGCATATTTATTAAAGTTTTAAGGTTTTAATAGCATTTTTTATTTCTTAATTTTCATAATAAAATTAAAAATCTTAAAATTTTGCTTCTTTCTCTCTCTCAAATTCCTCAATTAAATTGTTTAAGTTTCCCTTTTCTTAGTATTCATGATTTTTGTTGTCTGATGAGATGATAGTGATTTTCATTTTAATAGAAATTGTAATAAATTAAATATTAAAAATCAAATGTCATAAATTGTATTTCTATTAAAAATTATACCCCGTCCAAATTTATTGAGTATTATAAATGTAGTTTTTCGCTTTGGATTAAAATTTAACTATGTTCCAATTTTTGATAAACAATTCATATAAATTCCTACTAAGTAAAAGAAATTTATTTGATTACTCAATATCAAAGCCAAGTTCTAATTTTTTCATTAATATGAGCTTAAAGTTGAAATATATATATAATACATACTTTTTTTGGTTCTTGGGATACAGGTCTCAAAAAATATAAATTCATTTTATAAGCTCAATATATTGATTTTAGAAAATCTTATAATAATTAAACCTTTAAGATTTACAATCAAAATGAAAACAAAGGATCTAATTCCTTTAATCTAATCAAAACAAAACCTAAATCTTAATTTGAAATTATTGTTACAAAAAAATCTATGTGTTAACACTTTATTTAACATTTAAAAATATTATTATCCATTATTTAGAGTTATTATTTCGTTTTTATTAACAATTTACGATCGAAACTCTATGAATTAATTAAAATAATATGAATTATTAAATATTAATTCCATCTTTATTTGAAAAGTAAGAAAATTGTAGAGATCAGAATTTTAAATAGTTTTAGAGCTTAAGAATTTAAAAAGATTTTTGATATTTTTTTAAAATAATTTACTCATTCAAACATTTAATACTTTTCTCTTCCTTAAATTTTTTTTAACTTATTAATTAACAGAAAAGAATGAATGAAAATCATCAAAAAGTGGATCGCTAAAGTGTGAATCATTATAATCTAATTCTAAAAATTCTTCAATTTGTTTCTATAATTCTTCTTAACTCTATTGAGTAGACAAGGTTGATTAATTTATAAGCTCTAAATTAATTTATTAATCATTTCTATTTTTAATTAAACCCTAATTCATCGACCAATCAAAATATGCTTATTCCATTTCATATTCTTATGGAAATATTGCTTCACTTATTTCTTCTAAACTTATATTAACAACTTAATTGCTACTATCTTTGAAATTAAAGCCTGTAAAAAATATAATAATAATAGAATACTTGAAGTTTTATCGAAGTTATTTTATGTATTGCTAAACTCAACCCTCTTATTTGAAGTAATTCCACTTAAATTTTATTCCACTTCATTTTATGATTTTATTTATAAAACTTCATTAAGGCCATCTTCTAATTAATTTATTTTATCTTCCAATTTTTCATCATTCTATAAATCTTTAGTAATTTCTTTCAATATTTTTGTTGCTTTCTATTCATCAATATCATCTTTTCTTTTTTTGTTTCTATCAATGGATTCTAAATCTTTTTTAAAATCACTTTAATTTTCTAAACTTAACCTTGGAAAATCTTAAAATATATATTTTTGATCTTAAATATTTTACTATAATTAATCTTAAGTTTAAGGCACTTCTCTATTTTATTCATCTAAATCAGTTTATAAATTTTGTCCTGTGTTATTATTAATTATTAAAGTACTTTATAAAGAAACCTTTTAAGAATCTTCATCTAAACTTATTTATTATTCATTATTTTCTTATTTATCGTCATCCAATTATGTTTCAGGTAATATTTTAACTTTATGTTCAAGCATTCTTTAATATTAGAGAATAATTTATTATTATTATTCAACTAATTATTTTTATTATTCAACAATAAATTATTGTTATTCAATTATTTTGAACGGATTCAATTCAGATGGTACATGGCTTTAAGAAGTTAATTAATTCTGCATTTCTTCTTACATTTCCATAATCTATTCCTATAAATTTTCAACAACAATTTGTTCTTAAACTGAATCAATTTATTATTCAATTTAGTTTTCAATTTTATTTTCGAGATCATAATTTTGAGTTGAGTTATCAGATATAAAATCTTAATTATTTTAAGTTTGTTTTTAGTTTTCTTCAATAATGCTTTAAGTACTATCAACAATAGCAATATTTACAGGTTATCTTTTGAATGGTTAAAAGTTCTCATATTCAATTGAATTTGTATTATAATCTTAAGGTTTGATCAAATTAGTCAAAATTTATTATCCTTCATTTACTTAATCTTAATTACTATTAAGAGTTGTTTAAGATTGATCAACAACTGACAAATCATGTTACAACCAGGATTCACTTATAGTTATAATTTCTTAAACATTTTCTTAATTCTATTATTAGAGACTTTATTCTTCATCTTCGATATATAATTAATTTTTTTATTCTGGATAAATGAAAGAAATTGAATTCATTTAAGATTCCTAATTTAATTCTTCTTAAGTTATTTATATACTGTTAATTTTAACTTGTCCTTCAATTTCGATGATATTCATTTTTCCTAAAAATTCTTAGGGTGTTAACTTGTCTACGAAATCATCAAAGGAAACAGTAGAATTATCATTATTCTCTTCTTATAGTGTAATGTGATTAGAATTGATTTCTACTAAGGTCAAACCAATTTCAAATGAGTTTTTTACAAATTCTTAATTTAAACTTAATACGATTCCATTATCTGCCATTCCACTTAAAGAAGAAATTCCATAAAAACAAGTATTGGGTAATCCTTGAGATATTTGCATAATTGGTAACTCTTTTCTAATAAATAAATCTTAAGGTCCGATAAGTAAACATAAACCAATAGAGCTTTCTGCTTTTGATTATGTAGTTAAATGAACTTGATTCTTTTCAATTAATTTTATTTCTAAGATTATATCATCTTAATTTTTTCTATGAATTCCTGTTAAAAAAGCTGCCACTTATGGTTATTCTTTTTCAAATGCTTTATTAAATTTGATATCTATTTAATCTTTTTAAACTTCTATATTATTGCAGATAGTTTAAACATCTTAATGATCTGTTGCTAAGTAGTAAAATTACATTTCATTAATTTCAGAATCACTTATAATTTACAATTAGAATCCTTTATTCATTATAAAAGTATAATACCCTCTTATGTTACTTCAGTTACTCTCGAAAAGAAGTCTAAAGTATTGTGGTTAGAGTTGTAACCAATCACACTCAAAACAATTTTTGGAATTTCTGTAAAATTATTATTTAATTTTATGTCCTTGATTATTCAACATTCTTATACTTGTCTGTATATTTTATGAGCTGAAATTTTGCCTGAAGTCACATATCCTTTTTCAAATTACGCACCTAAAACAGTAGCACATATAAGAATCAAGATTATTAATTTCATATTTTATTGTAATTAATTAAAACGGATAGATGAGCTAGAATAAAATGTTATTTAGAGCTATCAAAATTTATTGAGTGCAAAAAGATACTATTTCAACACTTAATTATATGAATCTAAATCTTAGCATCTCATTTATTTATGATCAAAACAATATTTAATTTGTATTTTATTAAGAATAAATTAAATTTGCAAAACAGCAAAATTTTGCTTGAGAAACTCAAGCCATATCAATTTTTATTGTAAAATAAATAAACAATAATAATTCAATAAAATATTCCTTAAGCAAAGTATTAAAATTTATCGTACCTTAAATTATCATATCTTAAATACCATCTTGCTCTCCAATTATCTAAAGATTTATTGATTAGTTCTTAAACAAATACAAATAATTCAGCATCAGAGGTAGTTCTTGGATTAAATCTATCTTCTAATTCTTTTAATGCTAATTCTCCTTTAGAAAAACAAGGCAATGTAGTCCCATGACCTGTGTACATCATTTCAACTAATAACAATATTTCTTTTTAATGTTTTTAACAAGCTTTAAAGCCTCTACCTAATTTAATTAAAATACTTATAAAATAGTTTCCTAAAATGATCTCTAAATAAGAATCCTTACACTCCACCTAAAACTTTTATATAGTCAGATAATAATTTAAAAGGGACTTTTCCTTCAAACTCCATTCCTTTTCCTGGTGCTATTGATAAGAAGAATCCAAAATCTATATGAATTAAATTTCCTTCATCATCTAATAATATATTTCCATTATGTCTATCTTTTACCTATAAAAAATAACACACAAGCCCATATGCAGCAAGTGATTAAACATAATTTTATAATGCTTATTCTATATTATTTCTAAAAAAGGATCTAAAAAAATCAGAAAAATCTGAAAATTAAGTATATTTAGTTTATAAATTTTTTTGTAAACTATCAATTGTTGTTGCATTTTTTATCATTTCAATTATTCCACTATCGGGTCCCAAAGATAAAACTTCATAATACCTTAATTATAAAGGTAAACCTTCTTTTTTAAAGATCTAATCAAATTAACAAATCAATTGCAATGCAAATTGCTCTTATTTCAGATTATCTCCAGTCTTTATAATTAAATGAACTAACTACCACGATTTTAGTTTTTAAAATGGAGATTATTTTTTAATTCTTTCCTATAATCCTGTAGTATTTTCACCAAATATTGTCTTTTTTATTTCTAAGTATTCATTTTCTGTTAAAATTACACCCTTCCCGTCCTAAAGGTAACTTACTCTACGATTTAGTGTACTTTGATCCATCTTAGAATCTGTTTAAATTTATTACTAACTATTTTAATCCTCTAAACTAAAAGCTAATTGTTATATAGGCTGTTAATTTTATTATTAGTCTATCATATTATCTGAACTATCTGTGTCTGAATCATTTTTATTGCTTTCCTATCTATTTCTATAGAATTATCCTATTCCATTGTTTTGTTCATAAGAATCTTATTGATTAGTCTGATTAAATTTCATTGATTCAAATTCATTTTGAAATGATTTCTCAGCATCAGCTATAGAATACGATCTTTATAATTAAATAACACTATTGTTTAAATTTTAGAACTAAACTTAACTCTATGAAATAGACTAAGATTTAATCATCTATAAAATTACTCAAATAATAAATTACATTAGTTTTAATAGGCTTAGAAATTTAAGTGTCTAACAATTATTTTTCATTATAATAGCTTTCTATTTCAGGTCTAAATATTTCTAAAGTCAAACTGTAAGGACTTCTCATTTTAGTTGAAAATACACGACTTTCTTTTGAAACTATATTTAAAATAGCATAATTTCTGATTGAATTCTTTACAAAAGGTATATAGACAGCAGCAGGTAAATTTAAATTAATATTATTCAAGAAGCGATGCAATTATTCTGTTTTTTTTTAATGTTTCGAAAGTTCATCAGAAATTTTAGTGATATCATTCCAAAAATTAATATTTGATTAAAATGCAAGATCTTCTTGTAAACCATTATTTTATTCATTTTGGAAAATAGAAACATAATCTTAAAGTTCAATATCTTCATGTTTAGTAATTAAACAATCTTCTAGGTTTTTATCTTTAATGTAATCAGACCATTAATCAGTTCCATAGACTTAGACTATTTTATTATGTTTCCATGACTTAATTCTTAATGATCCTTAATAAACTTCCTGCTCTTAATTATCTTTTTTATTAGACAACATAATGGACTTTACTAAGATATCTGATTAAAATGAATCTTCTAAATGAATCTTTAACAATTATGTTGCTATCAATAAGTTACCTTAATAATTTAAAGTCATTTTATCTTCAAATTCCTTAACAAATTATAAAACAATCTTAAACTCCACTTTGCTATTGGGAGATACAATTTTTGATAAGCTTTTGAGTTAAAAATAAACAAGATGAGCAAAAAAGAAATCTATAGAAGATGCTTTAATTATGAAATCAATCAGTCGATCATCCTATAATTATTGGTGAAAAACCATAAAATTTATAAGCTACGGAATATAATATTCGAGATCATTGCGAATAAGATTCGTTTAAAAATTTGGGTTAATACGACATCTTTGAAGCATTTCGATAGCTTTTGTTTTATTATCTGAAATATATAAGCGAATCATAACTTCTAAAATATCGTCATCTAAAATCTAAATGAATTCAAATAATATACATCTGAATTGTTTTTTGTGTATTTCTTTAATATTTTATTTGATTTTTTAAAGGTTTTTGAAAATTCTGTTTTAGTTTATCTACTAAAACATAAGCAACCTGTTGTTTTGGTTTTTTCTCCTTTTTGCATTAGTTTTTATATATATAATTAATTATAAGTATGGTATTATATTTTATAATATATAGTAGGTTCTCTCTTAATTAATAGATAAGATATGAAATTCACATCGAGGATATAGAGAGATACTTCAAAAGAAATTTATTAGATTTTGCAGAACAAATCAAATCTCTACTTAATTTTATATAAATTTATTACTCATTCTATAAATTAGAATATTCAGATAAATAATATTTTATTACTATCATATATCATTGTCATCTTCACAAGATTGAAATCCATCTTCAGATTGCTATTATAATTTGATTTGTTGATTATTTTGTTCTAATTTTTAGAGTTTAATTAATTCTGGGCAAATGCGGTTCTTGGCTAATTTACCTTATTTGAATAGCTCAATATATGCGGGTTTCTCTATCAACTTGATTTAATCAACAGCTATTTAATAATTAGCACTGATTTCTTAAGGAGGCCTAATTAATAATAAGTATGATTACCAAAAATTATCAAATTTATCATTAGCAATACCTCCATATTTCTTTTCTAATTATTAAGGATTAGCATATTAGAGTAAGGAAATAGGAGAATTTTCAAAAAGTATTTTATTAACCTATGATAAAAGAATTATATATTACAGTTATATCTTCTAAAAATGTTTTAATCATAGCCCATGTAATACTAAGAGTTTTGGTGCAATTAATTATGTAACATTTATGCATTCTTGATCTATAATTACTGGAGAGATAATTCATAATTCTATAAAGATCTTATTTTGGCAACCCCATAATACCTAATCCTCCTAAATCCATAATAACAATCCTAACTAAAAGATTTGATATACCAATTTTCAATTTAACCAGGAAGCATACAATTTGTTAAAACGTAATCTAAAAATATTGATATTGATTAAAGTAGGATATCTATGTCTTTAGCTCCTGCAACTTTTCTAGCATTAACAACAAGAATTGGACGAAATCTATTATCTCTTCCATGCATATATATCACTCCTTGTTGCTATTGATTGAATTTTATCAATACCAACAACTCTTATGACATAGGATTCACTTTAAGATTTCTACTTTATTGCCATTCATCATAATTTTTAATAGCTTCTAAACATTTATCAAACTTAAATTTAGTAGCATATAACATTCTTAAAATGAATGAATCTTCCTTTTAAACTTAATATTTTTGCTTGAATTATTAGATTGATTGTTATTCATTTTATGTAAATTGAATCTGACCATCAAAGAACTTACGAATTTCATACTTCTTAAATTTTATCAATATCTCAGATTCTAAATTGAATGTAATAATGTACCATCTGGAAAATAAAGATAAAATTCTATATTAAGAAGCATTATAATTATTTAATTATTAACTGTCATATGGGTTAAGCAAATTGTGCATGTGTAAAAACAGTTACTTTTGATCATAACTAAATAGAAAGTGATAAAAGATTGAGAGTGAGTAGAAAGGAAAATGAAATAGAAGATGAAGAAATAAAACTATTGAAATGCATTATTAAAATATAAGCACTTTTAAGAGGTTGGATTGTAAGAAAGAAATATCATTATGTATAAGTTTAACTATACAATACTAAAGTTAATAATATTTTAAAATAGTTCTCATTAACACACTTATCAAAATTTAGTAAAGTATGAATCAACAAATATTATTTAGATGCCTCCATTTCCATTTTAAGAGTACCGATATCAAGATACAGAGAGTGATTCTTATGATAATAGATTCTTTAGAAATGCAGTATTATTGGAAAATGGTGCAATATATATAGGAGAATGGTCAGTAGATAAAAAATTTGGAAAAGGAATTCAAATATGGAAAGATGGTTCAATATACGAAGGATTTTGGATTAGAGACATGGCAAATGGTAAGGGAAGATTGTATCATGCAAATGGAGACATATATGATGGAGTAATATAATAAAAAATAATTAAATAGGATTGGGAAGATCATAAATCAAAAGGTTAAGGTGTTTATATCCATTCAGATGGAGCAAGATATGAAGGTAGTTGGAATAATGATTTATAAAATGGACATGGAGTAGAAATATGGCCAGATGGAGCAAAACATGAAGGAGAATATAGTAATGGAGTTAAACATGGAAAAGGAAGATTTGGTAAAAGTTTTTCATATATAATAATATAGTATGGGCAGATAAAGCATCATATTGTGGATAATTTTTAAATAATTAAATAAATGGAGTTGGTAGATATGTTTGGCCTGACGGTAGAAAGTATTGTGGAGAATGGCTAAATAATAAAATGCATGGAACTGGCCTTTTTTCATGGAGTGATGGTAGAGTATATATAGGAGAATATTAAGATGATAAAAAACATGGTCAAGGTGTATTTGAATGGTAATTTTATAGATTTTATTGTTATAGGCCTGATGGTCGAAAATATGTTGGGTATTGGCTTGAAGGAAAATAACATGGAAGAGGACTTTTCATTGCTGGAGCTTAAAGAAAGTAAGGAGAATGGAAAAGTGGAAATAGGGAAAGATGGATCATCTTTGAATCTGATACAGATTTAGATTCAATTGAAAAAAAAATGAATTAACTCAAGATCTATTATTCATCTATTGATGATTCTCAACTATTAGATAAATCAAAAAAACCATTACCTTTGCCAAATAGTTCTCTTATTAAAGGAGAAAAATTTAAGCCTTTATAAAATCATAACTTTTGATTATCAACTATTTTATACTAATTATATTTTAATTGTATTTATTCGTTAAATAAATGGGGGCTGACCAAAGCAAGTTTGATTATAATTATGGTCAAATTATTCAAAAAGATACTATCTGCCAAAAAATACTACAATATGACATTACTGCTAAAGATGTCTTTTTGCAATCTTTAAAATAAATTCCTATTTTAAAATCCTATGAGGAAATTGATAAAATCACTTTTTGTGGATCTTCAAATGAAATCAAAGCATTATTCTCTTATAATTAAATTACACTCCATCAATTTATTTTGGCTCAAGAATTCACTCTAAAAGAAACTTAAATTATTTCTGTTATCAAATCAATACTTTCAAACATGAATCAAAATAAAGTACAAATGCATCCTAAAGAAATTTTATTACCAGAATATATTATGTTAGACCCAGAATTATTTCTTTTAAAAAGTGATATTCAAAGAATAAGATAAGGTTATATTAAACATTAAGATTATTATATGGCACCTGAAGTTCTAACAGCAAAATGCAAATCCAATATTGCAGCATAAATTTTTAGTTTAGGATTGGTTTGTATATTTATTATGACTAAACTAACACCTTTTGATTTCAATCTTTATGATACTACTCATTTTCAACCGCTTAATCTTCAAAAATATTTAGAAAAAATTAACTCTGGAATCTATTCATGTAAAATTATAATTATTTTAGAACTGTTTAAAAATTTAGTAATTGATATGACCAATGTTGATCCAAAATTAAGAATCAATGAAGAATAAATTATATGTAGATTAGATGAGGTACTTATGTTTCATTCATAAAAAACACTAAAGTTTTAAGAAACCGCTATTTTTTAACCTGAAATTTCATCAAAGTTAAAATTAGACTTAAATGAAGAATTGAAACAATCAGAATTAAGTTATAATTACAAAGAGAGACCATCTGAATATTAATAATATGATAAAGAAAAGAAATATAGCAAAAATAGAGCAAATAATTCACCATAAACTAAACATAAAAGCAAAGAAAAAGAAAATATTGAAGTAGAATTTATAACAAAAAAATAATAAAGAATAAATAATTATAGTTTTAGTGCATGTTCTAGTAGATCTCATATCAGAGGAATGTCAATTAAACCAGCAAAGAAACATTAATATTAAGAAAAACATTCATCAAATAAATAAAGATGGAAATGATTTTACTTATTTAAATAAACTATAATTTTCAAAAATAAATAATTTTTTTCATTTTGTTGTTTAGTAAATTCATATTTAATTTTATATCTTTAGAAATTTATTGAATATATATTCTTTCGATTCTCCATCTTATTCTTTAGCTAATTTATTTCTATTTTATTCAGCAAATATACATGCTTTTTGTCTTTCTTATTAAAAATATTAATCAATTAAAAATCATTTCTCAACAATTTAAGTCTTTTATTTTATAAGTTCTTTATGCTACATAGCTTTCATTCTAGCCTTAACCTGAATAAATTATTTAGGAAGCTTACCTTTCTCCATCCACTTCAATTTCAAACTAAAAAACAAGAACTTATAGAAGTGTAATTTTTTTATATTTCTAATGCCAACGATTTGGATTCTAAATAAAACTTGTTTAGTCATTTCTTTTTTATTTTTCTTGTTATCATGTTCATTTGTTACATATTATAAGCATTTTATTATATTTGTAGAACTTTCTTTGAATCTATTTAACCTTAAGAATTAGTGAAATATTTATTTTTAACCTATTGATTACTAATTGTATAATTAATGATCAAGCTAATATTATTTAATTGATAATGGAGTTGAAATTAAAAAAACCAATTCTTTATGGTTTTTATAAAAAAATTTAGAGACTTTACTATTACATAGAATTTTAGAATATGAAGGTTTATCTTTTTCATATTTGTTTATTATCAGATTAATTATTATTTGGAATTTTTTAAAGTTAAAATAATGAAAAAAAGTCTCACATCTCATAGTCCTAATTCAGAACATTATTATATTGGCCCAAGAGAAACTAAATTACCAAAATTTGAATTTGAATACCCCCCTTCCAGCTATGGATTAGTTGTGTCAAGTACTAAAAACTCTAATAAAACTGATATTGTTTCTGATTCATCTAGTGAATCTATACTTCCACCCTTAATATATTTTAAAATAAAAGAGAAAAAAGTAAAAAAGGAACAACAAGAAAAATGTGTGTTAGTTGGAAATACGTTGCATCAAATGCCAAAGAAAATTATAAAACCGAAAATTTCATATTAACCTGACATTTTCCCATTAAAGGCTTTAAAAAAGAAAATAGTTAAACAAAAATTTAATGGAATTTATTTTGAAGATGAAAGATACTCTCAAGATCTTGATTTTTAACATAATTATGCAAATTTAAGAACTTACTATAATGCAATCAATTTATCAAACAACTTATATGTTTCACCTACAATTAATTCATATAAAGCTTATATTGGGAAAGGTAATAATGGTCAATTAGTTTAATGGATTTTAAAAAGAAGATGGTGGTGGTCTGTAGTTGATAAAGAAAAAGATTAAGTCAACTTTCTTTGGTAATAATTAAGAAATAATTCTTATATCGATTCTATTCCTGAATCAAGTCAAGAAATCTTTTCATAATATAACAATAATAACGAATAGAACTTTATTATTTTAGATATTTAATATCAAAATTTATTACCTAATTAATTAAGTTTTGAGTTGTAGAAAATAATAAAAAAAAATGGTAAAAATTCTAAAATCATATCATTTGAACAAGCTTAAAAATTATCTTAGAACATAAGACTATTTGAAGTAAACAGTAATACAAAATTACATAATCATATTTAAAATAATACTCATTTAGGTAGTAAGAAAAATCTTTTTTATAATATGAAAAAATACTATGAATAAAAAGGATTAAATGTTTTTGATTTTTTACCTTAAACATATCATATAAAAAATAAAGAGGATCTTTCAAATTTCGTTTAATAAAATTAAAATCAATCAATTTGGATTGTCAAACCGGCTGAACTTACTAATAGAGGTCATGGAATTTAAATATTTGAGACTATTAATGAAGTATAAAAATATTTAAGAAATATTCATCATCATAAGAATGGATCTTAGAAAACATTTATTGTATAAAAATATATAGAAAATCCATTACTGTATAATCAGAGAAAGTTTGACATAAGATGTTATATTTTATTTACTTCAATTAATGGATAACACAAAGGTTTTTGGTATAAGGAGGGATATATAAGAACCTCTAGTTCAGAATTCAGTTTGAATAATTTAGCAGATAAATACATTCATCTGACTAATGATGCTGTATAAAAGCATTCAGATGATTATGGTAAATTTGAAAAAGGAAACAAGGTTTCTTTTGAAGAATTTAATAATTTTTTACCAATTGATTTTTACTAAACAATTTACACATAAATGAAAAATATAGCATAAGATTAATTTAAAGCTACATATGGTAAATTGGATCCTAGGAGAAAAGAAAATTCATTTGAACTGTTTGGTTTAGATTTTATGATCGATGATAAATTTAGGGTTTGGTTAATTGAAACTAATACAAATCCTTGTCTAGAATGTTCAGGACCTTTATTAAGTAAATTGATTCCTTAGTTAATTGAAGATCTTTTTAAACTTGTATTAGATCCATTGTATCCTCCTCCTTAATTTTATACTTCAAAAAAGATTATATATGATTCATTCGAAAATAAATTTGAATTAATTTTTGATTCAACAATGTTGGAAGTACCACCTATAAATACATAAGTCTTAATAGACGAGCAATGAATTAATTTTTATTTAACTTATATATCATACATAATATAGAAATATTAAAAGCGATCAAATTCTTTAAAAATATTATACTGTATAATTTTGCAAGAAATTAAAATTCATTAATGGAAGAATTTTTAAGATCATAAAGAATAGGCCCAACTTCTTTAACTCAATAAATCACTTCAAAATAAGAATCCGCATCACAAATAATTTTAGATGACGAAATTTAATAGGAAAGTTAAAGAGAAATCATTGATAATAAAAGCTTCGATATGAATATGTCTCGATTTGAAAGTAAAGTAATTACTATAACTATTGAAGTCTGAATTTAGGAGAAAAGGACTATCCCCATTTCGAACTCTGAAAACTCTTCAAACTTAAAAATAATCAAATTTCATACAGAATTTTAAATTGTAGTTGCATGTTCATCGATTTGTAAATAACATCTTTACAAACTCATATATATTAAGAAATAATTAGAAATAGAAAATATCAGATTAATTATTTGAAAAACCTTTAACTTCTTAGAAAAAAGGAAATAGTAAGATAAATTTATAATTAATTGTAGTTTAAGACACATAATCATGGATTCCAATATTTTTACCCTCTACAAATGTCATAATAATATGGGATATATTTGGGTTTCTAAATAATCTATTAATGCTTTGGCTTACACCATTTTTAGGATCATTTAATAATTATTAAAATGATATCATTTAGGCTCTTTAATAGATCATCCTAATATTTTAAATCATTGATTTTTTAGTTTAATTTAATAGAGGAGTATTTATTTCTGCAATCCTTATTACAAATAGAATGACAATAATAAAAGAATATTTAAAATCAAATGCTCTAGCAGATTTTTTTAGAGTTTTTATATGGTTTTGCCTTAAGCATGATATTTTAGTCAACGGATTTCTAGAAATTACAATTATATTAGAAATTATACTGATTTATTAGAATATTTAGAGATATCTTGCTGAATATTTCCAATATTTTTATTTGAAAGGAGGTTAAAATGCAATTCTAGATCTAACTTAACTAATAATTCAAATATATTATTTTGCCCATATAACAGCCTGTGTTTGGCATTATACAGGAGAGAAAAGTCAATATTTAGGAACTTCTTGGTTAGTTGAACATAAATTAACTGAATCTTCATCTTGGCATTAATATAATGCCTCCTTTTATTGGGCAACTATGACAATGACAACTGTTGGTTATGGTGATATTTCTGCTTCAAATTAAGCTGAAATGACTATCTCATCAATTATTATGTTTTTTTCCAGTTATGCTTTTGCTTATACTATGAGTTCAATTGGAATTATTTTAAAAAATCTTTACGATTCAAAATAAACTTATAAGTAAAAATTATTTAATAATTTAGAAAGAACTTAATTTAAATAACCTAGTATATGCATAAAAATTAGGTAGATGAAAATATTCAAGGTAGGATTAGAAATTACATTAGAATTCATTCTAATTCAGAAAAGGGAGAAAATTAAGCTGAAATAGATAATATTATTAGTTTATTACCAAGTAATTTATAAAAAGACTTAAATACTGATATTTAAACTAGAGTTCTTAAAAAAATGAAGCTCATTATTAATCATTTTACAAAATACACTTAACAATAAGTTGCAAAAAATCTTGAATTAATTTAATTTTTACCTGGAGATATAATATATAAATAAGGAGATTCTCATGAAGATAATCTGTATTACTTATTCTTATCAATATTAGTTATTTTATATAGAATGGAGAAGTTAACCTCATAGAACTCTAGACTGAAATTAAGTTAAGGAATTTAAAGAATAATTCATATTTAGGTTATTATTCTTTTTTTACAGGATTTTCTCCAAAGGAAACTGCAATTAGCTAAGATACTAGTCAGCTTTATAGAATTAATAGAAAAAAATTTTTAGATATCATTAAACAAAATTAAAAGGATTTAGAAATTTTTCATCATATAAAAGATAAAATGATTTATAAATCAAACTTTGTATTAATTGATCACAAATGTAACTTTTGTAATAGATATGTACATCAAGAAATTGATTGTCCATTAATTTAATATAAACCTGATTTGGAACGAATATTAAAAAAAGATTAATTCAAAGAGAAGTTAAATATAAGAAGGTTTTTGCCAAGAAATAAATCAAAATTTAATTCTTTACTTTAAAATTAAATGGTAGAAGAATAATTAAAACTTTATTAAGAAGAAAATTTACTATATGACGATTTAATATCTCATAATGAAATATAAAATGATAAATCTGTATTTTCAGATCAATAAATTACATCTTAATAGATAATAACAAGTGAAAAAGATATATGTGCAGATTAGTAAGCTTAAAGATAAAATTCTAGAAGAACAACTTAGAATATTTAAGGAAAATCATGCAAAAGTATCATATGTTTATATTAGGATTATCTTATTTGAAATTAAAACCATGTTTTTAGGAACCAAAATCATCATAAAGAAGAATAGGATCTTCAAATGATGAAATTTTAGTACCTAAAGAATAGAATATGATTGAAGAGATGGAGAAAATATTTAAAAAAAATTTAAAATCATCTCTAAATATAGATTCAATATCAGTAAAGTCATAGTATTATATGCCTTAATATTAAATTGAAGTTCAAATAAAATTATGGATTAAAAGTTAAAAAAAAAGAAATCATAAATTTTGGAATATATATAAATATTTAAAAAAATATACTTTTTCAAGTTTTGTAAAGGAGGCAGCAATAAAGATGATGAGTTAGGGTAAAAAAATGTACAATACTCTTTAGGTTTGATTAATTTGAAATAATATTGTAATAAAATATTAATTAATAAATTTTTGTTAAATAAATGGATAATAGAGCAGCTCAATAGAGAATAGGTTAAATAAGACAATAGTTAGTTTAAGAAATAGATGATAAGGATTAAAAATAAGAGTATGCTCAATTATGGGCAGGATTTTATAAAAAGACATTATAGTAAAGATTAGATTAATTGAATAAAATATAAAATGTAAATGTTGAGTATTTCAAAGATGGAGGATTATCATTATAAAACGCAAATTTAATGGTTGAAAATTGTATAGGAAAAATAGGAATGCCTTTAGGATTGGGATTAAATTTTTTAATAAATGGTTAGTATTATATAATTCCAATGGCAATTGAAGAGCCTTCTGTAATAGCAGCAGCTAGTGCAGCAGCAAAGACTATAGCAGAATGTGGAAACGGATTCGAAACATATTCAACTAGGCCAGTAATGATGGGTTAATTATAATTATTGAATGTTGATAATTAATCAAAAGCAGAATGTTTAATAGATTCAAATAAAATATCAATAATAAATAGAGGAAATTAAGCATGTTAAAATATGGTAAAAAGAGGAGGCGGAATTGAAGATGTAAAATTAAGATAATTAGGAGATGGTTAAGCTTCTGTTGATATATTTATAAATGTTTGTGATAGTATGGGGGCTAATATAGTGAATACAGTGCTAGAACATTTAGCACCTTTGATAGAAGAAATAACTGGTTATTAAGTTGGGATTAAGATTTTAACAAATTTATGTTTGAATAGAAAAGTGACATCACTTTTTAAATTGAATATTGAGAAGATGAATTATAAAAATTATACAGGATAATAAGTAGCATAGATGATTCTAAATGCATATAAGTTTGCTTAATTAGATTATTTTAGAGCAGTTACTCATAATAAAGGTATATTAAATGGAATTGAAGCAGTTTGTAATGCAACAGGTTAAGATGGTAGAGCAGTAAATGCTTCATTACATGGATATGCTAGTATAGATGGTAAATATAAACCATTATCAAAATATTATATTGAAGGAGATTAATTTATCGGAGAATTATCAATACCTATATCTGTTGGTACTTAAGGAGGAGTAATTTCATAAAATCCATTATATTAAGCAGTCTTTTAAATTTTAGAATATCCTGATTCATAAAAATTAGCTGAAATTATGGCTTGCGTTGGATTAGCTTAAAATTTTGCAGCTTTAAGAGCTCTAACAGTTGAAGGTATTTAAAAAGGACATATGTCTTTACATGCTAAAAATATTGCTATTTCTGTTGGAGTTCCAGATCATCAAGTTGAAGATGCTGTTTTATTTATGAAAAATAGAGGAAGTTTTAGAAAAGAAACAGCATAAGAATTTTTGAAAGCTTATCATTTATTTTAAGAAATTGCAAAAGTTAAAGGTAAAAAAAATTAATCTTTATGTACTTTTTCTGCTTAATTTTAATTAGAAGGATCTTAAGAAAAAGTAGAATTACATGTTGTTTTTGATTGTCATTCTAATAAAAGAATTGATGTTGATTTTTTAAGTTAATCTGAAATATCAATTAAATTATTTGGAACTAAAGGTCATACATGGTTTTAAAATCTATTTAAAATTATTAATATTGTTAAAATTGAAGAATAATCAGAAAATATACCTAAAAAAGGATTAACTGTAAAATTAAAAGTGATTTCTATTTTAATCAATTTATTAAGTTATAATTTATTAATAATTGATTATGATAAAACAAGAAATTATCTAAATTATGTGTTGAATTAATAACATATTGATTTTCCAGATGGAGAAATTGAATTTAAATATGGAATTGCTCTTTTAACAGAATTACTACATATTTTTGAATATAATATTTAATAATTTATAGGAGAATAGGTATTAAAGAATGCACTTTTGAATGAATAGAATTTGATTATAAAGAGTCATATAAATAGTTTTGAATTTTGGCAGAAAGCAAAATTAGACAAAGAATTTCAAATAGGAAACTTTTGGCTTTATAGAAAGAAACGATTATCTTGTACAATGATGTTATTATGTGATTGCATTAATTTCAAATCAATTGATGAAAAATTAGTAGAATTAATGAAACAATTAGGAGATGTCTATGAAATTGAAATAACATTAACTAGAGACACTGAAAAATGGAAAGAGTAAGCATATTCATTCTAACAGTTTTAGTGCAACTCTTAAAGATCCTAACATTTATACATATTGGCTAATGTAACATGATTAGTTACTTTAAGGGGATAGAAATTGTGTTTTAGATTAATTTAAGAATGAATCTTCAGCTATGTTAGAAATGAAGAGACAAAGAATCCAACCGCTCCTTCCCACATCTATGGCTCATTTATCAAAATAAGCTACCACAGCTGTTAGTTTATTATATCAATCGAGATTTTGATTATAATTATATAATTTAAATAAATAATCTTTTGTTCATATTAATCATTTTACTTTCTATTCACAAATTCATTAAAAAATTATATACAAAAATGTTCTCGAAAGAAGATTTTAATTTTCAATTAATTTCTTTCCCTTCATATATTTTTCACTTTGTATCAATTATTTGAACAACTTATTAGACCATCTTGGAATAGAATTATTAAATTGATGTATATATCTTTTAATCAAATACAATTCATCAATTATTAAATGCCCTAAAATTACTTATTAGCTTAGCAAATTAAAATTCTTATGAAAAAATGATTAAAATATCAGTCATTTTTGCCAAGAATTAAATATAAAATAGAATGCGATATAATTTAATTTATTATTAATAAAAAATAAAGTTTTGAATCGGTAATTAAGAATTTATTAAGACAAGTTCTATGAAATAATTTGATAAGATTTAAAATGTGCCTAAGAATTAAAAATAAACAAAATTTTCAACAAAAACAATCTAGACATAGCTAATTAATTTTTAATATCAAATTATCGCTTAGAGATGGATTTAATTTTCAAAAATAAGTTTTTCAATTAATAGATGACAATAACAAAAAGACTTTAAATTATTCTTAAAGAGTACTTAAAATTTACTCAAGAAGGTGACATCATAAAATTAATGAATATCTCTTTTAAGTAATAATTTTTAAGTTTTAAGTTCATTTTAAATATTTTCCATAAAAAAAAATTTTAACTACTGATGTTGGTTATCCAAACTTTTGACTTTAGATGTATTAGAATTATGCAAAAAAGTTAATTCGCAAAAAGGTCAGTATCAAAAAAATTTTAGATAATCAAATCATCTTTATAATCCACAAAAAAATAAATTATATATTGATTAACATTACAATTATCAATATATGTGTATTATAATATATTTTTTGTAATAAAAAAAAGTTAGATAGAAGTAATTAATAAAAAATGGAAATTAATATTTAGATAGAATGCATTTTTGTATCAACAGAGTACATTATAATCATGGGATATGAATTATAACATAACATCTTAATATAAATTAAGTTGTAAGTTTGAGATAAAAAATATGAATAGGTTATTTAAAGTAGAATATGAATAATTATTTATGAGTAAATTTTTAAGAATAGATACAAATAGGGTACTTTTAGAAAATTAAATAAGTGATTCTTTAAAAAATAACGATATAAATACGTACTTAAAATTTAAAATAATCAAAGGGATTGACAAATAGTACTTAATTCTTATAATGATAAATTAATGTATTATTTTAAAGGCAAGACTCGTTCTCCTCTTCCAAAGTTGGCTGATCGCTCATAGTCAAGACTTGATAAATTGAAGACATTTTTCTTACCTGAGAGAAGTGTGTCAACTAGAACATATTCAAGAAAGACCGAGAACCGCACAGAACAAAATTAGATGCTTACTGAGTATTAAGGAGATTTAGTTGAAATGATTATTCCAAAAAAAGCAACTAAGCGTATGTGTAATCTAAAGAAGGTGATGCCATAGATTTTTTAAAAACCGAAAATAGTTATTAGAGAAGAAGAATCTATGAATATAGAAAGTGATTCAGCACCTAAATCTCCTGATTCATAAGAGGAAGTTCATCTTGATATGTCTGCTATAAAATAAGCAATGTTATCAATTAATAATAAGTTGAACGCAGATGAATCATTCTTTGGTTTTATTAAAAAGAAAGATAAATTAAGAGACATTGCAGAGAATTTTGGAGAATTAGAACAGAATATTTCAAATCCAGGTCATTTTTATTGTAAGAATGATAGTTTATTTCCAAAAAGAATAGATGATGCAAGTCATTTGAAAGAGGATAAATTGATAAATTTGTCAAATTTAGGAGTAGGAGAGAAATATTACCCTCTTATTAAAATACTACTGTAAAAACAATAGAATATAAAATAACTTACATTTTAGGGAAATAGGATAAATGATAAATTATTTTTGAGTCTAGTTTAACATTTTCCACCAATCATGAAGGACTTGAATTTAAAAGACAATTCACTTGGAATTAAAGGAGCTCATATATTAGCTGAACACCTAACTCGATTTCAAAAGTAATGGAATTTGTTATAAAAAGTCTTAAAATTCTTAATATTGCCAACAATTTGATAGGTGATCATGGGGCTAATTTCTTTCTTAAAAATCTACATAAGAATGTCCTTCTTAGTAAATTAATTATTTCAGAAAATAATTTATCTGATGGTATTGGATAAAGTTTATATGACTTATTAATAAAGTCATCAGGCTTAGAAGTCTTAGTAATAAATTGGAATTAACTGGGTTCATCTTCTGGAATATTTATAGCCAAAGCTTTGTTAATTAATAGAGTATTGAAAGTATTAGATTTAAGTTACAATCGAATAGGATCAAATGAAAAATCAAATTGTATTTAATCTTGGTGTTAAGCAATATTAAATCCATAATTCAGTTTAGTACATTTAGATTTATCCTATAATTAAATTTCAGAAAAATAAATACGTTAACTTAACGAAGCTTTATTAAAAAATAATACTATATATGGAATTCATTTAGAAGGCAATAAATTTGAAGGTTTTATAGATCCTTATGGATTTATTTAATTTTAACAAATAAATGAAGAATTCAGTTAAATCAAATATCAAATAGATGGAGTTAATTATATTCCTGAATTAACTAGAATAACTACTTAAAATGCTTGTTGGATATGTTAAGGATGGGTTGAACATCATTTTTAATACATTCCAGATTTTGAATAATAAGACACTCCAATATTCCTTCATTTAGATTTCTTAAAGTAAATTTAATTTCTCATTTTAGTTATAAACCAATTCCTATGACTTCAAGTCTTGAACTTAAAGCATAATTAATAGAGTAATAGAAAGATTTGCTATCAAAAAAGGATATTTAATAATAAAAATCAAATTAGAATGGTGAATTAAATGTTCCTAAAGTGAATGCCAGAAAAAGCAGCGTTTTAACTAAAGAAGTACTTGATGAATTGGAAAAATTTTGTTATTCAACATATTAAATGTGTCCACCTAAATAAAAAATTCTATATTTTTTTTCTAATCCTTTGAGTGAGAAATATTTTATTGAACCTACTTAAGACAATATGCCAACACCTTAAGATAATATGATTTTATAAGGTAAAGATCCTAAACATTAATATCATTATTTTTCTGATGGAACTGTTTTAAAATTCAAGAAAATTCTTTTTGTTAATTATTTGTATACAAAATAAGAATTTATTATTGATGATAAAAATAATTATAAACCGCTTATAAGATTGTTTCCACGATCTTCAGAAAAGAAATATGTCTTAAAACGAGTAGGCAATAATTTATAGAGAAATTAAATAAATTTTCACTAATGGAATATCGAAGAATCTTTGTTTCGTTAACAATTTTAATAAGATAGTGAAGAAATTTTAACTGAATGTTTTTAATTTGATTGGAGTTGTAGTAAGATTAATAGATTTGTTAAAAATGATTATGAATAAATGAAGTTAAAAGAATATTTAAGGGAAAATTATCAATTAATTAAAGATATATATAAATTTTATTCTAGTTCTGGATATTTTACTTCAGAATGCTTTTCAATTTCATTTTCATCTTATATAAAAATGCTATAATAAATTGGAATAATTGATAATGAGACTGTAAAAGTATAAGATGTAGAAATTGATTTAGTTTCTATTAAGAATAATATTGATCCAAAATTTATATATAATCCTGATAAAGCTCTTGTTAGATTTCAATTTTTAGAAATGTTTTTTCGATTAGCAAATGATAAATATGTTAGAACTAATATTGTAAAAAATCATGCTGATGCTGTTTATCGATTGATTAAAGAGTTCAAAGAATATTTCAAAAACTTTGATACTTGTTAAAAATGGAGAAATGATAGATACTGGAATAAAGAATGTGAATATTTAATAAAATTCAAATCTCCCTTTTTAAAAAAGCTTTATGATTATGTTACTGACTTAAACAATAGAAAATGGTATTTTAAAATGAAATGGGTGGCAATTAAAGAATTCAAAGACTTTTGTAAATAAATGGGATTAATGGATTATGTTAGTGAAAAAATAATTTTAATTATTTTCAATTTTTCAATGATGTCTTAAGCAGATGAATTAACATAAGATCGTCATATTAGAATGACTTAAATAGAGTTTTATGAAGCATTAGCTAGATTAGCAGAGTATATAAGTCCAGGGGCTATTGGTGAGACAACAGAAGCTTCTGTATCTTTTAGATATAGTTTACCTTTACATGTTAAATTAGAGACACTTTTAACACACATTTATTTTAATGTAGTCAAAAGGTAAATTAAGACGTATTTTTTAGATCTCCTTAATTTACAGTGTTTTATGATCTTTTTACAAATATTTAAAAATAGGATTGGTTACCAAAATAAAAAGTAAGTAAAAAAAATGATTAAGATGAAGATCCATAGTATGTGAATTATTAAGACACTTTAACAGTTTATAATGCAGCATTATATTGTGGTATGAATAATAATTGATAATTAATAGCTATGCATAAATAACCTTATTTGAATCCTAATTATTAAAGCTTTTTGAGAAAGGGTTTTTTAATTATTGATTAATCCCCAAGAAGAAGTACACTTTTAAGTCCAAGGAATATTCTTCAAAATTAAAAATAGATAAAGAAATCAGGGTTTGCTATGGATGAACTCAAGATCTCACCTCCTCTTTCTCCAAGAGCTCGTTCACCTAGTTTACGTAAGCAGGGCAAATGAGACATTTTAAAAATTTATTTTTTTTTTCTTTAATTAATTATGAGATGGATAAATTCATTGATAATGTACCTTTACATGAAATAGTCATCAAAAGTCTAGAAACTTATTCTACAAAAAACTGAAAGTAATATGAAGAAAGTATTATTTCTTATTTACTAACAAGATTGAACTTGTGAATGGAGAAGTAAAGGCACTTACTGGTTATGGAAAATCTTACATAGGCAATAAAGTCTAATCATTTACTTTTAAATAACATATTATAGAAGTCTTATCCTTTCTATGGAGATTTGAAATACTAATGATAATTGTCTATATCATTATTAGTTGGGCTCTTTAAGATGACGAAGCTAGGTATTTAGAAATTGAATATTCAAAAGCAATTTAGTTATTTTGTTTCAAAGTATAGTATTACTTTTAGATTATTGTCTCTATGTAATAAAGTGCATTCTTAAATTTCGTAATTTTAGAATTGTCGAATCACAATTGAATGAATAAAAGTATATTATTTTGGAGAACTTTATTCACTCTAAAGAACCTGTGGCATCAGACTCATCTGAAGATATAAATACCTATTTCCATCCATAAAAACAAGTATTAAGAGAATAGATTAAAGTTGGAGATATTGTTATTTTATAAAAAACATATGAATGCCCTGCAGATGTATTGCTATTAGAATCAAGTCATCAGGTTGTATAAATTGATTAAAATGAATTTGGTATTTAAACACCTAAAATTACAATTCCTTGCTAATCTACATTTAGTATTTGATAATTTAAATCTTTATTATAGTATAACCAAAATCAGATACTAAAGGATTGTTGATTGAATTTAAGTTAACATTAAATGGACAGATTTAGTATTCCTATCAATTAGGTAAAAAATCAAGTTTAATGGGTATGATCAAATTAAAGAATGATCCAAAAGTTTTTAAATTCAATTAAGACAATGTTATTTTCAGTGGTGAAAAGCTTTTGAATACAGATTGGGCATTAGGAATAGTTTTAGTAGCTGGAAATAACTGTTTACGTATTTACAAGCCTAGAAAACATAAACGTTAAAAGTCATTGTTTTTTATTGGTTTAATTATTCTTGGATATTTTATAAGTTTAGTAAGTGATTTAATTTAATTTTAAATAGCTTGCCAATCTGATATATAAATCAAATTATGGAATTCATTTATGTTTTAATTCTATGTTAATTCCATTATATGCTATATTTTATAAAGAATTTGTTTAGATTTTTCATTACATTAAATAACCAAGTATTTAAAAGAAAGTTAAACCTATGAATGCAATCGAATAAGGAAATAATTAAGGAAAAGATAGTAAATATTAGTTTTAAATTTTAAGATGATAAACATATATGGATTGAATTCAACAAAGTAAAGAATATGACTGAAATATATTCTTAAAATAAATTATTAAAATATGATGAGATTTAAGATTTTTCAATTATGATGTAATAAACAAATGTATAATAATTTATTTAATATTTTAAAGTATTGGAAATGTTCAAAAGTGAATTTAGTATGTTTAGAATTGAATTAATAATATTTTTTAAAAAAAAGAAAGATTAAATCAATTTATATTGATGATAAACAATACACATTTAAATATAAATAATTAGTAACAATAATGAATAGCAATTAAGTATAATTGGGGGATAATTATTATAAAACATTATTAGATACTGGCAGAGAAAATGATATATTTGATGAGGATAAAAAAGATTACAGTGAATTAATAAATTCCAATCCTTATTCTCCTCATAATTAAGAAGAACGTTAAAATTATGGGATTAGTACAAATTTATAGTTTTCACTTTCTAAGAAAACGATAGAGGCTTCTTAATAGAGAAAACTTAAGAATTCTTTAGGGAAAACTATATCATTTAGAACAAGAATCGTAAAGAGTGGAAGTGATTAAAGTTCTTCAATCAATTAATTGTAAAAGCAATAATTGAATGAATAATAGTTTATTACATAATTGTTTGATGATTTTGATAATTAATATCATGAGAGAATTGTTGCATTATTGCTTTTATGTGAGATAGAAAATAAATATAATGAATAAAAAAAAACAATTGAAACTTATTGTAAAAATCCATAAGATTATATATTGATTGAGTTCTGTAATCTTTTAGAATATAAACTTAAATGTAATATTGAAACTGAACGTTAGATTTACGATTTATTCTTAAAAAGTTAATTAAAAATAATAGAAATCTAAGGAAAATTGAAATAATATAAAATTTTGAGTGAAAACAAAGAAACAAAAAATAGATTAGGTGTTTATTCGGTTCTTTTAAAAGATCCTGAGGAATTCAATGAAGATGAAGGAGCACTCCTTTATATAAAAATTGAAACATCTTAAATGTATGAAAATACAAATATGAATATAAATGTTTTAGAAACTAATTCAACATTATATTATATGTTAAAACATGGAGAATAACCTACTCTTTATTTTAAAAAGCAATTAAAAAAGAGTGAGGCTAAATAATTCTTATAAAACAAAATGAATATTATGAATTCCTATACAACAGATGAAGATTAATTAGAACTATTATATTTAAAATTGGAATCTTAGGCTGAATTGTTAATGATCATAGGATCTCATGCAAAAATAGATTAGAGTGCTCTTTTAACAATAGATGCATTTTCTTAAGCAAATGTATTAATATAATTATGATTGTAGTTAAATACATGGTTAGTTTCTGCTGAGAGTCAATTTGTAGTTTTAAGGTTTTTGTTTGATGCTAAATTTATTGAAAATGAAAATGATTTAAATTAATTTAATTCAGGAGATGAGAGGACATTGAAGTTTGCAATATAAAGTGCATGCTCAAATCTAATAAAATAATAGAGGTAAAATTAAAATTAAGTTTAAGAATATTTGAAGCTTAAGACATAGAAAAGAAATATATTTTACTTAGTTGTGAGGCTTTATTAACAATAATAAAAGATGAGTATCTTTTAAATCATTTTGCAATTATTGTTTGGTTTAGTAGAGGATTAGCATTATATGATAGTTAGGAGATATCTAAGGTAAAATTATTTAAAATTGCTAAAAAACTAAATATGCAAATAGGGTACATAGGAAGCTGTGTAAATAATCAAAGAGTTTATAGTATGAGTTAAATATCTATTGATATTAATCCAAAATGTTATAGTTAATCTAAACCTTGCTATTTAGTAAATTCATTAAGATGTGCAGAGTCTATTTTAATCACTCATTGCATAAGTTCCTCTTTGCTAGCTTAACAAGTTCTATACTTTTGGCTTTATGAAATGATTCTATTTGTCTTAATAAACCTAATAAATTAAGGGAAATTCTTAACTTAGAGTTGCAACATTCTCCTTTTGTTAAGTCAGACTTTCACAGTAATTATTTAATTGATATCTCATAATAACAGATTCAAACCCACAGAAGTCTATTATAAAGGATTAATACCTTAAAGATGTCTAGTTAAATCTCTGTTTAATAAAGAATCATTAATTAAAATATTTCTGGTTGGAGTTATTGATGCAGCTATTGTGAGTATTCCACTTTATGCTACTAAATATTTATATGGAGATTCCAATTATTTACCAATAACACAATTTGCATTTGTTATTACTTTAGAATTAATAGTTAAAATATAGTTATATTTCTAAATATTTGAAAATTAATATAAACAGCTTTTAGGGTTATTATTGTTAAGCATATTCATAACTGGATTAGTAACTTTTCTTACTATTCCAGATTATAATGATTTTAAAGTATCATACTCCGATTTGTTTTATAGTCCTGGATTTATAATAAGAAGTTTAATATTTGTCTACATATTTGCAATTGTATTTAAATTTGCTTCCACATCTATATTATAATTGTACAATTTGGAGATGTTCCAAGATACTGTGATTACAGATGAATTAAATTTCAAATGCATTGAATAGTCAAAGAAATAAAGATCTACCAAACAAAGTTTACAGTTATCTATCCAATAAAGAAAAAAATTTATCAAATCTATTTTAGAGGATAATAATTAAATGGATGACTCAATTTATAAGGCATTAAACAATAATATTAATAATGATGAATAAATTGAATTAAAGAAAAATCTAACTTTCAATCAAAAAGAATTTGAGATCAGATATTAGGAATCCATGAATTAAAGTTCAATTTTATATTTAATCTTTGAAGCCACAATCTTCGTAAATCTATTAATTTAAGTAAATTAAATAGAGAACAATATAGCAATATACATTATTTGGGGAGTCTAATTATTTTATAGCATAACAATATATATACTTTAATATTTGGAAATTATACAACGTAAAATCTAATAGAATTTACAATTAATAAGTATTTTAAGCAGATTTTTATTCTAATTTATAACAATATTCTTATTAGATTAGGATTACATTTTGAATTAAATAATATTTACATCAATATTCTTGATTATACTATTAAATTATTCAATACAACAAAGTCTAAAATTTAAAGGTACAATAATCTTGATGAGTTTAATAAGTTTAGGAGTAATATTGAAATTTATAACACCTGAATATTAATATTTTCCATAGAAGTAAATAATGTTTATATTGGCTTTGATAATAATATGTAGTTTATCGACGGTAAGTGGATATTATTTGTGTTATGTAAATGAGTATTTAAGAAGACAAAACTTTCTATTGTAGGAATAATTGGAGAAGGAATAGAAGAAGTTGAATGATGCCTTAGGTATATTGATGCCAAGATTTATAAAAGAGAGAATGGCTCGAGGATATATATAAATATAGGAAGACTAAGGACCAGTTACAATTTTATTTTGTGAGATTTGTGATTTTGATGATATTATAGAATCTGAGAAGGTGTCTATTATAAGTTTTCTAGATTCTATTTATAGAACATTTGATACAATATGCAACTAGTATAATATATAAAAGATTGAGACGGTTGGTTAGATATATGTTTGTGCATCTGGATTAAAAGATTATGATATAATAGATAAATAATAAAAGAATTCAACTTAGAAAATGATTGAATGTGCTATAGCGATGATGGAATCAACAAATAATTTGAAATATTAAGATAAATAGATAATAATAAAGATTGGAATTAATTATGGTAATGTTATGGCAGGTGTGATTGGTTAACATAAACCATAATTTTCATTGATTGGAGATACAGTTAATACAACTAGTAGAGCATGTACAGTTTGTGAACCAGGAAGAATATCATTGACTGAAAGTGCTTTTATAAGAGAAAGATAAATGAAGTATTAATTTTAAGTTAAAGAAATTAATATAAAGAATATTAATGTTCTTTATTAATTAGTTATTCATAAGAAAAACACATTTGCAGCTAAAGTTGATAAATCTCCTATTATTAAATTAGTTAGTTCAATTTAATTTAAAAAATTAGATTCTTTTGATAAACCTATAATTAATGATCTTATGACTAATGCAGTTAATCCTGCAGGTTTTTAATTTGATATGGCAAGGAAATCATCGATGTCGAGAAATAAATCTGTTTATTAGTTACCTGTTGAATAATTTGGAAAGGTTATATAAGATGTAATAACTGCCAATAAATTACTATGTAATTATTTCATACCATAATAGAGGATATATCAAATAGACGTATTACTATGCATAGAAAAAGTAGAGTTACAAGATTCAAAGAAGTTAATCCATAGATGATGTCATCTCATGATTAAGTCTAATAATAATAATAATAATAATAATAACAGTAATAATAATAATAACAGTAATAAAAAAAAGATGATCCCTTAGGAGATTAATTTGGAGATCTCTTTGATAATTTAAAAGTTGCAGATTCTTAAAAAAATATTGATGATGTAATGCCAAAGAGTCCATTGATTAATCTTAAAAGCTAGAAATCTTTATAAAATAATAACAATAATCATCTATTTGATTCAACTCTTTAATAGGAAGAAAAGATAGAAATTCCTAAATTATAATAATTGATTGGTAATCAAGAGAAGATCGAGACTGATATTATGTAAGAACTTATTAGAGTTAAATGTGATTTTGGTACAAGCTAAGCTAGAAGGGGTATGTATTTATGAATTAAGATTAGTTTATTTCCGATAATTTAAATATAAAGAGATGATAAGAATTTACAATCATAAACTTTTTAAAGATATGGTTTAATATTGTTTAATTCTATTTATTTATTTGATGATATTTTAATTACCTATATTATTTGCATTAATGGAATATAGAGAGTTTTTAGGAGTGAATCTCACAATAGAAGGATTAAAAATTGCATTTTATTTAATGAGTTGTATAGTAGTTCCTTTTTGTTTAAGAGATGCTTATAAATATATATTTCAAATAGGGATGATTATAGGATATTTTATTAGTATTCTATTCAGCATAATAACCATCATAATTAATGATCCAATTGAAAGAACTTATATTACTCTTATTCTAGCTTATACTTTATGTTTAGGATATTTCTTAAGAGCTCTTCCATATTTTACATCTCGTCATAGAAAATTATTATTCATTTTGAAATATATCAATATCATATTTATCTTATCGTTCTCTAATGAATGGAATGAAACTATTATATTTATTATCACCATAGAAATCTTTATTCTAGTTTAAAGAAATCAAAATGAAGATTTACTTTATTAGAATTATAACATTCATGATTAATTATTGTAACAATAATAAGAATAAAATAAGATTATTAGTCATCTATTACCTTCTCATATTTTATAATAATATTTTAAAGAATAAGATACTATCCCTGATGTTTTTGAAAATGCAACAATCTTATATGCAGATATAGCTGGTTTTACAAAATATTCAACTAGTGTTGATGCTTAATAAGTTTTATAAATGTTGAGTTCTCTTTTTAATAAATTTGATGTAGCTTGCACAGAAAACAACGTTTATAAATTATACTCAATAGGTGATAGTTATGTAGTTATGGGAGTGTTAGATGCTAACAATGGAATAAGAGAAGAAGAAGCCTATAATGTAGTGAATCTTGGTTTTTAATTATTAGATATAGTAAATCTTCTTAAAAAAAATATTTAATATCCTGACATTAATTTGAGAATTGCAATTCATACTGGAAATATTATAGGAGGAATAGTAGGAACAGATATAGTCAGATATGATATTTATGGATCAGATGTTGCAATAGCAAAAAAATTAGAATAGAATTCTTAAATTGATAGAATCATGGTTTCAGAAGATACTATGAAATTTCTTGATGCTACTTACACTGGTGAATTTAGTTATGTTTTTGCTAATTAGATTGAACATCGAAATAGAATCATTTAAGGTTATTATATAGACAGAGTGTAATCTGAAGAATGAAAACTTATTTTAATAAAAATCATTATTGATCTAATACAACCTTAATTCTTAAAATTGATTTGTTTTCTTCTTTTCTTATTTAAATCTCACTTGTATGTTAGATACCTTTTCGCTTATATACTTCATATGATGAAATCAATCTTGATATTTGACCATCTTCAGCTTCCAATTCTAATATCCCTTTATTCATTTCAAACATTTATATTATCTTTTTCATCATTGTAGATTTTTTTATTCTAATTGCTTTACTCATTTCTATATCCTTCTATGGTTACTCCAAAAAGTTTTTTAACTCTTCTTTGGCTTTGTAATTGTAAAACTTATTATCTAAAACTAATCTCTAATTTCTTGCTCCATTCATTATTATAATAAATAATATTATTTCAATGTATAATATAAGTATATTAATTATTTAACACATATAAAGCTGATTTTGTATTCTTTATTCTTATTTTATCTAATGAACATTAAAATAATGGTAATTTTATTGTTAAATCCTTTTCTATAACTCCTTTTCTTAAAAATTCTTTCAAAGCACCTTTAGTTCTAACATGTACAGGAATCTTTTCATTATCTTTTTAAATATACTCAAAATTCACATCCATTAACTTCTTTAAACTAAATAAAATAAATCCCTTGCATTCATTAAATGAATGTAATTATCTATTATTTGACATTTTTAATGTTTTCTAATTCATACTCAAAACTTCTTTAAAAAAATTTAAATCATTTATCTTAATATGAACTGCATAACACAAGTATTCAAAATTTACAATAACTTTATGATCTTCATCTAAATCAGATTTCGATAATCCTGCAAATGTTTCCTCATATAATTCTTTTAATGCATTACTCATTGATGAAAGACCAACTTCTTAAATCCCTCCAGGTTCCATCATAACCATCTATTTCTTTCGAATGTTTTAAAGTAATAAAACTAATGTTTCATCTTTATCCTTTATAAAAATCATCACTCCTGATCCTGTTATTTTTTGCATTTATATATTTAATTTCATACGTACAAATAATTTTCTTAAAAGAAAAATAATTACATATATTTATTATTTAAATATAATATAATAATTAGTAACATATAAATAATATCATGCTTTACGAACATTTGTTGATTTTACTCTCTTTCTATTTTTAAAAAAATCTTATAATTATAATACACCATCTTCAGTTGTTATCATAATCTTGTTCTCTTACAAAAATAGTTAATATTATTCCTCACCTATTAAATATAATCCTTATTTTAATCTAATAAATTAATATTATTATGTGTAATCTTTAGCTATCACTTATGCTAATTTAGAATCCAATTTATCTTCTTTTATTGGAATGTATTGAGATCCAGTAGCTCTCATTTTTAATATTTATTTAATCAAATTATCAACTATTTCATCATTTTCTATTGGTTAAGTAATTTATAAATTTAATTTTATGTTTTAACTTAATCCATCTATTTCAAATTATGTTAATCTGCTCTTTAATTATGTTATTTGACAATCAAATTAACTAATGGTTTATTTTAATTTAATAACTTCTTAATCAACCTAAGATTTCTTATCCATTACTTCTTAATAATTAGCATCTAAATCCATTAACTATTTTAGTAATTGTTTATTCTCTTATGCTTACTTGTTTTGCAGTCTCAATAAATTTTAAAAATCATTTCTAATATCACTTGTTGTAATTTCTTATTTAGTTTAAACTACTTTCTCTATTTTCTATTCATTTTATTCTTACAACTTAATTACTAAATTTTCAAGTTCTATTATTTTTTATTTAAGTTAATTGTTTTCTTGTTTTAATTATTCCATTAAATTATCTCCTAAAAAAAATGATTATGTTAATTTTTAATTTGATTCAGATTTCTATCTATTTTTAGGAGTCTTAAAACTAAATTTTTTAGTACTAGCTGTTAAACTTCTATCTGTATCATTTTTTCTATGTGGTGATTCTGAAGTTTAAACATTTTATTTTATGTTTAATTTAGATGGTTTTTCAACATCTTATATCAATACAATGTAATATTATCCACTTACATTAGTAAATTTATATTCACCAGTTGTTTCTGTTATATCTTCATTAATTTAAATTCTAAAGATTTCGTCATTGTATTTTAATTAGATTGAACTTAATTAGCTTATTATATATTAATTTACATTACTCAACATTAAATGTTAATCCTTCAGTTTAAGGTAGTGTTACTACTTTAGACTTTCCTCCCATAGTCACAGAACATTTGAATTATTATTATGATTTAAGAGCAATAAGAACTTTAAACATGTTTGTCTGTTATAATAAAAATTATAAATATAATCAGCACAATATATTTATTTAATAAGAAGATAATAAGCATTTATAATTGTTAATTCTAATCATTCATTTTAAAAAGCTTTCAAATAATTAAATCTCAATTATTTGACTAAATTAACTTGTGATAATTTTTCAATAATTTAAATAAAAATAAACAAAAAGATTTTGCAAATTGCTTAGTCATCGGGGCACATATACACGAATGTAAGAAATTACATAAAATAACCCTGGGGTTAAAGTCCTCCTTTCATTTGGGACAGAAAGTGTCGGCATAATATGCTGGTCTGAGAATTGTCTGTTGCCCTAAGAAGAGAATCATTAATTCAACTAAATTTCGTAATTTAACAGACTACACTAAGAGAGTGTAGTTGATGTTTAATGAAATGTTCACTCCTAAGATTAAGACTGTTGTGGAGACAAGAATGTCTAGGAGTGGAGTTAAATTTCTTAAATTTGAGTTAAATTACTAATATTTAAATTGATTTTTTGATTTGATTAGAATGGCCTGACTTTCTTAAGACATCCAATAAATATAAGCTAGTTATACTAACCTATAAACACAAGGGGGCTTATGATTTGCAAATCACTTGGTTTATTTTTGTTTAAATTCTATATTCCTATTATGTAGATTGTTAAGCCAATAAAAAAGCAATGCAAATATTTTTATATATCTGTGTTGAAGATATTTGGCTAAATAGAATCTAAATTGGGCATAAATTTCCTATTGATTAGGACTTATATTAAATCAGTTTAGAAACATACTAAATATAACCATTTATTATAATTTTATTTAATTTAATTTTTAAAAACCTAATATAGAAACAAGTATGTAAGATTTTGTTATTTTTAATTAATATTATACTTTATTTTTATCATTCTATTTTTATCTTAATGATTTAATTAAATTAATATTGTTGTTGTTTATTTATATAAATAGAGGAGGACAACTTATAATATTTTGTTATTATAAAATTTTATAAATCAAATCTTTTTTGGTTTCTTTGTTAAATGTGAACACATGTATTCTAAGATCTCTGCTTAAGTTTTTTTTAATTCTTCAATTTATTTTTCTTAATTTCTTAATAAAGATACTAAATGATGTATTTCATCATCTTAATCTAATAATAGTAAAAGGGCATCAAAATTTTAGAGTGAAAATTTTTACGATTATTATTATTATTTATCAATTTTCATAGTAAAAAAATCATCACTGGTTATTGGTTTATTAGATTATTATGGTGTTGGAATGGGTTTTTATTATGGTATAACTTAAGGTTTTATAGGTTCTTATTAATTTAATATTTTGCCATTCTTTAAGAGATCCATACTTGTAATTTCATAATGATAAGCATCAGAGTTTTAATTAAAATTTCTTTCAAAATCTAGAAGATCTTTATCAGCTTTAGTTTTTTTTCTATTGCCTTAGTAATCTTCATCAGATTCAGATGCTTTATTTTAATTCTAAAATTATTATTTTAACCAAGCCTTGATTGTACGAGACTTTAGATCATATTCTTATGCCATATATTCAATTTCTTTATCAGATGGATTACTTCCTAAAGCTTTAAGTATTTATTATCTATCCATATTAGAAACAGATCTCTTAGGATAATTATATCGAGGGTTCATTGTTGTTAATAAAAAAAATTCAAGAATCCTAAATACATATTTAAATCATTTATCATATTTTAGAAATGAGGATAAAATTAATATTAATTAATAATGCTATTCAAAGTATAATCAAAATATAACTTTATTTAATAACAAGTAAATATATTTTCAAAGTACTCTTGCTTTTCTTTTTAACCTGTTATTTTTATGATTTTCAAAATCTTTTTAATTTAAATCCTTAAATTTGTCAGCTTATTCTTCTTTAGAAAACATTTGATTATAAATTTTGATAAATTATTCTTGTTATTTTTCAAATTCTTCTTTTTCCTTTTATCTTTATAATTCTTTTTCAAAATCATCATTTTCAATTTCTTCAGAATCAACATCATGATCAAAATATATTGTAGTTTAACCAGTTGTTTTAATTTAACCCTTTTTAACATAATGACCCCTAAAGTATCTAAGTTATTTTTACTTACCAATACATTCAATTTGTGCATTAGCTACTCTACTTGATATCTATTTTTAGTTTTTAGGTATTAAATCATATTAATCTATTTAATCATTTTTAGCTTATTTAATTAACATTGAAAATTAATCATTTGTTTAAATTTGATTAGTACAATTAAAAAAGAGATCATACTTTTATTTCCAATCATTCTATGATATTAATAATTAATAATAAATTGATTATTTATTAAGTTCAATATCATTTTCAATTAAGGGATGATTAAAAGAAGTACTAGTTTTATCTAAAATATTCAAGCTAATTCGTTTTAATTCTCCACAAAAATATAAAAAAAACATTAACTTTTTAAATTGTAATCTATTTATTACTTTCATATAATGATCAAACCTTTCTTCCATATTCTTATCATGACATTTAATATGTTAATAAAATAATTATTCTAATTAAATAGCACTATTTTATAATTCAATGAAAATAGGATCATCTATTTTCTCCTTTATATCAACAGCTTTTAACATAATATAAATATCCACATATGAGATTCTTGGAAATTAAGAACCAAATCTCTTTTTTCTAATGTTTTTTAAATGAATAAAAGCAGAGGAAATAATTTTTATACCAATCTAAAGAAATCTNTTTATCATATTTTAGAAATGAGGATAAAATTAATATTAATTAATAATGCTATTCAAAGTATAATCAAAATATAACTTTATTTAATAACAAGTAAATATATTTTCAAAGTACTCTTGCTTTTCTTTTTAACCTGTTATTTTTATGATTTTCAAAATCTTTTTAATTTAAATCCTTAAATTTGTCAGCTTATTCTTCTTTAGAAAACATTTGATTATAAATTTTGATAAATTATTCTTGTTATTTTTCAAATTCTTCTTTTTCCTTTTATCTTTATAATTCTTTTTCAAAATCATCATTTTCAATTTCTTCAGAATCAACATCATGATCAAAATATATTGTAGTTTAACCAGTTGTTTTAATTTAACCCTTTTTAACATAATGACCCCTAAAGTATCTAAGTTATTTTTACTTACCAATACATTCAATTTGTGCATTAGCTACTCTACTTGATATCTATTTTTAGTTTTTAGGTATTAAATCATATTAATCTATTTAATCATTTTTAGCTTATTTAATTAACATTGAAAATTAATCATTTGTTTAAATTTGATTAGTACAATTAAAAAAGAGATCATACTTTTATTTCCAATCATTCTATGATATTAATAATTAATAATAAATTGATTATTTATTAAGTTCAATATCATTTTCAATTAAGGGATGATTAAAAGAAGTACTAGTTTTATCTAAAATATTCAAGCTAATTCGTTTTAATTCTCCACAAAAATATAAAAAAAACATTAACTTTTTAAATTGTAATCTATTTATTACTTTCATATAATGATCAAACCTTTCTTCCATATTCTTATCATGACATTTAATATGTTAATAAAATAATTATTCTAATTAAATAGCACTATTTTATAATTCAATGAAAATAGGATCATCTATTTTCTCCTTTATATCAACAGCTTTTAACATAATATAAATATCCACATATGAGATTCTTGGAAATTAAGAACCAAATCTCTTTTTTCTAATGTTTTTTAAATGAATAAAAGCAGAGGAAATAATTTTTATACCAATCTAAAGAAATCTTGCAATCTTTTATGTATATCTCCCAAGATACAAACTCAAATTCATATGTAAACTTACTTACATCCAGTTTTCGCCTAGAATTCTTGCAAACCTGCTTTAGTAAATCCTCTACACTTTATTCCAGTTTCAAATAATATTTATTCCTATTCTGTATTTATATTATCAGAATAATTAGTTAATATTTAATATCTATATATTCTCTAAATAAGTTTACCTTTTCTTTAAATTATAACTTTTTGTCTCAGCTAATCCTGTTCTTTCATAAAATAATCTCGCTACTTAAGTCCAATATTTGCAATTTGCTCCACCAAAGGCTTCTACTACATTTAACAATTCTTGATTGTATTTATCATCCAGAGAATAATTTCTATACATATTATATGTGCTAGTTATTTCTTATTAAAATAAAGAACATTTTTTCAAGGAGAATTTATCCAGGAAATTTTATTCTTATTTTTTATTAATTTAAAATCTATTATTTTCTTCCTGTGATATCCAAAAAATTTATGTCTAATAAATAATGATTTTATATACAATTTATCTTTTAGATATACATCTACTATATTCAAATAGATTTAAGATATTTATTTATTTTTTTTTGAATTTCAAATTAATCTATTGATATTACTTTATTTAATTTTTAATTCCTCATTATGTAAAATTAAAATGGAGAATAAGAATTGTGTAAATTAACACATCATAATAGGACTTTTATTTGCACAAATACTGAATGTATTTAAGCTAAAAAATTTTAATTATAATGTCACAAATGTTTAACTTTATAACATACAAATTAAAAAGGAATTTAGAAATTCAAAAATAGTAAAACTGTTCGTCATTTGGATGATTTTATAGAAATTAAAGAAATATTAAATTATTTAGAATAAAAATATCAAGCTAGATTTAATTTTTTATAAGAAGCATAATAAAGATGTTTTGATTTTCAAAAGGAATAAATATAAAAAATCGAAAAATTTCCATTTCACGATTAAAACTTTATAATTTTAGCAAAAGCCGATGTTGATAATAATATTCAAATGTTTATAAATGAGCTAGGCTTTTATTAAAGAATGTTGAACGAAGCAAAATCATACAATAATTAAACACAAAAATCTATTTTGGACTTATATATAAGAAATGATGATAAATTTAATAATGATATCATAAACAAATAAAAATAAGTTTTTGAAAAAATAAGAACTAATTTAGCAAAAAAAGGACTTGATTTTTAAAAAATGTTTGCAAAGTATAAAATATATTATTCTATTAGTTAAGAAGAAAAAATTCTGAAAGCTGATGAAAGATTAAAGAAATTAGAAAACCCATATGCTTAAAACAAATTATTTAAATATAGTGTGATTATTGCTCTACTAATTTTAATTAGTAATCAATTTTCTATTTTAACATCAAATAATTAAAAATAAATTTAGAAAAAAGAAACAATTCTAATAGAGTCAGACATTAATTAAATGAAAGAATAATTCTCAGATATTCAATAAGAGAATATTATTAAAATAGAAGAAATAAAAAATACCATTGAAAATAAATTAATTAGTGAAATTGAATATTTGAAATTGTACAATTAATAATTGAAAGTTGAAATGATAGAAATACAGAAATAATTTAAAGAAATGACAATCTTTTAGAATTAAACTTTAACTATGCTTTCTTAGGAAGTATATAATCTGAAAGAATAGGTATCAATTTCATTAAACTTAATTTCCAATTTTAATGGTATACAATAAATGAATCAACATGATTACTAAAAAGTACTTTAATCTAGTTAGGATGATAAAATATTTATATAAAAATTTGATAAAGTTGATGAAAACATTCAAAATTTGAATTTAAGATTGAATAATACTTTATAAGAAATGAAAGAGTATGTAGATTATAGAATTTTTATGAATAAGTAATTTTTTAATGCTCAACGATATCTATTAGGGAAGATAGAATAAGATTATCCAATTGTATTATTATAAGGTTTTACATAATAATTTGATTAATTTTTAAATAAGTCCCTTACTCATGAATAAATTTATAATTTGTCGAACTCAATTAGTTTGACTGGAATTGCTTGTTTTGGAGGAATATCTATGAAGAAACCAACGCATTTTGCATTAATGGCATGTGATTATGTATATGAAATTTTCACAGTTACACATAGTATAGATAAAGCAAGAAAAAGTAGATCAAGTGAAAACCTTTTTTGGTATTTTGCACCTAGAATATCAATTGGATTTGCTCCAAATGAAAATGTTCATCTTTAATTAGCAGATAATTTTGATCCTCAAGATCCAAAAAGATTTAGTATGTGGTTGGATCATCCATAAGGAGGTAGAAGAATAGGAAACCAAACTACTTTAATCAACACAACTGAATATAAAATGGCATTATATGTAATCGAATGAAGAATTTTTAATAAGATAATAAAAAAGTATATTTATACTTAATTCTCTATCTAAAATTCTAAATTTTCTTTAAGAAATAATTATAAATAATTAAAATTCAAAATTTTTAATTTTGGTTTTAAAACAAATTAAATTACTTTCAAATTCCAAAATACTAAGTTTCTTAAGTAGCAAAAATGTTTTGTTTCAATAAAAAATTAGAAAATGACTTGAATATATTATAGTGTTTTATTGGAATGTTAAATGAAACAGTTTAATTAATAAATATTATTATATTTTAATAGTTATGATTTTTATAAAATGACAACATAAAAATAATTATAATAAATTTATGTAATTAAATATTTGAATTAATTATTCATACATCTTAAAAACATATGTATAATAATATAATAAGGATTAAACCTATGGGACTCTTAAAAATAATATAAAGTATAAAATGGAAATAGAGGATAGAATCTTAATCTGATCTTATTTTTAGATTCTATTATTCCATTCAACTAAGTAAATGAATATTTTCTTAATTAATTCTTCTTTCTTTCTTGAAACCCTAGAATTAGAATTTTGAGCTTACCTAGGCCTCCAAACATTTATTTTTATTTATCCTTAAATAATAAATAATTTTTCTCTCACATGTAATCGATTGAAATGCTTGATGCAAATCTTAAGCTTAGCTGTGTGATATAATTACTAAAAGATGTATAATAATCTATTTTCTGGAATATTTATTTTGGATAAAGGTAAGGAGAATTCAAAAAAAAACTAATATGAAATTATTGTATTTTTGAGAAATCTATAGCTTTTTTGAAAATTAAGTGATCAGAAAAGTAGATTCAATTGCTTAGAAGCTCATATTTAAATTATATGACTTTTAAAGAAATAATTTAAAAAAATATAAATATATTTATATTATTAAAAATTTTTAAATTATTGATTCCTTTGGGAGAATGACAAATCTTCTATTTATATATATTTTTATTGATTTTTTTTTTGGAGCTAATTAATAATTAAATTAATGAACATAATTTATTGCATAGAAGAATAAGATGATTATGTATATATAAAGGTTACCAAAGACTTTTATTATAAGATAATCGAGATGGATAGGTTAAATTCAAGAACATCTCAATAAGTCTATAATCTATCTCACAAATTTCTAAGAAGAGTTGTTCCATTCTTTATGAATTAATTCCTTATATGGTCAAAAGATTAAAAGGATGAAAATATGAAAAAAGTATGTGAATTTTTAGAGGAAAGAAAGAAGTTGAAAAATTCAAAACAGTAGAAATTTGAACTAGGAGATTTAAAATTTGTATTTAGCAAAAATTAATAAGATCAGGAGAGTTAATATTTAATTAAAATGGCATGGAAATCATTTTTAAATTCTGATGAACTTCGATAAGCGATTAAAAATAACAAAAAAATGAAAGAAGCTTCAAAAGAAAATTATGCATATGCAATTAATTTATTACTAAATGAACTAGATAAACCATCACCTTACTCTAAATTTTTGTCTATAAATAAATATTAAGATAATATTAGAAAAAAAATTAAACTAAATACTCAACTAAATTTTGATGAGGAGCAATTTGATGAGGAGCAAGATAATTATGAAAATTCCACCTTGGATTACCCTTAAAAAAAGATTATTTGAATCAAATATCCATTCTATATGTTTGTTTTTCATTATTTAAAAGCCTAAAAAATAAATTAATTATCAATTAAATTATTCAATGACAAAATTTGAAGTCTATGATAAAAGGATTTAAATTTAAGGAAAAATTCTTAAAGTTCCAAAACAAATGATTGGTGAAGTGTCTAAACTATTAAAGGATTAGTTTGGAATTATTTTAACTGAAAAAAAGGATAGTTATTAAAATTAATATAAGATTAAATAAAAGAAGCAAATTGCATAAATTGCATCTCCTCTAATTAATTATTTTAGAAATTATTGTAAAGATAATTAATATACAATTGTTGAGAATGAACTCTCCGATTTATTAGAAAAAAAAGGAGTTAGAAAAGTTTTCACCTTACAAGATCTATACGAACTTCAATTCAAAAATAAAAATAGAAAAGAATTTTTAGATAAATGGGAGCCATTTCTAAGTTTAGGTCATGTAGAATAATATCTAATGAATAACAAAAAAATTAAGAGTGAAATTAAATTAGAACTAAAAGCCATTATAAGTTTATTGATTTTTGAATGTTAAAAGGAGGATCCAAAAGAGAGTATGTATAAAAGCTTCTAGATTAAAATATGAATAGAAATCTTTTTTGATGATTTCTAAATATAAATTTTCATAATGTAAATTAATTGAAAATTTTTATGTGAAATTATTCTCTTCTAGAAATACTTATTATATAATTTTGATAATAATAATAACTTTAATTATTCTAATATATTACCCTTAATCTACAACATATACAACCTAGAGTTTTAGGAAATTTAAAAATAAGAAGATATAGTTGAAAATACTAATGCAATAAAAGAATCTCATTTAAAAAGAACATTCAAATAATTTCAATAATTATTAAGAGATCTAGAATACGCTAAAATTGAAGAATGAAGTATTGTTATTACTAATAAATAAATAGTTAAAACAGGGAGGATAAGAAGAAGAAAAGAAAAGCTCAAGCATTTTTAATCGAAGTATGAAAATATGAATAAAGAATATATAAATTTAAGAGAAAAAATTGCAAAAGCGGAAGGAGAAAGATAAATTATTACGGATAAGGAGAAGAAGAAGTAAAAGCATTGAATGTTTAAATTCATTTTCTAGAAAAATAAATTTCAGAGCTTAGATTAGATTATGAAAAAATAAAGAAAAAAATGAATAACTTCATCATCAAATATTAGATGAAAAATTAATAAAAAAGACCTAGATATATTTTTTAAATATTCCTTAAAATATGTAAAAACGTCCTTAATCATACTATTGACTAATTTTATGATTTATCGATTTCAATATTAAAATTTCTATATCTTGAAAAATCAATAAAATTATCCATTATTCATTCTATATTACATTAAAGAGAAATTGTGTAAATTATCTATTAATTAGTCTTTACTAATCTCAAGCATTTTAATTATTAATAACATTAACTATTAATTATACTATTGTTTTATGTATTTAATTTGTTTATTAAATATTATATTAAATTTTTAAGCTTTTTTTTTAGAGTATGAAAGGATTAGGAGTTTTCCTTATAGGAATTTACGTTGCTATTTATGGAATAGCATTATTAACAGACCCTTGGACATAATTACATTATGACAGATCAATTCGATAATTAGGAATGAAAAACTTTTAATAATTTGTTGCTTTAGGTTTAAAGGTTCGATCTTTATTCGGATTTGCTCATATTTTCGCAGGATATTGCTTAATGAACAAGTATATAAAATATTAAATATATTAGAATATCATCAATGAAATTAATCATAAGTTGTATATTTGTAATTGATATAATAATTCAAACAGGATTTTAATCAATTCACTAAATTTTTTAAGATGTTATTTTGATTGGAATTGTTAATTATATTTGAGAATAAGAAATATTTTTTATGTGTTTATAATTCATTATATCAACTCGAAAAATTTTATCTTTAATAATTTATTATATTTTATTTTTGTTTATTTCAATACATTTTAATGAATAATAAATAACAAACAACCCCAAACCTTACTAAAAACTTAAGTTAATAAGTTTGTGATTTGCATAAAAAATAAATATCTGGAGTCTGTATGGAAGATCTATGTAAATATTCATCAAGAATATTATGTAGTGATTGTTAATTCACTCATTAAAAATGTAATATGAGAATGGAAATATAGCAATTTCAAAATGAATTATCATATATACTGAATCCAGAATTACATAAAGCAACTTGTCACTATTTTCCTGAACATTCTAAATTATTAAAATATATAGATGAGTTATTTGATAAGGCGAAAAATAAATTTAAACATCATCTTTTAGAATTAGAACAGAAATAATTGGCATTTATTTTATAAGAATAAGGAATAATCATTAATTCGAATTAATCAAATCGCTGGGCTTAGTAATTAATTAATATGCGAAATTTAAATCTGAGTAAATAAGAATATGATTCAGCTGTTATAATGATGAAAGAGAAATAATCTTTTGATAAAACAGTTATAAATGAAGTAAAACAAACCTTTGATAAATTTAATATTCTAAACAAAAATGTATTAGAACAATTATTAGTAAACTTTCGTCTACAAAATTTTCATTATGATGTTCAATAATTATATGATGAAGCAATTAAGACATTGAATAAAACAAATATTGATTCTTTTTCTGACATAGAAGATAAAATAAAATAAAATAGATTTAAATCTTTAAGTGGAGGTCATGAGTCAGAAGCTTCAATAGTATCAATTACAGAAAGTCCCTCTCATTTAATTTCTGGAAGTGATACAGGTAATATTGTGGGTTGGTTTAAACCTAATTACTCTTTAGATTTTAGAATAAAAGCAAATGAAGGATTAAGTGCTTTAGCTGTGGCTAAACTCTAAGATTAATATTATTTATTTGCAGGGGGATAAGGTATTATAACGGCTTTTTCTTTGTAATCAAAATTAAAAATATTCAATTTAAATGGACATACATAAAGAATATCAAAATTATAATCATATTCTTTAAGAAATTTAATATCAAGTTCTTAAGATGGTACAATAAAATTATGGGATTTGAAAGAAAGAAAATATTTTAAATGTTTTAGTGCTCATTAAGGACCTGTTTCAGATTTTTTATTGGAAAAGGAGTTGATAACAGTGGGTTAAGATGGTTAAATAAATTGGGTAAAAATAATTATTGAAAGTTTAGATTGATCTTGGAAGTTAAACAATAAGAAAATCTACTTAGTTTTCTATTCCAATATTTTGTATAGGATAAATAAAATAAGGAAAGTATGTTCTTGGTATGGGAGATGGAAGTATAAAGATTTTGAAAGGAACTAAAACAAGAGATTATAAAGTTAGTTAAGATGTAATTTATAGGTATTAAATACATATAAACTATTAGATTATTAGCTTTAAATAATAAATAAATAGTTTGTTATTCAGGAGATGGTTATTTGTGTGTAATAAATTTAAAAAAATCTTCTAAAATATTCAAAAGCTCAATTTAGAAAGATGGATAATGGTAAGAGCTTTGTTATATTGATAAATAATTGATGATACCACATTAGGGAAATATTAGAGTCTATTAAAGATGATAAGATATATATAATTAATGATTAAAATTTTCCTTTTATAATAAATGATTTCAATAAAAGAAATAATTGATTATTTCTATATAATAAATATATCAATCTTTCTTACTAAGATTTTATTCTTTTGAAGGATCGTATTTCTTTTTCTTATTTTCTAATTCTGTCCAATTGTTAAAGTCTTTCTTTTTCATTTATGCTAAATATTCAAAATAAGTGATTTCCTTTTCTTAACCATCTGCAGTCTTTTCATCTTAGCCAAATATTTTGAAAATTTCTCCATCTAGATTTTATCTTCCACATCTAACATATAATAATTCCAAAGTGTCTTCGACAGTTATAGTATTTTTAATTGCTTCTTTGTCATAAGCATACATTAAAAATTATACAAAATTAAATAAACCTCTTAAAATTTATGAATACAATACCTTGGTTCTAAATAGGAAGTATCCTTAATACATCTTTTGAACATCAATTAAAATTCATACCAGCTAATTTGTTCATCTAAGTCTTCATCTATTTCCCAAATCATTCTTTCAACTTCATCACCAACAGGATTATATTTTAGTTTTTTCATCATTGCATAAATGGCTTTGGCTGAAAATTTAGGTTCATTGGATTTCTTTCTTTTTTATTTTCCAAGTTTAGTATCTCCTTCTGTAGTTTTATTACCATCTGTTTCTTATTCTACTCTTTTAGGCTCCAATTAAATAAGAGCATTAAACACCTTAATTAATCTATCCTTTTCAACAGCCTTGATTTTCTTGCTCATTATTTTTTCTTCCAATGTCCTTTCATAGACAGGCAGTTTCTTTCTTCTTTCTTATTCTTCTTAACTTAATGGAGATTCACTTCTGCTTCTAGATGAATTATTCTCTTCTCTATTTTTCTAAGTGCTTTGCATTAATTTTATATTAATATAATATATTATTCATTTAATTAGATATTCATTATTAATTTAATATATATTGTAAACAGGATTTGATAAATATTGTTATATTGATTGAAATTTTTATTTAATTAATAAGTAAATGCTAAATAGAAGGCTACCTGATTAAAGTAAATGATTGATAAATTAATAATATAAAATCATTTATCCTTAAGTCTATGATTCCATTTTGCCCTTTCAGCCATGATTAAAGGATTCTAACAAGGTGTGGTTTCTCCAAAATTACCAAGATGATTCTTATATGAAGTTACATAATGCTTAATCATTCTTTAATTTCTAAAGTTAGTATTTTTTATAACCTATCACCAATTTCTATTTAGCAAAAATTACTAGAAGAGATTCTTAAACTTTGATCTGCTAATCTATTACGATGAGCTAAAGGATTGTATGGAGATAAAGGTTTATTTCTCATACTTGAAAAACATCTTTGTTTATTATTATAAGCATCATGATTGGTTGATGTTGAATACATGGATTTACTAATTTGAAATACAGTTAATACTTCAAATAATCTAAGTTTCTTTAATTTGGTTTAAAATAGTATGGAACTGCAATAAAATCATCTCCCTTCCTTTTGATATAACTACAAGTTGAGACTTTAGTATTTTTGAAGAAGTCAAAAGATTATTCAGTTTTTTTATTCGGTCTGGCTTGCAATTAACGATTAAGGTTTTAAGACATTATAAATATTAATATAATAAAATATTAAACACTCAAGCAAAATTATTTAGTCTTTAGTTTAAAGTCTCTTTATACTAATTTAATGTAGGTATTTATTCAGTAACTTCTTTTCTAATTAATTTAGCTGCCCATCTTCTTTCAGCATCTTTACAAATATCAGCAATATTTCTTCCACTCATACCATTACTTAATTGACTAAGCATTTCTCTTTCTTTATCTGTTAAATGTTTAGCATATCTTTAAAAGATTTCTTATCTTGCATAATCATCTGGTAAATCAAATTTAACAGATAAATCAATTCTACTTAACATCGCAGCATCTAAATCTTATTTTCTATTAGTTGCACATATTAATAATACATTTGTATTACTTTCAAAAGAATCTATCTTTCTTAATAGAGTAGATAATATTCTTCTTGATGCTTCATGCATTTCTCCTCCTCTTTATTATGCTAAAGCATCTATTTCATCAATAAATATAATAACTCTTCCTAATTTTTAACAACTCTTCCATATATCTGAAAATTATCTTTCACTCTCTCCATACCATTTAGACATAAAACTTTCTATAGGTAAATAAACTAATGGAATTTAAACTTATTATGCTATTATTCTTGCTGTTGTTGTTTTACCTGTTCCTGGAGGACCTTCAAATAAGATTGCTTTAGGTCTATTTGGTTCATTTTTAACTCTTGTCAATTATGTCATAGATTCATATATTTCTGGATATTACAATGCTAATAATACTGTATCTTCTATATCTCTCTTTTATTTATCATAACCTGCTAAATAATTCCAATCTAAATTCTTTTCCTTATTATTCGGTAAAAATATTGTCACACCTGTTTTCTCTAATTCTTATAATTTCATATCCTATTCTTATTTCGTTTCACTCTATATTTATTAACTATTCCTAAAATTTTTAAGATGAACCACTGTTCTTGGTCTATTTGCCTCCAAATAACAAGCCATAAATGCTTCTAAATCTGCATTCGAAAATTATTTGGTCTTCTCCAATATTATTGATATCGAAGGCTTTTCATTTGTCATCTCACCATATATATAGATTGTTCCTTAAGTTACTATCTAGCTGTTTTAATCGTCTACACTCTCTTCAAAATCTATTTATAAACTATATATTTAATTTTCATATGTTGAATTCACTTCTTTTATTCTAAAACTTCCTTCTAATTTCTATAATCTACACAAAATATTCACTAATAATGCATATATGTCACACTTTCTTTAATCTGCTACAAATGTAATCGTATATTTATTTCCTTTTGTTCCAAATCTACATTTATATCACTACTACTTTTTTACTTTACTTCAGAATATGTATCCATCTCATAACCAAATTAAGATTTCATCTTTAATATATCTTCTTCTATCTTTTTTCTTGCTTCTACTATAATTTTATCTTCTATGCAATATAATGTTGTTAAACTAATCAAACTTGTACCTAATATTGGTTTCTTATATCTAATAAAACGAAAACCTGCTATATTCAAAAATTTTCTAAACATTTTTAGAATTATTAAAATAATATTTTATAATCATGCTACTTATTCTTTATATTTTTCATATTTAAATCATTCATTTTTTACTAAATCATTACTTTCAAACACCTTATTTATATTTATCAATTCATTATTTATATCTTTCCATATTTCTCTTACCAACCATTGAGATAATGCTAAACTTTTCTCCAATGTACTCATTTATTAAAAAAAATCATCCAATTCTTTTTATGGATCATGATTCAAAAAATACCCTTATTTCTTTCTTTCGCTTTCAGAACTACTCAATCTTTTAAAATCACTTTTATTATATGGTTTACAATGTTATAGAGCTTAAACTATCTTATTAAATTCATTCTTTTTTTCTAAAGCAATCTTCTTTAACTTTTATGTATGTATTAATTTCTATCTTATTTTAATAAGCACACTAAGTGGTACTATTTAATGAGGCTTAATCTTTCTTTTTAAATGATGTTTGCCTTACTATTTTTTTAATTTCTTTTCTAATCTCTTGTTTGCAAAAATGATCATTTGTACTACTTTCCTAAATCTATCCAAAAGCAAGTAAACTTTAGATTTTTTGTTATTTAATAGCTTATCTAAAATTCCCTCTGTTTTACTTTACCTGGTTTCATAAATAATATTTTAATCATGATTTGAAACGATAAAGCAATTTCTTATTTCTATTTTATTTGCTTATTTTATTAATTCTAATCTTTATTGATTTAATCTAACTTTATTAGCTTCCATTTCATATTATTTTTATTAAATATTCATATCTTCCAATCTATGCAAAGCTAAAATTGATAAATATTATTAAAGTGCCTAAAATTCTTTTAGATTAACAAAAAAGCTTTATTTATTAATAATCAAATAATAACAATCTTAAATTGCCATAGCATAATGTTATCTTTATTATTGAACTTGAATAAATTATTTTCTTAAAAAATATTCTTATTCTCCGAAAATGACACCATTTTTAATCTCTAATAATATTTTTCCAAATTAATTTCTATATTAAACTTATCCTTCAATCAAAAAGTATATTTCTTCAACTGGATCTCCTTTTAACCAAATAAATTCTCCTGCTTTAGCTTTCATTAAACTGATATGACGAATAATTTTTAATGAAAATGGTATAGAAATCTTAAATAACGAGATTCTTAATAATTCCTTTCTAGCTACAAAAAGTAATAATTTATTCTATAAATCTTATGGAATAATATTAAACCAGTCTGATTATATCAATGTCCAACTCAAATTTTATTTATGATTTATAATTTAGAATTTTTACATATCAGCTTTATATTCAGGAAGTATAATTATTTGATTAAAAAGACTCTTAATTAAATTGACTCTTTAATAAAATTAACTTTCAGCATCCATATCATCAAGAATTCTTCTAGAATTACCAATAATTAAACTCATAAACATACCACCACAAAATGTTCCAATTATTGCACAGAGATATTCCAAAAGTCCATTTGGAATTGCATCACCATAACCTGTAGTAGATAATGTTTACATAGCCCAATACATAGCATCTATATATTGAGGAATATCTTTTCCAGAATATTATATAGACATGGCCCATAAACATGTAGCATAATGGAATCCTATGGCACTAAAAAATAAAATTTAAAATAAGGTTGCTTTTTTTTAATCTATAAAATTAAACCAAAATTCAATACTACCAAAATTAATTTTAAATACTATACATCTTATTTTAATTTAAAGAAGATGAACTTATAATTTCTTATATTCTTTTAATTCTAACTACTTTAATCAATTGACAATAAGGTATTGGTATTATTGTGACGATATCAACTACAAACCATCCATTAAGATAATTTAAAAATATTTTCCTTTAATCTTATACTAAATTGTTATGTTCATCATAATAGCACATTCTAGTTAATAATATTAAATCAAAGCCTTTAATTAATAAATTTGTTTACAAAAAATAATAGAAAAGAAATATGACGTTATTTCATAAACTTTTAGATCTTTTTCGAAAGCAACTGCAAAAGGAATATAAATAGATGAGTATATCAAAATGAAGAACATAAAAATATCCCAAAATTTTTTGAAAGCATCATTCTTGGCTTTAATACTGATTCATAAATACTGGATGAAGGAGGTATTTATTATTCTTTTAATTGAATTTCACATTTAATATCTTCTTATCATATTATTGTTTTATTGATAGAAATATTGTAATCAAATAAACCTTCCTAAATTATTTAGCTAATCTTCTTTAAATGTTTAGTTTTTTCATTTACTATTCCTAAGCAATTTTTCGTGATCTAACTTAGAATACAATAAAACTTTTTTATTTCATGCAAGGAAGTTTTACTAATTCTTTTTTCAATTTATTTTTCTTTCTGTAAAGGAGACTATGATAAAAGTTTTAAGATTTCCCCTCTAGGTGAGATTAAATCATTTGTAGATGAATGTCTTTCTGTAAAAAGTAAGGTATGTGCTTTTTTTTATTGAATTTACATATTTTAAGAAATATAATTATAAAATGTAATCAATTAAACCAATAGTTCAATAAATCTCTTATGCTAGATAAGGAATAAATGAGAAAAAAAATATTTCAGAGAATATAGAAAAAATGAAGGCAGCATTTGATTAATTAGCACCAGCAATTAGAAATTAATAAGATTACATCTAAAACATGAATCCATCTTCTATTTAAGTAAAGGATGGAGCAGAAAAATTATAAGAATAGAAAAGATATTTTTTAAGATTTTTAGATCTAATAAATTATGAATTATCTGAATTATTGAATATTGCAAGAAATACTATGGGTTTGAAAGATAAAAATACAAATCCAGATCCTTTTTGGGAAAAGATTCTCTATTAAAAAGTTAAATTTATAGAATCAATCAAAGATTAACTGACTCCTGATACAAATTATTTTGAATTGCTTTTTAAAACTTTAAATTTAAGGGATAATTTAATTATATAATTTATTAAAGGATTATTACATAGAAAACTTCTCTTATGGAAAGACATGAATATAAGAAACGAACCTTTTGTTCATGCTTAGATTAAAGCATTATTAAATAATATAGAATCTAAATAAACAAAAGGATAAATAGTTAGTGAAAAATTGGAGTTTAAAGAAATTGATTTTATAAGTGAAACAATAGCAGGAGTTTGGAGATTTTAATTAGAAACAAAAGAAGAGAGTTATTCAATAGGAATATTTTTGAATTTATTAAAAGATACTTATGATGATTTAATTACAAGTTTATTAAATTATTGTAATTTGTCATCAGATCCAGCTGCATTAAAATAAGTTACAAATAATTCAAAGTAAGTTTAGAGTCTTAGACAATAAATAGAGATTTTAGTAGATGAAAATGAAAAGTTAACTAAGTAAATAAATGAATTGAAAGTTACTAAAAGGTCTAATGAATTTGTTGAAATAAAAAGATTATAATAAGTGATTGAAGAATTAGAAGTTAATTTATCTAGAAAAACTAGAGAAATAGATGAATTGATGGCTAATTCTAAAGGAAGTCTAAGTTTAATTTAGAATTTAAGAGAAAAACTTAAGGATGTTGAGGAAGAAAATCATAGATATAATAATATATTTTTTCCAAAATAAAAAGATATTGAGTAATAAACAGCCAAATTATTGGATGAATTTTCATAAATTAAAAAAGATATTGATACATATAGTTCCTTATTTAAAATGGAAAGTTAAATTAGAGAAAAAGCTTTGAAAAGTAAAGAGTAATCTGAAGATTAAGTCTAAAAGTTAGTTGATATGTTGGGAAGATCTAAATAGAAAGTATTAATTTAAAATAAATAAAAGAATAAGGAACTTTAGGAGGTTATAAAATAAAAAGAATCAATTATTAATAAAGTTTTAGAAGCTAAAAGATAAAATATGGAAGAAATCGAAATTATCAAAAAGGAAATTACTAATCTCAAAGACTAAGTTCTATATGAGGTAATTTTATAATGATCTTAGTAAAATAGAGTCAAAGAGGTATAAGTATAATTTGATGTATTGGAGAAAAAGTATTAAGACATGTTTGAAATAAATACACATTTCAATAAAAGAATATATGAACTAGAACGATAAAAAAAAGAATTACTAGATATTTTAAAGAATCATGATATCGAACCAGATCCAACTAAATTGAGTATATTTAATGAATCAAAATAATAATGAATTATTTTATTTATCAATTTACATCTATATTCTTATAAATTTCAACAAAAATTAATTTTAATTATAGAATAATCTTCAGTAAAAATTAAAAGAATGGTAAAATTCTAAATTTTAGATTAAAAACAAATTAATATTTTTTTATTAGTCTTGTAAATAATTCTATTTTCTTTTTAAAATAATTGTAGAAGAAATAATCATTTAAGCCTTATATTGAGTGTAAATTGTAATCATTTTATAGCTCCATAAAGGTTAGATCTAAGACTCATCATAAATAGAAATTCAAAAATTGAATTATGGAATAATCTTCAAAAAAAATAATTTATATTATATTCTGATTTCTATTAATTTATAAGTATTTATATTAAATCTTGATTTCATTTCAAAAAACATAAAGAAAATAATATTAAAACATGAATAGTTAAATTCTTATGCCTATATTTCCCTATTATTTAAATGTAATATTGCCATATAATATGGTCTATTATGCTTATGGTATGCATAACTAATTGAGAAAAAGTGATATTTCAATAAAATAAGAGGAGAACAAAGAGAGTATTACAAAAGAAGAATTTATAGAAAGTTCCAAATAAGAAGAATGCAACTTAAAAATTGAGATAACTGAAATGAGTAGTTACTATCAGATATTCCCTGGCCAGACTAAAAATTATTATAAGAATATTGGCTAAAAGATAAATAAGTTCATAGAAAGTGAGTTTTCAGAATTCAGTTAGATCAAGCAAGATAAAATCATCTAAAAGTTTTTAAGAATTGATAAATAGAAATATAATAGAGATTCAATATAGAAATTGATGAAATCAAAGAAAGGCAGAAGAATATGTAAATTATTCTTTGCATAATTTAAATGGGTGATACCATTTGTTTCTTAGAATAAGACTGATTTGGATTTGTATTTTAGATACAATAGAATACTTTGTGTGAAAAAGTAGAGGGAATAGAAGAAGAGGAATGAATTTTAGATTCCGGAGAAACTTTGATAAATTTATCACTATTTTTATATATTCATAAAGCATAATTAAATGATAAAAAATTTGTTTAAATAAATGAGATTAATAGATTGAACAAAGAGCATTCATTAATAAGTTAGTAATATGATAAGTTCTAGGATATATAAATATAATGTAGAAAAATCATTGTAAAGTTTAGAAAATGATTTTTTTAAAGGATAATTTTGGAACTACTATATCAAAAATAAAAATGTCAAGAGGATTTCATGAAGATTAGCAGTTTAAAAAAGAATTTTTATAAATAGTTGATGCACATGGTGGTGAGAATTGTAGACATTGGACAAAAGTAGCAAGAGTATATTTTGAAACAACAGGGATATAAGTGAATTAGACTTATAAATTAAGAAAGAGATGGGAAACATTGACTGGATATAAAGAGAATTTAAGTGAAGAGCAAGCAAAGATTTTATATGAGACAGGAATTAAATGTAGAGGAAATAATAAAGGAGGATTATAGAATTTTACATAATAAACAGGTGTTAGGTATTATTAGTTAATATATGATAATAGAATGTATTTAGGTAGATATACAAAAACTATATCTAAATGGTTAAGAGGAGCAATAAAATTATTTTAGGAAATGTATATTCATGATAAGAAAACAAGGTATAGAAGATTAGATGAAGATAATTATCGTTTATCATATGTTTCAATTCATATAATGTTAAGAGCAGTAGATGTTAATGATATAGGAGATGATCCAATATTTTAGGAATTAAAATAATGTGCAATTAAATTAGAATAACTATTATTATTACATGCTAAAATTAATAAAGAATTCGATAAAAGAGAAAATTATGAAAATTATGATATTTATAAAAACTTTTTAAGTAGATGGTAATTCAGAAGAATCATGTTCTTTTTAGATTATGTTAATGAATTAAAATAAATTAGTATCAGTTATTATAAAGAATTGGTTATATTAGCTCATCCTTTATTAAAATAATCGATAGAGTTGAATAAGTAGACTGAAATCTATTAGAAAATAATTCTAGAATCAGATTGGTAATCTAAATATCAGTTATATAATTTATGTTAAGCTTTATAAGAGAATTAAGAATATTCAATGTTAATTAAAAAGGCATCAAAGAAATAAAAAGAATAAATAAATAAAGATCCATAAGAGAAATCTTTAGATGTAGATAATAATAATATTAAGAATGATAATATGTTATAAGGATATGATGTAGTATCAAAATCAGTTCATAAAGTATGTAATAAAATGGCACATGCAAGAATAACTCCAACAGAAAAATAAAAATTAAGAACATTTAGAGGACATTATGTTAGACCAGGTTAGATTAAATCAAAGGGTTGGACTACAATATTATTTGATCATGATTTACCTTCANTCAAAAATAAAAATGTCAAGAGGATTTCATGAAGATTAGCAGTTTAAAAAAGAATTTTTATAAATAGTTGATGCACATGGTGGTGAGAATTGTAGACATTGGACAAAAGTAGCAAGAGTATATTTTGAAACAACAGGGATATAAGTGAATTAGACTTATAAATTAAGAAAGAGATGGGAAACATTGACTGGATATAAAGAGAATTTAAGTGAAGAGCAAGCAAAGATTTTATATGAGACAGGAATTAAATGTAGAGGAAATAATAAAGGAGGATTATAGAATTTTACATAATAAACAGGTGTTAGGTATTATTAGTTAATATATGATAATAGAATGTATTTAGGTAGATATACAAAAACTATATCTAAATGGTTAAGAGGAGCAATAAAATTATTTTAGGAAATGTATATTCATGATAAGAAAACAAGGTATAGAAGATTAGATGAAGATAATTATCGTTTATCATATGTTTCAATTCATATAATGTTAAGAGCAGTAGATGTTAATGATATAGGAGATGATCCAATATTTTAGGAATTAAAATAATGTGCAATTAAATTAGAATAACTATTATTATTACATGCTAAAATTAATAAAGAATTCGATAAAAGAGAAAATTATGAAAATTATGATATTTATAAAAACTTTTTAAGTAGATGGTAATTCAGAAGAATCATGTTCTTTTTAGATTATGTTAATGAATTAAAATAAATTAGTATCAGTTATTATAAAGAATTGGTTATATTAGCTCATCCTTTATTAAAATAATCGATAGAGTTGAATAAGTAGACTGAAATCTATTAGAAAATAATTCTAGAATCAGATTGGTAATCTAAATATCAGTTATATAATTTATGTTAAGCTTTATAAGAGAATTAAGAATATTCAATGTTAATTAAAAAGGCATCAAAGAAATAAAAAGAATAAATAAATAAAGATCCATAAGAGAAATCTTTAGATGTAGATAATAATAATATTAAGAATGATAATATGTTATAAGGATATGATGTAGTATCAAAATCAGTTCATAAAGTATGTAATAAAATGGCACATGCAAGAATAACTCCAACAGAAAAATAAAAATTAAGAACATTTAGAGGACATTATGTTAGACCAGGTTAGATTAAATCAAAGGGTTGGACTACAATATTATTTGATCATGATTTACCTTCAAGTTAAGATGAAAAAGAAATAGATGATTAATAAAATTTTAGTAATTTAGATATGAAAGAACTCTCTAGAATTTATAATAATAATTTTGAAAAAGACATTGGAAAATTGTAGAGAAAATAAAAAGAAAAAAAATTAAAAAAAAATAAACCATATGCATTTTGATTTATAATAGGTTAAGAATTTATTTTTTAATTAAATTAATATTATGATTGATTTTAGTTATTTACGACCTCCTCTTGATGTATATTAAATTAAACATGATGGTTGGTTATCATTTCATAATTATAGCCTTTTATATAAAACATGGGGAAGGGAAGAATCATACTAGAAAAATATTTTTTAATCAAGAATTTGATGAATATGAAAAATAAAAAATACAAGAGTTGACTATAAGTATTTAATAACATAAATTAACATTACCTTCTGAGTATGATCATTATAGACTTTTAGTTGGTGTTAAGAGCTGACTCTTAAATATTGTTATTCAGGAGGATTTGAAATTAGTAAATGCATTTAAAGGTTACAAAAACATTTAGAGTGGATTCATGATGAAAATTATCAAGTTTTATCTCCAGAGGCTGAATAATATTTAGTTTAAATTTATAAATATTCAATCTAGAAACAAGGCTACATTTATTAATTTGGAAGAGATCATTAATACAGACCTGTTATTTATATATAATTGTAAATGATTTCCAAAAATAAAGTTCATGTGCCAACTCTTTTAAATGCAGCAACTGCTATTGGAAATATTGTAACTAAGTTTATGTATACTCGTGGTTATGTTGAAAATTGGATTGTTATATTGGATAGTGGTGGAAGTGGATTATTCGATTTTCCTTTCTCCACTCTCAATATGATTAATGAATTCTTTTCAATTAATTACACTAGTTCATTACATAAAATGTTTATTTTGAATCCTTCCTTCTTTTTTAATTCCTCATGGAAATTAATTGAAAGTATAATTCGATATCTCATTTTTTAGAAATTATTCATCCAGAAACTGCTGCCAAAATCAATTTCCTTAAAGCTTAAGATTTTTATAAATTATAAGAATTAATTCCAGCTGAAGAAATAGAAATCAAATATGGTGGTTAACATCCTAATTTAACTACTTTCTGGCCTCCTATTAATACTAAAGCTCAAAATAATTAACCAAATGAAGAATTTCAACATATTCAAAGACCTCCTACTCTTACAAAACGTACTTAAAGTCTTAAAGAATCTGAATATTTTAGTATTGATAATAATTCTAAAGAGTTTTATAATAATTCTAAAATGAAAGGTAATCTATTATTTAAGTAGAATATCGGATACATGAACAATTTCAAGAAGTGGATTAATAGCATGCTCAATGTTGTTCTTGTAATATAATGTGAAACAAAATAATTTTTTTATTATATTAAATATTTTATGGATAGAGATCTTATAAAAGGAAATAAAATATGTTATAATTATGAAAAAGAACGATTAAGATAAATTCATAAACACAATCTCTAGATAGCACATCCTTTAAGTATATTACTTAAAAACAATTAACAGTTAGAACTTAAATGGAAAGATTATCATAAAACTAAAATAAGAAACTATAAATATAAGAAGAGAGATTTACTGAAATTGAAAGAGAAAATCGTATCTTATTAGAAAAGATTCAAAATATTATGAGTAATCTTATAATATAATAGTAGATAATGAACGTAAGAGAGCAACTTCAAATTGGTAGAATAATAATATGACAGCCTCTAATTTTAATTAATCTTAATCTGTTAATAGGAAATAATCTCTAAATAAAGAAAAAAGGAAAAAAGAGTTGGTCAGAATTACAATTGAAAATTAAAGATTAATGAATAGACTAGTTACTAAAAAACCTAATTATAATACTAAAATTATTTTAAAATAAACCTCTTAATAATAATAATTAGTTAATTAGATTGCTGAATACCCACTCAAAAAATCAAGGATTCAAAGCTCTAATCGATAAAAAAGCGTTGATCTTTCAAGTAAATATGATCTGTTATTAAAGAGAGTAGTTTTATGGGATGTTTGCCTATTTAGTGTAATTAAACACCTAATAATTAATAATCCAAAAAAATTATGCTTTATAAATCAAATAAAAAAATTAATGATAAATTATACTACATTGAGGTTTTCTATGAAGATGAGTATATATTACAAATATTCATTCTAGTCTATTTAAAATTACTGTAGATGATGAACAATGTCCAAATACAAAGGTATTTGAAATGCCTCAAGAAGATGGTTAAATTGTTTTGAAAGAGATATACAATAATAATATATTATAGTTAGTAGAAGCTATAAGTGTTGATAATAATATTCATTTAGCAGGATTGGAATAATTTGAGTAATCTCAATGATTCATATATAATTTTTTGAAATATTTTTTCTATTTTCTACTAATTTTAAATAAATATTAATCATTTTAATAATCTTTAAAATTTCTTTTAAATTACTATTCGTATCATTCTTAAAGAATTTTCTATGAATACCTACTTACTTTAAGTTTAGTTCATTTTTGAAAACTATTTTATTGCAATCTATACTGTTTTAAAATATATGTAATAACCTTTTTAAGGATTATTTCAATTTTTTTTTATTTCATTTTAAAAACATTTTACAATTTTAATTTTTGCCATATCTATGAATNGCATGCTCAATGTTGTTCTTGTAATATAATGTGAAACAAAATAATTTTTTTATTATATTAAATATTTTATGGATAGAGATCTTATAAAAGGAAATAAAATATGTTATAATTATGAAAAAGAACGATTAAGATAAATTCATAAACACAATCTCTAGATAGCACATCCTTTAAGTATATTACTTAAAAACAATTAACAGTTAGAACTTAAATGGAAAGATTATCATAAAACTAAAATAAGAAACTATAAATATAAGAAGAGAGATTTACTGAAATTGAAAGAGAAAATCGTATCTTATTAGAAAAGATTCAAAATATTATGAGTAATCTTATAATATAATAGTAGATAATGAACGTAAGAGAGCAACTTCAAATTGGTAGAATAATAATATGACAGCCTCTAATTTTAATTAATCTTAATCTGTTAATAGGAAATAATCTCTAAATAAAGAAAAAAGGAAAAAAGAGTTGGTCAGAATTACAATTGAAAATTAAAGATTAATGAATAGACTAGTTACTAAAAAACCTAATTATAATACTAAAATTATTTTAAAATAAACCTCTTAATAATAATAATTAGTTAATTAGATTGCTGAATACCCACTCAAAAAATCAAGGATTCAAAGCTCTAATCGATAAAAAAGCGTTGATCTTTCAAGTAAATATGATCTGTTATTAAAGAGAGTAGTTTTATGGGATGTTTGCCTATTTAGTGTAATTAAACACCTAATAATTAATAATCCAAAAAAATTATGCTTTATAAATCAAATAAAAAAATTAATGATAAATTATACTACATTGAGGTTTTCTATGAAGATGAGTATATATTACAAATATTCATTCTAGTCTATTTAAAATTACTGTAGATGATGAACAATGTCCAAATACAAAGGTATTTGAAATGCCTCAAGAAGATGGTTAAATTGTTTTGAAAGAGATATACAATAATAATATATTATAGTTAGTAGAAGCTATAAGTGTTGATAATAATATTCATTTAGCAGGATTGGAATAATTTGAGTAATCTCAATGATTCATATATAATTTTTTGAAATATTTTTTCTATTTTCTACTAATTTTAAATAAATATTAATCATTTTAATAATCTTTAAAATTTCTTTTAAATTACTATTCGTATCATTCTTAAAGAATTTTCTATGAATACCTACTTACTTTAAGTTTAGTTCATTTTTGAAAACTATTTTATTGCAATCTATACTGTTTTAAAATATATGTAATAACCTTTTTAAGGATTATTTCAATTTTTTTTTATTTCATTTTAAAAACATTTTACAATTTTAATTTTTGCCATATCTATGAATAATAAACAATTTTTAAAACTTATTATTAAATTTAATCAAATATTTTGAAAAGAATTGAATATAAGTTTTCATTATTTGAAAAAGTAATATTGCATATTATAAATCATTAAATAATATGATTTATTTTTAGTTTTATGATGGATGGTTTAAAAAAACATCAAAAATTTTAAATTAAAATATTTATTTTTTGAATTATAGATATAGAGGTAAGTTATTGTAATATATATAATTATTTGATAAATAATGGTAGTTTTTATTATTAAGGCATGTTATATTAATCATAAATTTCAATGAGGTAATAGGATCAAACTAAGGATCAAATGACTAAGAAACTTTGCATAAATACATGACAAAACTCTGAATGCAAATACTAAGATATTAAATCTATATAATAAATATTAATGATTACTGATAAGTGTAAGATAGAAATATTTATAAAAACATTCCTAAAATACATAAATTTCCAAAAACATTAAGTGTTTTGTAAGACTTTTTGCAAGCACCAGTAATTCCTGATGAATAATAAATGCATTAGAATAGAATATTAATGCAAGAACATAAGATTATCATTTGATGAATATCAGCCAAAGGCACCTTATTATAAATTAGAGCTAGCTTATGTAAATTCTGAAAGACTTACAAGTTTTTCAATTCTTTCTTGATTAATCCAAACCATTGAATCAAAGATGATTTCAACTATCATCTACACACACATAAAAACCAGAAACACTCTTGAATGAGTTAAATAAGTGTCTAAAACTTCATCAACCAAATCAGGTAAGTCTTAAGGGTTGATATAAAATGCTAGTTCATCATCTCCAAATACAGGTAACATAATTTATTATGGCTCTTAAATAACCTTCTCACTTTATATGATTGATTCATTTTTCATTGGACAAACTAATATATATATTATATTAACCATATGCATATGATCCATCCTAGTTCACTAATACAGCACCTCTAGATGATCTCAATGTTGTTACTGTCCCTCCTAATGATCGTCTTTCAGACTTTTCCATTCAATAAAACGGATTAAATGAAAAAATTATGATAATAAAATTATTCATCAAATAATACAATATACTTGAATGAACGAATATTGTTATTATTCCATTATAGTACTATTATTTAAATACTCATTCTATTTTTAATCCATTTAAATTATATTAGTTCAAAACCATTTTCATCTTATTATAATAATATCAAAAAAATATATATTTTTCTATTAGGAATAAATACAAAAATCATCTCAAATTATATTAGCAGATTTTTAAATCATACTATTAATACTTTAATCTTATAAAATTATTGATTATTTAAAAAATAAACCAATTTTATAATTTTATTATCTAAAGTATTAAATTTATAAATAATTGATTTAGTATTATAACATTGCTTTTCATTAAAAATATATATTTTAATTCCTTTAAAAACTAGTTTTTAAGAAAGTTAAATTTATTTTTCATAATTTAAGATTATTAAAATAATTTCTAATTATGTTCTTAATGTTGATTTACTTAAAAAGAGTAAAAATTATCTTTATTTCATCTTAATTAAAATACTTTGTTTATTTATTTAGATTAAATAATTTATATAGTGAAAATAATTAATTGAATTATTAAAAATAATTGATTAAATATTGATAAATTTTAGTTATGAAAGAGATAATAGTGTTTATATAAGTTATATAATAAATTGTTTATGTATAATATTAGAATGAATGAAAAAATATTAATATTAAAATTATAAAAGTTTTTATGTCAAGAAAAAGAATTGAAGCTCCTCCTTTGACAGATCGATCTCAGTATAGAAGAATTAGTTAAAAAAGTGTAGATGAATTAAATTAGGTAAGATTAAATCAAATTTAGACTCTTCATGCTAGAATAAATAGTATGGTTGGACTAGATGAATAGCTCACAAATAAAATAAAACAGCTTTAATCAGCTTCTCTTACACCAAAAGACTTATCATCAATAAGTTTATCATTATAAGATATGGTGTGCACATTATAAAAGGTTTCTTATAATGAAATAATGTATAATTAATTAGTAAGAGAAAATGAAAAATTGAAAAATGAATAATCTTATTTGAAAGCATAATTATTTAAATTTAATTCTCTAATCTAAAAAATGTAAAAAGAACATTAAGTGCTATTAGAGAAGATTAAGTCATAAGAAATTGATATTAATAATTTGAATAAAAAGCTTTTAGCTGAATAAAAAGTAAATGAAGAAACTAGTAATATCTATATTGAAATATTTAGCAAAAAAATTAAGAAGATCAGAATAAAGAGTTTAAATAATTTTAGAGTCAAATATCACTTTATAAAAAGATCAATTGAAAAATAATTTAATAGAAGCATTATCTGAAAATGAACATATAAAAAAAGATGCAATTTAAAAATAAAAAGATTATTAAAAGTAAACTAATTAACATAATAGTAAAGGCTTTAGATGGCAAATAATGTACTAAATTAAAAGTTGTAAAGATTAAACAATAGATTTTATATAAGTGGAAAAGCTTAAAATGAAGAAGAATTTATAGATTAAGAGAAGATGGTGATAACTTTTACAGAAATTCCAAAAAATTTTGTATTTCGTCATGTATTTTAAAATTAAGAATGCAAATGTAATTATTAAAATAAGGATAGAATTTATTTAATCTGCATTAGAATTCTCTACAGAAGATTTCATTATGCATGTAAATTCATTAAATTAAGAAAGTAAGAAAATGCAATTAACTTGGTTATTTAATCATATGGTAAATTATAGAGATTTCAGTTTGGCTCATAATACTTTTATAGTAAAATTATCATAATTAATATAATTAACTAATTTTGATGAAATGTATAGTTTTATAACAACACTTTCTGGCTTTTTTAAAGTTTCTCATATGTATCTTTGGCTTAGAGATTTTTAAACTGGTTTTTTCATAAATGTGAGTGATGGTAAATAGAGGAAGATAATGTGTACAAAAGGAGCATTCAGAGATAGTCTTGAATCAAGAGAATCAGTTAATAAATTAACAGCTCATAAACATATGATGTATTAAAATGATCGAGGAGAAGATGTTTTTTAAGATAATACTTATATCTTTCCAGTAATCACAGATTAAGCTTTACCTGCTGGTGTAATAGAGTTTTCTCATCCTACTCATAGTAATAATTATAGTGATATATAATATTTTGCATCTATCTTAGGATTATTCGTTAAATTAACAATTTAAAAAATTGATGAAGATAACCATTAAAGATCTTTATTAAAATAAATAGATATATTGCAGAATGAATTTTTGAAGTTAATGAAGGCTAATGATAAATTTCACTTTTGTGAGTTGGTTAAAGACATGTAAAACAAAATATTGTAATTGTCAACTAGTGAAATTGTTTTTGTTGAAGATGGATGCTTATGGAAATATTATAAATAGGATATTAAAAAATTGGATAATATTGCTGGAGTATGTGGATAAGTAGCTATAAATTAAGCTCCTGCTTATTTTGCTAATATATCAAGGGAACTCAATTATAATGAGATTATTGATATGTATTCTATTGCACCTATTTTCATTTATCCTATTATTCATAAAAACAAAACTTATGCAATGATTTAGTTATCTTTAACAAATAAATAAATTGATAAATATCGATTCAAAGATCCTTTAATTAGTTTAACATAGTTATCAAATTAAGCTAGATTATTTTGTGAATATGTTACAACAGCTTACATTAATAGATTTTTATGAGAATTTAATTAAATTTTATGAAATCTAATTATTTTTTGTATGAATATTATTTATAAATTTAATTAACTAATTCATCTAAATTTTAAAGTACTTTATGATTATTGATTGAACAACATATTAAATTCTACTAATATTTGAGTAAACAACTATAATTTAATATTAAAATTTAAAAAAATGCAAAGAACTGATTCTTTAGTCAATAAGACAAATTGTTTAATGATATTTCTAATGATTTGCATCTATGTTGCTCTTACTCCTCCATAAAAAGAAACGAATAATCAAAGTTTTGAAATATTTGAAGTTGAAGTGACTGAATTAGAAATTCAATACTATTTAGAGAATGATATTGAATACAATAATACAGATTAATTTGGTTTAGAAACTGTTTAAAATTGGTTACCAATCTAGTCTGAATTAGCTTAATTAAATTTAGCATTAGATTATTTTTCGCGGTTAAATTTAGACAAACTAATTAAACAACATAGTGAATTTTAGATATAAGTAGATTAATGTTTATAATTGTCATTAAATTAAGATTTTGAAAATTTTCTTAGTACATTTAATTCTACTATGAATAATGATAGTTCAATAACAGATTATATGAATAGTTTATTAAATAAAAGAAATTAATTACATGAAATTTATTTGGAAAAGAAAAATGATTTAGAAAATCTTAATAATGATGAAAGAATATTAAAATCTTAAATAATAGAATATCATATAAATGAATAAGACTCTAATTATTTTAATAAAAAGATTTCAAATTTAAATAAATTGAAATATTTGATTGATTAATCAAATAAAGAGATGGAAGATTTGAATAAGAAAATTAACTATTAAAAATCACTTGGAGAAGATGAAGATTTAAGTGAATATTATAGAAAAGATTAAGATTAAGCAAAAAAGTTAAGATAATTATTTAAACCAGCTGGCACAAAATCAGTAGAAATACATAATGAAAAATTGTATGATCTAGTCTATGTATTGGATTAAAATATTAAATAATATCAAAGTCCAACAGAGGTATATTTTAATGGTTTGAACTTTTCTCCAGAATTAAGAAGAAATGCTTTAGATGAACTTTAATTATAATACACAAGGTTGTAGATTAAATTAGAATAGTAGATTAAGAATTAAGAAGATTTAGAAAAAGAAATTGATGAACTTGAAAGAAAGAAAAAAGAAAAAGAAAAAAAGTATGCTGATGTTTTGAATAAGTTAGAAATAGTAAGAAATTTATAAAAAGAATTAGAAAAAGATTTTGATTTAGTAAAATTATAAATTGAAGAGATTACTAAAGAAATTAAGAATATAATCCCAAAAAATATGAGAGAAAATAACAATTTTGTAGATATTTAATATCATTATAAATGTAATTATAATCTTTATTTAATTAGAATATATTTATGAGCATTTGGATTAAGATCAAAAATGTGTTGAAAAATGTGTATAATATGATTCATTAAATTAATAATTGCATATGGGAAGATATAAATAATCTTTATATTTGATATAGAGGCACTTTTAGCAATTGTCAAAACTCTTCAAAGAATTTACCTTATGAAATTCATAATTAAAGATTTCATGAATTTATAGCAATTGTTATGATATAATTATAAATCTTAACTAATTAAGAATTTATTAAAGCTTATAATATTTTAATAAATCTTATCTTTTTTAAAAAACATTAAAAATTTAGTTAAATATAGTAAATTAAATGTTTTAAGTATATTTAATTTATTAAATTATTTATTATGAGGTAATTAAATGAAGAAGAAACTAAAATATTTTTTGAAAAATTAGGAGAGTATATAGGAGCAAATATTAAACTATTAATTGAAAATGAAGAGGATCCTCATGTTTTTAGATTAATCAAGAATAAAGTATATTATATGTCTTTATAAATTGCAAATTGGGCAACAAATGTAGGAAAAGATGAATTATTACAGTATTTAATTTAAAATAAATATTAAAGTGTTGGCACATATTTTGGAAAATTTACAAAAACTAAAAAGTTTAGATTGAACATCACTTGTTTAGAGATTTTAGCAAAATATGCTAAACATAAAGTTTGGTTGAAACCTAGTGGAGAACAATCTTATTTATATGGAAATCATGTGATAAAAGGTAAATAAAAATTATATCTTTATAGCACATCTAGCAAAAATGTCTGAAAATATTCCTTAGTATGCAAATGTCATTTTATTCTCATTATAAGAAAATCCATTAGGTTTTGGTGTGGCATCAAGATCAACTTTATAATGCAAAGATTTAGATCCCACTGCTGTAGTTGTTTTTAATTAGGCAGATTTAGGAGAATATTTAAGATCAGAAGATGACAAAAATAATGAAAAATGATGTTTACTCTAAGTATGTAATTTTTGTAAATAGAAATTAATCAAAATTTTAGTTTATGAATATTTTTCACAAATATTAATCTTCCTTTCTATTTATCACTCTTAAAAATATAGATTTTTACAATAAAATTTAATATTAAAAATATCTGTTAACTATCTTTTTTTATATTTGTCAATGTCCACAAAAGTTAGAATTTAGAAAAAAGGATAATAATATGTAGTTTCATAAAAAGAGAACTATACTCCATTTTCAAATTTATCTCTATGTCCAAAACCAATTATTGCTTTAGTTTAATCCTCTTATGATCCAAATTTAATTGAATAAACTCTCAATCAACTGAAAACACCTTAACAATTAAAACATGAATCTCACTTAAATAGAATGAAATAAATTGCTGATAAATAAGAATATTATGTTCATGGATAAATTAGTTCAATTAGTCAAATTGAAACTATTGGATAATTTAGTGATCATTCATTTTATGATCAATTAGAAGCAAATTATACTAAAAATTAATATGCTTACTTTGATGATTCCTATCAAATTTATAATTGAAATAAATATCAATTTTATAAAGCAATATTTAACATTAAATTTCTTTATGAAAAATAATTAATTTATAAAGAAAATAGATAATAAAAATGTTCAATATATTTAAATGACTAAAAGAATTCTCAATTCTGATAGCTATTGAAATACTTGTAGAATTAAGGCATCTGTTTCAAAAAGGCAAATAATATAATTATGATATTAAATACTAAAAAGTGGCTGATTATCATTAATTGATCAATTAATTTAAATTCTTAAAATTTTAAATACTTTTAGAAATCGAACCAATAGAATAGTTAAATGTTTATAAAATGGGTTTCTAAAAATAAAAATTAATTTAGAATTAGCATATTTTATCCAATTAGACATATATAGAATGAAAAGATTAAGAAGAATAAGTTTTTGAAATTTTTAAAGATAAAAAACTTCATCAAAAAATGATAATTTAGTAGAGTACACCAATTAAGTAAAGAAGATCAAGATTTCTTAAATTTTGTATTATAAAAACTTTATATAAATTCAATAAATTTATCAATAAAAGTAAACAAAAAAAAAATTATATTCAAACATCACTATAAATGTTACTTTGTAGAACTAATAGCTTCTTTCCATTCATAATGATATTTAACAACTCAAATAATCTCATTTCATTGTCTAATTTTTGTGTTTTAATTTTTCCTATTAGCATTGATAAATAAGGGTCTTATAATTCTTAAAATTATTGATTAATAAATTACAAACATTAGTTAGTGAATAAAAATGGCTTGATAAACTATTAGTTAATTATTTAATTTTGGAAAAACAAGATAATTTTGATATGTTAAACACAAATTCATATTCTTAATCTGGTTTCAATACAATAATTTATAAATTACTTTAATCATCCTATAATATTGATTAATATATTGAATACAATTAATTTTTATGAATATTTTTAAATCCTCTCCCAGATCTTTTATTATAATGAATTCATTTCTATGTATTGATTGGGACTAGATGAATATATAATCTGAAAATACTTTTTAATTATTGTAATACGTTGGATTTAACCTGATTGATTAAAAAATTCTTAAGTTAAAATAGAGCTATTTCTTCTAGTTGTTAAATCAAAACTTTTCTATTTTAAGATGCTTAATTTATCTACTTCTGCATCATCATGCCTTGATAAAGATTGAACCTTTTTTAGAATTGAATAGTCCTTAAAACTCTTTGATTTCCCAGATTTTCCTAATTAGTGCATTTATCAATTTATTTTTTTATTGTAAAATTACACTACTTAATTATAATAATTTTCCATCAATTAATCATAAGATTAAGAAAGATGACGTAAAACTTTAATAATATAAGATAGTAAATTAAAATGAATTATTTTCTAAAACTTTTAAGTAACTAAAGCTCAATTAAATAATTAATAGTATCATTGAACTTTAAGGTTTAATTTTTATAATTTTTTTTTCTAATCTACAAATTATTTATTTATATGATGTCTATATAAACTTAAAATTATACATGTTTTACAAATGATTGATTTCTATAAGGAGTAAATAATATTAATATTATTAGTAAAAGAGGATGGGCGGGAAGGTATTTTTAAAAATAATTAAATTATCAAAGAACAAATTTGAAAACAATGGTTAGAAATTAAATACAATAATATATAATTTAAATGTTTGATGATTAAGATTGAATTAAATAGAGTGCTAGTAAAGTTATATTAAAATAGTATTATGTATTATATTGATTGAATGGCATAATACTTATTATAAAGATAGAATATGATTAAAATTACATAATTATTACACTTTTAAATAATTTTTAATAAATTATCATTTTATGAAAAGAAGCATTGCTTCTGTAAAAGATTTAGCTGATTATTTTAATGTTGCTATACAGCATAGAGCAAATAATACATTAGTAGCTGGATAATATGTTGCTAGAAAAGTAGTGATATTATAGCTAATATAATAAGGTTTCAATAGTGTCTTTATTTATGTAAACAACAAAAGGGAGAGATAAGATTTGTTGTTTGATTTAGTATTTAGCAGATTTATATGAAGCTTGCATTAAATTTTCAAATATTCCTGAAATTTAAGCAGCATCATCAGATATGTTTTCTAAGAAAATAGCTTCTCGAATTAGAGAGTCTATGAAAAATGGAAGAAAGATATTTAAATTTTTAAAATTCTTTGATTCAATTAGATGTTTGAGTAATATACATTCTAAAAATAAGCCAAAATATTATAAAATTACTACATCTATAATGCATGTTTGTAATTTTTTTTATTATATAATGGATCACATTATATGGGGTATTAATATTGGTGTTTTAAAGTAAAATATAATTATCATATAAATAGTGAAATTGTGTCACTTAAGGCAAAATCAACTATTAAAGGTTATAAAGACTCTTTTTCATTAGCAAAAGCTTTACTAAAATTATTGAAATCTTTTTTTGATTATAAGATCATTTACGATAAAGAAATAGATTTAGTTAAAGAAATCTAACAAATACCAGATAAATCAATTTATGAAGATACTATTGCAGTTTAGTGTGCTAATAGCTTGATTAATAGCAGATAAAAAAGAAGAATTAAATAGCTTAATTTCATAGTTACATTATTGAGAATTGTAATGTTATTAAGAAGATTAAAATTGTTTGGATTAAATAAAAAAATTAGCAAAATATTTTATTCATGTAGTGGTTTAACTATAACTCTAATAAATATAATGGTTTAATTAATTAACAATAATGAAATGATTAATTAAAAATTAGAAAAGAATGAGAAGGAAAAAGAAAAAGATAAAGAAAAGAAGCTCGCAAGAGTAAATTCTTTCATTCCTTAAAATCACTAATTAAAGAAAGTTAAATCAGAATTAGAAAGAATTTTGGGAGATGACTCAGAAAATGAAGGAGATTGAAAATGATATATATAATAATAAGAATCTCTATTTAAAAAGATACTTTACATTCAATTATAATTCTAATTTATTAATTTTAAATATAAAAACAAAAAATAAAGTAAAATATCTCTTTTGAAATTGTGTTTTCTTTTTAAATATTGAAATTTTATTATTAAAATTCAATTAAGAATATTCATTATTACTTATAACTCTTTTTGTTTTAAATTAACAATATATTAGCAATTTATTTTTAGATTAGATTATAAGAAAAGTTTTAAATGTAATATTAGGAAATATAAGAGAGATTTTAATTGTTGCTATTTTTTTTTGAAAAATGAAAATTTCTATAGCCAATAAAATAAAAAGATTATTATTTTATTTTTTACCTTGTAATTATTTTGTATAAGCTGAGGAATCACAAAAATACCATGAATTTAAAATTAAATTTATAAAAGAGTGAAAAATAATGTTGATAGTAGGCAATCAATTTTAAACAAATGTTGAAAGAAATCAATAAATAAAAATTGATGAATCATGTGAATTTGTTTTTCTTTTATTACAAAAATCGAAATACTGAAAATCCAAGATTCTCACTTTAGCTTCTAATTCTAACATTCTTAAGTTTTAAATTTAATATACATATTCTTTTAATGCTCTTTAACAGGAAATATGATTGAGAGCCTTTGGTTTCTCATCATTTTCAGATTCCTCAAAAATGATATCATCAGGAGAATAAACAGTCAATTTTTATTATTATATTTTAGGACCTTTATGACCCTCTAAAATTAATGGTTCAATTAATTATGGGGTTTCTTTGGGTCTAAAAATAATTATTTAGTAGAATACTTAATTTAAGGCTTAGGAGGAGGTTTATCATAAGTATCTAAATATTCTTAGTAACTCATTGAAGAATGATATCTCTATCTTATTTCTTAAGCGTAAAGATTATCCATAATTTTTAAATATAAATAATAAAATCCATAAAATACTCATAATTTATTTATTCAATCAGATGATATGAATTCAACTTCATCAAAAACGTAATAAAACAAAAAACATGAAAATAAATAATGATTAGACTTAAGCATATTCAATTTTTATGTTCTTTTAGCCTAAAGTAAACATTTAAAATATACTTTCTATTTAGTAAAAATTATGATTTCATTCTTAGAATCAGAAAAGTAGACCATTACATCCACTTTTACAAATTCAAAAATATATCACCACATTATTCTGATTTACAATTTTAACATTAAATACTCATAATGTTCAAACTATTAAAAAGGCTTATCCAAATTATTTACTCTAAACCATTTCTAAATGACAAGCTCAAATTTCTAAGCAATAGTTTAAATCTAAATTCTAATTCTTTATTTAATTTATTCATATAATTTAAAGCCGAATCCTGTAACTTAAATTTTATACAAGCTCGTAATCATTACTTTATATTTATATTTATTAGTAGATTTACTTGCTTTTGATATTAATTTCACACCTTTAACATTTCAGTTTCTTTTATGATCATTAAATTTTTAATTATTCATAACTCACAATTTAATTAGGCTATTTTTATATTACTAAAAAGCATGAATTATAATTTTTCTGATTTACCCAATGTTCAGATATACCTTTCATTATTGACAATCTTTTCAATTAAAAAATTACAAAAATATTATTATTTTTATTTACTTGTACTTTAATTATTTATTTTTGGAAATGTCTTTTATTAATTCTAAAATTTTAATTTCTTACTCTTTATTCCTTATTTTAAAATTATTAAATACTCTAAATATATTCAAATTATAAGAAGTTTGTCTCTAATTATATTCTTATAAACTAAAGTTTAAATGCTTTCAGTTATTTTCCATACATATATACTTCTAAGGAATATTATACATTTTTCTCTAAATATATCTATCTTCAACTAAAGTTGCCTTTCAAACATCAGATGTTATTATTTTTTTAATATGTCATTTTTATTATTTATGTTTTCACATTTCTATTAAAAAGATCTTTAAAGTAACTTTTTTTAGTATTATTATTAATTATTGATTCTTTTACTTGGCATATTAAAGACCTTAAAATCACAACTTTAAATCATTATAATCGATGAGAAGAAATTCATAATATAAGATTGACAAATGGTGGTGTTGATTATTAAATTTCTTAAGGTCTGATGTTAATTTTGAGAAGAATGTTAATTTATTTTGTATTTATTATTTGATATTTATGATAATAATTATAATTTTTTCATTAATAGTTTAAATATTATATTAAAATTTACACTATAATTCTAAAGAATAAAAATCTTCTGAAAAACTTTATTAAGAAAATGAGATCTTATCAAGTAAATGAACAATAAAAGTTTAATCTATATCATTTTTTATAATATTAAAACCAATCTCAAAAAAAGATTAGGGTTCTTTATATTTATAAAATATCTTTAGATCAAAATTTTTAGTTTAATTCTAAATTTACAGAAAAAATATCGTTTCGAGATGAAACATAAAAGAGAATGCTCAAATTAAGTTCAAAATAAAGAAAAAAGAAATATAACTAATTATTGAATGATAATAAATTTGAAACTAAAGGGACAAACTTATTAAAATATGATTTAAGTATAAATTTAAGTATAATTTAAAGGCAATTATAAATAATACGTTTAATAAGATCAATCATCTTTATTAGAAAACTAAACTTCAGTGCTTAAACTATTTTATTTTTTATATTTATCTTCTTCTTTGTTTTAAACAATGCTTTTGACTTTTCCTTATTGATTAAGAAAATTATTAATCTTATTTAAGGAAATAATAATTGATTGATCACTTGGTTAACATTGTAAGAGATATTTTTATAATTTGACTTCAGGTATTGGTTTCTAAGTTAATTAATATAAAATATACAATTGGATTAATCTATTTAATATCATCATCATTATTTATATGCAATGCTTAGATTTTCATTAAATTACAATTTTTATTTGTCAATTCAAATTAAGGCATCCCAAGTATTTTTCTAAATTCAAGAAACTCTTTTTTTGAAATTGTATTTTCCAATCTGTATCCCTTAGATTTATGAGCCTTTCCCATTAAATAATATTTGATAAAAATAAAAATATAGTTAATTTAACTTATACATTCAATTTATATATAGCGAAAAACCGAAAATCTATTTAGAATTAAAAAAATGTTTAAAAAAATATTATATTAATAAAATATCACAAATCTATTTTAATAAGAAGAAATACCATCTTTAGTAAATTAAAAAAAAAATAACAGTGAATTAATTTTAATCTCTGGCTTATCTCAAATATTAATAAAAAATGAAATATTTCTAGAATAAAACTAAGACATAAATTAACTCGATTCAAATCTTAATTGATATTCCTTGGAATGTTATTAAAATTAAATAGAATAAATTTGTATGAAAAAATCAAAAATAATACTTAATATGAGTATCAAATGACAGTGTGTCAAGATATGTATTAAAATTTATGAAAATGTTAAAATTAAAGCAAGTATTTTAAAAAAAATCATAAAAGCCAATCATCCAAAGAAACTTCTTTAAGTAGAAGTCGTTCATTCTAATTAGTATTCAGTATTTTTTTGATTAAATTTTTTAATTGGGATGACATATATTAAGGAAATTCTATTTTTCCATTATTGATTGATTTATATAGATCTTTATCATCAGTACCTTGAAAAGGAAATAAACCAGTTGTCATTTTAAAAAGTATTATACCTAAAGCCCAAACATCAGCAGGAAAACTATATGTTTACTTATTAACTATTTCAGGTGCCATATATGATGGAGTGCCACAAAATATATTAAGTCTGCTGGCAGGATCAATAGCAATTGAAAATCTAATATAAGAAATAAGAATTATTTTACCCAAAATCTATAATTTTAATTTAATTATTTAATGGATCAATAAGTATATTTTCTAATTTTAAATCTCTATGAACAACACTTTTATGATGACAATATCTTAAAGCATCTACAATTTAAATAAAAATATATTTAGCTTCATTTTCATCAAGTTTTTTTTATGGTTTTTACTTAATAAAAGAATTTAAAGAAGTGGCACTGTAATATTCCATTATTACATGTAATTAGACTTGAGTTTCACAAGCACCAACTAATTTAATAATATTTGGATGTCTTAATTTAGATAAAATCTTAACTTCTCTACAAACATTTTTTCTTTTTTATTAATCATTAATTTTAGCCTTTTCATATGTTTTAATAGCACAAAATAATTATCCTTTTTATGCTAATCTTACAATTGCATAAGAACCTAATCCAAGTACTTTTGATAAAATATAATTTTCAATTGATTTTTCTAATAAATTTTCAGGTAGCACTCCTTGTAAAATTCCTTATTCAAAAATATTTTCAGTTTGCATTTTGACATTTTCACTTACAATTCTTATTTCTCTTTATTTTGTTTCTGGAGTTTAAAATCTTGGACTTTACTTTTTAGAAGTACCATGGTACTCAATAGGAACATTTACCTTAACAGGACTTTTGGCTAATGGAGATACAGACTTTTTTCCATTAGATTTATTTAACTCATGAATTATATGTTATAATTCAGCTATCCTATTTTTAGCTTATTTAATATTATCGACATTAGATGTATAATCTTTTAGAGGAGGTCGATTCTCAAATTAAAAATTAGGACTGCAATAGTTTATGTTCATTAACAGATAGTTATTATTAATTTTTATTTATTAAATTATTATTACAATTAAAATTATATAAATGCATTTTTGATAAAAAAATTAATTTCATTTAAAATTATTAGTTAAGTAAAGAATCTCTTTTGGATTCTTAACAGAGAATTACAAGCAATTCGGGCAAAATCCTTATTCTGTTCGTATTTGACTCTTTTATTTCCAAAGACAAATAAATCTACAATTGTTACTCTAACATTAAACTAAAGTTAAATTTTAATACTCTAGTGATTTTAAACTATTGAGTAATTCAGGTAATTCTAAAGTTAATTTCATTTCTAAATATTATTTACCAATCAATTCAATCTAATTACAAATCTAGGATGAAAAAGTCTATTTACAAATCTAACATCTAGCTATCATTTTCTACATTAATGAATTCTACAATATTTCTTATAATTTGTTCTTTTCAACTTTATGCCCACATTTGTTTAAAAAAGTTTAGGTTTCTTGAGTTTCTAGATCATCAAATTTCATCCCATCTTTTGATTTAAAAAAATCATTTTATTCTGAAATATTTATTTTTTTTCCACTTTTCTCATTATAATTAGATCTTTAAAGCAGATTTTCATTTTATTTTATCAAATACTCAATTTTAGAACTAAATTCTCTATTTTAATTTTAAAGCAAATTATTTTGGTAATATAATTCTTATATTGATTTTTAATTCTATAATTCTTTTATTTGTTGTTCTTTTTACTAACTTTCATTTTAATTCATCAAATAATCAATTTTAGAACTAAAATCTCTATTTTAATTTTATAGAAAATTTATTTAGTCATATAATTCTTTTATATGTTCTTCTTTTTACTATATTGAATTTTAATTCATCAAATACTCGATTTTAGATTTATAATCTTTATTTTAATTTAAAAGATAATTGATTTAGCTAGATAATTCTATTATTTTCTTTTCTTTTTACTACATCTTATCTTCTATAAGGCTGACTTATTTTTACAATTGAATATTTTCGCTCTCTATTTCCTTTATTCTTTATTCATTATAAATTTAAGCTTATTTTTTCTCAAGCAAACTAATTTTTATGAAAAATTATACTTTTGAGATTCCCTATTTTATTCTATTTTTTAATAGTTTTAATTTGTTTAATTTTATTGCCATTAATTATAAGCTGAATTATTGATGCCTTATTGAACCTATGTACCTTTTTATTTTCATGAATACTTACTTTCTTTATTATTGTTCACATATTATGATTGTATTTATTTTTATGAAACATCCATTTTATAATAGACTAGGGAGGTCTTGAGAAATTATTATAAATAACAATTGTAACTATCTTTGAAAGGTTCATTTTTGGTAAAATAGATTTCTATTTTACCTTATTCAGATTAATTTTTTTGAATAAATATAAGCAGGTCTCCAACAATCATGTTCTTTTAGACTTTGAAACTCAAATTAGTTTAACTTTAAGAATTGCCTAAATTAATAAGAAATATTTCCTCAATATTCATATTGATTTAACTTATTTTATTTATTAATTTTTATTTAACTGGATATAACTATTATATATAAAAATAAAAATAATAGTCTCTCTTAAAAACATTCATAAAAAGAGGATCTATTTAAAATATTTTATATATTCACTTGTTTGAAAATTAGAATGTCGAAAATTTGAAATAATTATTAAGATTATTACAATTAATCATTCATAATAAATCTATTTTACCAAAAAAAAAAAGAAGAATAAGTTGACATTTAGGATTATATCATAGTTCCATATATAATTTTTGAAAATTATAGAATCCCAAAGTTGGTTTAAATGTACAATTTTATTCATATGGGTTTAAAACTGAAGCGAACCTATAGATCTAGATTATGCTAAAAAAGAAATAATGTTAAATATTTTCAAATTGATTTAAGTCAAATCTCTGAAGAATAATATAGATAATTAAGAAAAATATTCAAAGATCAAAACATCCTTCAAGAAATAAAAAAAAAAAATAATGATACTAATAGTTTACAAATTCTTAAGAACATTATTCCATTTAGTGTTAGGTCATTTGAATACTTTTTAAATCATGAAATACCTAAATAATTGAATATAATTGAACTAATAGAAAATGTGAGAAAGCAAAAGTAAGATTCTAATCAGAATAGAAGGAGAATTCAAAAGTTTGAAATAAAAGAATTAAAAGAATTAATAAAATAATAAAACTTTATTTAACAATTTTCAAAATTTTTAAGTAGCAAAACTTATGAGAAGTTATTTATTGATGATAATAAAAGAATTCAGCAAGAAAAAAAGTAAAGTTATAAAATTGCATCTAAAATGGTTTTGGATGAACTTAATAAACCTATAAATTAAAGATTTTAAAGATTTATATCAAAAAGAAATAATATGCTTCAATCTTTTTAAATAAAAATGTAAGAAAGCAATCATAAAGACAATTATTCTTAAAACTAAAGTGAGAATCTTGGAGACCAAAATAGTAATTATGATCATTACTTGGATTTAGACAATCATACAAATAATTTTATGGAATCTAATTGAGAGTTTCTCTTAATTATTTTTAAATTTTTAAATTTTTAAAAAAAAAAAAATTTATCTCTATATTAAGAAAACAGCTAGATTTTTTATTTTTTAAATTTATATATTTTATGTATTTTTTAGAAGAAAGATGAGATGAAATGACTCTAAAATAAATTACATATAATTCTAGTTAAATTTTAAAGCATTTGCTATTAAAGTATAAGTAAAATGAAATTCATAATATATTTTTGCTTAATTAGTAATTTAATAGTAAATTTAATAGATTCAAAATTTTGTGTTATGACATTTCAATTAAACAATTAAATAAAGAAAATATTATTTAATGATTAAAAATATCCAAAAACTACCAAATAGATTCACAACTTATTAATAATTTTTAAATGTGCAACTTATCAAATTTATAACTTATTAGAGATTCATTTTAATAAAAATTATCAAGATAATTTGAAATAGACTAATTTATCTATAAAATCCCATAATTTCCTTATATTTCTTAATAATTAAAAAATTATTTTTATATGAAAATAATAGCATAAGAAACTCATAAAAAAGATCATTATTTTACTTATTTACCATAAAAAATCATTTAATAGCTTAAAAGAAGAAGAATAAATATCATAATAGAAGAACCTATTAAAATTAATAGTTAAAAGGGGTAAGTTTAGGATGAAAAATCTCAATATCCTAAAGATGTTGTGGTTTTAAAGAAGATAATCTCATTTATTTTGAATGCTTTCTAAAAATTTTTAAGAGCAAGAGATGATCCTAATTCTAAAAACTTAGAATAAAAAATAATTGAGCTCAAAAGTCTTAAAAAGAAAGCTAAACAACAAGCTAAATAGGCATCAGTTAAATTAGAAATAAAAGAACTCAAACAATTAATGGAATGGAAAGAAGGATCTTTAGATTTCTCAACTTTGTTCATTAAATATTTAAAAAGCAAAGAGTTAAAGGACTATATTGATAAAAATAAGAAAATAAAAAGTATTCCAACTAAAGATGATTATCATAAAGCTGTCAAATTAGTCTTTCTTGAACTATAGAAAAAGGATAAGTTATTTGTGAAATTTATATCTAAGAATTAAAGTTTTTAAGAAATTGTTTTAAATGAATACGAATATGATAGTTTTGATAGCAAAAGTCAATTTGAAGAAGAGTAAAATGATTATTCAAAAAATTTCTTGGTTAGAGACAATTTGCAAAAAAACTATCACGGAATTTTAGGATAATGATGATTTACATCGTTTATTTTAGAATATAAAATTTATTTAATAGAAAAAATACGTCGAATTTCTACTGAGTAATTTAATTATTTTACTTTTTAGAAATATTGTAATTTTCTATTACATGTTTTCGTTCTCATCTTTATTTTTTAATCTTGAAGAACTAATGTGTATATGAATCATGTTAATTTCCAAAGAAACTTAATTTTGATCTTCTAAGTTTATAAAATTTCTAAGTTGGTAAAAATTTTTAATTTTACAAGAAATGTTTTCTAATGCTTCTAAGAATCTGTAAATATTTTCTTTTTCAATTCTTTATTTTATTTACAATCCTTTTCATAAATAAATTTTGAATAAAACAACACATCATTAAATTTTGTATTAGAATTTTTTGAAATTTTAAATTATCTGTTCAAAAAGCTAGAAATTCTATGATATCATAAATCTTTTATATTTCAATATTCACCTTTATTTTAATGAAACCATTCAAGAAACATAATTTAAGTCTAATACCTGACTTATATTTTAATCACATATTAAGGAATAGATATTAGATAGCATTTTTATACATCTTTTGATTTCATCTCTCCAATTGATGGTGGCTTTAGATTACTAATTTATTCTATATTCTAGATTAATTTAAACATTGTTTATGTCTTTAAAAATAATAACTTATAGGATTAAGTTCTTGTTTACCTTTATTCTTTTTTCTAAAAATGAATCCTGAAAAATTTTAAAGGTTACCATGTCCAATTGATTGCTAATAATTTTTAATGATGTTTAATTTGTTTTTATTCTTGTCAAATTTGGATTATTTTCAGATATTAGCTTTTGCATACATTTAATTCTTTAAAATGAAATAAATGAATCTAACTTATTAGTTTAAATTTTCTTTTATGTGTTATTTAGGCATTTTATTGCATAATATAAAATTTAATGAAAAATAATAGGTTCAGAGATTTAAAGATACATTTTTATGTGTTAAAAGAAATCATATAAACTTAGTAAATTCTTTACACAAAAATATCTTAACTATTTCTCTCAAAGTTGTATTAAATTAGGTAATTTAAGAAATCTTAGAATAAAAAGATCACTTAATAAGATATATTTTAAAGGATCTAATCAATTTTAATATTATTTAATTCTATAAAATATTATATAAATGACATCTCATTTAGAAAATAAACAAATCTATCTATCAAACCTTTTTTTATCTTAGAGAAAAAAAGAATAATCGAAATTATGGAAACACAGAAATTATGATTTATTGTTCAACTTTTAATAAAAAATTTAATTTTCTATTAACTAATTAGAATTTGTAATTAAATAATGAGAAATAGGTTAATAATTTCAATTAAATATTTAATGAGAATGATCAATTTTCAAATTTAAAGTAAATATAAGCTGATTGACATTCTTAAATAAATAAAATCTTATATCAAAGAAATTCTTCAACTGTTATGCAATAAAATTATAAATAATTGACTTTATCCTAATTTACAAGAGAAGATAAAATAGCATTTAATTTATAATTATGAAAGAACTACTTAAAATTAAAACAAGAATATAAATTTTATAATGAGTTAGTACCTCGAAAGATAAATAAAAGTAAGTTATCTATTATAGATTAAAACAAGAACTTAAAGAAAGAGTAAAGAGTTTATTAAAAATGTTGTAAGAATCTCATTAAATTTTAATGACATATTGATATGAATATATTAAATAATATATCAGTAAATTTTTTAATAAATTATAATAAATTTATATTTAAAAGTATTAAAATCTGAAGAGAAGAAATTTGGTTTGATTTGATTTAATATTTATATAAATATAAATAAAGACAAGAATATAATATGTTATAGAATTATGAAAATGAATAAAATAAATTCATAATTGATCATTGAATAGTTCGAATTTGTTCTGTCTTTGAATAAGTAATTATTCAAGTTATTCAATCTTTGCTGTCTATTTATTCATCATTGTTATTTGGATGAGCATAATAATTATCATTATTGTAATTAACAAAATAAAATATGCTTCTTTTTATAAAGCTACAGAAATTAATCCACTTTATTCCTTTTATGTTTCTAGATTAGAATTAGAAGTTTTTAGTATTTTATTAAAAATATTTTGATTATCAAGTTTAATCGAACTAAAAATAAATAATAAAATTATTACTCTTCAAAATCATGAATTGAATAAGAAATAGTTGATGATTTTGACTACTTAGCTTAGTTTTCTAATTTAATTTTAACATTATTAATCCATTTTTCATAATCTTCTTTAAAACCTATCATAGTTCTATTTATAATAGTATTTTTCATAATAGTAGATTTAGTAAATATAACTGAAACAAATACTCTAAGAATACATTTATTATCTTCAAGTGGTGTAATTTCCCATTTTTCTTCAGCTTAGAAACAATTTCCATAAGGTACATCCAAAGTATGAGTTGTACAAGTATAAATAATTTTTTATTCATCTTTTTTGTAAGTGAATAATTTATGCATTCTAGTTTTATCTTTAAAGGGGACTCCTGTAAGTTTCATAACATGTTTCATTTCTCTTAGATACATATCTTAAGAATCTTCATTTACTGTCCATTTAGTTAAATTCATATCAGTGTCTTTTTCATTTTAACGATGATCATAAATTGAATACAAAGAGGCATTATCAGCTATAAAGAAATCAAAGAATTTATCTAAAGAAAATGAGAATGTGAATTTGCAAATTTCTTAATTAGTAGAAGACTCAGATTTTAGAAATTAAATTTCAACTTCAGCATTATCAATTTATGATTATTCATTATTAGAAGTCTCATTAAAGACTGTTGAATCATTTAAATTACTTAAAGGTTAACCTTATAATAATGCATTCATAAAATTAAGTACATGATCCTTATCTTAAAAACTACTAAAACAATACTATTTATTATTATTCATAATGATTTCAATATCATTTTTATTCTTACTCTCTATTTTTAGTATGTCATTAATTTTTAAAACAAGATTAATTTTACTACCTGCCAAATTTGCGTAAAAACATATGTGATTCTCAGATAAAAATATCCTACCATACTTTGAAATTAGACTTTTTAAAGCACAAGAATAGTCATGGAATATGATTTCTCCTTTTGGCAAAGCAAAAAGTTGAATTAATAATTCTTTAGCTGACATTTAATAATATTATTTAAATAGATATAATTATTTTTTATTATCATTTTTTCTATAATTATGTATTAATAACATGTGCTAATTTCACTATTTCGCTGAGATATGTTGGTGATATATGTGCAGCATTGATATCACAATTTTCTAGTTTATTTCTCATATTAACTAAATCATTGAGAGGTATCATATCAGAGATATCACTATTTGAGTTATATCTTTTAATTTATTAAATCTCATTGCGATCAGTTTATGCTCTTGGAGATTAGTAAAACCCTTAAAATTGGGTGACTACAGATTTAGGACTACTTATAGGATGTCCAAAATTATTATTAACAAATTATTAAGGTGATGTTGTTATTGATTTAATTCTTAAATAAATTTTATTTTTACTTCTATTGCATACCATTAAGAGTCACAGGAGATGATATATTTTTTGGAGAACAAACACGTGAATCTGTTTTTAACTTATTTCCACTGCAATTCTACAATCTACTTGATATTGAATCAAGAGTTGGAGCACTAAAATCCATTTATTATTACTTTTTCTTAAACGATTTTCTTTGACTATTTAATTGATTGTCTTATCCTATTTTTGTGTTTGAAGTATTTCCAGAATACTTATCATTTAGTCTTTCTCTATACAATTTTATATTAAAATTTAGTTAATCACTCATCTAAGTTAATTACAAATAAATTTTAATAAATAATCATCAATATATCAAAAACAAGTAAAAAAGAATTGATTAATTAATAGATATCTGCATTTCACTATAATTAAATTGAAATCTTTATCTATTCTCTTTATTTCTTTAAGTTTTCATCACTTTTACAAATAAACAGAATAGAATTATGAAAATTATAAAATTAAGGAAGTTTAGAATCAATATTTTCAAATTTATGATTAAATACATAACAAATCATAAAGAAAAGATAAAAACATCCTTGAAGTTAAAATTATTATTAAGATAAGTTTGAGAAATTGAATAAATATTAAATATATTATATAAAAACTTTAAAAATTTAGATTCATAATTGCTTTGTTAAATTTTTTAAATAGAAATAAAAGAAAACAATTTAATTCAATGATAGAGACTTGTAAATTATAAAATTTATTAATAATATAATTGAATTCTATATAAATACTATTTTATGTTTATAAAAATAATGATAAAAATCATAAATTTGATATCTTCCCAAATTTAAAGTAGAATGATAATTAGATTTATAATAATTAATAATCATTTCCAAAGTATAGCATTTCCTCCTTAATCAGCTGTTATCATAAATCCATTAGCTTTGAGATAAGCAAATGAAACAATTCCATGTTCATGTTTTTCTATTTTGGTAAGTATTTTGGCTTATTGTATTAATGTTAAGCTAATCGATTTATCATTACTTACACTTGCTATAAAACCTGGTTATAACCTAATGTATTAAGAAGTAATACATAGAAATTTTAGTAATTTTATCTTCATGCAAATTGAGTTGTTTCATAATAACTGCTCTTCCATTTTGCCATTAGAATATTTTGGCAATACCTTTTTCATTACCTGTTATAAATTTTTATTAAATGGATTATTTTTTTTTGGAAACTAATTAATCAATAGGTGATACAGCATATACTTAACAATCATCATTGATATATTAAAATGGATTGATATTAGAAAATGGTAATGATAATGAAACAGTCTTATCATTATTTGCAGAAATTAATATACATCCATTTAATAAGGTAAAATCCAAAACTTATTAGCCTTATTTTAAGATTTGTTCTTCAAGAAGTTTTAAATTAACATCTAATTTCCATAATTTAATAATGCCATCATCAGAACATGAGATTATTTATTCATCAATATCTAGAAATATACTATTCATGCTTCCAGTTTAAGATACTTAACTACTTAATTAAGCTGTGGTTGTGCTATTAGTAAAGAAGTTTTATGAGAATTAAGGATTAACATGTAAATATTTAATTTTTCTAATAGAATTATTATGTGCTTATGATACAATGAATGATGGTTTCAAGCTTTTCAAATCCCAACTGCATAATGAATTACCTGTTTATGGTGAATATCCACTTGAAAGTAATACTGATTATCCATTAAATTAGAAAGCTCTTAAAGAGAATACAAATATTCCATGTTTTAAAATTTAAGTTTGCTTTTTTAAGTTAACATTATAAATAATAATAGTTCCATCAATAATAGCTATTGCAGCTAAATTTTCATTTACAAAACAAACATCAATAATAGTTTTATCTGAAGGTTTAAAAAAATGAAAGGGTTCCCATTCACTTAAACTTTTACCATCTTATTTTATTTTATATATGCTTTCTTCTAAACAATATGGTTCGCTATTTAATAAATGATATTATTTTTAAATAGCTTCTATTTCACCATGTTATTTATATAAATCCATAAGATTTTATATTTTTTCCAAAAATATTTAACTAATACTAACAAGTTTATGCTGCAATTTATCTGCTTTTTTTGGTAATACTTATTCTGTCTTAACTATTGCACTTAACATATTATCTATTAATTATTTATTATTAATGAATTTAATTCCTAAAATAACAGCAGGATTATTTGATGCTATTTTTCTAAAATAATAATTTAAAATAATATAATACTATACAGTCATCATATGAATAAATTGATCAAAATATTCTTTAGTAAATTATCCTCTTAGTTCTTTAGGTGTAGATTCTTCTATTAAATGATATTTAACAAACATTTCTTTAACAGTATGAACTTATTCTGTTAATAAATTTTTAACATTTTCTCCTGCATTACTAAACAATTTTTCAATTCCTTTATGAATACTTAAATCATCCCATGGAATAGATAATTGTTCAATTATTTCTTTATTTAATATTCTACTTAATCTAGCACTGAATTCACTCATTTTCATTCTATCTACACATTTAGTATCAATTAAACAATCTGCACACATTTTTCTATCTTTATGTTAGCAATCCAATTTTACACAAATAGCTAACACCTATCTAATTTAATTGTAGTTTTACTTCTTAATTATGAGCTAAACATTTAAAATTTATTTTCTATTATTATTATTATTGATGATTTTATTAATTATGTCCTTATTGAATATCTTTAGGAGATGTAATATTTGATTTATCTTCATTTTATTTAACTCTACTAATTATATTAGATTAATCTTTATTTTGAGCAACCCTCTTACTCATTAATTAAGGTTTAGAATCTTCATCTAATAGATATTCCATTGGAGTAGTTAATAAATGAAATAAAAACTAGCATAAACATTTAATCTAATTACTTCAATTGCTGTCATATATTTACTTACTACTTAATTAAACTTAGATACAAAATCATTTGAAAATTCTGTTATTTTATTTTTCTTTTTCTCTATTTATTCACACATTGTCTCTAAAACACCTCTATTCTAAATTAAATAAATTGCAAAATCTAAAGTTTCTGAATGAGCCTCATTTGCTTTATCTAAAATAATCATATTATTATTATTAATATACTTTCTAAAATAAGTTCTAGTTAATGAATTGTTTACTCTTTTAATTTAAATGGTAACTTTTATGAAGCCCAATAATAATTGGTTATCAAAATAGGAACATATTGTTATCCAATTGAAGACAATTTAGTTAATACCATCTCTATTACTGCTGTTATTTATCTATTCAAATCAGATTTAACTTGATTTTTCTCATCAAATAATTCCATAAATGCTTCTTATGCATCTTTTGATAAACAACTTCTTAAATGTCTCAAATAATCTGTGATACGAAGTTTCTTACTACATGAATAATCTATCAAGCATTCTACACATAAAATTTTATTATTATGTTAGCAATCTTCACACATACAAACAGCTTTTATTGGTTCATCTGAATGAACTAAACAATTATAACTATCAATTTATTATGGTTTTGGAGTTCTAATTTACTATTACTATTGATTTCTTTAACTTTAAGGAACGCTTTCACTTATTTCTATTTTCTTCGGAGTTCTATCATTTTGTTTACCTCTTGTAGGCTTTTTCTTTTATTCCTAACATAAAACAGCGTTTCCCATTTTTTTATTAATTTATTTTTTAATATTGTAATAATTCTCAACAATTATCTCTCTTTTTAAAAAATTTTTAATCATCCTCATTAAGTTCTCTATTTAATATCATAATATATTATTTAATATATAACATTACAAAATCCTTCTTAGTTGATTTTATATATTACCCTTTCTTTAAATATTTTATTTTAATTCTTTTAACCAAATAAGAATCACTATGATTACTAATTTTATTATTAATATATATCTTTTTAATTTCAAATTAAAATGAACAATTAAGAATAAATTAAGAATATGTTAATCTTTATTATCAGAATGACTCTCAATCTTTTTCAATTTAATTATCACTTTTAAATAATTTTAAAATTAAAATAAAACCTTTAAAAATATGTATAATTAAAATACCTTTATTTAGTTTTTGTATAACTTAAAATTCATAGTAATTGTTGAATAAATCTCCAATTCTTTTCTAAAATAAAAATTAATCTGAATATTTATTAAGCAATTCTATTCAAGCTTTCATCTTTTTTTTCCTGTTATGATATCAAATTTTAGATATAATATTCTAATTTTCTAAATAGATTGTAACTAGTTACATTTTAAAAATGTATATTTAAAAATAAGTTTTTTTTTTCTTATTTTTTTTTTATTGTCAAATATAGTAATGGATTATTAATTTTTAAATATTTGTCTGTAATAATATGAATTTCATTAGAATCATCAGTTATAAATACTTACAATAAAACATTTAAATTTAATGAGTTAATCCTAATCCTGCTACTAGTTTATCATTTAATTAAAACTCAGTATAAATCTTAAATAATTAATATTAATAAATTTCTTTCTTTCACAAATTAATTTGATTAAAATTAATAATTAAAAATAAATCTACTTTTTTATTGAACTTTTCAAAAAAGTCTTGAGGATTTTAAGAAGCAATGTTACTGTTTAAAAATCCCTCAATATTAGATTATAAATCACTTATTTATATTAGTAGTTCTTTATATTTTATGTTATCTCTCTATTTATTCTAAATAGGATTTCGTTGGTTCATTTGAGTTTAGAAGTTTTAGAATGATTCGATTCTCCTATCATCCTTTTTAGAAGTTAATTTATCTTATTAAGATCTTATTTATATTTTTATTATTATTTATTTTTAATTAAATTAAAAAATAATTTTAGAAATCAAATCTTAACTTAAAAAATCTTAATTAAATTAAAATAGTTTCCCTATAAATATGATAAGAAATTCTTTTTTTTAAAATATATTTATATATATATATTAATTACAATATCATCACCTTTCAATAATTTATAAAGAAACTATTTTCCATTCCATTTAAACTGTATAAGCTTAATAGTCATGATCATTATTTGGAATAAGCAATTAAATTTTAAGTTCTATGCAAATGTAATATGAATTATTTGGATTCTATTTTTAAAACTTCTCTTTAAAAGGGTTTAAGATTTCACAATTTGTAGGATTTTTAAAATCTACTATCGTTGTAATATATGCCTTCCATACTATTTAGATATCAGTGCATTCACTTTGTTCAAGAATCCAATTTCTAGAATTATTGTAAAGTTGTTCAATTTTAAAATAGTGTTAATTTTATCTTTTAATAAGTATATTGTAAAGTTTAAATGAATCATCTTATTAAACCAATAGCTATGATTAATTATGATAGCATGGATTTATTGGAAATGAATATGGATTTAATTTTAATACATCATTTCCTGTTAAAATCAAATAAAGATGCTTTTTCTATATAGAATATTCTAAAACTATTTAATGGGGCCAAGATTTTAATGATGTATATAGAGATAATTTCATATTATTTAGAGCATAAGAACAAAATGTTTTAGTTTTCAAATTAATAAAAACTACCTCTATAATGTTCATTATAAGATTAGATCTAATTATAAAATAATAATTACTTAATGGATTCACCACCAATAAGTATAAAAGATAAATAATGATCATCCTAATGAAATCCATTATTTTAGCATATTTGTGGACATCTTCTATTCTCAATACAATTTAAGAGATTTTCAGAATTAAAAATTTTTGTTGAAGGAGCCTTATTGATTCTTTTAATCTCATCAAATTCTTCAAGTTAATTTAAATCAAACACCAAAATTCCATCGAAAAATTAAATGTTATTAATTTAACATTCATAACCATATGCAATAATTAAATATTTTCCTATAACCAATATGCTTGGCTCAATTAAATTTTTTGGCATTTATAATGTGTTGCTAGAATATTAGAATCAAATTACAATATTTTTTAGATTTGGCTGTTGTTTTCGTATTTTACAATAGTCTAAATTTCTTAAGAGTGAACTGAAAAATCATTCTAATTAAATAAAATAATGATATTTTAATCATAAAAACAATGAGAGCTTGTAAAACTTTAATTTGACCTATATAAATCTTGAGGAAATATCCATTAGATAAAATCTAATTATAATCTTATCGCAAATTAGTAAATATCATAAATCAATGCTAAATTATCAAATTATGAGATTTATTTTTTTAAATAAAGTACTTAATTTTCGAAAAATTTATGGTATTAATAAAAAGCTTTTTACATTCTATCAGCCCATTGAATAATTTTATTTGGAGTGTTATCATAAAAAGTTGTCAATTTTATTTTTTTAAAACCAGATATACCATATACAATTGCATTTAAATAAGAATTATACATTTCACTACCTGCTACATTTTGCTAATATTATAAATTCTATATTGAAGACTCATATTTATATCTCAAATATACAATAACATTTGCTTATTTTTATAATTATCTTAATAAATATTCGATTCCATTATATTCAAATTAAAATTAACTTGAGACTTATAAATCTAAATAAATAAATTTTGGATTAAATGAATTTAATATGGGCTGTAAAAACATAGAATATATTATTTGAATCTACTGTTCTGATAAAGCTTAATCGTATAAAATAGGAAATATCTATTATGAAATGCTTTATTTATTTTGTTTTTATCTATTAAATATTTTTTATTATTCATGTAAATTTTAAAAACAATTTTCATAATCTTCTTCTTTATCAGTATCATTGTTTTCATTTTAAATTTATTATTCATTATTATTTACCCTTTTACTTAATGGGATAAATGAAATATATTTTGAGAATCTTTTATTATTATAATTAAAAAAATTCCAAAAATCAAGATGCTATTATTAATTTTCACCTGTAAAATTGATATACAACATATGATAGCTTTCAGAATTTTTAAGTCTTTTATTTTATATTAAAAGATTTTAAACAAATGAACTAACATGCAATAATGTATCACATTTTTAATTTTCATTTTGATGCAATAAAATAATGTTTTGATAGTCTTATTTTACTCCTTTTTTTTCTTAATCTTATTATTATTTCAAAATTTATTCTAATCCTTGATAGACTTCATATATTTATACATAAAAATTAAAAAACTCTGGAGAATTTGGAGACATATTTTACATCCATGCAGTAACCTACAAATTATGAAAATTTTCATACTGCTTAATACTTCTATTGTTCAATTTAATCTAGTTATTTAAACGAATACATATTTCCATCTTGATTTTATGATCGATTTTAATCTGTTATTTGTTTACTTTTTAATAGATTATCAACCATTTCCAAAAATTATTTATTTTCCTAAAAATTACTATAATGAGGTAAAATTTCAGAAATATTAGAATAAGTTTAATTCTCTAAATGTATTTTTGCATAATACAACAACGATTATGCTTTTATAATGCTTTATTAAATTTAGAAAGTTTGAGTAATATCATTATTTATTTCATTGTTAAAAATTTGTTTGATTATTTATGTTTTTTTTAGATTAAGAAAATCATAATTTTAAACTTTTTTTACATTCAATCTTAAAGAGTAATGTCTTATGGCTTTTTAAAAATGCTAATTTTATTCAAATCTTTCATTTTAATCTTGGTCACTATATTCGAAACTTGAATGCTGATTTTGATTATTTTTTACTATGCTTACATCCTAATTTTGATTAATCATTAAGAATTAATTATATTGAAAATATTAATATAAATTAAAAAAATTAATATACACATAATATTCCTAATTTTTAATTCTAATTCTAAGTAAAATTGAGGTAATTTTTATAATAGAAAAACAGCAAATTACAAAAAAAATTTTTTAATAATAGCAAAATTGTTTATAAAATTAAGTTTAATCTGGAAATATATGGCCACTGAATTATAGCCCTCAATAATGAATTTAAAATGCTAATAATTGTTTAATTTGATAAATATTTGAAATATTAAATCTCTATACTTCTTTAGCTCTTACTTAATTATTTTTAGATTATATTAAATTAAAGCAGAAAAATAAGTTTTATTAATATTTTGTAATTTTTATTTATAGTTTTGATCTTCTTAAATAAATTAAAATTGCTTAATTATTGATAATCTGCTGTTAATGAAATCATAATAAATGCTACCAGAAAAGAGGTTTAACTAATAAATTTTTAATTGTTATTTTTTTTACAATTTATAATAATTATGTTGTATAAGAAAGCATTTATGTATCTTCCTTTCAAATTCATAATTAAATTTAAGTAAATTTTATAATAGAAATCAAATCAACACATAATATCTACTTAGAATGATTAATAAAGTTTGGTAAAATAAATTTTTTTTGGATAATCATTGTCAAAAGAAAAGCAATCGAATAATTTAAGACAAAAACTAAAATAATTCAAATAATTATGATAGGATTTTTAAACTTTGTTAATAAATACATCTATAATAGAATTTTAGTTTTTATAAGAATGTGTTTAGTATTATTTAAATTTATATTTTTATAAATTAAATACAATACATTTAGATTAAATAATATTTTAGAAGTAATAAGATTTTTATAAAACTAAATGCTTATAAAAATAAAAACTAGATGAAAAAATTAAATTGATCAATCACATTAAATAGCGATATCTTTTGATTAAAGTATTTCATCATTTTTAATATCTGTAAATTGTTTAGAAACAGAAACAATCCCCTTTTATTTCATTCCTAATTATTTTAAGATTTTTTCAGTTGCATATACCAAAGGAGTACAATTATTTTGATTCACAATATTTAAGCTTCCACCATTATTTAACAGTAAATATATTACCTTAAGAATATATTATAAATTACATCTATTCTATTTGATTTAACTGCCATATGCATAGGAGTTCCATCACTACATAAAACATTAGGATTAGCTCCATGTTTTAGCATAAAGTCTATTAAAATATTGTTCCCATGCATAGAAGCATAATATAAAGCAGTATTTCCATCTTAATCCATAACATCTATGTCATCTTATGTATAATAAAATCCTGATTTTAAAATATGATTTGGCTAATTCAATTTTGAATATCTAAGAAGTCTTTCATGTTTAACAAGCATAACTTTTACTTTAGATAAATTTTAAGTTGTTATTAATCTACCTAATCTTCCAAATCCAATTGATGAAGGTTCTGCAGTCTCCTCTGTTTTTAATTTTGTTCTCATTGATTTTGTTAATGAAATTTCAGATTTTACTCTGTTAGATGAAGTCTTTATTCTAATTTAAGGTTTTGATATTAATTATACTGTGATTTCTTTAACATTTGATGAAAATTCTTTTTCTGAATTTAATCTTGATAATTTTTCTTGATATATTCGAAGTTTATTTTAAAAAAATAACTCTTTATAGTTTTTTAATTTTTTATAAGCAATTCTTTTACGAATAGCTCTTTAAATCATAATAATTGAATTTAATTCTTTTTCACTTATTTTAGGAGGTTCATTTGGATTAATTGGATCAAAAATTGGATCTTATCTTAATGCTTTATTTGGTCCAGACGAATAAAATTTAACAAAATTTTCTTTTTTATTATTATCTATTGTTAATACTCCTAATCTATATTAATTTTCTTTTTATTTTAATATTTTAATTCTTTCAGCTAATTTTTAACCCTCTGTGCTTTCCCAATCATCAGCAGTCATACCATGAGTTGGAACAAATCCTACTTTTGAAGATGGATGATATTTTCTTCTTTTATCTTCTTCATGATTGTATGGTTATGAAAGTGCTTTTAATCTTTCTTTATGAATTCTTCTTCTTTCTTATTCTGCAAGTGTTTCTTTCACAAAAATATTACTTTTCTCCATTTTAAGAAATCTATAATACTCTACTTTCTATATTATTTTTCTAACAAAAATTAAAGCAAAAAAATTTCTATATACTTAATCTTTAATGGAAATATTTTCTTCTAATTTCTTACAAATTCTTTAAAGTTTCTTAACTTTCTTATCATGTTCTTTTAATATTTTATTATGCTTGATTTTTTCTTATATTTATTAATCATGTTATTTAATTTAATTTTTCTTTTATTTTGTTCTATCTTTTAACCAAATAGATCTAGCTTATTAAATTTAACAATTAAGTGACTAATGATTCTAAATAATCTATTAAGCTAAATAATTTTCTAAATCATAAAGTTATTTTTCTTTTATATGCTATACAACTTTTTTAACTTATTTCTAATCAACACATTTATTCAATAATTCTGATGTATTTGCTAAAAATTTCATTTCTTATGGTGTTAACCAATCTCCATTCATATATTTTTACATTTTGACTTCTCTTTATAAATAAATTGGATCATCAATTTTAACTTAATCAAAAATTTACATAAAAGCTACTTAATTGAAATTGCTTGAATCAATCGCTGAATTATATGCATATTAAGCTTTTAGTCTTTCTTTTTAAAATTTAGCTTCAAGTAGTGGATTCCATTATAACAAATCTTAGTTTCTTTGAGCATAAAAATTATTATTTTTAACAATTTGTGAAGTTTATATAGTTTCTATACCTATTAAATTTACTTTTTTATTTTAGCTTATAGCTTCAGCAATTTTAATTTAATTTTCATATTCATTGATTTTCTCCATTAACATTTCTCTTAGTTTTTTTTAAAGTACCTAATATTTAGTTTTTAATGTCAACCATTTAAATAAATCATTTTATTCTTTTCTATTTTTCATACGTGTAAGTGTAAATTATTTATCTACTAATTGAAGTTGTTTATCTTTCTTTGCAATTTTGAGAACCCATTCATTCATCAAAGAATCACATTTTTATTAAAAACTATTAATCAAATAAGTTTATCTTTCTTCAGCACTTTTCATATTACATAAAGTAACAGCAGAGACATTAAATGATTGTAAAATTTTTTATGCAGTTCCAAAATGATCATACATTGGAATTTAATTCTAAAATTTATGTTTTAGGGTATCAATAATTAGACTAGACATTAGCGAATTTTATAAAAACTAAATTACATTATTAAGAATACATCTCCATATCTATTGACTAAAAAGTTTACATCATTTGATAAAGTTTAAGTTGAAGCAGATTATTTCACTTCCTATTTATGAAAATAACGATCGACAAAAAATTTATAAAATTCCTCATGTTTTTTACTAATTTTTTTTTCTGGTTTTTGCTCCAATTCAATAATTTCATCTGCACGAGATTGATTATCACCATCATATGATGATTATTCAATCATTTAACTTTCCTTAATTGTCTTCTTTTTATATGGATTAAATGCCAATCTTCTTTATTTACCTTTTTCAACTGTTACTAATTTTATTGTTTCATTTTAAGCTTCATTCAAAAATTCACTGAATCTCTATTCTATTTATTCTTCAGTTTCTAAATCAAATGTTTACAAAGGTCTAGTTGTCATAGGAAATCTTGATTATTGTTATACTCTTTGTTTTTTCATAATTTAATAATATATAAATATCAATTTCGTCTCTTTAAAAGGTCTTTGAGTTTGTATTCAGATTTTTTTTAATAAGGACATTGAATTTTTTAAGATAATGCTCTTCTCTTATTAATATATGGAGATGTATATCTACTTGGAGATTTATGTCTACTTGTCAGAGGGACTGGTTTATTTATTGGTTTCTTTTCAATTCTTTAGGATTAATTTAATAGAGGACTTGGAGCTCCAATTGAAATTATTCTAGAAATTCTTGGATAATAAAATTTCTTAGTATCAATAGAAAATCTTTAATTTTACTAGACTATATTTGGTTCTGTTTTTAATCTTTATCCAATTAAAGGACTTTAAATATCTTTTTATTCAGAAATCTCTTAGACTTATATTTTCTAAGTATTTTCAGAGACAGTCTAAGGATTTAATTATAAAAATTTTTATGATAATTATTGAATAGGTTAAGAATTTGCTAATTTTGATAGCATACTTTTCACATGGACCATTTAAAGAAGATGATTGATAGGTTTAAATTTTGTCCTTCCTTTACTGGTATTGATAGGTGTATGTCTTGAATATAATAATTACATTTACATAGAAGGATTTTTACTTGATCGTAGTATTGAACCTTCTAAATTTTTTGAACTTTAATTCAATTCTAAATATTTGACTTTGATGAACTTATGAATATGATTCTTAACTTATTTCCTTAGTAATCTCTTTTTTATTTTACCTCCACAATCATAACATTGGCAACTTTAATTCAGTGCTTTATCGTCAGGAATAACTTGTATCTTTTCGCATAAGGATGAACTTGGTTTGAATTTAGAATTTGCTCTTTAAAAAGAATAGACTTTGTATAACCTTTCTAACTTGTAAGTTCTTTTGCGAAATCGTTAATTAGTTTATGAGTTGTAATATGATGTCTATGATTAAATATCAAATATATTCATAATTATTGTAAAATGTTTTAAGAGTGTCTATTATTAATATTTCAATAATCGGATTTAAATTTACATTTTACCTTTTTTATTTTGAAATTTATCTACCCTTGGATTATTTCTGGTACATCAAAGGACAATCATACTTTAATTAAATTATCTTCTCTTCTTAATAAATATTTAATTATAAATCATTTTATATTTAATTTAATTCACTTTTCTTTTTTTAATCTTACACATCAATTTTTCATTAGTGAGATATTCCATCAATTAGATCATCAATCATATTAAGACTAATTATTAATTTAAAACCAAAATATTTATATTATCAACTAAAAATCCTTTATATACATATTTTTTTTTTATTTATTGATTCATTAATCAATCCATTTTCAGACTTTTTTTAATATTCTCTTTATTTTAATTCTTCTCCATTCCCGTACCAAATTTTTGATATTATTAAATTAGTCTATTTGAATTTAATATTTTATAATAACCAATTATATATTAACTTTTATTTTAAGAATATCATTTGCTTATTCTTGAAATTAATCTAGATTAGGGTTGAAAAACCACGATAAATAAGGAGATAACATTGACAAATAATTAAGGTTTTTTCAAGTTCCGTCTGAAAGAATCAAAATTAGTAATTTATATTAATATTAGCCAAATCTCTAGTTTTGGTTGCGTTTTTTTTAGTTTGCAGCCTTTTAATTAATTTTATTTGGTATATAAATAAANAGACTTATATTTTCTAAGTATTTTCAGAGACAGTCTAAGGATTTAATTATAAAAATTTTTATGATAATTATTGAATAGGTTAAGAATTTGCTAATTTTGATAGCATACTTTTCACATGGACCATTTAAAGAAGATGATTGATAGGTTTAAATTTTGTCCTTCCTTTACTGGTATTGATAGGTGTATGTCTTGAATATAATAATTACATTTACATAGAAGGATTTTTACTTGATCGTAGTATTGAACCTTCTAAATTTTTTGAACTTTAATTCAATTCTAAATATTTGACTTTGATGAACTTATGAATATGATTCTTAACTTATTTCCTTAGTAATCTCTTTTTTATTTTACCTCCACAATCATAACATTGGCAACTTTAATTCAGTGCTTTATCGTCAGGAATAACTTGTATCTTTTCGCATAAGGATGAACTTGGTTTGAATTTAGAATTTGCTCTTTAAAAAGAATAGACTTTGTATAACCTTTCTAACTTGTAAGTTCTTTTGCGAAATCGTTAATTAGTTTATGAGTTGTAATATGATGTCTATGATTAAATATCAAATATATTCATAATTATTGTAAAATGTTTTAAGAGTGTCTATTATTAATATTTCAATAATCGGATTTAAATTTACATTTTACCTTTTTTATTTTGAAATTTATCTACCCTTGGATTATTTCTGGTACATCAAAGGACAATCATACTTTAATTAAATTATCTTCTCTTCTTAATAAATATTTAATTATAAATCATTTTATATTTAATTTAATTCACTTTTCTTTTTTTAATCTTACACATCAATTTTTCATTAGTGAGATATTCCATCAATTAGATCATCAATCATATTAAGACTAATTATTAATTTAAAACCAAAATATTTATATTATCAACTAAAAATCCTTTATATACATATTTTTTTTTTATTTATTGATTCATTAATCAATCCATTTTCAGACTTTTTTTAATATTCTCTTTATTTTAATTCTTCTCCATTCCCGTACCAAATTTTTGATATTATTAAATTAGTCTATTTGAATTTAATATTTTATAATAACCAATTATATATTAACTTTTATTTTAAGAATATCATTTGCTTATTCTTGAAATTAATCTAGATTAGGGTTGAAAAACCACGATAAATAAGGAGATAACATTGACAAATAATTAAGGTTTTTTCAAGTTCCGTCTGAAAGAATCAAAATTAGTAATTTATATTAATATTAGCCAAATCTCTAGTTTTGGTTGCGTTTTTTTTAGTTTGCAGCCTTTTAATTAATTTTATTTGGTATATAAATAAAGATAGAATTATATTTATATATTGATAATTATAACTTAAAATAAAATGAGCCGTCTCTTATCATATATAAACTTTAATTAAATTATTGATCCGATTTCAAAATCACTTAATTTTATGTATTCTTCTTAAGTTATCTAATGAATAAATTTATTTTAGTATTATTCTTTTTGTTGAAATTTATTTTCAATTTTTTGTTCTGTCTGTAAATTTTGAATTCTTGAATGAAATGAATTTTAATTTTTATAGGTAATTTTCTAAATGTCAAATTATAATTTTTAATACATTTAAATTAATATATATGAAGAATACTAATTTATTTGAAAGATGATAATAATGATTAAGATATTCTAAATAAAAAAAGAATTTTATAATATTAATTAAAGTATTGCTTATTCTTAGTAAGGATGATTTAGATTGGAATGGTATAAGTAATCAGAAATCATCAATAGTTGACCAGTTCAAAATGTATATTTAAAATATTCAAATAAATTTTTAATACTATATTATAGATATTATAAAGTCACTTAAGACACTCTTATGATATAAGACTATTGTATGCTTGAGTACCTGGCAATCCTTCATCAATTATTTTGACATATAAATTGTCTTTGGATAATTCAAATTAATTTTCTAATTTATCTTTCAACAATTCCTCAATTTATTTAGATTAAATAGATTTTATATCTTTCTTTAAAATAGTTTTACCAAATTAAGATAATCGATATAATTTACTTCTGAGATAGACATATTATAATTCAAAATGATCTTCTAACATTTTATAATTTCTTTTAATTCTATCAGGAGTAACACTTAGAATTTATGGATTATAATTAACTTCTAAAACCCAAACATCTAAATTATCATCAAGTAAAAAATCAACAGCAAAGAATTCCCCAAAACTAAAATTATAAATATTAAATACGTGCTATCTCTAGCAAAAGAATGATAAGTAGCTTTAGTCATATGAATTAAAGATCTATGAATTTTTGGATATAGATAACTTTATAACCATCCTTTCTTAGCTCTTCCCTATTTGATTAATAAATCCTCCAAACCCTCTAAATACCAATCAATAAAGAATTCTTCATCTTCAATTTCATCATCATCTTTATCACTTTTTACTAAATTTTTCACAATTGCTGTATTACATACATGAGCTCCTTTTTCAGTAGAATGAACACTAAATGGTTTTGCACATCTTTTAATTAATGCTCTTGATTAAAAATTATTAATTAAATTACCTTGAATATGAATATGCAATAACTGGTTTAGTTGATATGATAGTATAATAAATTCTAAATTCTATTTTATGTCCTTTATATAAGAATGGATTAGATATGTATCTCTGAGCAATTACTTGAGTAGATATTTTTCCGCATTCTTCACCATGATTGTATTATTAAAATAATTCATTTGTCTCATTTTCAAATAATACAGTAATGCCTTCTCCTCTATGTTAATTAGTTTTTAAAATATATTAAGGCCCATATTTTTAGAATCTCTTTTAATATTCATCAGTTTTGAATGTTTCAAAGAATGCCTTACAATCATTTTCATTATTCAATCTATATGTTTCAGGAATAAAAGAGGCATTCCTCTTACATTCTTGATTAGTAATATTTTTTTTATCGAAATCTCTAACATATTTCATAAAATTGTCAATTAATTAATTTTTTGTAGCTANTAAGACACTCTTATGATATAAGACTATTGTATGCTTGAGTACCTGGCAATCCTTCATCAATTATTTTGACATATAAATTGTCTTTGGATAATTCAAATTAATTTTCTAATTTATCTTTCAACAATTCCTCAATTTATTTAGATTAAATAGATTTTATATCTTTCTTTAAAATAGTTTTACCAAATTAAGATAATCGATATAATTTACTTCTGAGATAGACATATTATAATTCAAAATGATCTTCTAACATTTTATAATTTCTTTTAATTCTATCAGGAGTAACACTTAGAATTTATGGATTATAATTAACTTCTAAAACCCAAACATCTAAATTATCATCAAGTAAAAAATCAACAGCAAAGAATTCCCCAAAACTAAAATTATAAATATTAAATACGTGCTATCTCTAGCAAAAGAATGATAAGTAGCTTTAGTCATATGAATTAAAGATCTATGAATTTTTGGATATAGATAACTTTATAACCATCCTTTCTTAGCTCTTCCCTATTTGATTAATAAATCCTCCAAACCCTCTAAATACCAATCAATAAAGAATTCTTCATCTTCAATTTCATCATCATCTTTATCACTTTTTACTAAATTTTTCACAATTGCTGTATTACATACATGAGCTCCTTTTTCAGTAGAATGAACACTAAATGGTTTTGCACATCTTTTAATTAATGCTCTTGATTAAAAATTATTAATTAAATTACCTTGAATATGAATATGCAATAACTGGTTTAGTTGATATGATAGTATAATAAATTCTAAATTCTATTTTATGTCCTTTATATAAGAATGGATTAGATATGTATCTCTGAGCAATTACTTGAGTAGATATTTTTCCGCATTCTTCACCATGATTGTATTATTAAAATAATTCATTTGTCTCATTTTCAAATAATACAGTAATGCCTTCTCCTCTATGTTAATTAGTTTTTAAAATATATTAAGGCCCATATTTTTAGAATCTCTTTTAATATTCATCAGTTTTGAATGTTTCAAAGAATGCCTTACAATCATTTTCATTATTCAATCTATATGTTTCAGGAATAAAAGAGGCATTCCTCTTACATTCTTGATTAGTAATATTTTTTTTATCGAAATCTCTAACATATTTCATAAAATTGTCAATTAATTAATTTTTTGTAGCTACAGTATTCTTTCCTGGAATATGACTGTATTTTTATAAAACACATCCTAATCCCTTTCCCCAAACATAATTATTATATAATGATGAAACTGTTGTATAAATAAATCCAAGTTAAAGTGGTAATTAATTCTCATATTTATATGAAGCAACCTTTGATGCACTTACTTTATCTAATACTGCAAATGTTCTATCTAAAGTTATCTTTTTTGGTAAATTTGTAGGAGGATAATCTCTCCATACATAATAATCTTGTAATACTATATCTGGGTGTACCATTTTATATGAATCACTCTTTTTACAATACAAAGGAGATTCGGCTACATTATAACGAGATTACTAATTCATACTAATATATTCTTTTACATTATATTCTGGCTTAAATGCTGAATTCTTTGTGAATGTTTATTTTCTAATTTAATATACTTCTCCAAAGAAATTCTCCCAAAAGTTTAGTACTTATTATTCTTAATTTTATAACGCCTTTGTATTTGAATATAATAACACTATTATCAATGGTGCTAATATTCCTTTTATTATAAATCCTATTATCATTAAATTAATTAATTTCTTATTTTCTTTTATATTTATTCTAAACAAAAAAAAAACGAATTTTAATTCACTTTTTCTTTTTCATTCATTCGAACTTCATTTCTATTTCAGTTATTTTTATTATTATATTTCTTAATTTAAAAGTTTAATTCCCATTAAAGATATTTTAATAATTAATACAATTTATGGACTCAAACTTTTTTGAAGATGAGTAATTCAATAATAATACTTGGGATGAATACTCTGACTAAATGGTTTGTCCATCACCTCTTTTGCTTGGGCATCCAAAAATTAAAAAGTTTAATGACCAAGATGAACTTTCAATCATTCATCTATAATATCATACTGATACAATGGATGATGATTATAGTCAACTAAACTAACCTTCTTCAACCAATTAAACTCCTATCAAAAAAAAACTTACCAAGAATCATAAGAGAACTTCTCTTAAAAAAAATAAGAATCACTCTTCCGTAAACTCAGCACTTAGTGACTTTGTTTCCTATGTCAATCTTACAGAAGATAATACTACACAATAAATTCATTATTGTTAATAAATGAAACAACTTATTGATAATCTAGAAGGAATCCTTTCAACTATCAAATCACAAATTTTAAACTAGTACCAAAAGTAAATAAATTAGAAAAATTGATCTTTTTCATTTTTCAATCAATTTATACATCTTTTCTATTATTATTTAAATTCTTCAAACTTCTTGCTTAATAATCATCAGTAATAATATCAAAAAAAAATATTATATGTTAAGTATATATCAAATATAAAAATAAATTATTTATTTGAACTCTCTTATCATGTTTCTTAGAAATTTATTCATAATTTAAAGCACCACTCTAACTCCATTAGAAAATTTGCAAATTTTAAAACAGAAATTTATTTAATAAATTCTTATAATACAAAAGGAATCAAACAAAAATTTAATTAAATTCAGAATTCAAAATTCTTTTTTTAATTATCACTAAATATTCAATATAACTATAGAAAGAATAAAAACATTATATCTCTCACAAATAAACACTTGGTCTCTTTTTAATAATATCCTCACATTTATTATATTCTTTTCTTTAAATCATATTATGTTATTAATATATATATCAATAATAATGACGTCATTTTATTAACAAATTACACGTTTTAAAAACATTAAATCAGAAAGACTCTTAAAATTTATTATTGTTTACCAAAATCAACTACATAATTTCTATAAATTATTAATCTATAAGTTTAAATAATTAATTTATGAAATTTAAAGATATTTTCTCCTACTAAAGGTTAAGTATTTTCTGTTTATAAAAAGAATAAACAATATTGTATAATTTTGAACTTTAAAACTTGTTTCATAAGCCCAAATTAAATATCTTTTCAAATAATAATTTATATAGTTTAATAAACTCTTTCAATGGACTTAAGTGCTTTTCTTTTCGACAATTTACCTTAACCCTAGGAAAATTATGAATAGATTTAAGATGATTGTCATCAATACTTATCTAAATTGAATTACAATAAATCTTTATTTAGAATTTAAAGTCCTGAACTATCTATTCAAGATGATTGTTTATCTAATGTAAATGATTAATCATTTGAAATTGGTTTAGGGGAACTTAAACTTTCTCATGAATTGAAGAATGAAATAACTGAGAATGACATTAAGAGTTTTCCAAAAAAAGCATAGAAGACCTAGAAACTAAATAAGAAAAGAAAACGTTAAAATGGACCTCTTTCAGAATAAGAATTTATTGATATTATGAAAAAACTAGATCAATGTCAGTAGGTGATGAATATGATTGATAATATGAGCCTTGTTTTGAATAGATTTAAATGTTAGCTGTAACAACAGCGATTTGAAAGGATTTAATGATCAGGTTGTGATTTATTTTTTAAAATCATCTATAATTTTGTTGTATTCAAGACAGTTTATTCACACATATATAAAAATAATCTTATTAATGAATAAAAATATAAATCATATATCAATTATTATCAAATGAACCTGAAAAGGATTGTTAAAAGACCATAGATGATGATAGATACTATAAATAAATTGATTGGTGATGCAAATTTTCTAGGCCATTGAGTCTATGGAAAATCACTTTAAGGAATTCCTTTTAATTTATCAAATCCTAAACTCAAATACCACATAATAATAAAAAAAACATAAATTTCGAAATCTCTTAAGGGAGCCTTCCATTCATTAATTATACTAATTATATATATTAAATATTTACATTCTAGATTTCGATAATCGTCCTATGTTTTTCTAAGGACTCATATTTTTTATTGGAATTACATTTATTTTTGCTGTTTAAATATTAAATTATTAACTTAAATATTCTATAATTTTATCATTTTTTAGATTTTTCTTTTATTGATATGACTTCAATAATTTTATTGTTTAAAACACATAATTATGAATATTTTCATTTTATTTAATTAAGAATTCTTCTTCATTATTATTTTTTACATAAATGTCACAAAAATTTTTAACTTCAGAATAAGCTGGTATTTAAAATGGTTTCTAATTTAAAAACTTTAATGAATCACAAAAGATTGAATTTTAATCATTAGAGTATAAAAATGAAAACAAATCGATCAATCCTTAATATTCTGAATCATTAATATAGTTCAAATTGTTTAAACATTAAAAAATAGTAATTAGTAATTTTGTATAAAAAGGATAATAGAGTCTTATAGAATTTTTCATTTAATTTCTTTATGCTTCTGATTCTCTAGAATGATAATCCATTTAACTTTCATATATACTAAATCTTTATTCTAACATATTTGGTTTGAATTCTTTAAATAAAATAGCTTAAGGATAATCTCCAAATTTATTTTTAAACAATTAATAAATAGGATATAATTCATTTATAATAAATTTTGTTAATGGATTATAAATTTTATAGGAAATATCTCTTTTTTTTTAAATTTGGCTCAAAATTACATTCTAGGATGCAACACAAGATTAGAGTGCTTAATCAAACATTAAAACTTAATTATAAATGCATGTTTCATATTTTACAAATTACCATCTTAGAAATATCACATAAGTTGCTATATGTGAATATAAAGTAATTTAATTACATTATCTCTCATTTGGATAAGTTTCAAAAGAATATTAAAAAAACTTATATAACCCTTACTAGTAAGTTATTTATTATTTTTATCTTCCACATTCAAAAAAAAAACTTCTATTTTAATATATAAATTAACTATTCTTAATAAAAATATCAGAATTTTTTAAAAATGGTTTGAATTACTAATAAATCGTTTCTAAATCAGATCCATACAATGAATTAAAATAAATTGTTAAATAAATTAACATAATTTGCGTATCCAAAACAATGCTACTTGGCTTAATTTTGTATAATAATTTCTATTAATCGATAGTTAAATTTAATTCAAATAATTTAGTAACGAACAAGTGTTCATATAATGAATATTCTTATAATAGAATAATCATCTATTGAAAAGTAAATATTGCTAATTATTTGTTTGAATGGCTTAAGATTTGATTATTTTATCTAATTTTTGTATACATATATTCTAAAATTCTTCTAACAATAACTAAATATGGATTTGAAGTAAGTTATTTCAATAAGGAATCCTTTGTGTTAAATTTTTTTTTGAATTTATTAAACGCACAATCTAATAATTTTTAATTATTATCTGTAACATATAAAGCACTATCTTTAAAATTAATGGCGCCATTTAATAAATAAATCCAAAACATCATTTTTGCACTAACACAAAATTTTAGTTATTTTTTTTCAACTAAAATATTCTCTTAAAATATATCTTAAAATGTTTAAAATTATTAATTCATATTAGCAATAGATGGGTCCTTAAAATATAGTTAAATATGTGCTGGTAACACATCTATTTAAACAGGAAAATAAGGATGTTCAGAGGGTAATGATTAATAAAATGACATTTCATTTGGAGAAAGAATATTCAATAATTTTATGAAGAAAAATGTATCTTCGACTGAGCCATATCTTTATTGAGTTGTACAAAAACTATTGTTCAAAATACCATTTTATTTGAATATAAGTTCATATACATTTTGTTAACATCTTAAAAATTCTTATCCATATGAGTATTCTTTTTAATTTATAAGTTCATAACTGACATTCTATAACCAAGACAGAAATTCACTAATTGTTGCTTTTTATGCATATTTTAATTCATCTTCAAATTTGTTCATAATTATTTATGTAATAAAATTAATTAGTATAAACTGAATAAAACCAGCTATAATAAACCTAATCAGATTATGAACATTTATCTCCTAAATATGCTAAATAAAGTTAAATAATTGCATCTGTAAAAAAATAAAAATAACTAATAACCAAAAAATTACAATAAGTTCATCGCAATTAAAAATTTTTTACAGAATTTAATTTGATATCTCATTAACCAACATAGAAACTCATTTCTAGTCCAATAGAGGGTAGAGCTTTATTGAATAATTTAATATTTCCAAGCAATTCAAAAATGATATTAAATCTTATAGATTTAAGATAGGATCAAAATTATCAAAAGGAAGATTAATTTTTTAATAGAAAAAGATTGTTTGCCTAATCAAATCAAGAATTAAAAATTAGAAATAATGAATTCAAACCAAAACCCTAAAATACTAAAATTCAAACAAATAAATTGACCAAAATTTGTTAACAAGATAAAAACATATCATAATAATTTAGACGAAGTAGATATATATCTATGCAGATGTCTAGTTCATAATGTTATTTATCAATAACTGGAGCTTAAAGTGTTGTAACTAGTAGGGATGTTACACCAAAAAAAAAATGAGTAATCCCACTTAATCTTATTAAAATTATTTAAGATTATCAAAAAAAATATATATATGATTTTTTTTTCTTTGTCTAAATGATACCTCAATTTCTAAAAGTAAAAATAGAAAAATTAATTTTTATTTTTAATAAAACTATTATTTAGTATTAATTACAAATTGTTAATAAACTGAACATGCATATTTTAGATTAGTTTTAGTTATTAACAAGGATTTTAATTAATTCAGATAAATATATAGTTAAAGGCAAATAATTTTAGTGACTTCATAATATAATTATTTTTAAAAATTAAAATTTTTTTAGTATCTGTTGTTGAAAGAAATTTATTTTTTGATATTTAAAAATAATTAATATAGTTCGCAAGATGGGATAGAATATGATGGTGTATATAAAGGATACTGGATTTATGAAAAAATAATATGGAAATTGAATGATAATATATTTAGATGGTAAAAAGAAGATTATGAGAATGAAAAAATGATTAATTAATTTATTTTATTGAAAGCAATCAAGAATATTAAAATAATAAATTTGAATATGATTTTTTGATAACAGGAAGATTTTTATTTATATTTGATTTCACTTTATGGTTTTATTGACTTAACTTTTTATATTTTCATAATTTTAAATAATTATGCTTAGCTTTTGATTCATTTGTTTATAACCGAATTCTGCTTGAACTGTTTTAATTAATTTTTACAAAGAACTATTAGGTAATTATTTTCCTTAATAAAGTATTTGAAGTCTTTAAATTTCAAATTCTTCTAATTCATTAATTTGATTATCCAAATTATTTATTTAGAGTGATTGATTAGATAATTTTTAGCTTAAATTGTCTTAATTTAAATCATTTTATTATTATAATTCCAATGATTTTAAAGTGTATTTTTATTTTTTCATATTTTGAATAGTGTTCATAACTTAAAAAAGTTTTTTCTCATAATTAACTCTGTTTCCTTGATTTTATTATAATTTGATTTAGTTTTCTTTAATTTGCAATTTTAGATAATCGTTATTAATTTCTAATTTAGCCTTTTATATAAGAAAGGCTCTTGATTAATTATCGAGATAGCATGGGAAATCAGCTTAGGTCACACTTTCATTAATTTACATTAATAGTTTAACAATAATTATGATAGATCCTGAAATTCTATGTATGATAAGTATATAAGTTACTGAATTTCTTCACTTTGTAAGACTGATTTTAAAAACTCTGCCAAATCTTATTTGATTTATTTTTTATTATATTTTATATCTTGTAACATTTCTTCTTCTTTTTTTAATTAGGTCTGATTAAATTATAATTATTATTAATATTCCATATAAAATGTTTTGATTCTAGCTAATTCCATTTATTCATTTTAATCTATAGCCTAAAAATATTATTATTTATCCCATTTTTTATTAGGATGAAGTTTATCTTCTTAATTGAATGCTAATTGTCTTTATTTAATATATTTAGATTTAATTTGATCAATTTCATCACCTAATTTGATTACATGATCTCTTAATTTACAATTTTCCATTCTTAATTTTTATAAATTGATTTAATATTAATAAATTTCTTAGCTAAATAATTTAATTTAATTTAATCTGCCTTCAATAATATAATTGAAATTAAATTATTATCTTTCTAAATTTCTATGTTCTTCCTTATTAATAGTGATTTGTGCTTATGATTATCTAATTTAATTAGCAACAGCATGATAATCAACAATTTGATTTACACTTTTAAACATTGAAGAGAGATTCTTAAAACTTTGAAATACATTGGTTGTTGAATTATTTAATTCATGTTATGAGACAACTCTTTTTTATCTCATTTTATTGAATAAGATTTAATTGACAAGTTTTTAATTTGTTTGTTTTGATATTTTTTCAGCAGTTCCATGTATTTTATTTTCAATTAAAATTTCTTTTTTATCAGAATGATAAATTTAGAATATATTATGTATTAATTTAGTATTAATAGTAGGACTAGGAAAATGTGGATTATGATCAACTTCATCTTCAGCCATTTTACCTTATTAAAGCATTTGTTATAAATTAAAGTTTTTTTAATGTTTCTTAGCTTTAAAGTAATTAAGATTAATAACTTCCATTTTTTCATCTTCTGATTGATTATCTTCTTCATCTGAATTTTACTTAAATATCATAGACTTTTTTTTGAGTGGTGAACGTATTTACTTTTGACTAAGTTATTTGCTACCTACATAAAGAGAAGTAGATTTAGTATTCATAATTTTATTTTTTTATTTTATAATATAAGAAAATGAACTTATTAGAGGATTTAGAAAATAATGGAACTTAATAAATGGATTTAATTAATTTTGAGTATGATAGATATAATGAATAGTCATTAAGCTAATGTAATTCCAAATGTAGATTTTTATAATGCAATTGTGGTGAATGAATTTATGAATAATCGGATTATAGAGGTGAAAGATGGAGAAGTAGTTAAAGAAGGATATATAACTAAATATAAATTATATTTAGTAAGAACAAAAAAATAAGGAGGAGAATGGGAAACAGAAGTATCAAGGAGATTTAGTGATTTTGAATGGTTATATTAGGAATTGATAAATAAATATGGTGGATATATTATTCCTGCTATTCCTGAAAAGCATTTACTTACTAAAGTCAATTTGGCTAGTTATGAGGTATGTTATTGATATTTAAAATTTAAATAAATAGTTCTCAGAAAAAAGAAGGAAAGATCTTTAATAGTTTCTTTAAAGAATACTTAATCACCATCATCTTCGATATGTACCAGAGTTAAGAATATTTATTGAAGACAAAGAAAAAGTAGTTCAAAAATTATTTATTAGTTTATATCTCTTTTGAAAGGAGAATTAGAATAAAATAAAACTATTGAATAAAAATGTGATAATCTATTATAATCAGTTAAGACTTTATGGCATAGTAGTACTATAACAGCTAAAGGTTAAGATCCTTCCAAAATGTTTGATGGAAGTGAAAAAGACTTAACTTATGATGAAACACTTCTCTTATCTTTCTCTATGAAAGGTAATAAATTAAAAACAGTTGTTGAAGAACATGTCATTACATTAAAAGAAGAAGCAAAAACATTAAATGATTAAAATGAAGCTCTTTATTCTTGGAGTAATTTAAATTTTATTTATTTTAGATGGATTAGGATCGGCTAGTGAAGATGATATTTCATAATTTAAATTATTAAAATATAATAATGAAATTAGATAAACTAAAATTAATAGAGAAATTGAAGACATTGATAGAAAATTCTTACCAAAACTTTAAAATTCATTGTTTGAAATTGATTGGGCATTGACAGCTTGTAAAAGAAGAAGAAATCTACAATAATAACTATTAATTGATCAATAAAGAATTGAATAACTTAAAATGCAATACACAGATAATTCAAGCAGAGTATTTATTTTAAACATTTATAGAGAGATCTAGAAATGGATGTACTCAAAACTAAATATCAAAAAAATAAAGACAGAAGTGATAAAATGTCAATTATCATGTAGGATGAACTATTGAATTTTATCACAGAAATGAAACAATAATTAAAATCTATTATTGAGGAATGGAGATCAATTATGAAGACTTTATCCAAAAATATTATTGAAGAAGATAATGAATGAATTAATTTTATATTATAAATGTCTCAAAACCTTAATTATTTGAGACTATTTTTATTAATAAATTTTATAAATTTCAATTTTTGTAATGACAACTGAATTAATTAATTGATTTTCAATCATTCACATATAAATATTAAATAATTGTTAAATAATATTGTCATTTATGAAAATATTCATTTAGTTTTTTGATTTTATCAACTTCTAAAAGTTAAATAATTTATTAAGTTTAATTTAGATTATTATCATATGGGAAGTAATTGTTCTTAGATAGTTTTAGAAAATAATGTTGTTAAATAAGAATAAAAATATGAAATTAATAATCTAATTTAAAATGAAACAACTTATATACCTACATTCTCTACTAAGTTGAAATTAAATGTGAAAATTGATAAAGTTTTGTAACCATGTAAAGTAAATGATTCAGTTTTAGACATAACAACTGAGAGAAATTAGCAAGAATCATAACAATAGAAGTTTAATTTAAAAAATTACTCAGTTAGTAAATATCAAAAAAATATTTTGACAAGAAAATGACAATTAACAAATCGTATAATCCTGGTATAAATATACTTTCAGATTTATGTCCATATGAAGTAGCATCAATACCATAGAAAAAATAAAAAAAATAAAAAAATGTAGAAGAGTTAGATTAAGATTATGATTAAATGTGTTAAAATGATTTGGATCAATTCAAATTTTAACAACCTGCAGTAATGAAATATATTGACAAACGATCACAATAGTATTACAAAATGTAATAATAATGTAATAAATTAATAGCACTACTTTTGAACAAAGAAATCTTAGAAAATGATTTAAAAAATATAGATAAATTAAATGATTATAAATTGTTATATAAAAATGATAAAAATTAAATAATATTGTTTATTATTAAACATTATTAATTTAAACTTTTACAAAATGAAAAATTTAATGAAATGCTAGAACATAAATTTGAATTCTTATAATTAGTTAAAGATTGATTGATTTGATAGTGATTTTAAAGGATAAAGTAATTGAAATAAATTATACAAATAAAAGAAGATAGATAAATGGAAGATGTAATTAAATTTGGAATAAATTAAAATTTTAATAAAAATTGATTGTTCATTATCAATGACAAAAGAATTAATGATGCAAAGCTTCATGACAACTGATTCTTTTATAAGGTTCAATTTCAAGCATTTTTTATAATAAATCTCTTAATAATGGATCAAGTATCAATTCCCTTAATGGTTTTTGATTTTCGACTTTAAGAATGCTCTCTTTGGTTGTGTTTTCTTAAGGCCAAATGTAGTATTTTCCAGTTGAAAAATTCTTTGTGAAACATTACTTCAAAGACCCTTTTGCATTGCTAGTCATCTAATAAGGGAAGTTTTGTTCAGTAATCTTTTCAACCAAAGCCATATGTTCATATTCATTTTTTCTTGTTTAAAATAATAAGTGTCCTAAAATATTTTAGATAAATCATTCCTACCTAAATACATCTCAGCGATGATACAAGCGATCCCCCAAACATCACTTTTATGATTCCATTCACTACATTACAACTATACCTCAGGAGCTCTATATTGACGTGTATTAATAATACAATCATGTCCTTCATAATCAAAAACTGCTCCACCAAGGTCTATGATCTTGATTCTATCATCTTGGGGTAAGTATCTAATAAACAATTAATATTAGATATATACAAATCTTATTATCCTTTTTTAAATTTGTAATTTTTACTGAAAAGGATGTTCTCTGGTTTTAAATCAGTGTGAACAATTTTTAAATCATGTAATTAACCTATGTACTTTAATAATTATTTGCTTATGCTTCTTATTAAAGTCATAGGAATTCCATGATTTTTATTTAATTTCATCAATTCATAGAGACTAGGTCCTAGCTAAAATTAGATTATAGCATATGATTACTCTCTCAAATACCATACAATAATATCCTTTATGATGGAAACATTCATATAGTTCAACAAAGTTACGACTAAGTCCTTTTCTCTTTAAATGGAATAAAACATCTGCTTCTGATTATGCACTTTCAACATGATTTCGTCTGACAATCTTCAAAGCAAATGTTTTTGAATTTCTCCTTTTGACTTTCAGCACTCTTCCAAAAGTACCATCAAATATATGTCTTTTGACCTTATAATCTCTAATATATTCTCCTTTTCTGTATTTGTAATGTTAATCGTCATCACTTGAAGAGCTTCCATTAGATTCATCATCTGTCACTATAGAAGAAGTTGTACTAGAACTATATAAATATCATATATAACATTCTTACTATTTTTATTTACGATTTGATCTTCGATTTGAACGTCTGCGTGATACTTTTGAGGACATGTTTAAATATTTATATTTATTTATATTTTTAATAAATAAGTGTTTTTACAAAGTTGGAATTCACATTTTATAAATTTACCATTATTTATTCTATGAAATTCTTGTCATATATAAACTATTATTATTATATAATATCATCAAGATATTAAGATATATTTGTTTTATTATAGAAATTAGATTGATTTAATATGATGTTTTGTTTTTATTGTTTATAAATAATTCTTATTCTCTAATAAATTCATATGTCAAATAGATAAAAATTAAAAATATAAATTCTTTCAATAATTCCAATACAAATCTATAAAATTGCTCAATATAAAAATATAGATTATTCATTCTTTTAAACCGGCCTTAATTTATTTTTCATAACAATCTTTGTATAGTATTCTAATCAATGCTAATGAAATAAAAGCTCCAACGAATGGTAAACCAGCATAGATCCATAGATTCCAAAATCTAGCCCAATGTCCATCTTTACAACATTCAAAAAATACTAATCTATAATAATGAATTAAAAAGATATACCCAATAGCAATAGCTGGATTAAGACTACTTTTGGCAACATAACTTAAGGTTCTACCTACTCCATATAATCCACTAATGACGATACTGTGTTCTAATCGATCTGATGTAAAATCCATAAGATCATCGTATTAAAAGAGAAAACCGGCAGTAAGGATAAGTGTTCCTAAGATCTCTCCAAATATAACTGCAAAATACTCTTCTAAATTAGTTTATGATAAATATGGAACTTCATTGACACTATTTAATAGTCTATAAAAATGAATACTAATTCTTAAAGCATAAGAAACCAAATAAACTAGCCAAAAATGCTCCTCCAAATTAACTAGCGATAGCTACTGAAACCCAAAGACCTTTATCATTGCCTGATAATACGGTAGTAATTGCAGGATTAAATGAACATTTCTGATTTTGAGCAACTAAGATTAACATTCCATACGCACAAGTGAAAACAAAGAGATTATTACTTATATAATTGAATCATTTTTATACTTGCTTGCATAGATAGAAAAAGTTAACATAAATGTGCCTAAGAATTCAAACCAAAAAATATAGACAGCTTCTTTTTTCATCTATCCTACTTTAGTTTGAGGCATTCCATCTACTTCCCATTTGATGGGTTTATTTTATTTATTCATTTCTTGATTTACTAAATCGCTATAGTTTTCTTATTATTATTCTTCCATTTCTCAATAATATTAATTTAATTTAATTTAATTTACAAGAATTCTATATATTAAATTATATATCCTATTCAAAATGATTAAAGATGATGATAATTGATTTTATAAATATGAATTAAAAAAAGAAGAAAAATAAGTCATAGATTAATTTATATAAATTATAAATAATAATGAGAATATAAATAAATACTATATTTTTTAATGGATCAAATAGCTAATAATAAGGATTAATTGAAAAAGATTAATATCTAATTAAAATCAGCAATAACTGTATATGAAAAATTCAGATAGTGAATTCATTGTTGAATTCAAATCAAGAGTTTATAGAAATGTAAAAAAGGAGGGTAATTTTAGGTTTGCGTAATCAAGTCAATGAAGATTATTACATAATATTTAAAAGAATCTTTGAAATATATTTAAGCTAATGAAGAACTTGTAGATAAAATATTTATCTTATTGTTGAGGATGAATTTAAATGATGAAATACTTAGAGAAAGTGAAATGGGAAATTTATTAATAAAAATAAAAGAAAAAAAATTATTGGAGAATTAACGATATAATATAAGTGATTAATTATAATAAAAATGGTCGAGAATTAATATAATTTATAGAAATAGTTTAGGAGAACTAAAAAAGAATATGAATCAAAAAGATAAATAAGAAGAGAGAAAGTGAAAAGAAATTAATCATCAAGTTCAAATGATTCATCAAACAAGAAGAAAAAAATAAAAAAGAAAAATGTTAAGTATAAATATAAGCAATAATAAAATTGTTAGATTTGTAAGAGATAATATTCTTATGAATTATAAATATTTTAAAAAGATGATGAGCCAAATTAAAGAGGTATGACAATAGAAGAAGTGATAATATTTTAAAAATAATAAGCAGGAGAATTAAAAAGACTAAAAAATGGTTATGATATAAAACATAGAGAATCAATGATGGAAGGATAAGAACATAAGTTATAATTAGATAATATATAGCATATGATTGAATAAATTCCATTTATTAAACCTATAAGTAAGTATTATATAATTTAATATGAGAATTACGTTTAAATTATTCTGAATCATATGAAACTAATTTCAAGGAAATTCAGAAATAGTAAAAGAGAACTGAATATAATAGAGATGTATATAAATTTTAATTTCTATTAGATTCCCGAATAACCTGGGTATAATGAAATTTCTAATACATAATTTGTGATTCAATAAAAAATTATTCATCTGGATCCTCCTAAAAGAGAAGATCTTATGTTTATGGTTCAAATCATATGCAATCGTGGATTTACTGAACTTGAAGAAAAACACAAAAATATTAATAAAAAATAAATCAAGGGAATTTTGAAAAAACCACAAGAAGAACAATCTTAATAAAAGAAAGATGTCTTACTCAATCAAGCAAAACAAGATCTATAACCAAAAATGAATTAATTGGTCTAGATGATAATATAAAAATAAAATCATAGCCAGGAAAGCATTCGTAATTATATAAATCTATTTAAGTCTCTTTATTACATGATATTATATAAAAATTAAAGGAAATTGGTGAGGAATAATATATAAAAAATTTTAAATCATTCCTTGAAACTAAGTTGAATGACTAACAAACAATTATAAGTGAATAGGAACGTATAAAAAGTCAATAAGAATAGTAAAGAAATCGTTTTGAACAATTATAAAACATTAATCCTACTCAGGCACAAAGATTAAGAGCATACAAAACCAAGCATTGTCATAATTATCATTCTCCTATAGGTTGTACTAGAGGAGATAATTGTAATTTCATTCATGATTCTTGTTTTCCTGGAAGATCTGCTCCAATTCCTTAATATCCCAATTTCCTAAACAAATCCCTTTATCCTTAGACATCTATACAATTAATCGTTTCTCCTCTGCTTCAATAGCTCAATCCTGCCATTTTTTTTGGAAGAAAAAAAAGGACGATAGTTTATGAGTTGATATTTATTAAAAAATACTTTTAATATGCTAATCTAAACTTTAATACAAGAATTAACATTTCATAAATATTCTTATTTTATATAAATTATCAATTCAAAAATACACTTTCAAATTTTATATACCACATTATCAAAGTATCAATATATTTCTAATCATTATAACTTAATTCATAATTTAATATTTTATCTTCTAACAAACTAATTTAAACTAATACTAATAATATCATTAATCTAAAAATCAATATATTTCAAAAGAAATCAAGAATATTTTATTTTATCACTTTATTAAAATTTTATTGTTAAAAACCAATTAAATAATTAAGGTAAATACTTTTATAAATTATTTATTTGTTATACATTTTTATTTTTAATTATTCTTCCTTAATCCTTTTATAAAAAGTAAAAGTTTTTGATATAAATTCCAATTAAAAAATTAATACATGGGATGTATATGTGAAACTATACCAAGAAAAAACTAAATAATGCCAATGCGAACAAAAAATAAAGATTTAGTGTTTACTTCAACAGAGGACATTTCTAAAATTTATATTTTGGGCAAAGTCTTAGGAGTAGGATCATTTGGGAAAGTAATTGCTGCTAAAATGAGAAGTAATCCAATGAAATAATACGCAATAAAAATTATTGAGAAAAAAAAAGTAAAAGGTAGAGAAGACATCTTAGCTAATGAAATATTCATTTTATAGTAGTTGGATCATCCTAATATTATCAAATTTCATGAAGTTTATTAGAATAGAATGAACTTTTATATTTGCATGGATTATTGCAAAGGTGGAGAATTAGTTGAGTGGATTCCTAAAAAGTATAAAACTTTTCATGAAAGAAACATTTAGGAAATCATGAAGAAGGTAAAGAAAATATATAATTAAGATTATATCTGCTGTAGCATATATTCATAATGAAGGAATAGTTCATAGAGACATTAAAGCTGAAAATATTATGATTGCAAATAAAAAGGATGATGCTGAACCAAAATTAATTGATTTTGGTTTAGCAAATAAATTTGATACATCAAAGTTACGACGTTTAAAATCTTTTGTAGGAACTCCAATGTATATGGCTCCTGAAGTTATTTAAGGAAGATATGATGAAAAATGTGATATTTGGTCCCTTGGAGTGTTATTGTTTACATTACTTTCAGGTCATAGACCTTTTCATGGTGAAACTAAAGAAGAACTCTATGATAATATTTAAAGGTCTAATGTAAATTATTGTGAAAATTTATTTTTAGATCACATTCACATATAATGCTTGGAAAAATGTGAGTAATGAAGCTAAGGATATGGTTCGTAAGATGTTACAAAAGAGTCCTAGTCAGAGACCATCTGCATTTAATTTATTAAAACATGATTGGTTTACAACAACTTTAGTTTTCGAGGAGAAACATCAATTAGATCACAAAATATCATAGAAAGGTTAAGTTTCTCCATCTAATTCAAATTCTGAGAACAGATCTATATATTAGATGCTTAAATAAACCTCTTAAAAAGGAGGAAGTAAATTTAGAAAGGAAGTAATGACAATTTTGGTGAAATAATTAAATGAATAAGAATTGAGTAATCTAATAGAAAAGTTTAAATAAATAGATGTTGATAATTCTGGTACAATAACAATTTTTGAATTAAGATAAGCATTGATTGCAGAGGTTTATATTAAATAAGTAATAGATAGGGATCACCAGCATCTTTTGATGAAATTGAAAAATTAGTTGAGAACATTTCTCCAAAGAATGCTTTAGATGTTAAAAAACGATCTAGACCATCAGTAGAATTAAAATACAGTGAATTTTTGGCATCTTGTATCGATGAAAGAAAATTTTTAACAAGAGAAAAGGTATTAATTTTTAAAATATTTCAGTTATGGTCATTATTTAAATTTTTTGACACAGATAATTCAAATTATATTACTAAAGATGATATTAAGGAAGCATTTGCAAGAAATGCAAAGTCATTTACTGATAAGTAGATAGAAGAGATGATTTATGAAATTGACCCAAATCATGATAATAAAATAAGTTTTGAAGAATTCTGTAAAATGTTTGATAATGCAGGAATCTATTAAAAATTAGATGATGATGATGAAGTAATAGAAACTTGATTAATTTGATAAAATATACAATATATATTCTCTAATCAATTAACTTTAATTTTAAGACGAAATTCATCATAAAATAAAATTATCAGAGGAAAAAGTATAATTTATATATATATTGGATAATATATTGCATTTATATGTCATAAGAATGGATGTCATACAATAATAGAAGGAGCATTAGATTAGGGATCTTTAGTTTCATCTTTAAATTCAAGAGTTTATTAGATTCCAGCAACTCCCATCATTTAACAAAAAGCATCAAATCCAATTTTATTTTCATTATTTGGATCAATTTCAGCAATCATTTAATTAATTTTTTCAATTGGAATTGATCGTCCATGTCTTGCAAAAGATTCTCTAATTGCTTCTCTTGATAAATGATTAACATTTTAAGTATCAAAATATTTGAAAATTGACCATAATTTTTCTCTTGTAAAAACACGTCTCTCATCAATACAAGCAGTTAAGAAATCACTATATTTAATTACTAAAGGTTTAGTTGTTGATTTATTAGACAATGTTATTGTTTAATCTTCTAACTCATTAATGTCATATCCTATATTTTCCATGATTTCTTCTATTTCTTCTAATGTTGTTAAGGAACCCTTACAATATTATTAATTAATACTTCTTATTATAATGCATGATGCAACTCTTAAACAGTAATTGTACCAGAATTATCAACGTCAATATTCTTAAATATTTGTTGTAATCTTGCTAAATCCTTTTCATTCATCTGATTAATTAAGACTTTCATAACTTCTCTTTTAAACTTAGCACCTATTCTATATGTCTTAAGCATTTAGTATAATGTTCTTTAATCATCTTCAGATTAAGTTCCTGAAAATCCGGTACTTCTTCTTGGAAGTTTATAAATTCCATCTTTAAATACAAGTTAGAACCATGGATGTTTAAGGCATTCTTTAGCTGAATATCTTAAATGTGGATTTTTGTTAAGCATTCTTTTTAAAAGATCTTTGATTTCATCGCTTGAATTTCTCCAATGTCTTCTATCAAATATCAACTAAAGTATAATTAAATTGTATACATTTTGATATTATATATTTTCATAAAGTTCCTATCTATTTCTACCATAAAAAGGAGGATATCCAATAAGCATATTAAATAATAATACTCCTAAACTCCAGACATCACATTTTTCATTATATGTACCTTCAATTACTTCTGGTGCTAAATAGACAGGTGTGCCAACTCCAGCTTTAAGTTTACTATATATTACTTAATGATTTCTTACTTGTAGCTAAAAGAATCATACTTTACTGATAACCCAAAATCTATAAGTTTAGGTTCAGATCTGATGTCACGATCTGTAAACATAATATTTTCTGGCTTTATGTCTCTATGCATCATTCCTTATTCATGTATGTATGCAACTGCCGATATGATCTACCAATACCTTAATTAATTACTTTAACTATAATATCTCTTGCTTAACTCTCAGTATATGATTTTTAATTTTTTGGTACACCTTCCATAAGTTCTCCTCCAGTACATTTATCCATACATATATAGAAATATAGCTCGCTTTGATATACTTCATGAAATTTGATAATATTTGGATGATCTAATCTCTATAATACATATATTTCATTTGCAAGCATAGTTTCCCTTCCTTTCACTTTTCTTTTGTCAATCATTTTTATTGCATACTATTTTTATGCGTTATTTCGCCTTCTTGCTGTCAGAACTTTACCAAAAGCACCTATTCCTAACACTTTACCAAAAGAAAATATTTTATAGATGTCAGCAGTTGACGTAAAGATGTAATCTTTGTTTGTTGTTTGCATAGCAACGATTTTATTTAAACCTTTAGGTTAGAAACAGCCCATTATTTATTTTTTATTATACATTTACAAGATCTTAGATTTGCTTAAATTTCAAAATAAATTAAGTCTCAAAACCTATTCTTTTTAGGAAAAAATTAATGGGTTTTGAAGTGTAATAATTTATATATATAAATTAATTTATTAAAATCATAATACATTATGTCACTTCTTATGCGTCTTCCTCTAAACTATTTAAAATATTATCAATCCATTTAATATCTAAAACCTTTTTGTGATTGAGAATAAATTTTATTAACATAGTGGCTTTTTCTTTAATGCTTTTTTAATATTCTTTTTGATTTTTTAATTAAATTTCTTTTTACGATTATAGAAAAAATACAATTCATTTGTTACAACTATTTATATTCAACAGTGATATAAAGGGAATAAATCTTCTATTTTTGTAGACTTTTAATTTCTTTAAGAAAATATGATAAAATTGAAAAAAAACAATATTCAATTATTTTAATTAATAAATAAAACAACAAAATATAAAATTAAAAAAAACTCAATAAAAAATAAAAGATGCAAATTTAAAATCTTAAATTAGATTTTTAGTATTATTAAGATATCAAGTAATTTTGATGAATTTTAAAGAGTTATTTAATTTATTTGTTTAATATAAACAATTCAATAATTTTTCCATAAGTATATTTATAATTCATAAGGTAATTTCAAAAAAGTTATTACATATAATTTTTGAAATAAATATTTAAATAGCAAGAAATATTGAATGCTTATTGTAAACTTAATCTAAAGTGATAATAAATATAGCAATAAATTTGGAAGAGAAATCTAAAATAAATTGTATACCAAATATTGAGTGCATTAATAAAAATTAGATCATATGTGAGACTAAATGAAGAGAAAACAATTTAAAAATATAAGGTAATCTTGAAATTTTTATATTAATAAAGTCATAAATTCTCAAATAATTTATTTGATAATCTAAAATATGAGGGTATTTTTTTGCTATATTTTTTTTAAACTAAAAATGAATTTAAATAGAATTAAATTAACTATCTCTTGATTAAAGGATCTTAAAAATATGAAAAATTACTTATGAAAATCATCTAACTAATTTCAAGAATTGTAAGAGAATGATGAATTAAAGAAACTAAGAATTTGAGCTTCATTTTAAAATATTAAAAAAAGGTTTAGTAATATTGATTTACTTAGGTAATTAAAAGAAAGAAATGGGCTTAAATAAAAAAGCTTTCTTGAAATTGTAGTGTAAATTTTATAATTTCCATATTTTTAATTATGAAGAGAAGTTCCTTTTTGATTAAAAGAATGATAATAATATATTTCAAATAATTATATAAAATATGGGAGATATTTAAGGTGAGAGTGGGTAAACCTTAATTTAATCTGAATCGATAGGATTTTTCGAGAAAGTGAAGTAAATTATTTTTCAAGTTCTTTTTGTTTTACGTAAAGATGAAGAATCAGAAGAGTCTTAGATATCATTTTATATATAGACAGGTTTGGATTACTTTTAAATGCATACTTTTCCATTTAATGATAGCATATATTATTTATGGAAGGCTGATAATGTGATAGGTTTTGTTTTAAATTTTGTGAACCTTTTTTAATTAAGTACATACATTCCAAATATTTCTTATTTTGCTCTGTTGTCATCTGTATATATATTACTTGTAATAATTTTACTTATCATTTTGGATATCATATATGTAAGTTATTCATTTTCTAAAAATTAATTTGCAGCAACATGGCCTTTAGTAGTTTTGAGATCAGTAACTTCATTAGTGGTTACTGTATTGTTTTTGCCGATAACTGAAACTTTGTTTTCTATATTATAATGTTAAACAGATCCAACAACAGGGGAATATATAATTGATGGATATAGTGAGATATATGTAGTTTGTTGGTAAGGATGGCATACATTTCATGCATTATTGACATTATTATTTATGTTTATGTTTGTAGCTATTTGTGCTATAGTAGCATATGCATTTTTTGAACCAGGAATGATGAGTGATGATAGAACAGCAAGATAAGATAGTAAAGGGGAAGTTGCCTTTATTATTAATAAAGTTACATGTTAAGTGTTGTATTGTTTTTTAGGAGAAGGTTAATCATGGATATTAGTATTAGCAACTTTTTTAATGGCTGTATGGTTATTTTGGGAATACAATTTTGAAGATCCTTATTATGATTATGAAGTAGGAAGATTTTACTCAATAATATCAAGTTATTATTTATGGGCAAATATTTTATTATTGATGTGTAAGATATTTGAAAATCAAAATTTTAATGGAGGATTCATAGCTTGGATAATTGGATTACCATTTATAGTTTCAATTATGTTAATGACTAAAAAATCAAAAATAGATACATTAATTAAGGTTTAAAAAAAGATTAGAAGTGGAAAAGAGATATGGGCACATATTCGTTATGTTTTATAGTTGATTTAATAATAAGAGAAAGATAGAAATTCATATATGCTTTTAATTGGATATATTGAAAAACACAAAGAAACTTGTAAATATAATGATTGCTATTTCAAATTTAGTAGAAGAAGAAATAATGAATTAGATATGAATGATATGATTAGAGGTTTAATTTAAGAACTTGAAAAGATGTTTAAAGATGGAATTAAGAAATTTCCAAAAAGTGCAGAATTAAAGATATTTTATGCATTGTTTATTATGGAAAGAAAGAAAAATAAAGAAGGAGCATATAAATAATTTGAACTTATAGATGATAAGTGCAAACCAGCTTTGTATCAATAATTTATTAGATATAGATATATGTAAGATAATTTATATATTGTTTTTAAGGAAAAGTATAAAAGAAAATAAGAAAGAAAATAAAGATGATGATATTGTAGAAGCTATCAAATATAACAATCATTAAACTATGTGTGAAAAAAGTATGCAATAATCAGCAAAATTATAAAAAGACTTTTGGGGAGAATTAAAAGAAGATTAACCTGATCTAGGAAAACTTATGAAATTGGGTGCAGATATTACATATGTTACTAAAACTGCTAGACAAAATTATGAGGAAATGTAAAAGATATCATAAAATGTATATTAAAGTGTTAAAATATACAGTAATTTTATTTTGTATGTTTTAAATGATTAAAAGTTAGGAGGAGAATTAAGAAAAATTGCATAGAACATTAAAGAAGAATTTTAAAAAGAATTTGGAGGAAGAAATGAATTTCTAAATATTGATAATTAACCTATTCCATTTATACAAGTTAGTGCTAAAAAAGCAGAAGTTGGTAAAATAGTAAATGTTAATACTTTATTTACTACATTTTTTGGGTATTAAAAAGAAGAATTAATAAATAAATCAATTAATGTATTAATGCCAAAACTATATGCAGAAAAACATGATAGTTATCTTATTGAATTTTTTGATAATATTGTTTTAAATTTAAAATTAGAAGGAGAAATTGACAGTTAATATTTGGATACAGATTAAACATAAATTTTTAAGCATAAAAATGGATATGTTGTTCCATTTATATATCATGTTACACTTAATCTAGAAACCATGAAATACTTAACTATATTCAAAAGTGAGAATACTATCAAAAGTTAAGTCATTTTTATTGTAGATAGTAGTTCTAAAATATTTGAAATGTCATCAGGAGCAATAATCTTTTTTGATTTAGAACTTAAATAAATTGAAAAAGATGTTTATCTTAATAGTTATATTTCAAATATTCTTTTATAAAATGACAAACACATTTAGTATAATCATCAAAGCAAAGATGGAATTGAATGTAATATAAATATAATACCTTAGAGACATTCTATTTTTTATGCATGATTAAAGAAATAAAGCTACCTTAAAGAATGGAAGAAAGTAACCATGATAAGGCAAACCTATAAGATGAAAGTAATAATATCAAAACTGGAAAATGGTTAGTGAGATTAGAAAAGTTAGAAAAAAATGAAGTCAATTTAGGAGGATAACAAAAGAAAAATAAAAATTTTGCTGCTAGTACTCGATAACTCATAACAGCCACAAATACAAATACAAATAGCAATCCAAACTCATCAAAATATCTTTAAACATCAAAGATCTAAGTAAATCAATCAATTGATGGACAATTACCTAAATTTGAAGCTAATTTAGAATTTGATTAATAATATGCAGTTTTTTTATCTGAACTTTATTCTGAACCTAGATATGATGACTATAAAATGCTTTTAAATTAATAGGTAGAAAGTTATGTAAATCCTGTTGTAGATTATTCTTGTGACATTGTAATAAGGAGATTGATAAGAAATTAAATATTGAATATAGATGAAGAAAAAGAATAAGAATTTTTACTTTAACTTGAAGAGGAAGAAGAGGAAAATTCATTGTTTCGGTTTAATCAAAATTTATATGAAGATGAGGATGATTATAAAATATTTGCTCATAGAAACTCATAAGATCTTATTCGTGGAGTTCTTAATCAAGATCATAAGCACATAAAAATAACAGAATTCAAAGTTTATTCAAATCTTTGGATATTCTTCATATTTTTTATTACAGTTCTTTAATATTTATTCTGTCAGTCGTATTTCATCTCATATAAAGAAAGCATAAAATCAATTTACTTAGTGAATAATGAAATAATTCAATAAAATTAAGTAATTTCAAGAGTATTAGATTTATGCTTACCTTAATAATCAAATCTTACTTAATTGTATCTAGAACTTTAATTTGCTTCAAATAATGCAACAGCTTTTAATTAATATGTAAATTCTGCCTTATTAGATTATTATTTTAAAGATCATATTGTAACATTAAGATTTTTTGATGATGATATTTATACTGAAATTGATATTAAACTAGAGAGTGCTATGCTGTTAATTCAATCGTTAGCATTAAATACAACACTTTTAGATTAACAAGTATTTAATTACAAAAGTAATATAATATAAAATATTGTTTATAATCATTTTAATGTCATCAATCATTAAATTACTAATATTGCTTATGAGTTATTTTATAATGTTGAAAATTAAATGAATAAATATGATGCTAATTTACTAATTACTTTGGGGATACTAATTTTAGTCACTTCTCTTGCTATGACAAAATTCATAACCTTGATGTTAAGTATCAAAATGGATAGGGAAAATATTTTATTTTTATTTTTAGATATTCCTTAAAAACATATAAGTATTCTCTATAAGAAAGTTGAATATTTTATAAAGAATTATATTAGTATAGAAGAATTAAAAAGAAAAAATGAACTTGAAGGTTATGATTCAAGCGAAGAAGAATAAATCTAAGATGATCAAAAAAAAGATCCAGAGGAGGAAGAGAACTTTATATAATTATAATTAAAAAGAAAAAAAATTATTGAAAAATATAGAAAGAATAAATTTAAAGGAAATCAAGCAATCATTATTTAATTTATATTCATAGCTCTTTGTACATTAATATTTGCTGTTTATAATATAATTAGTTCAGCTAGTGAAAGAGCTTAAATTAGATATTTGCTTCCTTAATACTTTTCTGGATTTATGGATATTTCTGAATATGGAAATTACTTAAATACCTTTAAATTAGCAACTTTAGATAATTAATATAATTTAATCAATTAAACTGCTTATGAATCAGCTTTTACTTAGATTAATACTTTCACAGGTAATCAATTAAATTCATAGAATTTTGCATCTGCTCTTTTGAATTAATTACCAACATTAAGAAATATGTATTTTGGAATTTACTATGGAGATATTTGTAATGAATTAGGATACACAAAAAATGATGAGTGTTATTCTATTATTGAAGGCAATCTTGAATTAGGGATTTTTAATGTTGAATAATATTATTTATAATATTTTAGACATCAATTGTCTATAAATTAAAAAGGTGAGATTGTTTATGATCCATATATATATTAGATAGATTCATCTCTTTATAATTATGTTAGTAAAGCAGTGGATTAAATACAAAGTTATTAATTATCAATGATGACAGACCAGATGGATGCAACTTTAAATATATAACTTATACTTGTAATAATCTTTATATTGGTATTGTTACTTATCTTTGTTATTTATTGGTTACCATTCCTAACTAGTATTAATTCGCAAGTATAATTCAAATATATAAATAGATAAATTAAAATATTCAAATGTTGAACATGATACCAATAGATGTAATTAAGGATAATAAAACAATTAGAAGATTTTTGAAAAATCTAATAAAAGATATGAATATTTAAGATTGAAAACTTTATTTTTATCATTATATATCTATTAAATCTAAAAATATTTTTCTAAGGCTTTTTCTTCTATAACCCCTTAAAAAAAATTTAACTTATAATTTAAATTCCATTCTTAAATACAAATAATTGGTTCAAAAAAGATTTTCGATTAACGCATAACATTTTCAAAATTTTAAATAATATTATAATTATCTTCCTCTAATTTAGAAATTATGTTGTTAATTAAAATATCATTTAAATCGATTAATAAAGTCTTTATAAAATGATATTTTTTACAAGATACTGTTTCCTCTTTCCATTGTTTTTGATGTTTAATTATGAATTATATAAAAATTTATAATTAGATTTTTTTTTAAAAAGAACTGCAAGATGATAAAAAGAAGTAATATATTACTTAAGGTCAAAAATTTAATTTATTTAAATAGGTAAATAAACTATAAAAAGCATAAAAGATTGATAATTAAATAATTAAATAAATGAGGAAGTAAGTGTTTAAGAATTAAATAAAGTAAAGAAAATATTTATTTAGATAAATTTCGTTATTATGTTAGTTTAAATTTATTTTTATGAGTTGATGTTAAGTAATTATATAAATTTGTTGAATCATAGCGATGTATATCCCGTCCAGATATTTGTTGATAGTGGAAAATTCTATTCTTAAAAATAAAATAGAAAGTTAAGAAGCTACTAATTAAAAAATCAACAATATAATCATGATGTGATTATTCTGATGATGTCATTTATATTTGATAAATTAAAAGAATAAATGATAAAAATTCGTATACTTCTCTCTCTTTGTGTTATCACAATGGCATAGTGGTAACTTGTTAGTGAAGATTTGCTTGATTTCTCTGTTTCTGGATCCAAATGGAATTATAGAGACTCATGTGATTGGAATAGTGGAACAATGGGTGGAGGCGGAGGAGGAGGTGGATCAGTTGGGTAATGCTCTGATAATGATATATAATATATTTATGTAGGTAGCTACAATATTAGAGCCTACTATTCTGTTTTAAATTTACCTCCCCATTATGAGGTCAAAATCATAGTGGATGGTTATTTTTTAGATTCTTCTAATAGTAACTTTTATACTGTTGCTTATGATGTCTAAGGATCATCAACATCTACTTATTCACTATAATATAAAGATAGTACATTAGGAACTTATCAATCAGTGTGTAAACCATCATGGAATAACTTTGAAATTTAAACATTCATATTGACGTTTAATCATAATGATAATAGTGAGGTTAGATTTAGGGTGTGTGGAACTAATTTTGGAAGTAGAAATTATGGTACAAGAGGGTTATAAATATATGTTAATAAATGTCATTGGTCCTGTTTAAAATGTAGTTCTAATAGTGCTGGAAGTTGCTTAGCTTGCTTTACTAACCCATCAGTAACTTTAGGATCAGCTACTACTTGTGGTAATTGTCCAGACAATTATTAATTTATTGAATATTTAGATAATGTTAAAAGTTGTGAGATTGAATGTCATTATTATCGAATTCCAGATTCTAATAAAGTATGCTAATTTAATGAAAGTATTTAATTAAATTATATTAGATATGCTTCCTTATACAACACACTTTGATACTACAACTTTTAGTTCTACATCTCCTTGGGTCTTCGTTCCAGACCCTATAAGTTATAATTTGCTTTTTTCTTAAAAGATAAGCACAATTCCTTGCTAAACTAGCAAAAACTATGTTGGACCATTTTCATATAATGAAGGATTTAGTTTAACCTTATCCATCCCTTATAACATATCTTATATACGATTTAGAGCTACAATTATAAAACTTAATAATTGGGCAGATTATTCAGCTGTTCATGTATTATTAGATGGTATAGAATTTGCATCAGTCTACACTTTAACTTAGGTTCTTACAGGTCGAAATGCTGATAAATTATACACAGATTCAAATTGTACAAGTCCTACTGTAGGATATTATAGATTAGAGGCTAAATTAAAATCGAATATTACGAATCCAATTTTAACCTTATAAGGATCAATGGAGTATATATTAATTAATAATCAACAGTACATTTGGTTCATAGTCTTGGGGTTTCAGAGATGTTGTAATGGATATTATGAAATGTCAATAATCATGTAGTTGGTGTGATTTTGATTTAAAATGCTATTCTTGTTCAACAGGATTTCTATATAAAAATAGATGTGTACCTAGTTGTCCTTCATATGGAATTTAAACAACAGGAGTTTGTAAAGATTTGGATGAAGTAGTTGAAAGTATATTTTATATATTAAATTTTAGATTCTAGATATGCGATAAAAGCATTTTACGATTCATCTAATACAACAGACACAGATGTAAGTACTATTATTGGAACAGTTTCAAATGATGCAGCTGATTTTAAAACTACAGATCGTTTTTTAGGAACTAATATTGATATTTATTTTAGCTACTATTTAGGGAAAAGAGTATTGGGTGGTCCATTAGTTTGGTACAAAGGGAGATTTAATAAACCTATTGTTTCAAATCCACATTATAGCATTAGATTCAAATTTATGTTAATTTTCGGAGATGATTTTACTGGAAATTTTTAGTATACAATAGGAGGATTTTCAGCTACATTATCTAGAACTGGATTACCAGATGCAAGCCCAAATGTTGGTAAAAACACTAATGATAAATATATTTTGGTTGATAGGACAGAACTACACACTGCATTAAGTTTTACTGCAGACCTTAGATGTAGTTCGACAACAGGTTAAATAAAAGATAGTTTTTGCCTTATTTATGATTATTTCATTCTGATTTTAGAAGTAAATGATAAATATTAATTAGTGTACTTAATATTGTACTTCCTGTACTGGTCCTACATGGGCATAATGTTCAGGTAAATAAACATTACCAGCTGGAATGTCATCACCTTCAACATGCATTAATAATTCTTACTATTTAGATGAAACTGTTACTCCTGCCGTTTGTCGTGCATGTACTCCAATTTATTGTTAAGAATGTTTAAATTCCTATATATGTACTAAATGTGATACCAATTTCTATTTATAAAATGGAAATTGTCAATGCTATCCTTGGACATATTTAACAAATACAAATACATGTGCAAACTGTCATACTTAATGTGATTCTTGTTATGGTCCTAATTCTAATCAATGTTTGTCCTGTAAAAGTTCTTAACATCGATTTTTGAATAATAACTAATGTGTTTGTTAAAGTAATTACTATGATAATGGAATAAATGATAAGTGCTAATCTATTTGTGGAGATATGATAGTAACTGAAGGAGAAGATTGTGATGATGGTAACACAATTAGGTTTGATGGATGTAATAATTGTAAATATGAATGCTAAAAAGAATGTTAAGTTTGTGTTAATGGATAATGTTCAGTTTGTTCTGCTGGTTATACTCTTTAGAAAACAATGAAAAGATGTTTTCCTACTTGTGGAAATAATTCTATTGTTAGTGAAGAATAATGTGAAGATAATAATCTAACTCCTTATGATGGTTGTTTTAATTGTTAATTTTAATGTTAATCCTAATGCACAAATTGCATATATGGTAAATGTTACGAATGTAATAATTCAATCGGTTATTATATTAATTTGACTAATTTTAAATGTGTTACTATCTGTGGAGATTTAATTGTTGCAGGTGGAGAAATGTGTGATGATGGAAACAATAATCCATTTGATGGATGTAATAGTTGTGCCTATTCATGCAACTCTTTTTGTGATTTATGCATTATGGGCATTTGTACTAAATGCAAATAAGGATTCTAATTATTAAATAAAAATGGTTAATGCGCCCCTATTTGTGGAGACAAAATTGTCACATACTCTGAAGAGTGTGATGATGGTAACTTAATTAATTATGATGGATGTGATTCATGTGATTTAACCTGTTAAGTATAATGTACATCTTGCATTTTTGGAAATTGTTATGAATGCAATACACCAAGTTATTAATTAAATTAAAAACTCAAGAAGTGTACTCCAATTTGTGGGGATAATGTTCTATCTCCATTAAATGAATAATGTGACGATGGTAACTAAACATTTGAAGATGGGTGCTTTTAGTGTAAATATGAATGTTAAGCTGAATGTTAAACCTGTGCAGCAGGTATTTGTTATAGTTGCTAAAAAAATTATTATCTAAGCGCTGAAAATAAATGTCTACCTATTTGTGGGGATGGAGTTATTTCTAAATATGAATACTGTGATGATTACAACTTTGTTATTGAAGATGGATGCTCAAACTGTGCTTTTTAATGTGAAAAATCTTGTATTCAATGTTTATTTGGAATTTGCCTATCCTGTTAAAGTGGATACTATTTAAACTAATCAAAAAGAAAATGTTTTCCTATTTGTGGGGACAACATAATTTTAGGGGATGAACAATGTGATGTCGGTATTATTCAATTTGATGATACTATTAAAAATAACACTGGATGTATTAGCTGCCAATTAAAATGTTCACCTTAATGTGAAATTTGTACATAAGGTTTATGCTTAAAATGCAGAGAATCTTTAGGATGGTATTTAGATAAAAACACTTCCTCTTGTTACAGTCGTTGTGGAGATTCAATAATTACTGATTATGAGTAATGTGAGGATTTAAACTCTTAATTAAATGATGGATGTGATCAGTGCGTATTTTCATGCTAGGATTAATGTTCAATATGTCTTTTTGGATTATGTTAGAAATGCAAAGCAGGATATACTTTAATTAACAAAAAATGCATTTCAATATGTGGAGATGGAATAATTGCTGGAAATGAAGAATGTGATACAGGTTTAATTACTTTTGATGGATTGGAATGCGTAAATTGTAAATACAAATGTTCAGAAGGCTGTAATAATTGTGTTTAAGGCAAGTGTTTGGAATGTAAAAATACAATAGGATGGTATCAAAATTTAAATGCTTAATGTGAATCAAAATGTGGCGATTTAATTGTCAGTGAAAATGAAAATTGTGATACAAATACACAATCATGTGAAAGTTGTAATTTTGTTTGTGATGATAATTGTGATCAGTGTAAATTTGGAATTTGCTAATCTTGTTAAATAGGATATAAATTATTACTGAATAAATGTATTAGTATTTGTGGAGATTCAATTTTAACAAATATAGAAGATTGTGAAAATGATGACATCATTCCTTTTGATGGTTGTTATTTATGTAATTTTCAATGTTAAAGTGTATGTTAATAATGTATTAATGGCGAATGCACATCTTGTGATGAGATTACTGGATGGTATCTCTAAAATAAAAGATGTGAAACAAAATGTGGAGATGGAATAGTAGCAGGATTAGAAGAATGTGATATAAGTTTAGATTTTGATAATGGAGATTTTTCAAGAAACAAGTGTTTTAATTGTCAATTTTCATGTGTTTCAAATTGTATCAATTGTAATAGAGGAATATGCAACCAATGTTAAAATGGCTTCGCTTTAAATGATTTAAATGAATGTGAAAGTATTTGTGGAGACTAAATTAATTAAGATCTTGAAGACTGTGATGATGATAACTTGGATGCATTTGATGGTTGTTTTTAATGTCAATATGATTGTTCTGCAGAATGTTAGTAGTGTACAAATGGATAATGTCAGTTGTGCTAATAAGGTTTCTATTTGGATAATACTAATTGGTAATGTAAATCTATTTGTGGAGATATGAAAGTCACTTAATATGAGGAGTGTGATGATGGTAATGATATACCTTATGATGGATGCTATAAATGCAAATATTCTTGTACATAAGATTGTGATAATTGTGTGAAAGGAGTTTGTTTAAGTTGTAATTTAGGGTATGTGCTCTCGTTTCCTAAATGTACATCTGATTGTAGCAATTTAAATGATGGATATATTTAGGATAATTGTTATAAAAAAGAATGCTAAAAAGAATGTTTAATTTGCATAAATGGTTACTGCTTTTAGTGTTAAAATGGATGGTATTGGAATCAAGTAGAATATACTTGTGAAAGTATGTGTGGAGATGAAATAATAGTTGGATTAGAATAATGTGATAAATCATAAGTTTTATAAAGGAATGAGTCTTTTTGTAATAGTTATTGTTAATTCGCATGTCCATAATATTGTACAACTTGTTCGTTTGGTATTTGCCATTAATGTTAAATGGGATATAATTTGGTGGAAAATGAATGTTAGAATCAATGTGGTGATGCTATTATAACAGAAATAGAACAATGTGATGATGGTAATAATGAAGCATTTGATGGATGCTTTAAATGTTCTTTTGATTGTTAAAAATAATGTGCTTTATGTATTAAAGGAAAATGTGAGATGTGTTAATAAGGTTATGAATTGAATAATGGAAGTTGTTCTCCAGTATGTGGAGATGGAATTGTTACTATAGATGAATATTGTGATGATCTCAATTCAATAAAATTTGATGGTTGTAATTAATGTAAATATGAATGTGATTAGAACTGTATTTTTTGTGAATTTGGTAAATGTATATTTTGTTCAAATGGATTTTATTTGTAAGGTTAGATATGTTTATCAATTTGTGGAGATGGTCTAATAGTTGGAAATGAGTAATGCGATGATAGTAATTTAATTAATGAAGATGGATGTTTTGAATGCCATTATTCTTGTCAATAATAATGTATAAATTGCTAATATGGATCATGTATATTATGTGATTAGGAAAAGGGCTGGCATTTAACATCTTAAGGAAATTGTTAACCTATTTGTGGAGATTAAATAATAGCAGGATTAGAATAATGTGACGATGGTAATGAAATTAATTTTGATGGTTGTTATGAATGTGAATTCATATGTTAAGAACCATGTACAAAATGTATTAATGGTTAATGTTTTGAATGTAATACTCCAGGTTGGAGATTAGAAAACTATTTTTGTTGGGAAATTTGTGGTGATGCACTCAAAGTAGGAATTGAATAATGTGACGATGGAAACGATGTGCCTTATGATGGATGCTTTTAATGTAAAACTTAATGTGAAGAAGCTTGTACTGTTTGTTAGGATGGATAATGTTTATAATGTACATTTGGTTGGTAATTAAATGATAAACACAGATGTGGAACAATTTGTGGAGATAATTATGTTATCCCTAAATTTGAAGATTGCGATGATGGTAATCTATTGCCATTTGATGGATGTTATGAATGCAGTTATTAGTGTGTTTAGTATTGTACTGATTGTAGAAAAGATGTTTGTTATGAATGTAATACACCTGGTTGGACTTATGATGAAAAAACTTAATTATGTGTTCCTATTTGTGGAGATGGAGAGGTTAATGGATATGAATAATGTGATGATGGCAATCTCATCGAAAATGATGGATGTAGTAATACTTGTGAATTTTAATGTCATCTTGCTTGTCTTATTTGTGATAATGGTAAATGTTTAGAATGTGATCACTATTTGGGATATTTTAAATAAAATAAATAATGTTCATCAGCATGTGGAGATGGGTTGTTTGAATAGTACACTGAATAGTGTGATGATGGAAATCTTATCAATTAAGATGGTTGTGACAAAAATTGTAAAGTTGAACTCGATTGGTATTGTAAAAATGAAGCCTTACAAATTAGTATATGTATCTATAAAAAATAACCAAATATTCAATTAAAGCTATTATCATAACAAGAAAATGTATCTGAAATTGAAGTTACATTCTCAACTTAAATGATGTTATAATCTAACTTTGTTTTAATAGAAAATGAAAACAATTTTATTACTATAGAATAAGCACTTTTCTTAGTCAGAGTAGATGAATTGACGAATACAGATTATGATTACAAAATAGAACCTGTTGTTGGTGTTTCAGATTTTCCTTAAGATATTAAATATATCATAAAGTTGAATCTTCTAAATAATGTGTCATTTGATTAAATCAGTGTTTTTGTTATTGTCGATAAAAGACTCATTGTAACAGAAGATTATGTTGATTTAGACTTAAACTCAGCACATTTAAGAATAGAAGTTCCTTTTATACAAAGTGATGTTTCTCAAACAGTTATAGAACTATTTTCAAACACCAATGAAGTTTCTATGTATGTAGCAACAGGTGTTTCGCTGATTAGTATATTTTCATCAGGTTATTCAAATCTCTTTATGACTCTTGATACTATTTAATATCTTTATTACACTAGATATATCAATTTGGATTTTCCTGAAAACTTACAAAAAAATATGGATAATTTAAAAAAAGCTTCTCCAAGTTAATTTGTGTAAAATAAACTAAGCTAAACGGCATTACCTTAAAGCATTAGTATCTAACCTAACTAAACAGTTGAAGGAATGCCTCATAAATTTAAATAGGATAATTTATAATACTAATTTTTTTCAAATATCAAAATAACTCTAGTCTCTATGTCAGCAGGTCTGAGTATTTTCATAACAACTTTAACATTATCCAAGTTGCTTCATTTAATTCCACCACATAAACTAAATGATTTAGGTACTATAATTGGAGGAGGAATTTTAAAAGTTCGATAGAAATGTACTAAGATTTCTAATGATTTTGTTTACTCTGGTGCTATTAGATTAGTAACAATAAATTTTTATGAAATGCAATTTGCTTCATTATTATAACTAACTCATATTGATTCCACTTCTTATAGTGATATTGCCAATTCAGGTGGTGCTGCTGCTACTTTAGCCTTTACTTTTGCATTTACTAGCATTCTTGTTCATAGAATAAGATAGATCTAAACTAAATAATCTTTCACCATGAAACATTCCATTCGCACTCTATTACAACAAGATAATAAAGAACTTTAAAAATCAACGTGGTCAATGCAATATAATACAATCTTGCTTATGAAAAAAACCTTTTACATGTTTACTATTGTTTGTTTCTAAAATTAAGGTCTTTATTAAACTATTGGTGTTGCTACATAAGCAGCAGCATTTGCTACATATATGGCTGTATCTGCACCATTTTCAAATAACGAAGATTAAATCAAATAAATGATAACAGAATTAGGAATGCTTGCTAATTCTCTAAGTTTTTGTACATACTATACACACCAATACTTCTAAATATCAAAAGAGAGCTTAAATTAAGTGGGATGGTTTAATATAGGTATTTTTACAACTGTATTAACTTCTAACTTGGCAGTTGATGTTATTACTTAAATGAAAGTTTTCTATAAAAAAGCTAAGAAATTGTTTAATAAACTTATAGAATCTTAAATGCCTTCATAGTCAAGAGTCTAACCTATTTTTGTCTGAATTATATATATTTTTTAAGAAGCTTCTATTATTTATGTTTATTTATTTTCACATCATATACCATTTCAAGCTTACTGGTCAACAATTCGAAGTAATTGTAATTTAAATATTTTTTCAATTCTTTTATTGATTTTTTTTTAATAAAATTTTGTAAAATTTTTAGATATGAAAATATTATTCTGGTTGATCTCGTAGTGTTATTTGTGGTTACCTCGAAAAATTTAGAAGTCTGTATAAAAATCTTTATTGTTACAACAGGGTATTGATTAAACCCAAAAAGTATAATTTCAAAATTAAACTAGATTGAGTTTTCAAATGGAGAAGTATAAAAGATCACCAATTTTGAAATTGCAAGCAATAATATCAAATTAATTAGTGTATGGAAATGTTTTACTTTTTTAGATTAATACTATTATAGCGATATTTATTTAAAAAATAATAAGCATTGAGAATATTATAGTACTTGGAATTCTGATAATACTATTATCTGGAAAAAGTTATCATTATGATAAAAAAGAAGAAATTATTGTTTATTACACACTTTTTTGTTATCTCTTTAATCTATTAATATCTATAGTAAATATTTTAATAATTGCTTTTTAACGAATGATATAATAAAATACAATTAACTCTTAAAAATGCACAATAATAGCTAAATTTCCAGATGTTTCAGCCAAAAAACTTTAAAATTTAAACATTGAGTAAATTAAATAAATTATCATTTTAATAGATTACATTCATATGAAACAATTTCTTGGAGTTAATTAACAGTTGGTCATATTATTTGTTTATAATAAAATGAGTAGAGTCCTGCTGATTTATTGATTCTTGATTCTAGCAAAGAATAGGTTTTAATAAACTTTGATTAAAGAACTCCATGTTCTTGCACATTTGTTAGCTTAAATTAAACGATAAAAGGAAATATATTAGACTTTAAAACAAAATTAAGTGGGACTATTTAATTCACTATTACAGACCTTTAAATATAAGGTACTATAAAATTGAAAAATGATCCAAAACTTACTCCTTTTACTAAAAAGAATATGATTTAAAGAGGAGAAATATTGGATTCAGTTGATTGGATATTTGGTATGGTAATTAGAGTAGGGAATGATTGTATAGCTTAATCTAATTTCTCTAATGAAAATTTCATGCATTCTAGTTGGATAAATAGTATTTATTAGGAAATAATATTTATTTGCATTATTTTGCTTTTAATTATATTTGTTCCAAATATCATTTATTATTCATTTTAATCTTATGAGAACTATTTTTTTAGCAGTATTACTTATTGTTTATTAATAATCCCTTAAAATTTATTATGGTTGAATTAATTATGGTTTCTTATTAATATGATAATAAACAATAGAATTTTTAATAAACATTAAAATAACCCTAATGGTTAATAAAGTTCTATTTATAATTTATCTAGTGAAATAAGTGAAAATCAAATAATTTCTGAAAATGATAAAAAAGTGCTATTACCAATTTAGAAGCAATTTAAGATAAATCTTTTACCAGTTAAACAAGTTGAATTTGCTGTTAATAAAAAAAAGAAAAAAGTTTTCAAAGGATTTTTAACATTTTCAGCAAAAAATATCTTAGATATGATAAAAGGAGATATGATCTTATTAGATAATCCATAATAAATATTTAAAGATAAACCATAAATAATGTAAATAATTACTAAAAATTAAAAATAATATATTTTTAATTATACTAAATTATAAGAATTAGTCAAAAAGGCATCTCCTACATTAAAAAAAAATTATGAAAAGTTAATAATTGATACAAATAGATAGTAAACCAATGATGAATAGAAAATACAGGATTTAGATTATTTATTAGCTGAGAAAAAAATGCCAGATTTAAGAAATTCTAATGAAGGTCTACATTAAATTAAAAAACTCTAATTGACATCTAGGGAGGAACTTGAAAATAAAACATTATTAGGTGTATAAAAACAATAATTGCCAAAAAAAAAAAGTACAAGATATATCTTTGATTAATCTTTTGCATAAAAATCATCAGAGAGAATTGACTCTATGAAAGATCTTAATAAATAAAATAATAATGCCTCTAATAGCAATATTACACCACCAGGTTCTTTATAGAAATAAAGAAGCTAATTTTTTGGGAGAGGAGGAACTTTAATAAAATAATTTAATAATAATTCTTCTCACTAAACTTCTCTAATTAAATAAAATGAAGAATAAGGAACAGACAGATTAATTGGAGATTATTTTAATGAATAAGATTTTATTGATCAGTTGTATAAAAAGGATGATACTCTTCATAATGAAATTTTATTGATGATTTTAATTACTAACAATATTTTAAGTGTTTTTGATGATCAAACTAGAAAACTCTAATTTTAATTTGGGAATAAATTTGATGAATCATTATTAGAATTCACAAAAATTTTCAACTATTAATTATTATGCAGTACTGAGATTGAAAATTCAAGATTAGATTATAAATTAAAAAGTTATATAAAAAAAGTAATTTCTATTGAAAATTAAGTGAAAGTCTTTGAAATTTTGGCTTTTTTAGAGCCTACAGAAAATAGAAAAAATACTCTATCTGTTTTGGTAAGGGATCCTGAATCATTTTTATTAGAAGAGGGTTCAATTTTATATACAAGAATTTAGACTAATGAATTAAAAGATAATATTAAAGGAAATAATGATTCACTTAATAAAAAACCAGAATATTATTACTAATATAACGAATAACTATAAGAATTATTATGGGATGGATAATCAACTTTTATATACACAAAACGTTAGTTGAACCATGATCAAACATAAGAATTTTTATAAAAATTGTCATAATTGCATGATGCTTATGGAAACAGATCTTCAGAAATTGAAATCGAATACTAAAAATTAGAATAATAAAATGAAATTTTTTTTTGCATAGGCATAAGATCAGGTTATCATAGTAACTAAATTCAAATTTCATAGAATGAATTAAATGTAGACTCTTTGAAAGAAGATAAGCTTTTTTAATCTCTCTCTATGTAAAATATCAAAATCTGCTTAACTACATCAAAGTCTTATGAAGATTTGATTATATTTCTTAGATCACATTAAGTTGCTTAAAAAGAATAGATTGTTCATTTTTATGAAAAAGACATTTAACAGTTATAATTTAGGTTTAGATAGTAAATTTAATATATGTTAGAAGAGCAAGATATTATGGGATGCGATACATAAAGACATTTAGAAAAGTATATAATAATTAGTAAATAATCATTCAAAATAATTTTGTAAGATGATTATCTAAAATATCATTTTGTTTTCATCACTTAGTTTGCTAATGGTTTAGGAGCATATGAATTTAATGGTAAATGCAATGGATAGTTAATCAAATTATTAAAATTAAACAATAAAAAAATTATTGCTATAGGTAACTCTTTACAAAATAATTATTTATTTAATAAATCAGATATTAGTTTTACTTTGGCTTAAAATAATCCATTCTATTGCATCACTCAACCTAATTTTGTTGTTAAAAATATTAAACAGATATTTTAGTTATTGTTCTTTTACTGTACTCAATGTTTATAAAATTACATTTCCTTATTGGAAATTCAAATATACAGAAGTATTTTAATAGGATTATCAGTTTTTGCTATAAGTTTTTCTTAAAGTGATATAGACTTATTTAATTTAATAATATTTTTTCTTATTCCAAGCAATTTGTTCACTTCTATTTTTTAATAATATTTGCTCATAACATAAATAGATTATGATAAGAAATATTTCAATAGTTTTACAAAGAGATTGTTAATATTAAAAAATGAAAATATTCTTAAATAGGTATGTAAAATTATAATAATTGCAATTTTTGATTCATCATTTGTAATTTTATTGGAAAAGGCAATTATATAATTAACATATCGTAATGGAATGATAAACTAAACAAATTAAGTTGTTTTGCTATATATTGGTATTGAACTTTTAGAGAAAAGTAAATTATTATTTATTGTTTTTGATATGTTAAATGATATTTTGTTTAAAATTAAACAAATTCTTATAATTGTGTTTTTAACATTGATTTTGTGCATTTCTTATTTGTTAGTTTAATCAATTTAAGATGATTAGAAGATTTCATTATAATTCAATAATTTAGGATTATTAGTTTTTACATTCATGACGATATTTTTAGTTGGTTTGTCATTTATTATTTATTAAATACTTCAAATTAATAATATAGAATTTTCAATTCCCATAAATAATGCATAATTAGAAATTCATATGAAAGAGATTAATAATATTAAGTAAAACCTCAACTTTGAAACTAACGAGAAAGGACAACTTTAATATATCAAGAAAATGATAGAAACATTATTTGAAAACAAGGACATAGTTGATGAATAAATCACAAAATTAATTAAAGTTGATTAAACAGCTATTGATTTTATGGATAAAAAGCATGGTTTTTATGATAGGAGAACTGAGAATGATTTTATGGATTTTTTTAGATAACAAAATTGGTAAAAGTACAGTTTGTCTTATGTATTTATATTCTATGAAGTAACCATTTTTATTATTCGCCTTTATGAAACAATGATGAATAACTTTTCCATATCAATCTTAATAATAATAATTATCTAATTATTGATGTAATTGTTGATTGTTATATTATAATTCAAATTCATTAATAATAAAACTTCGCACTAATAATTGTAAATATTATCATTTGGATTGCGATTTGTTTTTAAAATCTTAATAGATTTATTGTATTTAAATGAGAGTAAAGAATTTACTGCTTTCCTATATCATACTTTATTTATTATATCATTTGCTCTCACAACATAGCCAAAGATAAATATTTATTTATATGCTGCTTTATAATTGATAATGTATCTTTTTAATTTAATATTGGATGGATTCACAATTAAATTTGACAATATTAATGAAGCAATATTTTGTATTTTAAAATACTTTTTTATACTCATCGAGATATCCTACCCTATATTTAATTACATACAGAAAATACAATTCTTATAAAGATCATCATATGTTTATTAAAATAGATTAAGTAAGGAATAAAAGAAAATTAATAGTATTTTGGGTTTATTAATGCCTAGATTTATACAAGAAAGAATGAACAAAGGATAAATATAAATATCATAAGATCAAGGAAATGTAAGTGTGTTATTTTGTGACATTTACTAGTTTGATAAAGTAATTAAAGACTAATAAGAAAAAATAATAGAATTTTTAGACACTATATATCGAGCATTTGATTAATTGTGTTAAAACTATGATTTATAAAAAATTGAAACTGTTGGGAAAACTTATATGGCAGCAGGAGGACTAAAAGATTATGATGTTGTGATAAGTATGTTGAAGTTTGATTATTTTAGATTAAAAAAATGTGAATAGTACTTCAAGAGCTCTTGAAACAGCAATTTAAATGATGGAAACAGTTAAAACAATGAAATATGGAGATAATTAAGATGTTTAATTGAAAATAGGAATACATTATGGTAGAGTGATTGCAGGTGTTATAGGAGTTCACAAACCTTAGTTTTCACTTATAGGAGATACAGTTAATACAACAAGTAGAGTATGCAGCACAGGTGAAGCTGGATATATTACTTTAAGTGAGGCTGCATATTTAAATATAAAGGATAATACTAAATATTAATTTGAAAAAAGATCAGTAGCTGCTAAAGGAAAAGGGATGATTGAAACTTATAAATTAATTATTTAATAAAAAGAATTGACACGTACATTGACTCCAAAAGTATCTACTTTGGAACATTAAGTTAAAAATCATATCTAAACTAAAGAAACAAAAAAGTTACTTAATTTTAAATCATCAACGGATAAAAAAAATATTTTAAAAAGACCTTCTATTTAACCTGCTTAAATTGGAGCTTTAATGTTGAGTGATCATACAAAATCTCCAAAGGTTGTTATAAGGTAGTTGCATAGAGAAACTTAATCTTCTATTATGCCAAATATGATTTTAAAATAAAAGCCATCAGCAGAACATGATTAAGATGTTAAACGTTTGAATTCTATCAAATCTAAATCATTTAATTAAGTAACATAATTTTATTTATTTTAAGAATGATGATATTTAAATTAAGGATATTAACCATTCTAGTAATGCAAAGACTCCAGGATTTAAAAAAAATTGGATATAAAAACGTCCAAGTGCTTTGGATAACATTTAACCAAATATTTTAACAATACCAAATAATTAATAAGATTCAGTTACATAAATTTAATTGCCGATAGATTAAAAGCCTTAAAATTAGGTTGTATCATAATCTTGCTAATAATAAATATTTTAATCTGGTGTGAATCTATCTCATTAATCAAATCAATAGTAATTTTTAAATTCAGCTGATTAATTATTAAAGTATTCTGATTAATTCAATGATAATAATAAACAAGAAGGTTTTAATTTTATTCCTAGACCACAAATTAAGAAAAAAGGAACTATAATCTTAGGAGAGATAATTTAAAAAAAATAAATTATAAAATCAAGCACAAAAATAATACTTCCAGAAGAAAAAAATTAAATTGTTAAAATATCTGGTGTTGGGGGTGATAGCGATTCTTATATGGATAAAAAATAAATCAGAAACTAAAGATCTTTGAAATTACAATAGCTTCAAGATTCTAGTTCTGCTTTAAAAAGAAGTCCTGAATCTAAAAATGAAAAATTAGAAGAATTAGAAATAGCTAAGAAAAAGTTGATTATCACATCTGAATAGAAGTTTGACTATTAGACATTAGAAAAAATAAAGAAATTTAAACTTGATTATGATGAAAAAACTACATTTGAATTTGATAAAAGTTAATTTAAAAACAATGATCAATAATTATACCATTCTATATACGAAGAATATAAAGAATAAGAAAAATTATAGATGAGATATATTTTGATATTTTTAACAAGCTTTAATTTGTGTAAAGGTTTACTACTATTTATAATAAGTTAAGAATTTAATCATAAATAGATTGAATTATTAATAGTTTAAGTTTGCCAATTTATTATATGTTTGATAGTGACAATATTTTACTCAATGATTTTAGATAATATTAACCAAGAGATATTAAAAATAATTATTTGGATATACTATTTGAGCTATGGTAGCCTATCTTTATTAATTATTTAATTTGAGAAATAGGAAGAATTTGAAGTAATTTTGTAAACAATTACAATAACTGCTTTGTATATAAATATTTATCTTTCATAAATATTAAATTATGAGGATAGATAGAGATTTAGTGCAATATTTATAATATTGATAGCAATAATGATAGTATATGAAGTCTATATTTTAGAATTAATAATTTATGAATTGGGAATAGCAGGATTAAGTTATTTTAGTTCAACTTAAGAGAAGGAGTTATTGTTTAAAAATTATTTAATAAGTTTATAGTTATCAACTTAAATTGCAAAATATGAAAATATGCTTTAATATTTAATGCCTCCTCATGCCTTAAGAAGATTATTAAATCCAGATTAAGAATATACAGATACATTTATGGATGTTTTAGAAAATACAACAGTATTATTTGCAGATATAGCTGGTTTTACAAAATATTCAAGTTCAGTGGAAGCAGAAACAGTAGTAGATATGTTGAGAAACTTGTTTTCAAATTTTGATTAGTATTGTTAGAAAGCAGAGATTTATAAATTGTTTACAATAGGGGATTGTTATGTATGTATGGGTGTGCTTGATTGTAAGAAAAGAGACCCTGCAGGAGAAGTAAATTTTTAGATATGAAAATAGGCCTAAAAAGTATTGGCATTTGGATTTAGTATGATTGAAATAATCAATCATTATAAAGAAGATCCATAATATTAGCATCTTAATATGAGGATTGGAGTTCATACAGGTAGAGTTTTAGGAGGTGTTGTTGGAACAGATGTTGTTAGATATGATATTTATGGAGAAGATGTAACTATAGCAAATTTAATGGAATCCTCAGGATAAGTAATTAATAAATATATTTTAGGAAGGTAAAATACTAGTTAGTGAAATCACTAAAAATTTAGTTGAAAGCGAATATGAAGGTTTCTAATTTGATTATGCAAAAGATGTTTATCTTCCTTCAAAAAATATAAACATCTCTACTTATTTTGTTTAACCTAGTGATATAGAGCATAGTTAAAATGATTGATTTTCTTCCTTAAATTAATATATTAATATTTTATAATTTATTTAATGATTCCATCAAATAAATCACCTTCAGAAGTTGAAATATTCTTTTTCTATCAATAAGCTATCAATAATTTAGAATAAGGCAGAATTGATGATGGTAAAGCCTAACTTAAGAGTCTACTTCATAGCAACTAAATTAAAAATTAAGATCATAGAACTATTTATTATGCTATTTTAATTTCATTAGCAGAGGTTTATGGAAGAAGTAATTCTATTCAAGAGAAATGTGAAGCCTTAAAATACTACCATGAAAGTAATTCGATTATTGAAGATTGTTGGGAAACAAATAGAAAAATGGCCATCATTTTTAGACAGATTGGACTTATTCCTAGAGCCTTACATTTAACATAAAAAGCGTATCTATTCAACTAATTAATTTAGTTTAGAAGTTTGTTAGTAGAATTAAGGCAAGCTTATATTATATTATTAAATATGTTGTTTAGCTTTTTTAATTAATGAACTAGACTTATTTAATTAATATTTAGAAATTATGCCTGATGAAAACAAATTGAAATAATAGCTTTTAGAGTTAGATTTATATATAAAAGAATAAAAAAAAAGTTTGTTTGTTAATGAGCTTCTAGAAGAAAGAACCTCTATTTCTAAAAAAATAGCCTCAATACCAAAAGAATATTTAACTCTAGATTATTTTTATTAAGAATATGAATGTGAAATTTATATTTAAGAAAGTAATCCCTAAAAGTTATTTAAAAAAATCAAAAGATTATTATTAAATAATTTACAAATTGATGAAAACACAGATGAAGTACACTAAAAAGATTTATCAATTCTTTTGAAAACTTTTTTTGTTATCAAATCTAAAGATGAAAAATCAGTTCAAAAAGATAAACATAAAGAATAGATTGAAAAAAATATTAAATAGCGTTTGAAATAAAAATTATTTTATTAAAATGATCAAAACATTCAAGCGAAATTTTCTTTATAATCTATTTTATAAAAAGAAAATTCTAAATCAGTAGAAATCTTTAAAAATTGTGGTTTAAATATGGAATTAATTTCAATCTTTGGCAAAAATACAATTTTATAAGATTAATAAGTATAAAATTTAGAATAGAACTAAGCACAATAAATAAGTAATAATGCACTAGGATAATATCTAATCTCAAAATTAAAAGAATAAAAATTTTATATTTTAAATTTAATAAATTAACTTACAGAACTTATATTTAGAATACCTGAAGATTTAAATTAAGATTAAGAAGTAGTTGATAAAGCTTAAAAAGATTTGGTTAGATGTTATATTTGGGCATAATATTTTATGAATGAATTTTCAAATGATCCTAAAATAGAATTAAAAATTTTATCCTAATTGTTCAAAGAATTTAAATTAAGAATTAAAAATGAAAAAACAAAAACAAAGAAATAAAACGTAAAACTAAAAAATCTATAGCGATTAATATTTAAATTTAATGATAAATTACTATTTTAAATAAGCTTTAAAAAAGATTAAAAGGAAGAGTAAATTTCTTAAACAAAAGAATTTAAAATGATTATGTCTTAAATTCATAATGAGTTCAATATCCTAAAAAATTTCTCTCCTCTTGCTAATTAAAATCAACTGAATAAATCTTAGTAGCTAGGAAAAATATTGGAACTCTCTTTAAATGAAATATTAGAATTTTGGGAATCCCCATTTTATTTAGTTGAAAAAGGGGAGTAAACATCTAATTAAGTGGCAAAAATAAAAGCGTTTATAAAAGAAGAAAATAAATTATTTGAGCCTTATGATATTTATTAATAAATAATAAACGTGTGTATAAAGTAACTTTATTTTAGAAAATCATAAGATTAATGTAAATAAGTTTTCGCATTAATTAAATCAATTTTTGAATCCTTATATAAATCAGTACAAGTGAATAATATAATTGCTTTATGTTATCTCAAATTATCATTTATTTATGGAGCTCTAGAGGAGGAAGCAAGTTAACCATTAGTTTTATTTTTATCATTTCATTATAAAAAATTAGAATTTCCTTATAAAGAATTATTTTTAATAACTACACTTCAATAAAGATAGATCAAATTGCGTAAATTTTTTGAACTTTTTAACTTGAATTTAGTAATTAAAGACTTAATTAATTTGAGAATTAAAATGAAATTTGATTATCAATATATTTTTAAAAATTTAATAGATTAATTTTAGGACAGTTTTGATGTGCAATATTATTTAATGCAATAAATTAATGAGAAACCAGGCATATATGGTCATTGTATTGTTAAAAAAAATTAAGTGTAAATTGAAACTTAACCTATGGATCCTGGCAAAAATTTAATTGATCCAGAAAATTATTCAAGTGAGTCAGAAGAAGACTATTGTTTTACTTATCCTTATTAAGTTCATTACAAGGAAATTAAATTAAAGTATGGTGAATTAAATAAATCATTTAAAATTGGATCAAAATAATATAAAATTAGTGTTGAAAAATAAAAATATATATCAAGCCATAAAATATCAATAAATTTAGGAGATCCTCAAATATCAAAATAAATAAAAAATATTTCAAAAGAATTATTAAAGTAAAAATTCTTATTATGTACTAAGTAGCTTAAAAAAACCTTTATTGTATTTTTTTTTGAAAATTATTATTTTGATCCAATTTAGGAATAAAATGAACTATCAGAAGAAGAAATAAAATTTATTGGTTATTTTTTGCCAATTTGTTTTAATTAGTTTGAAGATAAAAAAAAAGTCAGCATTTTTACAACAAATGTTATTTTAAAATATATTCCTAAAAAAATAGACTCATAAATATATTAATATGCAAATGCATTGAATTAATAAATATTTTCAAAGTAACCATTAAAATAGATGCCTAAATTTAATGAAATGAAAGATTAAATAGTGTAATAAAAGTTGTAAAATGAATATATGGCAAATATTTATTATTTATTACAAATAACAGGAGACGATGAAAAAGGTTTTATGTATATACTTTTAGCGATAGCCTTCAATGAAATACCATATTTTTGGAATTATTTGTACATGAAAATTTTTCATCTAGCATATAACTAGTTAAATTAAAAAGTTCAGACTTCAGACTTTGACTGGTTTATTTCTTAAAAAAAAATATAAGTTCACTTATAAAAATGGTAAAGCTTGATTCATCTTTTCGAATATAGATTTATTATGGATTTGCTTAAAGCATAACAAAGATAATTAGAATATCAAAGTTAACCAAATGAAAAAAATTATTAAAAAGTGTAACAAGCTTATTAATTTTTACTCTCTTAAAATTAAATCAATATACCTCTTGATATTTATGAATTGTAACATAATTTTAGAGCGATTTTATTAATTGAAAAAAAAATTATGAGAAAACTTAGAAGTGTTTCAATTTAAAGAATTATTTAATCTATTTCCAATTATTCTTAAATTAATAAACTCATTATATAAATGAAAGAATAAAAGTTGACATATTTTTACAATTCTTCTGAAGGTGAAATTGAAACTATATCAGATTTATAAATAAATGTATACAAATATTTAAGAAGATTTATAAAAACTAATAATGGGGAAGGTTTAAAGTTATTAATAGAAACAATAGAAAATCAAATTCCATTGTTGATGGAAGTTACAAAAGATATTGAAGAATTTTAGTATTGTTTCACTCCAGAACTTAGAACTTTTAAGTCAAATTTGAAGCAAGATCAAAATGAATAATTATATGACATTTGTTAATCTAAACACTATTAACAAAAAATAAATGTTGTAATGGGTAACTTGAGCTTATTTTTTGAAAGAATTAAATAGAAACTTGGTCATAATGCTCCTTAAAGATATGTGATAGAAGCTATCTATTATTTATGTCATATTTAATTACAAAATAAAAATTTGACAAAAGATAAGCTTGAAAACTTGATACAAATCATTTCTATTATATATTCACCTTAGATTAAAGATTTAGTAAGATATTAAAAACAATATGGAAATGAATATTCTGAACAAGATTAAGTCTTAAGATATTATTATCATCATGATCTGGTTTTCTTCTACTTGAAATAAAAGATTGTAAAGCTTTTTATTAGAATTCTTTTTGCAAATTAAAAATGGAAAGAACTTTTAGAGTTGTTAGAATAATTGCCAAAAAATTTTGATTTAAGAGGATATCAAATTTGTTTTTCTTTTATAGAAAATTAAAAATATTTTAGTGAACCTCAATTATTATAAGATGTCTTATGTCATATTGATTATTTTCTTAAGAGAAATTAACAATATGTGTCATTGAATGAAAATCAGGAGTATGAAAAAATGTTTTTGAAATTCTATGATGTGTTTTTATTTAAATAATAAAAAAACAATAAAACAATAACGGAAAAAGAAAAATAATTTTAAGCCAAAAAGTTTATAGATCATTAAGTTAGAGTTATGAAAAAAGGCAAAAGAGACTATGCTTAATGTTAAGACAATTAAAATTTTATAGAAATCTGTTGATAAGAGATAATAGATTGTTAATTTATTTTTATTATACATCTAAATATTATATGTTCTTTTAGAAATTCATCATAACTTTCTTTAAGAAAATAAATTTTTTATATATTTTCGATTCAATTTATACTAATATTAAAAAATTTTGTTTTATTAAATAGTGTTTAAAAATTATTGTAAATTCTTTAAAAATATTCAATTTATAGATTTATTGAAAAATAATACATAATGGTATTAGTTTTAATTGCTTTCAATTAATCATGTCGCTTAAACTTTCTTGGTCAATATCTAAAAAATCTAATTTAAAGAATTTTATTTGATATATATAATTATTTGGATAAGATATTTTAAACATATTTCAAAAGATTGAAAACAACATTAGATAATAAAATCGATTGATTTGGATAAGGTGATATAAACATAATCATGATAATTTGATTTCTAGAAAAATTGGTGAAGCCTAAGAATTTCTTTTAAAAAATCTGTTTTTAAATAATCCAAAATCTTTGTTATCATCTTCTTTATCAGTTTTCGAATAATAAATTTCCTACTTCTTTTTCGGGTCTGTGCAAAATTAAATCTTTTATTATCTTAGGTAAGTTAGAATCGACTATATTTTTTTATTTGGTTTATGATATAATTCTAATTCCAAAGAATCAAGGCTTGAATTCAAGTCTTCCTACATAAAATATATTTAATTTCAATAAAACATGAATTAAATTTTTTTAATATGACAAAAACATAGTCGTTAATTCCAAATTTTATAATATTACCATTATAGAAAAAAATCCACTAACAATTTATCAAAATATTTATATTTTTGTAGAATTTAAATATATGCTGAAGACACAAGATTTAATTAAAATACTTAAAACTATAATTAAATCTAAAAGAATTAAGTTGGGACATTTATTATCTTGAATAAATGAAAAATAAAGTTTCCATTTCTAGTTTCAGCATCCTAATATCAATGATGCTTTGTAGAATGATCATTAGAATGCTAATTGAAGAAATTAGGTAAAAAATATTTAGAATTTAAATAAAAATGATATTGTTTGATTCATCTAGATGGAATTATTTTGATAATTAATAATTATGCTTGAGTTCTACTGCTTGAATAATAACTTTATTATATCCCTTTTATATATAGTATTTTGAATATAATTTTTATTAAAAAATAATTATAGTAATTTTAAAATACTTTTGAATTAATAATTTAACTTCAAATTTTTAATTAGAATAAATAATAGACTTCATATAGATGTCGAAATCTAATCAAGAACTCTTAGAAAGAGCAATTAAGATGATAAATTAAGATATAGAGATTTATTAAAAGTTAAATACAGTACAATTTGATAAAGGATTGGATTTTTTTGAGATTTATTCAGAATGCTATGACATAAGCAATGCTATTAATAATAGTATCTAAAGAATAATAAATAATATTGATGAAGAATCAGATAAAGATAATAAAGATAATTAGAAAAGTGATGGTATAATATAGTTATAATTTTTTCTCATACAAATTGAAAACTAGTAATAAACTGATACAAGATGTTAGAATATCATTGCTATTACAAAAAAACTTGTAGCTTTTTTAGAGAGAAATTAAGAGTTTAATAATAAATTCAAAATTTAGAGGGACCAATTAAATTATTTAAGAATAATTTATAATGATCCTCAATGTACTAATGCTTTGAAATCCGGACTAAATCTAGTATATATTTATTTTCAAATTTAGCTTACTGAATGGTTAGTTGCGATGTGTTATAAATTTAAAATAAATAAAAAAATTGATTTTATAACTAAAACTTTACCCAGAGTATAATATTAAGCAAATGTAGTTTTAGAGTTTTTTTTAAGCTAAGAAGATTAAATTAGTAAAAACAATTAAGTTGGATAATAAAAAATAACAGAATCTTTTTTATCAGATTAATAGGAAATTGCAGAGATTTTGTCTGATGGATTTGTTTTATAATAATTGACAAGTTCATTAATAGGATCCATTTAAGGAGGTTTTTGCAGTATAGGAGAATGGGTATAAGGGGTCATTTAAGCTTCAAATTAGAATTTTAACCAATTGTAGAATACATAAGAAAAAATAAAAAAATGATACTATAGCTTATTATATTTAGAATTTGTATAAATTAACTACAATTTAGAATAAGTTTCAAATAATAGATGTAATCAATACAGATATTTAATAATATATTGATTCCATTTCTTCTACAGATTGAATAGTTTGATACTTTATATCATTTAAGATATCAAGATTTTAAATTAGTTCTTGGTATAAAGTATTAAATATTTTAAATTATCCAACTAAATTTATTTTAATAAGTTTGTTAGATAATTCAGCAATTTAATTTTATTTTTACTTCAATAATTATTTTTCTTCTTTAACTTCACTAATAATTTCTTCATAATATGGAGAAGGTGTAATAAGTAATGGAGCTATTCGGCTTTATCTATGATGATTTAAGATATCTCTAATTTTTACTCTTTTTTGATATTTTCCACTTTTTTTATTATTCAAAATTTTTTTTTATATATTTTTTTCATCTTCTTTAACTTAAGCAAAGTTTTATAACATTTATTTTCCCATTACCATACTAGTTCTTCTGGAATGAAATTAACTTTATTTTCTATGATCTATAATTTTTCTAACAGCCATTTTAAATATTGCTTAATATTTCCATTTTTTTTCTTGTTTTTATCCAAAAATAAATCTGATTAATTTTTTATGTAATTATTAATAGGAATCTTTAACGATGTTTCTTTTAAATTATCTCTCTAAAAATTATTTTTTTGAAACATATTAATTCATTAATTAACCATCTAATGCACTAATTCTTTTGATTTATTTAGCATTTTCTATTAATAAAATAATGAAATAAAATACTTTTTACTCTAGCGATATTTTCATGTAATAAAAGTCTTCTTCTTAATCCTAATTATTCAATTTCAAATAATAATTTTTCATCATCTTGAACTAATTGTAAAAATTGTAATACAGGACACATAATAACTACAGAATCTTTACCAGCAATTGCAGATTGTTTTCTATAACTATCTTCTAATATTTCAATTTCACCAAAAATATATCCTTCTTAAATATTTAAAAGAGTATTGGCATCTTTATCACATAGACGAATCTCTCCAGCCACTAAGAAATATACTTCAAGACTTGGAGAACCAATAAAATATATTGTTTCATATTATTTAAAACAATATATTGTAAAATGAGGTAAAATAGCAGCAGCAAAATTGATATCAAAAGAAAATATGTTTACATTCTCAATTAGTTATTTTTAACAGAATGCTATGGCATAAACTTTAAGTTGAGATGGCAAAGTTTCAATAATTCTATTATCTTTGTTATAAAATAAAATACTTCTTATAATTCCAAAATGGATTATTTTCGATGTTATAATAATAATAAGAAAATAATTAAGCACTTAATTCTTCTGGAATAAGAATTTAAGTCATCAGAGTTTCAAGGGCTTCTAAATCTTCATCAAAACCTTCATTTGAAGATTATTACTCTAATATTGCTGCTAAATTTCCTATTGTAAATGAATAAAATCCAACTCCTATAAAAATCCATATAATTGTTAAATTATATTATGTAGATGTTGTAATAGCTACATCTCCATATCCAATTACAGTTACAGTTTAAATAGCCCAATATAAACCTTAAATATAAATGGTTAAAATATTTTCTTAAGTTTAATTACCATCATATTTTAATACTGAATGAAACAAACAACCAAATAAACTAATTAAAATGAGCATATTTTTAAATATTTTTAAAATGCTCAATAATTTGCCATCAAGTTAAAATAATTTATCAAAATATTATGATTAATCTTTTGAAGTTTTTGTTTCTTAATATATTTATCTTTCATTATAACTAAAATATTTTATAAATCTCAGTAATTTTAAAAGATTTAAGCACAATTAATCAGTAAAGTCATTAATAAATAATTTATATGGAATAATACTAATGATATCAAATAAAAGCCATCTTTATAAATTAAATAAAAAAATAGCTTAAAATGTATTGATTAAATTATAATTTTTATCAATTTAACATGTAATTTATTTTAGAATGATATCAATAAAATAAAAGCAATCCAATATTAAAATAAGAATAGTCATAACATCCTAAAAATGAATTATATAAATACTAAAGTTCTATAATCAGAGAGACTTATATATATTGGATATAACATTAAAGTAACAGATGTTTAGAATGACATAAATAATTTCCATATTTACAACTAATTAGGATAAAAAGGCAGTTTTTTTCTTTTCTTATGAATTTATTTAAGTTAAGAGGTTTTATGTGCTTCTTTGTTTTAGCTAATATGTCTAAAAAAGGATAAGAGAATCATCAATCTTCTAGAAGCCATATCGAATTTTCTCTTTGTGATTCTGTCTCTAAAATAATCATCTTCTTCAACAATCTAATCTTGACTTGTGAATTAACTACGTTTGGGTGTTAAAAATGCTCTATTGCTTATAGCACTTAAATAATATTAGTATATACTGTTTAGGTGAAATAATGAGAGTGGTTTCCTTTGATGTATGTCTACTTTACCTTATTGTATTAAATAGTTTGAGTGAACTATTCAAGTAAAAAAGATATTATACTCTAATCCTGTTTTATAATCTTTAGTTTCTATTGGAGATGAGCAACTTGGATGAACCTATCCAACACTCATTAATATGTTAATTTTTCTAATATTTACATTTGCTTAAGCATTTAATGCGGATAATGCCTACTCAATATATACCATAGAAAAGAATCTATAGGATAAACATTAAAGTTATCCTGAACTATATTCAATATAACATATTTTAGATTCTATTCAAAAACAAATAACTCTTCAAGGTAACACATTTTTAATATTTTAGATGGTCGAAAAGTACTTTGTTAAATTCCAATACCTCAAATTTCTTAATTAATTAAGATAGATGCTCTATCTATTACAACAAATTTAACTGATGATTAAGCCAACAGTATTCTCTTTCCATTAATTGGTTAATGTGTTCATCATTAAACTAAAGAATTTCTTTATGAATACTGTTATAGAAAATATGTTAGATAGTATGATGATTTAAACACAATGTTGAGCATGTAGAAAATTGTAATTTTTATACTCATATTCTTAGTTAAAAGAAGATTTTAGTTTGGGCTATTCACATTAATTTACAACACAAAATTATTCATATACTCTTTTTGAACCATATAATTCTTCTTATCATCTTGATACTAATTATCATTAAATACTATAATAAATTGATAGATTGATTATTATTGAAGGGTGTTTAGCTAAATTAAGAAATAATGATTAATTTATCTCAGAAAAATATGAATATTAACTTAATGTTTCAACAACACATACAGTCTATACATTTCGTGTAATTCAGGTCATATATAATGAATTATTACTATTATCTTAATGTTCAGATATTTTAATCATTTCAGATTATTTTGAATTAATCTAAATTAAACAAAATAAAGTTTCTATAAAATAGAATTAATATTACCAATATAAAAATGTGATTTTTGCATTGAATCTTTAAGCTCAAGAGATGTTTTATCCAAAATAGAGTTTAGGAGTAATCTTTACTGAAAAAGTATTTTTTATTCATGTCAAGAAAGTTATTGACTATTGTGCTATTTAAGTTTTAGGTTTTTAATAACACATAAAATATTAAAAATCTATCTCTTAAATTAAGCATTTAATTTTAATGGATGCAAATACTTATTATGAAGAATTAGAAGCTCCTATTCTGATTTTGGAGAATATCTTATTTATTTAATAACTTATTAATTAGATCAATATTAATGATTATATAGTAATTTATGATACTACCACATCAGTATAGAGTTACATTGAAACCTTTAGAATTACTTAATTTCATAATGGAATTGCTATTTTAGATAAATAATTAACTAAGGGATTGAGATATGAAGGAAAAGCTATTATAAAAAGAATTAATAAGTTTGTTAAACAAATAAATTTTACTTAACCTCTATTAGATACATATGAATATTAAAATGATGATTTAATTTCTTTGACTAAATTAGAATATGAATATGTTCAAATTCATATATTCAATCATTCAAATTAAGGATATTAATTGAAATAATAATATTAAAAGTACATGGGGATTACATTTTCTTTATATTAGTTAAATTATGATATTTCATCTTCTTTATTTCTTAATATTATAAGTGAAATGTATTTAACAACTTAAATAGCTTTATTAACATCACCTTAATCAAACATTTATATAAAAACTCAAGATGGAAATTATACATAAATGGAGTCTAGATTTAAAAATAATAGTCTACTAAATCAATCATATTGGATTATAATAGATACCTTAATAGACAAATTGTATGTTGGAATGGGTGATCAAATTAAATTAGCAAACAAACTTATAGAATTTTAGTTGTTGAGAAAACAAAATAAAAGTTCATAAATAATTTTTGAATTTGATAAGAAATCAAATGGTTTAAAACTATATGATATAATGTTTCTACCATTAAGTAATTTTGGATTATTTAGAACTACTATTTCAACTGAGTACTTTCATGCATTAAATTTCACAGGCGGAATAAATGGAGTCTTCGAAGAAACATATTAATTAGGTAGTTTTTGTAATCCTATTAATTCCACAAGGCAAAGTTAAATTAAGTTCACTTGTCATCCTGGTGATTTAATGAGATTTATGTCTATTACAGAAGAAGAAATCTGTAAATATCAAATTACAATTGGAACTTATTTATTATGTGACAAAAAATAAGATATTGTGGAACCAACTGAACATCCTATTCTATGTATATTAAAACAATGATCCCAATTATAAATATATTTTTATCATTTATAGTTCTTTAAGAAATTAAAAGAATTTAAGAATTTAAGAGAATCAGAGAAATTTTCAAATCATATTTATTTTATAAATATCAATGAATGAAATTCCTACAGATAACTAATAATTAACATCCTAATAAACACTTGAAATGCTTCAGTTCTATGTAAAATGCCATCAATATTAATTAGTTTGATACCATTATTTCTGAATGCACAGCATTTAATCATGCTTAATATATATATCCACTTTATCAAACTTTTTTAATTCAATTGAATTAATAACTTAGAACTTTAGAACAATCATGTATAGGAGATATTACACATAATATTATGTACTAAAATCTAAAAGTACTTTAAAAAAATGCAGCAGATGATCTCAATATATAAGAAATGTTAATTGAGTATGATGAATGTATTATTAAATTAAAATATATTAGTCATCCATCCAATTAAAATACAGGATCTACCTAGATTATTTAATTAAAAACAAAAGATGCCTTCAAAATAAAAGAAAGCAGTTAGTTGCATTTTGAATGACAATTGTGATAAATAAGTCTTCTTCAAAACTGGATCCTAATCTGTTTTGATTCATCAAACTAAAGATCAAATTTAGAGCTTTTCTGAATTAGATGAAAATAAACTCAATGTAATTAAAGAATTTGATGAAAAAAGTCAATTTTCATCAATCAACTTTCAAATAAATCCAAAAACTGATCTAAGAACACTTGCTGAATAAAGAATGACATAATCATAAAATTATTATTATAATGAAGCTTAATTAGATGATGTAGATCTTTTTTATTAAATTAGGCTTATTATGTATTATAGCAAGCTATGATAGAATTATAAGATAATTAATAAATATTTAATTGGTTTTATGAAACATATGGTGAATACGTTAGAATGATTTAAGATAAAATGAATAATATGTAGGTTAATCTTAACGAACTTGAATCTGATGGATGGATTATAGAAAAAAATACAAAAACATTAATCATTAAATATAAAATTGATTCTAAAAATTCAACTGTTACTCTTTTTATGGATTCTGTCTTTGAAGCTAATGTTACTAAATTAATGGCTTTAATTAATGAAATTGAACTATATCAAAACTATGTACCATTTTGTGTTAGGTCATCTATGCCTAAAAGAATAGGAAAATGTTGTAAAATTTGTGACATATAGGTTTACTTTCCTTTAATTTCTGACAGGAAAGCTGTTTTTGTTGGAGAAGGCATAGATCGACTTAATATAAATGGTACAATAGTATTTATTTGTAAATCTGTTGATAACGATCCAGAATTTTTAAAAATACATAATATAGATTTATCAAAAGATAAATAGAAGTTTGTAAATTTGATACTAAACTATTATGTATTTGAATTAACACCTATAAGTGAAAATAAATGCAGAGTAAGAGCAGTAACTAATTCGGATCCTTAATGCAGGTATATACCAAGAGCACTTGTTGCTTTGGTAGCAAGAAAAGTATATTAATTTTAATAAAAATTAGATGGCCAGTACTTTATTTGAGAAAATGTAAAAAATTACTTAAAATTTTAATAAAAGTCTATGGTATCCTAAGTATTTGGAAAATCAAGAATTTTATGATTGGATAGATAATAAAGTCAAGGTTTATTTTTCTAAATAAAAATAATTATGATTTTAACTCCTTTTATATAATAATAATAATTCATTAAATGCTTATTTAAGCAAATATATAACAATATTCCATTTGTAACAAATTTTCATCTTTTAATGGGATTGCTCTATATCCTTATCTCATATTTCTAAATGGTAATGCATATTATCCAATAATTGTTTATTTGCTTTCTTCATTTTTATTATATACTCTAAATATAAAAATAGCTTAATCCACATTTTTTATTTCAAAAATTTTTTTTGAAGAATTTGGATCAAATTCTGGATTAACTCCATTGTTATATTTGATATTTGTTTAAAATTCTTAGACATTTTCACCTACTTTATTACCTTTAAGAGTGACACCTACAAAAGAATTTATAGTGGTTTTGATATCTAATAAAAATAGTTAGCAAGAAATAATCTGAATAGTAACTAATTATTTTGGATATTCAGGAGATTCAAAATCAGGGATGTTGTCCTGTCCATTAATCAAGTATTTAGGTTTAAGAAAATAACCACAACCATGATTTTGTTCAAATTTAGCTTAATTTATTAACATAGATTCATCTTTTGTTTAAAAATTAAGAGCTATAATTTAAGCCCCTAAAATAAAGCTTGGAATTGGATCATAGTTACTTGAGTTGACTCTTAAGCCTGATGGATATATTCTGACAAGAGAATGATTTAAACTTTATTAAATTTACTTAACTTTTTTCTCTTTATAGATCTTTTCTACTTTATCTTCACTCAATGATGATATATGCCAAATAGTTCTTTTCTTATCAAAATTAAATGGAGAATTAAATAAACTAATGCAACTTAAAAATTAAGGATGATGCTTGACATTCATATTTACAGGTATCACCATATCGATTTAATCACCTGTCATTTTAAAATCCTAAATACCCTCTTATCTCATTAATTATTTGTGCTTATTTTAATAATTAAGGTTTTTTAAAATTTTATTATTGATTCTTTATTTTTTTGCAATCTCTCTTATTTCTCCAGGTTCTGGATCTTAATCTAATTAAATCAATTCTATTGTTTTTGATTGTTTAATATTTTAATTAATTATACTTTTGCGAATTATTTAATTAGTTTTGTGCATATTAGAAGATTCTTCTAAAATACCGGAACTTTTGATTAAGAATTTATTTTTGAGTTTTTCTGGTGAAGGTAGAACATCTAGACCATCTTCATAGATATAGAGTTCATCTTTAAATTATGATTTCATAATCTATCCTAGAACTTCCTATTGATCTATACTACAATGTAGTTCTAAAGATAATATAATTGGGTAGGAAGAAAACCGAAATCCGAATTTATCTAAAGCCATAATTACATCTTCAAATAAAATCTTTGATGTTAAAGTATAACCATGATAAATAACTGGATTCTTATCAGTAAAACTATCCCAACAGTCTAATTCAAAACATCGGCATCCATTTAATAATGCAATTATATATTAACCTACACTGCTATCTCCTGACAATTAATCTTTCGTTAGATAGGTATTGTGAGAACTATTTATATAATAGTGAGATAAAGGTTTTGTCATATCATCCGAATGACCCATCTCATAAATAGAATTTTATTAACTGAAGAGAAAATCATTGAATTTATCAGCAGTCATTGGAAAATGAAGTTCAAAAAGTTAATCCGAGTCTTATTATTTTTATGTTTGCAGAAATCTTTTAAAATCAAATTCAGTTATTTGGTTTTTAGAATCTAAATAAAGTTTGTTCAAGTAAATTAAAATAGATTATTTATAAAGTACTTAAACAATTTACTAGATAAATAAAAATATGGTACTTCAAATTAAATATATTCTATTTTGTTCTTAAAACTCTATTAGATACATTTATTTTCAATTAAACTTTTATCTGGATATATTAATTTTATCCAATTAATAAATCCTTATTATTCATCTCTATTTAAATATCCATCCCTATCTTCATCAAATTTTGTGAATATTTCCCAAGCCATCATTTTAATCTATAATTTTCTATATAATGCAAAATATATACTCTTTAAAATCCTCTTTTGCTTTTTTATAAAAATATTATAATCCTTACCACCATAATTCTTTTAGTTTTGACTTTTCAAATTTCAAATACCAACATTCTTCATTAATAAAGATTTATAACAATACAGATTTATCATCTGTGAATTTTTTTTTATCTTGTATATCATCTGTTATAAATCTAATTTTTCTTAAATCAATATAATTTGTATATTGATTTATGATATAAATTAGATGATAACTAACATCATGAGACATATAGATGAATAATTTCTCAAATTTATTACCAGAAATTATTTTTTGAACTTCACATCCATAAACTAATAAATTAATGGCATCATCAATTCTTTCATCTGGAAAGGTATTTTTATTTAAGAAAGTTGAATAATTCATTTATTATTTTATCAATATTTTATTTTTGTGTATGGATTCTAAAAGTGATATGAAATAAATGTTAAACAAATTCAATACTTACAAAACAAGCAACCCTTCATATATATCTAATAGAAATGATAACTTAAAAATCAATTAACAATAATAATAGTAATAGCAATTACCCATTCATTAAAATTAAATGTAACCATAACCTTAAAAAATTGTGTCATAAACTGATTATGAAAAGTTAAAGAAAGTATTTTAACTAAATAATTTTAGGAAAATGATCTACTCAGATCTGAATTATTTATAACAAAAGAATAACTCAAAAATCTTACAGAAGATTATTAAAAACTTTAGTAGAAATATCATTAAGTATAACATTAAGTTAAATAACCATCTGATGAATTTTTGATTGCTAAGATGTAAAGACAATTAAGACATTAATAATACTAAGAATTTATGTAAGAGGCAATGATGCCTTAAAAATAGTTTTAAACAGATGGAATGACTTACGAAGAATTATTAGAATTACAAAATCAAATAGGACATGTCTCTCGTGGATTAACGAAAGAGTAAATAAAGAAAATACCAAAAAAAATAGTGTATAACAAATAAAAGGATGTGTATTCAAAAATTCTAAATATTTAGATGTTCTATATGTTAGAATGATATTGTAAAATTTGAAAAAATTAGAGAACTAAAATGCAAACATTTTTATCATTCCAAATGCATTAAAAAATGGTTGATAAATGAAAAGAAATGTCCTATTTGTTAAATTGAAGTATGAATTATAAACTATATATATATTAAATGTTATTAATTATAATTAAAAATATAATCATAATCAACAATAATATAGATTTTAGACTATATTAATAAAATTATCATTCATTATTAATAGGATTATTTTTTAGCATATAATTATCCATTTAAATTCTTCATTCTTACAGTAGTTGATTATTCAAAGTTTTCTTTTGAAGTTTATTTCTAATTTTTTAGTTTTGATTGGCAATTTAATTTTAAAACTTGATTATAAACAGATTCTCCAGGATGACTACATAATTCTTTAAAAATTCTATCTTTTAATGTATCTTCACCATTTGAATTTTATATAGGTTGTGAAGTATATTGTTAAACATTCATATGAGCAAGTATAAATTATCTTTTTCCATCTATTTAGTCTAATGAAGGTTATTTTGGTTATTTTGAATTAGATCTACGGTTGAAATGATTTTCCTACTTTTAATTCTGTTAATTATTTATTCTTGATAAGGGTTCCTAATGAAGAGAAGTTAAAGATTTTTATTATGGTTATGAATCATAATTTGTTTTTGAAACTTCTTTTTAACACTTTTAATCTAATAAATTATTATTTACTTAAGGATATTCATATTAGGCTTTAAATAAAATTAAATATTTACATTTTTGACTTGCATGATTTGCTAATAATTTAAAAGTTTATGGTATAACATTGGTTAAGTTTTTCTAATGCTTAGGAGTTAATTCTCGATCTTCAAAACTTTTTCTATCAGTATCTTTTGTAAATTTTTGGATATATAACTAATTAATTAATACTTTATTTTTTTATTCTTCTAATTTATCTACTTCGACTGTTGTTTTTTATTTTTCATTTTATTAAATTTAGTACTTTTCATTTAATTCCAATTAATTATTCATGGATTAATAATTACTTATTTATTCCCCTACACTAATGTTATGTTTAAAACTTTCTCTATCATTTGGAGTTACTTATTGATTTTTTCTTTCTAAACATGCCTTAAATTACCAACTTTCTGGTGTATTTGTATTACTCTCTCTTCTTGAATTCTATATTGTTGATCCTGGATTAGAATATGTATTCCCTTTTTGTTTTTATTATTATTACAATAATTGAGTATAATTTTTTATAGGAGATTATATTTAATCTTTAATTGGATTTGAACAAGTACTTTAATATATATCCTCCCCTTCCAATAGTTCAAAAACTTTCATATCTGCTGGAGAGTTTGCAGTTTTTTATTGTATTTTTGGACTATTTTCGTATTTAATTTTTTTTGATATTTATTCATCAGAGCAATCTTCATTTTTTAATAATAAATTGTAACACATTTTATTCATGTCAGCTAAGATTTAATTTTGTTCAAATTTAATTGATGTTTAAAAATAATCTTAATTGAATTCTTGAAGTTATTCTTTTATTTATTAAACTTTTTTTTCATATTTATTCATTATATCTTCAAAAGGTTTCATTTCCATATTCTTTACAATATTCTCATGATTTTTAGTTATATCAATCTCAAATTGTTTCAACTAAATGTCTATCTTTTAAATTATATTTATTTTTTCAGTAATCTAACTCAAAGAACTTAGATTATCAGTTTCAAATTTTGATAAATAAGTTAATTTCAATTAATTAGCTATGTTGATAACAGATTCAAAGAATAAACGACAATTTTCTTTTTATTCTTTTAATTTCTTTGAAGCGTTCATTTCTATATCTTTAAACTAAATTATCTTATTAGAACATTATTTTAGAACTTCTATTAACTAATCTTAAAATTTATGTATTCTTTATTATCTATATATCTCAGGCTATTTTTCCTATGTTTCTTCTATCTTTAAACCTTTTAGAGCTAAATTCAAAGCACATTTTGAACAAAATAACTTGCTCTAATCATATTAAACATAATATTTAGCCTTATTTTATAATATTGTTTTACTTTCTTGTTTGGATGCTTTGCACAAATATTATTGCATTATTCTTTTTACTTAAAAATATTAGAACTCTTAAGAATTCGTTCTTATTCAGTTTATATATAAGAAGTTTCTTCTGATTCAGAAGAAGAAATTTATCCACTCATTATCTGTTAAAAATATTTATAAATAATTAAATTAGAAGAAAATATTATTTAAAATGCTCTAAATTTTTAGCTGGCTTAAAACATGTCTTAAACAAATTACAAAAAGAAATATGCTGAATCTCTCTTAGAACTTTTAGAACTTGATTTTAGATTAATCTAGTTCTATATCATCAGCAAACTCTTAATTTAAAATGAGTAATTTTGATTTTCTTTTAATATGTACAATAAATTTATTTATGAACATATTGATCATATTTGCTAAACTTGTTTTTCAGACTATTTTTTAATTGTTCGCATCCCTATTTTAATATAAACTTTATTAATTTTAGTAAATATTTGTGGATTGTATAATTTTTTTTTTGGAATCTAAAAAAAAATTAGGTTAAACCAAAAATTTGTTTACTTCAAATAATGGCTGATTTGAATCTTCACCATTTCTTGTAGTTTTAAGAAATAATATATGCTTTTGTTTTAACTGATACATGTTAAGAAATAATTGTTTTTTGCTATTTAAACTATATTTTAAATCTTTTATTATATTTATAAAATTGTCAATTTTATGTGAATCAAAAATCATTTATACATTTCATTTGTTTTTACCATTTAATTTATATAGAGTCTAAAATATTTATTAATTTGTCAATTTTTGAAAGTTTTAGGATGAAATTTGAATATTATTTTCTAAAGGATTCTTATATTCACTTAATATTTCTTTCTTAAAATTTAAATAATTTTTATAGATAGAAAATTATATTTTTGTTTATTATATTCCTATGAATTAAGATGTGTTAAATCCTTCAGGGTTTAAGTATGTTTATTTAAAATTAAGTCTATTTTATGGGCCTAATCTACTTACAAAATATTAAGCTATTATATATCCTATAGTATTATATTCTAACTTATTAAGATTATTTTAAGTTTTACTTGATTTATGATTATCAATTTAAATAATTTAAAATGAAGACATCTCATTCTTATACAAATTCAACATCTATTGTAAGGTTTAGTTTATACTTGTTATTTTATCAAAATAATTTCTATATTCCCAATTTCTCTTATCATCATCCAGTTAAAATGTTTCAATATTTTATAATTCTGTAATTATTGAATTGGTAATATTTAAATTAGGATGGCTAATTGAGAATTGTAGTGTATTTTCAAAATTCTTCGATTCTTTTACTGAAAGTTTAATTGGTTTTTTAAATGGATAAGGTTGATTTATAATAGTAGAATCACTGTGAATTATCGAAAGCAGAAGTTTTAAGAATTAGACTATATTCATGATTATTGAGATGAGCTTTTATTTGTCAGTTCTGAAAATTACATTTTTTATATTAGAATCTTGATCTTCTTATTTATTTTTTTTGTATTCTAATTGAAGATTAAGGCATAAATCATTCATAAATGATTGCAATTACAAGATGCTTATGTCACTTCTTATTTACCTATAACAAATTTGATATAAATTGAAAAGATTGCTATTCAAATTGTAAAGAAAATAATTTAATTGTAATTGTTATTTTAAGTTTTATTAAACTGGGGTTAGGTGTTCATATTTCAAAATTTCATGATAAAATTTTTAAATGATTTCAAGTTGTAGATTGATCTATTGTAAATTTAACTTTGCATTGTACTATTATAAATAAAAATGTATTACATATTATTAATTATCTCTTTATTCAATTGCATTTATGTATTAATCATATTTATCCTCTTCAATTTCTTCAAAGAGCAACAAAATTTACGGTTGAAAAGAATTAAAATAAACTTAAGTAACTTTGAATCTCCATATTTTAGACTTGTCTTCTTTTTCTAAGAAAGCAAAATATTTATGAACTGGATGATCTTCATTTTTCGATTTAAGTTCTTATATTATATCATGTTCAATTTTCATAATTTACTAAATATTTTGATTTTGCATGTCAAAGAATACTAATTTTCTCAAAAATTCTCTTAATACTTCATTATTATGCAAATTAAACTTTTCTTTCATATGTTTATTTATTTTTTCAATATCTAATGAACCAGCTAATTTGTTGTACTTTACAATAACAACCCATGAAGGTAGTAAATCTTCTAAAATATTTTCATATTGAACTTTGGATAAATTGGCCAAAAAATGTTTTCTGTTTATCATTTCATACTGATATCGCAATAGTACAAGTAGAATTGATATGATGCATTATGAGAGAATAAATTAAAGATCATAAGTTTCGAAATTATACAAGCTTGCTATCTAAGTTGCAATAAAAAAGCATGTTTAAACAATAAATGATGAACCTGTTAAATAGATTACTACTATAATTAAATGTGCATACAAATTTTAAGAATTGATGAGTGATTTCCATAATACCATTAGTTTGGTTCTGGTCCAAAAAGTCTTAAACTTTCTAAAATAGCGCTCATAAGAAGTAAATTAATAACAACTAATATTTCCTTATATTATTGGTATTTCCTCATTATAATGTATATAATCATTATTAATGCTAAACTAATACCAGCAAATATTTAAGGTGTCAAATTCTAATACTCTTTATATTTGACAATAATAAGAATGAGATAAACACTTACAACTCCATATAAGTATTCTTATCTATACTTTAGGCCAGTAAGCTTTGATTGACGATACATTTGCTCAATCTCTTGAGATACATACTGTAAGCTATATGTTTTGATCATAAAAAATTATAATATTTAAGAATAACCTTATAAAAAACATAATGTATGATTTTATACATTAAATTTTTTAAATAATTATACAGATATTAATTGATATGAAAATAAATTAAAAATAAGTCATCATTATATTATTGACTTAAATTAATTAAACTAACTAAATAAAATAATAAATAAAATATGAGTTAGGAAACTAAAGTAATTATGAATTATTAATATAATACTTGTGACATAATTGGGAGAGGGTTTAGTTCTATCGTCTACAAAGGAATAAACACCTCGACAAAAGAGAATGTAGCAATAAAAGTAATGATTTTTATTATCTATTTTAGGTTATTAAGAGATAGTTCTCAGATCAACTACCTCTTATTTAAAATGAAATAAAAATCCTATCGAAATTGTAAGGACGTAACATATTGAAGTTTTATGAGCATTTTATGAGTCAGAATAATATATATATCATCACTGAATACTGTAGGTAAGGAGATTTAGCATAGAAACTAAAGTAACTAGGATATTTGAAATAGGAAAGTGCTGTAGCAATTATTCGATAGATCATAGATGGTATTTAAGTGATGGCTTAACAAAGTATTCTAAATTATCATTTGAGATATTATCCATAGAGACTTAAAACCCTAGAACATCTTAATTAATGAAGACGGTATTAAAATAGCCGATTTTGGTTTCGCAAAGCCCTTAAATCAATTATAAAATGAAATGAATGTTGGTACTCCTCTTTACATGAGTCCAGAAACCATAATAAAATCCTAATATAACGCTAAAAGTGACATTTGGAGTTTAGGAGTTCTATTTTATGAAATTCTCTTTGGAAGACCCCCCTGGTAGGCTTAGACAGAATAAGAACTGATTTTTAAGATGTTAAATTAACGCATCTCTTTTCCAGATGTTCCTACTGTTTCAGAATCAGTAAAAGACTTTATAAAATAATGTCTTATCGTTGATCCATATTTAAGATTAGGAATAACAGAACTTATCAAACATCCTTTAATTAAAAAGACTACAAAAAAAACAGAGAAATTTACCAGACCAACTGAAACTGAGAGCACTGATTAAACTATTAAATCTGAAATTCCAAACAATTCAGAACCATGGACTTACAATAATTCTAATAAAAAATTAGTTCATGTGAATTGTAAGAATCCTTAAATTAATGCAATTCTAAATAAGTATTTGAATACAAAAAACAATTAAGTTTCTAATAATAAGACCAATTCTAAAACCTAAATTTAGTTTGACGAAATTTAATTAATTTTATAAAGCTAATTCTCTTTATGCATATTTCTCAATAATATAATATCTAAATTAAGAGATTTCAGATTAGCCACTCCTTTATTAAATGAAAAATGTAGGATAATATTTTCAAAACATTTACAATCTATCAAGGATAAAATTTACAAATAATTAATAGAGAGCGATAATAAATTTAAGTTTAAGGATTGGTAATTATTTTGCAAAGAGAATGCATATAGCAGATTTAGTGCTAAATTTATTTTGGAAAATAATTAGTTTACTAAGACATGTTAAGAATATAATCAAATGATAAAATCTAATAAATCCTTAATAATTGAATATTAAAAATATGATTCAGAATTCTATTAAATTTTGTTTGGTTTAGAGTGGAAGGTTATTAAAAAGATAGTCAGAAATTTAATAATAGAGTTGAATCATTTAATTGCTTAAAATATTGATACAAGTAACTTAAGTAATAAAATCAGCAAATAATAATAAATTGAAATTTCTCTCTTATAACAATCATATTATTATTTTGAAATTGTTGATAAGTATTATTTGAAGGAATTTGATGAGAAGAGGTTTGGACAAGAATCAAAAATACAATAGTAGATGATAGTAAAGGAATTGAGAATATCTGATTACTTAGAAATAAGATAACTTATTAAGAGACTAATGAAATTATGAAATATAAATATATTTCATAATTTTTGTAATATTAATATTAAAAACAAAGTAAAATTAATAATGTAGATTCATTTTTAGCCAGAGTTCGCGTATTCTGAATATTTATTAGAATTTCTAAGACTACCTAATAATTGTGAAACTATTTCTTCTTTATTTTATTTAAGAGGAGTTGAAAATTGAGTGGTTTTAATACTTAAAATTGATTTAGAATGAGTGATACTATCAATTTTTCTGTGTTTTTTTACATTTGATTCTGATTTTCCATTGGCAATATTATTCATGGTATCCCTAAAATGAGTTGATTGATTGATTACATTAATTTAATAAGTTTGTTGCTTTCTGGTTTATCAGTAGTAGATTAAGATTATGGTGGAGGAGGATAATAATTATTGTTTAACTTGATAGTTTTTTGATAGAAATCATTAAATTCTGATGATGATTATTATTGAAAGTTAAATTAAGGAAGTGGTTTGACAATTTCAATGTGTTTAGTATTTGATGAAAATTGACTATAATAAGATTGCGGTTGTCTGAAAGTTGATTTTAAATCTATTTCATTTCTATCTGTGATTGAATTTGTTCCATGACGTATGGATGAAAATTCTGATGCTCTTGACTGATATTCACTAAATCGTAAGGAATCCCCTTTATTAGTGAGTTATTGATTGGATTTAATATTTGATTTTTGACGAACCCGATCCATAATTCTAGATGCTATTTCAGCAGCCTCTTTCTCAACATTAATCTCTGAATGAAATTAATAAGAAGATAAACGGCCATTTATTTACATAATATTTATTGTATTAATATAAATTAATATTTATTCAATAAACTCTTTTTTTTGCAAGAACAGTTTCAAATTCATTTTGATTTTGAGTTTGACATTTTATGATAACCTATATATGATATGTTTTAAATTAATATATCTCTATTAATTAATTCAATATTTCCAGTTAAGGTGTCTTTGATTCTAGTTAAAAATATGTTTCATCCAATTCTTATCATCTGTTCATCTTGATTGTTTTCAAACATGAGCATCTTCTATAGTAATTTTAACATATACTAAAATGATAATTACTTATCTCAACTCTTAAGATAGAGCATGTATTTTCATAGTTTTTTATTAAATCTTTTTTAATCATCCATCATCAAATCAAGTGCTAAATACTCTACAAAAAATATTAAATCATATCCTAAAGCTGTATATCTTGTTTTATCTGCTACTTCACAATATTTATATATTTATAGTCTTCCCAAAAATTTTATCCCCTCCAAAAACTATCCAATATCTCTTTCTTTCTTACGTCCTTGTCCTTGAAAATGGTTAACCTTATTTTTCAATTCATAAAGTGTCTTTGGTACCTCTTTTCAAAAGTATCTTTGTCTCCAAATCAATCTGATCTTTTTATTGTATACTGCTAACACACTTAAATCAAATATGTAGAATTGTTTTGAAATTGCTGCCAGAAATGATAAAATTAATTGTACCCTTAAAATTTGTCTAACAAATTTACATTGTGCAATATCATGTGCATGCAGATATATTTCTTTCTTAATACTATATTAATATGCGATTGTGTTAGTAACAATTTAGATATACAAAGCTGTCTTAAATCAAAGCTCGACCAATCCAAATATTGCTCTTTAATCTGCACCATCTGCTACTAAAATATATATAAGTAATCTATATCAATTTATATTTCCCTGTTAAATGCCCCTACTTTTTGATATAACAAAAAATTGATTAATTATTTTCTTGCTTATAAATTGTAAAAGGCTCAAGTTGAAATTTTGAACATTCGATAAAGAATATAATAAATTAAGATATTATTAATTATGATCAAGAAATTCCTACTCATGCCTATAATTAGCTATGTTGTTTATTTGTCAATCCAAATACATAGAAATGATACTTATGTTATATCTATCTTGAATATTGTAACTAATATGACTGGGTTCTAATCTATAAATAATACAGCTTGGATTATAATCTTAAATGTCATTGCATTTTCAATTTTGTTTGGAATTTCTTACATCAATTATGCTTTGGCAATCCTGTAATTTATTGTCCTTTTTTTGCATATTCAAACATTAGATGATTTTGAAATTACAGAATTGAGTTAAGCATTTAAAATAGTAGCAGCTGATATTGCTATTCTTGGAATATTGCTAGCTTCAATAAATTAAAAATATTAACAAAAAGTTGAAGATGAAACACAACCTAAAGAGAAACAAGAGTGATCATTCAAATTATTTTTTTATGTTTGTTATATTTAATTATTATTCCTACATAATTCTAATAAAGAATAAATTATCATCCCCTTTTGGCAAGTTTATGTACATAAATGATTCACTTTCATGAAATTTCGATTCATTTATCTATTAACTAAATTAAATTTAAGAGGTTTTAGCTCATCCTTAAAGACGCAAAAATAATACTATAAATATCTGGTAATTTTGCTTTTTAATATCTATTATTTATATTAGTACCCAATACATTAGAATTACCTAAATATTAGTATATATTGCATATTTAACATAAATATAAAAAATAACTTTTCTATATGTTTCCTTGAATATTTATTAATTTTAAAAATAAAAACAGATTGATTTAAGGCCATAGTATCTTTAAAAATAATCAAATATATGAATAAAAATAGTTTAAAAATCATTACTCAAACATTCTTGATTGAAAAGCATAAAATAAACATTAAAGACAGATCTATCATTTTTTTATTTAGAGTTGATTAATTCAAATTTAATCAATATTATAGCATCATTACTGATTAACAATAATTCCATAAAAAGATTTTCAATTTCAGCTTTTAACTTTTAATTAACATTTATTCTAAATACCTTACTTAAAGGCAAAGTAAGTAAAAGTTAAAACAGAACTATAGTATTAAATTAATAGATTTATCATGATAAAAAAATTATAATAAGATTAAACTCTATTTTAAAAAAAAACTTTAAGATCTTTGCGAAATCCTCCCGCCTTTTGTAAATTAATTAATTTATGAGTAAAAATATTATTATAAAAAAATGAAAAATTTATTTAATTGATAGAAAAAATTAATCATATAAAAAGAATATGAATGTATAAATCTATTGTTGTCAAAAAATTAAACAAATAAATTAAATTATTAGATATCATGAACGAACAGAAAAATAAGTTATAAATATAATTAATTTTATACATATATCAATCTTATTAATCTTAAGGAGCGTCATTTTTTTTTTTATAATCAGAATCTTGCTTAGGTTCTGTATCTAATTTTTATGAAATAGCAAGATCTTTTTGTGGAGTAGGTAACCAACGAGGTAGTTCAACACTTTTATTAGTTTTATGGTGGTGTGAATGTTCTTCCTCTTCTAAGATCATATGATTAAATTCATTATGAGGTAAATTTTTAGCTTTTTCTAATCTTACAGCCAATTTTTTTTAAACTTCTTAAGATCTAATCAATTTTTGCATCATATATGATTCTTCCATTTCCATTTTTTCTTATAAAGCTTTATTATGATCACAAACCCTTTTATTTTCAAGTTTAGCTCTAATCTAATCTTAATAAAAAGTTACTTTTCATTTTCTCTTTGGATATGAGATAGTTTTTCATTCCAATAAAGAGAAATGTTAGTTTTTGATTTTGACATAAGTTCTTTAATATATTCTCTTTTCTCTCTGTTTTTTATAATAAAATCTTGTTTATATTTACTTATGGCTTCAGAATTTTATTATGATAATTCTCTAGATTAGATGATATTTGTTATTCATACTTAATTTTTTTATATTCTTCAAACTTTATTTACTCCATAGCTTTTTTAATCATCTCTAATTATTCTTCTTGTTATTTCTTGAAGCTATAATTTTATTTTTATTTATCTTTTAATATTTCTTCATCATTCTTCTAATTTTGTTTTTTCTTATGAATATCAATAAACAAAATTAGTTACTTATTCAATTTGTGCATGATGATTCATTTTCATTTCTATCATTGATTTTGTTTTCTTTTTGGTTTCATCAATTCTCCTAGATAATTGGGCATCACCTCTCTTTAATAATTTGAGTCTATTTTTCATCAATAAGATATCTTTCTCAGTTTCTTAACGTAATTTACGGGTGTGCCATACAGTTTCTTCATTTTCCTTTTAGAATAATTGAGAAGAAGTCTTCATTTTTTTATTTATTTAATGAAATCAGATTTTATTTGCCATCGTAAACATTTATTTCGAGATTCAATATATCAAATAGAAATCCAAAATGATAAGTTAATGTTACTAAATGTAAATAGTTTATATATATCTTTAAAGACACAAGGAATCGTAAAGTATTCTCTAAGTCTTAATTGGTCTGTGGAGATTTAATGGAAAATTTCAAGTACTGATCCAGCTTTTGGATTTTAGATCAATTAAAAATTTAAATGGTTTTATGCAAAGCCTAAAACAATAGAAATTTTAAGATGCACATTAAAAAAGCATATAACTTCTTCAGATTTTTAAATATTTTATAATATAGGCTCATATATATCTAAAGGACAAAATAGTTATTGTTATGAATTATTTTAAAATGGAGATGATAAGATGAAATACGTTGTAAAATTGATAAAAAAAGAATAAATAGGCTAAATAAATTAATTATATAATGAACTAAATATACTTAAAATTTTAAATCATCCAGGATTGCCAAAATTTATTGAATTCTTTAACACAAATAATACTTATTATATAGTGATGGAAAAAATTGAAGGTTCAAAATTAAGCAAATTGAATTCAACAAAATATCAACAATTAAGTTTAATTTAAATTTAGTAAATAATCTTTGAATGCATGAACATTTTGTAATACTTAGTACAAATATAAGTGATTCACAGAAATATTCAACCAGATAATATTATTTATGATTCAAAGGTTTAAACTACATCAGTAAAATTGATAGATTTTGCCAAAGCTATCAAAGTAGGAACTGATCTAAAATTATTGGGGACGCCTGGATTTATAGCACCTGAAATTTTAAAAGACAAATAAATTTCAACAGATTCTGATATGTTTTCTTTAGGTTGTGTATTTTATAAATTGTAAATTTATTATAATACTTTTAGATTAGTCAAATAAGATCTATTTTAGGGAATTAATCTAGAAGAAACACTTAAAGAAAATAAAAAGTGTTTATTCAATCTAAAGAATCTTTAATTAATTCGGATTCCTTAAAGTGCATAACATTTACTGACTTTAATGTTGGAAATAGATCCTAAATAAAGAATAAAACCACAAGAAGCCATAAACCATCCATTTTTCAAAGAATCAATGGATTAAAGTGTATCTCCTAAAATTATCTCAAGAAATTTATCATTATCTAAATCTATAAGAAATTTGGAAGGTATTATGATAAGTCCAAAACAAAATTAAATGAATGAACTTGATAAATAAATTCTAGTTGATTATTTCTAAAATGAACTACCTCCTATGAACGAAATTCCAATTATGAAATAAGTTAAAGGAGGTTGTCGTTTTAGTCTCAATAATTCTTCTGATACTGATACGATAAGGAAAAGTAAATCTGAAAAAAACATTAAGATAATATCGCTCTCATAAAATTGAATAAATTTTTCATAATAATTCTAATTAATTAAAAATATTTCAGTTAATAATACTAATTTTTTTTTTGCGAATAATTGGTATATATATAATTATATTTAAAATATAATAAACTTTACATTTCTTTTCTGTTAATTTTTAATCAGAGACTATTTTGTTTATCTAATACTTCTTTATAAATATAATTGTTTATATACTAAATAAGTTTAACAATACTATAAGAAGATATAAGTAATAAAATGGGTTGAATCAAAAAATTAAAAAATAAATGAAAAAGTAATCAAATAAGTCTTTAAAAACTGAGCCTACTGCAAGAAGATCAAATAAATCCCCTACAAGTCCTAATGGTAATCAAAAACCAGATGATCTCTTTACTCAAAGTTAAGTAAATTAAGAACTCTTAAAAACACAATAGTCTTTTCGTAGTTCAACTGGCCCTTAAGGATAGACTCCTTCAATAAGGTAAACTAAAAAGTTATTGCAGTAATTCTAAAGTGACATAATCAGTAACATCTCCTGTTAGAAACTAGTAGAAAAGACCATCATAGATAATCTCAAAATAATAATTACAAAATATGCATGAACGTTCAGTAATAAAGGTTCTTGGAATGAACATGGAAGCAGTATGTCCAAAAAAGAATCATGAGAAAAATAAAATGCTATATATTTGTTAATATGGAGATTGTAAAGCAGATAGTAGATTAGGATGCTCATATTGTTTAATAGAATCTCACAATGATCATTCATCATAAATTATGGAAGTTTAAACATTTTGTAAGATATTTGATGATAGAAAGAAACAAGTATATCCAAAAATTATGTTTTAGTTTAAAAATATGAGTGAAACTATTTTACAAGTACCAGACAAGACCGCTTAAGTAAATAATTACTTTGAATAATTAAGAGATCAATTAATTGATCGATTAAATTAAATAGAAAAGAATATTTTGGAATCTATTTAAGAAGAATTGGCATGGAAACCACTATAAAAGGAGATTATTAATAGAATAGATATTCTAAGTTCAAAACTTATCTTTGATATGACATAAGATGAATTAAAAGAAAGTTTAGAATTTATTTAAGGTAAACATTTTAAAGAATTGGAATATATAAAATAAGAGACAAATAATTATTTAACTTAAAAAATAGCTTTAGTAGAACAAATTTGGAATGATTATAAAACTTAATTATAAACAGATTTAACTCATTAAATTAACGATTATAATAAAATAGCATTTTTAGATCCAAAAAGCAAAGAGTTTGCAGAATATAAGATGAAATTTTTTGAGAAAAAATAAATAAAATTAAATGAATTGAGTTAACCATACTAATAGTAATTAGAAATAATTTAAGAAGAAGAAAGAAAAGCAGAATTGAAAAAATAAGAGGAAATGAGAATATAATAATAAATAGAATAACAAAGGAAAGAAGAGGAGCTAAAAAAAGAAAAATAAAGATAGAAATAAATAGAGGAATAAATTATTAAATAAAAAGAAGCTTAAAAGAATTCTGAAAGATAAAGTGAAAGAGATAAATTACTTAAAAACTTTCCTTATAAATTATACAATGAGGATTGTGGACATAGAACAAAGTGTAATACAATACCTATATTTTCATGTTGTAATAAAGCTTATCCTTGTTCTCAATGTCATGGATATTTGGCTCATCCACCAAGAATATAAGTACCAAGTTATAGATATTGTATGAAATGTCTTGAAATTTATTTGGTTGTATATCCTACAAATTAAGCAATTAATTGTTTGAAGTGTTAAAAGTGAAATAAATTTTGTAATCAATATTCAGAACATCAATTTTAAATAATTTATATAGCTTTCATATTTATTTTTTATTTTATTTCAAAATAACAATTATAAAATAATTAATGATTAAATTGCGGTAACTATTTCGTTTCACAAAGATTCAAAATAAAAGTTCAATTGATGGAATCATAGAATAAAGAAGATCAACTAATCGTTAATTATCCAAAGAAGAATTATAAAGCAGAGATTTATAAATATTTTGGAATAGTCCTTAAACTGATATTGTTATTCAATTAGTATTATATATGAAGTAACCTTTAATTTTTAATTAGGCATGATTGTCATATTTGTTAAAAAGCTTTCTCTATTTTGAATTATTATAATATTAGCTTTGATAAAGTTGAAAATATTTTGTTTTTAGATTTTGCTAAAAGGGCTAAAGTTATCACTCTTGAAAAATGGGAATGGCCAGTCTTAAAAGTAAATGTTTCATTAGATTAAACATAATTTCTAACAGGGCCTGAAAACATAGTTTCATTTTTAATTAATAAAGAATTGATCTTAAATCCCATTCATTTAACCAACACATTTTTTGCATAACAAGGAATTGAATTTGCTATTGGTAAAATTAAAAAACCATTAGATTTACTTTTCTTAAATCCCATTTTAACATGGCAAAATCTTTTTAAATCAAATCCTGATTCATATGCTAAAGATTCAAAGAATTATTTACTTATTAATTATATGTTGAAAGTTGGATATAGAGCATTTACATAAAGTTCAAGAAATATATACTAAATGATCAGATAAAAGGATGCTTATTATAAAGCTTAAAAAGAACTTCTTGATGGTTTTAATGAATGGACTTAAAGATTAAATGGATAATAGTTTCATGGTGGATAAAAACCAGATGAGGCAGATTTTGAAGTATTTAAATTAAAGTAACAAGTTATTTGGTGTAATAATGAGCAGATACAATAGTAATTCTTTTAAGAAATTTATTGAAAATAAAGCGCCATTTAAATTTTATTAATGGGTTTTGAGAATGCAATAATTATGTAGATATGAGCAAAATCGTTTTTATGCTAATACAGACTCTAATGTAATTGAATGAAATTTAGTAAAGATTTTAATAAAATATTTATATATTTATACTATTAATAATTCCATGATCTAATCTATTATTATATGATGATAAGCCAATCTTTTTCATATGAGAAATTTTAAATGAAATGAAGTTNATAAATTTTGTAATCAATATTCAGAACATCAATTTTAAATAATTTATATAGCTTTCATATTTATTTTTTATTTTATTTCAAAATAACAATTATAAAATAATTAATGATTAAATTGCGGTAACTATTTCGTTTCACAAAGATTCAAAATAAAAGTTCAATTGATGGAATCATAGAATAAAGAAGATCAACTAATCGTTAATTATCCAAAGAAGAATTATAAAGCAGAGATTTATAAATATTTTGGAATAGTCCTTAAACTGATATTGTTATTCAATTAGTATTATATATGAAGTAACCTTTAATTTTTAATTAGGCATGATTGTCATATTTGTTAAAAAGCTTTCTCTATTTTGAATTATTATAATATTAGCTTTGATAAAGTTGAAAATATTTTGTTTTTAGATTTTGCTAAAAGGGCTAAAGTTATCACTCTTGAAAAATGGGAATGGCCAGTCTTAAAAGTAAATGTTTCATTAGATTAAACATAATTTCTAACAGGGCCTGAAAACATAGTTTCATTTTTAATTAATAAAGAATTGATCTTAAATCCCATTCATTTAACCAACACATTTTTTGCATAACAAGGAATTGAATTTGCTATTGGTAAAATTAAAAAACCATTAGATTTACTTTTCTTAAATCCCATTTTAACATGGCAAAATCTTTTTAAATCAAATCCTGATTCATATGCTAAAGATTCAAAGAATTATTTACTTATTAATTATATGTTGAAAGTTGGATATAGAGCATTTACATAAAGTTCAAGAAATATATACTAAATGATCAGATAAAAGGATGCTTATTATAAAGCTTAAAAAGAACTTCTTGATGGTTTTAATGAATGGACTTAAAGATTAAATGGATAATAGTTTCATGGTGGATAAAAACCAGATGAGGCAGATTTTGAAGTATTTAAATTAAAGTAACAAGTTATTTGGTGTAATAATGAGCAGATACAATAGTAATTCTTTTAAGAAATTTATTGAAAATAAAGCGCCATTTAAATTTTATTAATGGGTTTTGAGAATGCAATAATTATGTAGATATGAGCAAAATCGTTTTTATGCTAATACAGACTCTAATGTAATTGAATGAAATTTAGTAAAGATTTTAATAAAATATTTATATATTTATACTATTAATAATTCCATGATCTAATCTATTATTATATGATGATAAGCCAATCTTTTTCATATGAGAAATTTTAAATGAAATGAAGTTTTTCTTTAAATTAAAATCAAAATGATTTTATTACTTCAGTATATGAAAAAGCTAGAATAGATAGTATTGAGATAAAAGCATTAGTTGAGAGGATATAAATCCCTAATTTTATTTGTTTGAAATTAAAACTTGTTTAATTTTATATTATAAAATTTACACTATGATAATTAGATTAAATTAATGCTCAATACTATATTCAGAGGATCTAATAAGAAAATTCAAAACTGAATTAATAAGTAAAACTAAATAAATTTTTTAGCATAGCTAGTAAAAATTTAAAAAATCGAAACAAAAATTTGAAAAAGAAATGTATTAAAAATGTTGATTTCTTTGTTAAATCAAAATAAAAGATTTTACATGCAATTATGAATTTAATGATTATGAGTACTTTTTCAATTATGATTAAAAGGCTAAATAAGTAAAAGAGTTATATATAATGAAGGAGATTCAAAATAATTAATAAATGTTATAATAAATAAGATAAAGGGTTATTTTGTACATGGAATTAAATTAGCGCACTTTAGAGACAATAATTAAAAGTAAAATCCTAATGAAAAATATTAATAAAATTAGAGGATAATTATAATTTTGTAAATATTGTTATTATATAAGCGATAAATTTATATTACTATGAATATAGTAAGATGATCAATTAAAATAGGTACTATTATAATTTTTTGTTTTTTTAATAAAAGTGTTAAGAAATTTAAGAGATTTTTGAAAAAAGGTTTACTAATTAAAATGTTAATGAAAAGGCTAATCAAAAAAAATATCTTTGGTTAGATATATAAATGAAATGCTAAATAGAGAAAAGTGATTTGTGAATGAGATTACAACAAATGAAATTGTTGGTTAATTGATTTATTATTTTAAAAAACATAAATCAACATTTTCTAATTATTATGTATTATATTAATTTACATAACTGATGTGGATTAAAATGTTAAATTATGTTCGAAATAAAATTATATATTAAAACCACGATTATAATATTAATAACCTCTAAATTTAAAGAATGGTTGATTATAAAGTAATTGTAAGATAATTTAAAAAATAATTTAATTGCAAAAAATTCCAAATTAGCTATGGGAAATTGTATTTATAAGTTTTCAATTGATCAAAAAGGTATTATATAATAAAAAACTATGAAGCTTAGACTCATACTTAAATTGAATAAAATATAGTAGAAGATGCTTTAAAAGATGAAGTAATATAGTCTCCTCCATTAATTGAACCTAAAAAAATAATTACAAAAAACTATGATGTTGTATAAGAGAGTAGTGATAGTCAATCTGGTAATATTTTTAGTTCTCAAACTTCCAATCCAAAAGTAAAATATCAATAGGACCTATAACTTTCTCCAGACATATTGGTGAGAAACTAAAAGGAAGGTGAAAAATTTTCAATTCATTATGAAATAAGAAGAAAATTAGGTTAAGGAGGATTTGGATCAGTTTATGAGGTGAGACATTTAAAAACAAATTTAATTCGAGCAGCAAAAGTAATTTCAAAATAAGCAGTAGATGATGAGTAAGTTTTATTATAGGAAAGTGAGATTTTGAAGGATTTAGATCATCCAAACATTGTTAAAATACTTGAGATATTTAGTGATGATTAAAATATTTATATAATCACTGAATGTCTATAAGGAGGTGAATTATTAGAAAGAGTAAGGATAATCACCAATTATAATGAAAATATTGCAAAATAATACATGTAATAAATATTATCTGCTATGGTTTATTGTCATAAAAGAAAAATAGTGCATAGAGATTTAAAAGTATGAATAAAATTTAATTCAGCCTGAAAACATTTTATTTGATGACAAGGATATTAATTCGAATTTAAAAATAATTGATTTTGGTGCAAGTGAGAAAATGATTTCAAAAAAATTAACAACGAAAATAGGTACACCATATTATCTAGCACCTGAAATATTAAGACCTAATGGTTATGATGAAAAAGTTGATGTTTGGTCTTGTGGAGTAATTCTTTATATATTATTAATTGGTAAAGCACCATTTAGAGGAAAGAATTAAATAGAAACCTTATAATTAGCATAAAAAGCGCATTTAGATTTTAGTGGTATATTAATATATTATTAAAAGGTAATCATTGGAATAAAGTAAGTCCAGAAGCTATTGATTTAATTAAACTTATGATTTAAAAGGATCCATTAAAAAGAATTTCAATGAAAGATGCATTAAAACATTAATGGATTTTAAATTAATCACCAAAAATTATTTAATTTGATTAAGATTTCTTTAAAGATATTACTAAATTTAAAGGTTATAACAATTTAAGAGTTGCTATTAATTAATTTGTTACTGTATAAATTTCTAAAAAAGAAGAAAAATAAAAATTCCTAGAAGTATTTAAGTCTTTAGATAAGAACAGAGATGGTTTATTAAGTTAGGAAGAAATACTTTAAGGTATGCTTAGTGTTTAAATGGATAAAATTGAATCATAATTATTAGTTAAAGAAATTATGGATAAAATTGATACAAATCGTTCTGGAAGAGTTGATTTTACAGAGTTTCTCACTGCTTCTATTATACAAGAAAAATAATTATTTAAAGAAAGTCTTAGAAATGCATTTCGATTATTTGATTTAGATGGAAATGGATCTATTTCAAGACTTGAAGTATAAGAAATTTTTGGAGGAATTTAAATTGAAAATACAGCTTGGTAAGATATTTTAGCATCTTGTGATAATAATTAAGATGGACTTATAGAAGAAGAGGAATTTATTGCATTACTTGAAAATTTAATATGATAATTATTATTCTATCAAATTGTAGTAAAATTTTTAAAATATATATGAAAAATTAATAAAAAATAATTTATCTTTCAAATTACATACACTTATTCTAAATATAATTTAATTTTTCATTTGAATAAATTTTGTCCATCGTAACTTATAATAACGATTTAAAATAAATACATCCTATATAGATTTATATTATCAATTGAACTTATGATTTTAATTAAAATTAAACTTTTAAAACATAACAATGAATCGGTATGAAATTATCAGGAAAGTAAAAAAAATAATAGATTTTTATGATTAAAGAAAATAATCATAATATTTTTGTTATTAAATTAAAAAAAATAAAGAAATAATAAAATCAATGTATTAGCATTCTGCTTAATATCAAGACTTTCTATATCAACCATAACTTTAATAAAAAAATGAACCTTAAAAAAATAAATATGATATCGACTAATCAAATACAAAGACCATTCAAAATTAAAATTATTAGTACCAAGAATTACCAAATGTTATGAATAAATAAAATCAATAGCCTTTTGGATAATTTGAACCGATGAATTTTAACTAAAATCAATAATTCTCTCTTTAAAATATTTCTTATAGAAATACAAGAGATTAGCAAATTGAAGATCTTAAATATTGTGCTTAAATAGCCATTTAGAGAAGAAAAGAAAGAATGTGGTAAAAATACATATAGCCTAATTAAAATAACAATGAAGAATATTTCAAATGAATAAATATATATATATATTAATTTATCATTAAATAGAAAGCTATAGATTATAAATAATTGATAAATGTTCAATTATTAGACAAAAAATATTTTATTAAATAAGAAAGATAATAACCTTGACGAAAAATTGTAAGATTTTGAAATTCTTTTAGATTAATTAATTTTTCGAGTTTATTTCTAAAATTATAATTTAAAATATATATATAATTATAAATGGATTTAATTGTAATAACCTTTTTTGAGATAGACAAGTGGATTTAAACTTCTTTCCATATTTCTTATTCACATTTAGATTTAATTGATAGAGCATATGATTTACTCTGATTTTAAATATTCTTTAATGTGTACCATCTTAATTTTAATTAGAAATATTAGAAATTCTTAATCTAAAAATAACAATAAAAAAAAAATTCTTGATTTAATAAATGTTTTCGAGAATGTCATCTTAAGGGGAAACAAATTTAGAATAACGAAATCTATTTTATATCTATATTTTTCTTAAATTACTTGTAAGTTATTTTGATTTGAATATTATCGATTGTTCCTTTAGAATAAGAAAAAACCACAAGAATATAGCAAATATATATTGATAATTCTTATTCCCACATTGATTGTAAAAGAAATAAAATATAAGATTTTGATAAATAGATAGTTTGAATTCTTAAAAATTCTAATAAAAATATTTGATTATTCAAGAATTTATTTGATATTTTTATTAATGAAATTCATACTACAATGCTCTATATGCTTATAAAGTTTATGCAATCCTATGTCTTTAAGTTGTGGACACACTTTCTGTTATAGTTGTATCCATAATACTCTTGAAAAATAAGAGTAAAGTGCTTGTCCTTTGTGTCGTTAGCCTATGTTGATGTTATAGAATAAATCTGATGAATTATTGTCAATTGTTTAATAAATTTATGAAAAGGATGGAACAGAAGGTAAAAGATTACTATTATTTTTAGGACTGTTGGATGAATTTCCTTAATTAATTATCTGTCTCTGTTGTGGTTTGACTCCTATAAATCCAATTGTTTTAACATGTTAACATATGTTTTGTTAAAAATGCATATAAGATAGTCTTTAAGAAGAATTACTTTGCCCAGTATGCTTTGAGTTTAGTTTTTCACTTAAACTTAGCATAAATTAAAAATATAAAGATCTAATTAATTGGTATCTGAGGTAGTTTAAGATTGAGGAACAACCAAAAATTGAAGAGATCTTACAATCAGATATTGTTAATGGATTACCTATCTTTAATTTTGAATAAACAGTCATCGTTCATTCAGAAATGCAATTCAGTTTTTTTGAATTCAGATATTAAGAGATGATAAAAAGAATTTGTTCTGGCTCATGTAATTTTATTGTTTCAGGAGATCTTATATATGGAGACCTAGTTAAAATTAAAAATATTAAAAAAATTAATACAGGATACTAAGTATTCGTTGAAGCAACAGCAAGAGTTAAAATTAGATCAGTATACAATTATATCAACGGAATAAAGACAAATTATTAACCATTAAATACTTAATCTTTTTGGTTATGTTCATATCAATATATAAAAGATTAAACTTTAAAATAAAATAGTATTTAATAATATAACAACATTGTATTGACTTTGGATGGGATATATAAAAAAATCTAACCAGATGTTCATAACATTTTTGATAATTTTATGAAAAAGTTACATTTATTATCAAGTGCTGATAGTAGTCTTATTCTATTGGCTACCTTAAATAATAATTCTCAAACAGAATATTATGATGATAATGTTGAAAAAAGAATTCAATAAATCTAAAATTATTTATTCATGCTTGAATAAAATATTAAGGGGAAGTATGTTTAAGAAGAACTAAAATAAAATGGAAAGTATTAGTAACAACCTTTAGATATCATATATTATCCAGAATATGATTTAACAACGTAATACTTCCTCAATCTCTTTAATCTAAACAAAATTCTTTGTTTTTGATAATCAATTATTTAGTTTTATTCGATTTTTCAAAATAGTGTCCCTATTTATTTATTTCTTTTTTTAATTATTTTTATTATGCTTAAGTTGTTTCTATTTAAAAAACTAATTGATTTTATTAGCATATACTTTCTAAAATTCTTAAATAATTAGACAATATATATTTCTCTAATTTTTATGCTATGAACAATTTTCATATTCAAAACTATTCTAAATTAAATCAAATATATTAAAACAGTAATGTGATTATTAAGATAAATAAAAAGTGAGACTTATAAATTAAATAATACTTTTGATGATTTCTAGATTCACTCTCAGATTTAAATCCAATCAAATAGAAAACGAGTATCAATAAGAATAGCATGTCCATTTAAAATCAGAGTTTACTTTATTTTCTATATAGACAATTGTATGATAAGAACTTATATAGTTATTTTTTGCAGCCTACATTATTTATTACTTTTAATAACATACTTTCAATTTGATTGTTGTAACGAATATTCTAGCCTTTATGGTTTTAATCTTATTACTAAGATGCCTAATTAATAGATATCCTAGTTCTAATAAATATATTCTGCCTTTACTGCAAATTTATTTTGCTTATATTTGGAATCTTGATGACTTTTTTCCATTAGAGACCTATGAATAAGATTCCTCTTAATATTCCAATTACTATGATTATAATTGGTATTATGGACTTTAAGCATTTTATTTTCATTTTGGTAAATAACCTTTTTAAATTTAGCTGTAATGTAGTTAGGATATTAGATCTGGCCATAGGCAGTTACTTTATTGATTATTTATATTTAGTATGTGACTTATTATCCTTCAAAAACTTTAGAGTATTACGCTATGTGTCTTACAATTTTTTTAGTTTTCATTGGATTGATTATGATGAAATATACGAATGAAAAAACAAGGCGTTTGTAATTTAGAAATAGCAGAGAGTAATATAATTGGATAAAAATTATTGATTAAATTCTTGAGCAATCAGTTTTAGTAATTAAATTTGATGAAAGATAAGATCAATTAATATTATCATCAATTAATGATTTATCAAAGTAGAGATTGAAAATTAGAAACAATAAGGAATTGAGAACTGTCTTAAGAGATGTAATATTTATTTATTTCATAAAGATGATTATCATTTAAGAAAGAAATAGAAATGTTGAAGCTAAGAAAGGTAATTTAGAGGAAGAAATTAGAGATATAATTTAAAATTAGAAATCGAAATTATCATAGTACTAATTAGAAGTAAAATCATTGCAACATAATAAAGAATTAAGAGTAAAATTAATACAATCTATTATGCAAGAGGAAGATTGTGTAATTTTGATTTTTGAATAGAATTAAAATAACAAAATTCATGATTTCTAACAAGTTATGAAGATCAAAGAAGCATTTATATTATTTTTATTGCAATAATTAACGCTTTCTTTAAAAACTATAAGAACAAGACTTTAGATAATCTTTATAATTATAAATATTTAATAAATTAGGCTTTTTTTCAATTATTAACATATACGAAATAGGAAAGGCTGGATTTAAATAAATCAAATATAAAATTAGATGAATTTGCTTTTCTAAAAGAAAATTGAATTTATTTTTAGTAATTAATTAAATGGATTCATTACAAATTAGGTTTATTTTTTTAGCATCTTGATTAGTTTTGCTTAACTTTTTGATCTATTATAAAAGATTAAAATAAAGTAGAAAAATTAGTTAAATTAGGAAAGATTGAAAATAACTTTAGAAGGGTCTATGATAGAAACTTTATCTAATGCAAAAGTGCTTAAATAAAACTTAAACTTTACTCTAAATCCTGAATAGAATTATAAAATGATTTTATTAAGTTTAAAAAAAATAATCGATGAAAAATCTATAGATATTCAAAAGAAATCCTAAATAATTACTATCTATTTTACTAAATTTTTATTATGGAATGCATGGAAAGAGAGCAAAATAAATATAAAAATAATTAATGGCTTGACAAGCCTATCTTTCGAATTTTCATTATGAAGAATTTACTTTCAATCTTGTGATTAATATATGTAAAATTATTATTTAGATATAATTTGAAATAAAAATTTAAATAAAATATATAAGTCTTGTTAAAAATATATATAAGTACAAGTACATGTAAAATAAAAAACAAAAATCCTTAATATTTTCAAACGAATATTGGCTAAATCCTAGATTATGAGGGAAGTTGAGATTATATAAATGAATTCAACTTCTTTTTAATTTTTGTATAAATTATTTTGAATTAATTAAAGGTATCAATTAAAGTATTAGAACTTATGATAATAGTATAAGTTCCAATATTAATCCATCCTAAATAAAATAAGGTTTCTTAGGTAAATGAAAATTATTACTGAACTGAATATAGAATAAAGGATAAGCTATTAAAAAACATTCCTGCTTCAGTGACTAGAACTTTTCTTAAATCATCAACTTTAGCAAATGGTTATGATACAATTAAGTAGGCACAAAATACTGATGATTGTAAAGCAACAGCAATAGTTTGATAGAGGCCTGTTTCTTACATACCCACAATTACTGAAATATAAAAAACTTTTTTAACTAACAAAAGTGTATTGTATTACATTACCCAAAGTTTTTGATTACCTGAATTATCCTATTATTAAAAAAGTGTTTTGATTGAAAATTTAGAATCAGTAGTTTTTTTGGTTTGAATTTGTCTAATTTTATGGAACAATACACTAATGAATGCAATTTGGAAGGTCAATGTAGCAATAGCTCCAATATTATTGATTAAGCTTGTTGTTTCACTAAAATTGACATTAGTTAATTGAAGTAATGAAGAGAATGCAAGTTCATAAAAATTAACTGTTGTTATTCTGATAAGTCCTGAGTAAGTAAAATTATTAGTAAGTTTAGTGCATTTTTATCTAACAATAAGTATTGATCCTCCTAATAATGAGCCTAAATTATTCAGTGTAGATGGAGTAATTTGATGTAGGATTTTTGATATAATGAGTGATGAATAATAGATACCAAAACTAAATGAAAATATTGTTAAACTGAAAGAAGCATTATCAAAAAATGAAGAAGAAAGGGAATCTTTAACAAAAGGTTAAGACATCACAGTATTATCTTAATTAGTACTATTTAATGTATCTAATTTCACCCCAGAAAAGCCTAGTTTTTTTGCTGCAATATTTGATACCTATGATTCTTTTAGACTATTGAGATATAGTTATAGGTTATCAGGGAAAGGTAAATTAATGTATCTGGAATAATAGAGATACTATAAAGTATCACAAGCCATATAAAAATTTGAGTAGCCAGTTGAGAATATACTAATCATTGATACAGCAGCAAATGAGTATGATTAAAGTACTTGGAATGTTGAGAATGTTTAAATAAGTTTTTCTGAAGATTGACTAATATAAACTTGGGAAGGTATTTAAATTTCTTCTATATTTTTAATTAATTTGGTTTTTTTTTCAGAAATTATTAATTTATTATTAATGATAAATATGATATTGATTTTGTCTATGGGAATATTGCTTTTCAATTCTATTTTAGCATGATAAATAGCAAGCGTAGGTTCCTATTTTATAGGTTCTATTGGATGAATAGTATAAGAAAAGTAGTTTTCACTAAGATCCTATATTTTTAAGACAATAAGATCAATAGCAATATCATCATCATTTATGATTTAATTTTCTAAAATTAATTTAGAATTTTCATGGACAGAAGTAAGCATCATTTTAGTAGAGAATGAAATCTAAATAGTAGAAATATTATCTTATTGATTAATAAGATCAAGAAGAATAGTTGGTTACTTTTAATAGAAACAATTACTAACAAGTAACTGTTGATTTTCACAAAACCAATCGATTTCAATTTTGCAATCTTTTGAACATCCATCAAAATTAAAATTATTAGAATCATCACATTATTCAGATAAAGGTTCCCATAGTCCATCTCCACATTTAGATGAGCATTAATTAAGATACTTAGAGAATCCTAAAAAAGGATCACATTCAAGACAGATACCTTTTTCACATAATAAGCAAGCTGTGTGACATTAAAATTCACATTAATTATTACAACCATCATATTCTATAGTATTAGCATCATCACATTATTCATATCCAAGTACCATACCATCTCCACAGATAGGAATACATTTAAAATCTGAAATTTACCATCCAAGTAGAACATCACATTCTAAACATATACCTTTTTAGCAATTTGTACAAAATTCAACACATTAATAATTACATTCATAACATCCATCATATGGTAATAAATTACCATCATCACAATCTTCATACTAAGGGATAACATAACCATCTCCACAAAATGTTTCGCATCTATTCTAAGTATTTAATTTCCAACCAAAAGTACAATCTAAACATTTTCCAGATTCACACAAAATACAAGCATCTTCACATTAAGATTTGCATTCAAAACATCCATCATAAGGTATATCATTACCATCATCACACTCTTCTATTCCAACTGTTAATGAATCTCCACAAACTTCCCAACAAAAAAAATTATCTAAAATCCAACCAGGAGTATTACATTCATAACAAGTTCCTGATAAGCATTTTGTACATGCCAATTAACAAATATATTTACAATCAAAACATCCATCAAAATTTATTTCATTACCATCATCACATTATTCGTTACCTGTTACTTTTAGATCTCCACACAATGATATACATTATCCTTATGGTATTAATTACCAACCGTCATCTACATCACATTCTAAACAGAATCCATTCTGACAAGTTAAACATTGATGTTAACAAGAATATTTACATTCAAAACATCCATCCTCTGCTATCTGATTTTCATCATCACATTCTTCAATTCCAGATATTAATCCATCACCACAAATTGGTTCACATATCTATCCTTTCAATTCAAAACCTTACTTACAAAATATACATTTCCCATATTTACAAAAAAGACATTCTGTATCACATTAAAATTTGCATTGTTAACATCCTAATTATTCATCATATTTATCATCACAATATTCATCTTAAACTACTATCCCATCTCCACAAATTGCTTCACATTTATTTTCTATTAATTCATAACCAACCAAACATTTTTCACACAATCCCTTTATACAAATTTCACATTAATTCTAGCAATCTAAATTACATTAAAAACATCCATCAAAAGCTTACAAATTGTTATCTTCACATTCTTCATCTTTATTTATTAATTAATCTCCACATTTACTAATACATATGTTATCTTTCAAAACATAACCTACTCTACAATTTTAACAAACTCCAAATTAACATTATTAACATTCATTAGGACATTCAAAATTACAAGAATTATTGCATTTTGGATTTATTTAATCTAATGTAGATGTAAAATCACATTATTCTTCACCTATTATTGCATCATCTCCACATTTACTTTCACAAATTAATTTATATTCATTCCAATACCAACCTTTTTAACACTTAAAGCACTATCCATAAATACAAATTTCACATTGATGTTAACATTCTATACTCATACATTTTTAATTACTTTACTTAAGAACCAAGTCTTTACAATCAGTAATACAATTAAAGTATTCTAAATGAAATCCTTCTTAACAAACCTTGCAAATTCCCTTTAAACAAGTTTTACAATTTTATGCACATGAATACTAACATTTATAACATCCATCATATTCAATATTATTACTGTCATCACAGTACTCTAATTCACTAACATAACCATCTCCACATATTGATTCACATTTTCCATTTTTATTTAATTAAAAACCAATCTTACATTTGAAACAAACACCCTCAATACAATTTTAACACAACTCTTCACAATCCAATATGCAAGTAAAGCAACCATCAAAAGGATCTAAATTATCATCTTCACATTATTTTACATAACTTTATTAACCACCACAAATTTGCAAACATTAATCTTCTTCATCTAATTCATATCCATCTAAGCACTATATACACTTTCCTTCATCACAAACTTTACAATATTCTACACATGTAATTTTACAATTAAAACATTTATTTAAAGAAATATTCCCATAATCTAATTCTATATCAATATCACATTCTTCATTTCCAGCTTTAATACCATCTCCACATATTGTTTAACATTATTCATTCTCTAAATACCAACCATTCGTTCTATCACATTCTATGCATCCTCCATTAATGCATGTTTTACATTAAGCTTAACAAGAATACTAACACTAAAAACAACCATCAAATGGAATAAGATCATCATTATCACATTGTTCATTTTTACTCTTAATTAAATCTCCACACTTATTTACACATTCATTTTTTTCAAGATAATATCCTTTCTAGCATTATGAACATATTCCTAAAGAACAACTCAAACAATTTTCATCACAAACTAATATGCATTAATTACAAAAATTAGAATCCTCATCACACATTTCTGCTTAACTAACAATTAAATCCCCACATTCTGAATAACATAATTATTCAATATTATTTAAATACTATCCTTCATCAACTAAACATTCTAAACATTTTCCTTTGACACAACTATTACAGCCCTCATTACATTGTAATATGCAACTAATGCATTCATTATTATTCAATTAATCCAATCCAATATCACACTCTTCATCTTTAGTTACAAATCCATCTCCACAAATTGAAATGCATTTTTAATTCATCAATTAATAACCATAATTACAACTAATACAAACACCATATTAGCAATTAAAACATTCTTTATCACATATATATAAACATTATTCGCAACCATCAAATACTTGTGAGTTTTTATCATCGCATTATTCATATTAGCTAATTATGGCATCTCCACAAATACTTACGCATGTGCTTGTTTCTTAATCTAAATAATATCCTTTTGATTCATTGCATCTCTAACACTATCCTAATACACATAGTTCACATTCTTATTAACATTATAACTAACAGCTTACACATTTTGTCTAATTATTTTCTTCTTAAAAAATTACATCTTCGCATTATTCATCTTTTGTAATGTATCCATCCCCACAAATTGGAGTACATTTTTTATAATTATAATTAATAGTGTAACCTTTTTAGCATGTTTTGCAAATCCCATATATACATTGATCACAATTTTCATCGCATTTAAAACTACACTAATAACATCCATCATCGACAAATGTATTTTTATCATCACATTATTCATTTTTAGATATGATTCCATTTCCACAGAGAGGAACACATATATTATTAGAGTCTAAATAATAATTAGTTTGACATGAATAACAAATACCAATTGCACAAACTGTGCATTCTATTTGACATTCATATTAGCATTGGTAACAGCCATCTTCAAATGAAGTATTAAAATCATCACATTGTTCTAGGAATTCAGTTACAGTTCCATCACCACAAACAGGAACACATTTTAATAGATTTTGGTCTAATATAAAACCTGATGTATTGCATTAAAAACATTAACCATGTATACAATTAGTGCATTAATCCTAACAAGAAAACTAGCATTAATGACAGCCATCATAAGTAATTAAATTACCATCATCACATTCTTCTTGGTATGCAGTGTGTTTATCACCACAAATGGGTAAACATTAATTTTTACTAGGGTATAATTGATATCCTGTTTAGCATTTGCTACAGATGGACAAAGCACAAACCTCACAAAAAGAATCACATTAAAATTAGCAATTATGACAGCCATCAAAAGGTATAATATTGCCATCATCACAAAGTTCAACTCCAGTTTTGATTCCATCTCCACATTAAGTTTCACATTTATAGAGTGTTAAATTAATGTAATATCCTAAGGTATTATCACAACTATAACACAATCCTTATTAGCAATCTAAGCATTAGGTTTGACATTATTATTAACAATTATAACAATATCTAATAGGATAGTTAGTAGTATTTTCACATTGTTCTGAACCAGTGATAATATTGTCTCCACATTTAGGAAAGCACCATTTCATTGAAGAATTCAAAACATAACCTGTAGAACAGACTGAACATCTTCCATAAACACAAATTGAGCATTCTTTTTGGCATTCATATTTACAATTATAACATCCATCAAATCTTGTTGTATTACCATCATCACAATCTTCACCATCAGTAACAACCATATCACCACATACAGATTAACATTTATTATTTATTCCATCATCATAATAGTTATTTTTACATAAACAAACATTATTGTTAATATATCTGTGTTGAGAACCTTTACATGATAAACATTCATTTTTTCCAGGACCATAACAACTAGAACATTGATCATGGCAATTAGCGCAAGTATTAGATGCTGTTAAATAAGTCCAAGAATAACATAAACAAATTCCATTTGATAAGTAAAAATTGGCTGCACATTAAGTACATATAGATGCATTTGTACATTCTAAACAATAGACAGGTGAACATTTGGTGCAAATAGAAGGTGTAACAGACGTGTTTAGATAATAAGTAGAATCTACACATGATGTTGGAGTCGACATTCCTGTTGGCAATCCTAATTTACCTGTGCAGTCATTCCATGTGGGTCCAGTGCATGCAGTACAATATTGGGTACACTATTATTAAGTGTATTAATTTTACTTCTAAGATAAGAATGTAATAATCATAGATTAAACAAAAAGCCTAATTAATGGCATCAGATGAATGTGCATTACATTTGAAGACCACTTATAAAGTATTAGGTGTAAGGTGATCTTCTGGTCTATCTACTTAGATTTATCTATCAGTTGTTGAAGCACCTAAAGAAGAAGATGCTGCTATGTTCGTTCCTTAAGAATACGTAAGAGTAACTTCTGAGAATCCACCAATTGAATATCTAAAATCTCCTTAAGTGCTAAAGCCATCACCTAAGACTAGTGTAAATTTGATTCTAAATTTATAATGTGGATTAATGTTAAAAGTCTTAGTAAAGGTAGCTTTGTTCCAAACAAGAGGGCCTCCTAAAACTCTTTTACCTAAATAATAACTAAAATAGATAGTATTTGTATTGATAAGGAATGTATCTGTTGTTTTAAAATCTCCAGTACCTGATGATATAGTACCTATAATTGCAGGAATATCAGTATCAGTGGTATTTGAAGAATCATAAAAGGCTTTTACTATATATTTTGAATCTTTATTAGAGAAAATGATTACTTGAAGAAGGTGGCTCATCTAAATCGATGCATTCCCCAGAACTCGGTGTCGAATGAGGAGGACAGGAAGGTACACATCTATTCTTGTAGAGTAATCCAGTTGAACAAGCATAGCATTTTAAATCATAATCACACCAAGAACAGGTTGATTAACATTTCATAACATCTAAAACCACATTATTAAATCCCCAAGATTAAGATCCAGTATTACTAATTAAATAGATTTTATATAATACTCCATATTTCCTTATATATATAAAATTGGAGATATGATATTGCTCCTTAATTTTGCTTCTATTCTATAATAAGTAACTGCGGGATTTGTACAATTTGTTTCTGTTAATAAGACTTATCCATTTCTATTTTACAAAGCATCTCCAACACTATAAATTGAAGCTTATTCATCTGTATCTAAAAGTATTCTTACGGTTGAATAATCAACCCAAGTTCCCAATTTTAATAGAGTTATTCTAAATCTTATATAAGTCAGATTGTAAGGTAATGATAACTACATTTTATACCCTTCATTAGAATAAAAGGGACCTACATAATTTTTAGAAGTTTGACAAGGAATTTAAGATATTCTTTCAACGTTTATTATATTAAAATTGATAGGATCAGGAATGAAAACAAATGGAGAAGCAGTTGTAAATGTATCAGTATCTAGATATGTAGCTAATGGTAACATGTCTATATATTAAAATTAGATGATACTTTCATTGAATTAACAGACATTATTTGAATCTGATATTCTATAATATCTACATTCAGTAAAACATCCTTTAGAACTATCTAAATACTCTATATAAAGTTTATTAGTAGGACAGTTAGGACATGTGCCTAATGATGATAATGGAACTGTAGGATTTGTAAAGCAAACTCTGCATTTATCAATGGCTGCACTTGTTTCACATTTCAAGCAAGACCAATGACATCGATCAACATATATTTATAAACTTCTTGTTCCATACATTTATCCATTACCGAGTGATCCACAAACTCTAAATTGCAATAAATCATTATCATTGTGCTGAAATGTTAAAAGGAAAGTTTGATACTAAAATCTTGACCAAGTTGTATCACACAAATTTTAATAACTTTGTATACTATTACTTGCAGACCCATTGTCTTTGTATTGAAATGTCTTTTAAGCTGTGCTTGAGGGATTGCAATCATATTTTATTGTTATTTAGTTATTATTTGCATTCAGAAAATATCCATCCACTATGATTTTAACTTAAAAATGTGGTGGCATATTTGTTACTGTGTACATTTATCTACCTATTGTTTATCCAACGTAAGAATATTAGAAACTATTTGTTGTACAGCTTCCAATTTGACTTACTACTGTTGTACTTTGTGTCCAATCACAGGAATTACTATAATTCCAAGCAGAATCTGATACTGTTTGATCCATTAGATCTTCACTTACAAGAGTCAATTAAGACATTGCAAGAGAGATTAGGACGNTACACATCTATTCTTGTAGAGTAATCCAGTTGAACAAGCATAGCATTTTAAATCATAATCACACCAAGAACAGGTTGATTAACATTTCATAACATCTAAAACCACATTATTAAATCCCCAAGATTAAGATCCAGTATTACTAATTAAATAGATTTTATATAATACTCCATATTTCCTTATATATATAAAATTGGAGATATGATATTGCTCCTTAATTTTGCTTCTATTCTATAATAAGTAACTGCGGGATTTGTACAATTTGTTTCTGTTAATAAGACTTATCCATTTCTATTTTACAAAGCATCTCCAACACTATAAATTGAAGCTTATTCATCTGTATCTAAAAGTATTCTTACGGTTGAATAATCAACCCAAGTTCCCAATTTTAATAGAGTTATTCTAAATCTTATATAAGTCAGATTGTAAGGTAATGATAACTACATTTTATACCCTTCATTAGAATAAAAGGGACCTACATAATTTTTAGAAGTTTGACAAGGAATTTAAGATATTCTTTCAACGTTTATTATATTAAAATTGATAGGATCAGGAATGAAAACAAATGGAGAAGCAGTTGTAAATGTATCAGTATCTAGATATGTAGCTAATGGTAACATGTCTATATATTAAAATTAGATGATACTTTCATTGAATTAACAGACATTATTTGAATCTGATATTCTATAATATCTACATTCAGTAAAACATCCTTTAGAACTATCTAAATACTCTATATAAAGTTTATTAGTAGGACAGTTAGGACATGTGCCTAATGATGATAATGGAACTGTAGGATTTGTAAAGCAAACTCTGCATTTATCAATGGCTGCACTTGTTTCACATTTCAAGCAAGACCAATGACATCGATCAACATATATTTATAAACTTCTTGTTCCATACATTTATCCATTACCGAGTGATCCACAAACTCTAAATTGCAATAAATCATTATCATTGTGCTGAAATGTTAAAAGGAAAGTTTGATACTAAAATCTTGACCAAGTTGTATCACACAAATTTTAATAACTTTGTATACTATTACTTGCAGACCCATTGTCTTTGTATTGAAATGTCTTTTAAGCTGTGCTTGAGGGATTGCAATCATATTTTATTGTTATTTAGTTATTATTTGCATTCAGAAAATATCCATCCACTATGATTTTAACTTAAAAATGTGGTGGCATATTTGTTACTGTGTACATTTATCTACCTATTGTTTATCCAACGTAAGAATATTAGAAACTATTTGTTGTACAGCTTCCAATTTGACTTACTACTGTTGTACTTTGTGTCCAATCACAGGAATTACTATAATTCCAAGCAGAATCTGATACTGTTTGATCCATTAGATCTTCACTTACAAGAGTCAATTAAGACATTGCAAGAGAGATTAGGACGAAAGAAATAATCATATTACTTTTCATATTATTTTAATCTTAGATTATAAATTTTTGTGACATCATCTAATAATAAATTAAATATTATGAATAATAATTTAAAAATCTTTCAATTATCTTGAGCTTGTTTTTGCTACATAATAATTTAATATATTTGATCTGCATCTATAGCTGAATATATCGGATTATCTTAACTATCCTCATAATCATCTTCATCTTCTTTATCAAAGAATTTAGTATAACAACCTGGAAATACTTCTTTATCTATTTTAATTTTTCCTCTAACTGTTTTAATTTTATCATCTTTTTCTTGTTTCATAATTTCTATTTTCTTTTTTTCTATTAATTTCATTTATTTCTTAGCTAATAAGGCTGTTCTTTTAGAAGTAGGTTTACAATTTTCAGTTTTTTATTTTTCTTTATTGTTCATAACATCCATAACATCAACAAGTAGATCACTTTTTAATGTTGCCTTCTATATTTTAGCTTCATTATACCAATCATAAAATGTTTGATTTTAATCAGTATTACAAACACAATATATTGGACTCTACTTAATTTCTTCAATGTCAGCTTTAGTAAAATTGGTACCTCCTGTTACTTTATTGATTTCTTATTCAGTTCTAAGTACATCTTCATCTTCTGTATTTTCTGGACTTGAACTAAGTAATAATGCTTCATCCCATCTTTTAACTTTAGTTGGTTTTTTATATTTCTTTTTTTTTCTTTCATCCATTTTAATAAAATCTGGAGTTTCATCAGATGGTTTTAGTTCATTACAAGCAATCAAAACAATTAAATCAATAATGAAAATATTTTATAAAACTCTAGCAAACTTTTCAGGCGTAATCATTTTCTTTAATTCTTCAGTAATTACTTTATAATCTTCTTTATGATTGTCAACAACATAAGTAAGTAATTTTATAAGCATTTAACAGCTTTATATAATTTCTCTTGCAGATTGATCTTTAACACTAGAGGGTTCTCTGGCATTAATTTCTAATATTCTTTTTTTAGTTGTATCTCTCATATTTTCAATTTTAGGTTAATTATAAGCAACCATTTTCCCCATCATTCTATTTAAATCAACTAATTTGAATTAAAAATGAGCATAAAACTTTTAACTTAAAAAACACTTATCTCTTATTTAACCAATAGCTTCATATTCAGCTTTAACAGCATCCCAATGACATTTATATTTAACACATATATGCCAATGAGTAACAGTTTCTTCAGCTGAAAATATTTGTCTATTAATTTTTGGATCTATAGCTCTCCATCTAGCTTAAACCATAGGTTTATGAGGAATAGAAAGACCATAAATAGTTTTCATTTATCTAGTAATTTCTGCCCATTTAGCTTCTCCAAGTGTACCAACCAATTCAGTCAGAACTTCATCAAACTAATATTAACATTAATAAATACTCTTGGTGTATATATAGGGTTGTGTTTAGGCATATAATAAAAATAATTTTATTATACTAAACTGGCCCTAGATTTTGTTTGTCAATCAGCCCAAATTAAAAGAAGGATAATGTAAATGTCCTTTAATATTTTTCTCTTATTTGAATATTAATATATATTGTATTAATATTAATATATATATATATATATTAACTTCTGATTCTGTATTTGCCAACTAATCAGCTAATTAATAATAGGCAGCAATTTCATTAACTTCTAAATTTGTTAATGATCCTCTTATCCTCTTAATTAATCTTCAACATCAGAAAGTGCATTATACACTAATTATCGAATATTATGTCGTGGTTATCTATCTGAAGATGTTCCTTCTTCTTATCCAAGTGGATGTAATTCTGATGATATTCTGTTGCTAATTATGCAAATTTAGTCATCGCATCTTAATTAAGTAATTGACTGTATTATTTTAATTTGTCGTATATATTTTATACACTAATGAAGATGGTTAACCTGTCAAATATCCACTTAAATCATTCTTTAATATTCTAATAACTCCTAAAGCATCATTATTTATTTTATTGCTCTCAAAAATAAACCATTAGAAAAACATCTTTATTCTTATAATTCAATTGATCTTCTATCACTTAAAATTTCTTTCTAAAATTTAATTTCTAAACGAATACATTCTTTTTTTTTAAAAGAGCAATATACATAATTTTAATGAATTTAGCTTTAAGCAAACCAATAAAATCTCATTTTTAAAATCCTCAATAATACTTAATACAAAGAGACATATAAATTTTATAATTAATAAAATTTGATTTCTTCGGTGTTTTTATTCAAACTTAAACAAATTTAAAACTAAATTGTTAGATCATTCTTTCTAACTAATTATTATAATGATTTACTGGAATTAAATAGATAATAAATTTAGATAGTAAATGATTAATTCAATAATAGAAAAAGATCAAGTAGAATTTCTTTGTTGAGATTAATCTGTCGTTCTAGAAAACTGTTTGCCAAAACCACTTAAAATAGGTTCATTTAAATGTTTTAGACGTTAATTTCTACTTTGATATAAAATGACCAAAGCTTAATCATGAGCATTGTTGTTATGATCTACATTTTTTATAAATTCTTCTAATTTTATTATAGGGGTTGATTTTTTCTTAGGATCTTTTTTGGATGAACAATTNAAACTGGCCCTAGATTTTGTTTGTCAATCAGCCCAAATTAAAAGAAGGATAATGTAAATGTCCTTTAATATTTTTCTCTTATTTGAATATTAATATATATTGTATTAATATTAATATATATATATATATATTAACTTCTGATTCTGTATTTGCCAACTAATCAGCTAATTAATAATAGGCAGCAATTTCATTAACTTCTAAATTTGTTAATGATCCTCTTATCCTCTTAATTAATCTTCAACATCAGAAAGTGCATTATACACTAATTATCGAATATTATGTCGTGGTTATCTATCTGAAGATGTTCCTTCTTCTTATCCAAGTGGATGTAATTCTGATGATATTCTGTTGCTAATTATGCAAATTTAGTCATCGCATCTTAATTAAGTAATTGACTGTATTATTTTAATTTGTCGTATATATTTTATACACTAATGAAGATGGTTAACCTGTCAAATATCCACTTAAATCATTCTTTAATATTCTAATAACTCCTAAAGCATCATTATTTATTTTATTGCTCTCAAAAATAAACCATTAGAAAAACATCTTTATTCTTATAATTCAATTGATCTTCTATCACTTAAAATTTCTTTCTAAAATTTAATTTCTAAACGAATACATTCTTTTTTTTTAAAAGAGCAATATACATAATTTTAATGAATTTAGCTTTAAGCAAACCAATAAAATCTCATTTTTAAAATCCTCAATAATACTTAATACAAAGAGACATATAAATTTTATAATTAATAAAATTTGATTTCTTCGGTGTTTTTATTCAAACTTAAACAAATTTAAAACTAAATTGTTAGATCATTCTTTCTAACTAATTATTATAATGATTTACTGGAATTAAATAGATAATAAATTTAGATAGTAAATGATTAATTCAATAATAGAAAAAGATCAAGTAGAATTTCTTTGTTGAGATTAATCTGTCGTTCTAGAAAACTGTTTGCCAAAACCACTTAAAATAGGTTCATTTAAATGTTTTAGACGTTAATTTCTACTTTGATATAAAATGACCAAAGCTTAATCATGAGCATTGTTGTTATGATCTACATTTTTTATAAATTCTTCTAATTTTATTATAGGGGTTGATTTTTTCTTAGGATCTTTTTTGGATGAACAATTTCCCATTTTGAATGTTAGCTTTAAATAAAATATAAAAATATTTATAAATATTCTTTTTGCTCAAAATTCAATTACAAAAAATAATCCAAATTAAGTTACTAGAAAAGTTAGTTTGCGAATAATTTTTTCGCCTACCTTAAATTGAGCCTTATCTTTTAAATTATTGAAAGTCAAAAGACAACGAAATAAAATTTTTATTAAAAGAATTTAAGAGAAATTAAGTTAATTTCAAAAAAATCTATATTGATAAAACATTTCAATCATTAAATCAGAATTATTTGAAGATAATCCATCTGAAATTAATAACCTTAAATAATTTACTTATTTGTATGAATAAGAGATGGTGAATAATTGAAGGAGCGATTAAATGTTTCCATGCTGATATGAAAAGATTAGAAGTAAATTAACATAGGATTTAAATAAAAGAGAAATTATAAAAAAAACTCAAATAGGAATTGTTGGAAAAAAAAAATAAAAATAGAAATAAATAGATAAAAGGAATCTACTTAAATAAAAATTGCAATATTAGTATAAATAAACGTCAAAGAATGATAAGGATATCAAATACTATAAAAATTAAATTATTGGGGAATCCTAATTTAAAGATATTTTTAGTAAGCTTGCAAAACCTTAAAAGAATTTAAGAATAAAATAATCAAAAAGAAAATGTTTATAAAATAGCAAGAATAATTTCAACAGAAAATAGAAGCTCAATAAGGGAATAGGTGATAATATTTAAATTTATGATGATATGGGTAAAAACTTGAAAACTTTGTTCTTAAAAATTAAGAACGTTAATACAAAAAGATAATATAAAAGTTTTGAAGAAAAATTCTAAATTCTAAATTTATTTTTTTTTCTTTGATTTTGATTTATTAGACATTTGTGATTATTTACTTAAAGTTATTTTACATGAATTAATTTACATGTTCTTTTTTGAAGAAGTAATTTTCTAATAAACAAAAACATTGTTTTATAAGAATTAAAACTGACCATGAAATTTTATAAATGCTTATTCAAATTATAAAAACTTCTTAAGATTATTCAATTATATTCAAATCTAAAAGAAATAAGGATAAGTTAAAATTACATAATCAAAAAAACTAGAAAACGATCAACTTAAACTTAATCAATAATAATTTAATTTAATTTGTCATCAAATATATTTCATAAAATAAAATGAGTACTAATAGAACAGAGAATGGTCTCTTATAAGATTGCTTTTTTGGACCATCAATAGAGTAATCTGAAGTAAATATTTATAAGAAAAATTCATCATCAAAAAATTCAATCACTTCAGAGGCAAGTTAGAAAGAAAAAGAAAGAATAAATGAAAGTTAAAAAAAAGTTGGGACAGCATCAATTAATTATCAAATTTTGAAGGCAAAATAATAATTCACTAAGAAAAATGAAAATCTCTAGGCAACTTAAAGTAATTTTATAAAAGGAAGTAGAAGAAATTTATTTGAAGGAAAGACATAATAAATTGAAAAAATAGAAAAGACACCTAAACAAGAAACATTTAACTTTATTAAAACAATAATAAGATCAAACTTGATAAATAAATTTAAACATAATTTACTTTCTTCATCTTATATTTTACCTTATGAAATGAAAAAAATATTAGAGAATGAAGGATATTTATAAGATGGTAAAGAAAAAGTAAAATTTTCAAGTTAAGTCTATGATTTTTAGTATTTTATTTATTTATATAAGACTATAGAGCCAAAAGTTACTAAATCAAAATAATCAAAGGTTAATAAATTTGTTAATGCCAGATAAGAATTTTACAGTAGTTTGGGATTTGATTTCATTGTTAGTTTTATTTATAAGTCTATTTTTATGTACACTAATAGCCTCCTTTGGTTAGCATTTAAATAATTTTAAACCAGCAGAAATTATGATAAATATATACATAATTTTAGAGGTTTTATTTTCAATTTATCGTCCTATTATGGTGAATGGTGAAGTAGTATTTGAGATTTCATAAATATGGAATAATTATTTAAGAACTTAACTTTTAGAAGATGTGATCAGTTTTACTATGTGGTTTTTAGTTTATTTTGATTTTGATAAATAGATGTATCTTAATGAGATTATGGCAGTTCTTTAGTTTTTAATAACAATAAGGAAGATAGATCGAAAATACAATATTTTAATAGAGCAACTATACTTAAAAGGATTTAATAGTAATCTCTTAAATATTGTGACTTTAATAATTATCATCTGTTTTTTTGCTCATACAATGGCATGTTTATGGCATCATGTAGGTGATTTGACATAAAATTATGGATCTTGGCTTATTTATTATGATATTATTAATGAGACATTATGGGTTAGATATAATTATTCATTTTATTGGGCAACGATGACCATGGTAACTGTAGGATATGGGGATATCACACCTAAAAATTAATTTGAAGTTACATTTGCTACAATCATGATGTTATCTTCAAGTTGCATGTTTGCATATACCATGAATTCTATTGGAGTGATTGTCAAAACTATATATGATTAATAAACAAAGTTTAAGTAAATAAATGTATTTATAATTTTATAGACGAACTTTGATTTTGATGAATTAATTCATGTCTAAAAATGAAGTAGATTAACAAATCTAAAGAAGAGTTAAAAATTATATTAAACACAATATTGAAAATGATATTTTTGAAAATTAGGAGGATACAATAAAATTAGTTAATGAATTACCACTTAATTTAAAAAAATAAATTGAATAAGATATTCAATATAAAATAATCTAAAAAATCAAAGTAATTACAGATAATTTTGTTGAATCAACATAAAATAAAGTTAAAAATATCTTAGTTGAAATAAAAACTACTCCTAATGATTTTATTTATCATAGAAATGATAATAAAGATAAATATTTGTAATATTATATTTAAAATTATTAGATATTTCATTAAAGAAGGAGAAGTTCAAATTATAGAAGAGCAGAGTTAAAAAATTATAAATGTCTTAAAAGCAGGGGAAACATTTGGAGAATTTTAATTTTTTACAGGTTAAAATACTAAAGAATCTGTAGTAAGTGTTGGATTCTCATAATTATTCAAAATAGATAGAGAATAATTTATTTCAATTATAAAATAAAACTCAAAAGATTTTGAAAGATTTCATAAGATAAAAGATAGTATTCTCTATTTAAAATAATTTTCTGTGATTTAAGTAAAATGTCATTTTTGTGGCTAATCTAATCATGTATAAATAGAATGTCCTTTTATGACATATTAACCTAATTTATATCTTAAAATATTGAAAATGAATTAGTCTTAAATAAATTATAGGTTTTATTAAGGGAGATCTGGTGAAAAAATCAAATCTATTCTTATCCTTAAATCAATTTAATAAGCTATAACAGAATTCTAAGACTATGCAACTATCTTTAATACAGATAATACAATCAATTATAAGACATCTAATTCATTAAGTTATATTTAAGAGTCTCAACAAATTATAGATAATAAATAATCAAATAAATCAATTTCAAAACAGGATTAAAATAAAGTATCTATTGATAATAGAAGAGAATCTCTTTATCCTAAAAAAATTGAAAGTGAAAAACACAACAAATCATAAGTATTTACAAAAAAGAAACCCTCATTGATAGAAGATGAAAAAAGAAAAACAATTTTAAAAGAAACATTGATTTTTAAATAATTAGATTAAATTTAAGAATATTTTCATCATATTTAATAAGAAGGATTCGATAAAGTTCATAATTACACAGAGTACTAACCCCACAATAATTTCAATTATGTAATAAAATAACTTTACAAAGAAAAATATAAATTTAAACATGCAAAATATTTACGTAGAGAATTTAGCAGAAGAGATTAATGAAAATTAAAAATTCTTTTTTAATTATCTAATCTTATATATATTTAGATAAGTTTATTAAAATCAAATAAATAATTTAGATAAATTTAGAATATTTAAAAATACTCATTATTTTTGTTATTATTATTATTATTATTATTATTATTATTATTCTAAGACTGCTTTAGCTGCTGCTTAAACATAAATTTTATCAAAAGCAAGGACATTACCAGCAACTTAAAATCCTTCTTTGGTAAGTTCACTAGCTTAATCTCCATATTTATTTTTAATAACCTAGATTATTAAATATAATACTTCAGTAGTAGCTTAACCAGTACAATCTAAAAGAACACTTAAAGCTTCTGTTAATCCATCATAAATGCTAACAACAGCAACAACTGCAGCTCCTCCAAGGTTTTTAGCATCATCATAATATTTGTGTTCTTACATTTTCTTACCTGTTTCACTGTTCTCAAATTATTTTTCTGCTTCTTCTGCAATCATCTTTCCTAAATTTATTAGAGCATCAACTTAAGCTTTAGTAAATTAAAGTATAGCCTTAGATCCTTTATTTACTAATTTAACTTTATTTAATGTATCCTCAGAAACTTCTTTTTATTCTTTATCTGTAATCTTTTCAGCTATTAATTCTCCTCCTTTTTTGATTCCTTCTCCAATTAATCCAGCAACAGAGATTAAACCTTATCTAATAGCATTTCCTCCTTATTTTATATAATCACTAACTCCAGGAGGTTTTTCACCTTGTCCAACATGATCCCATAAATTTACTTGCATTATTCCTGTACGCAACATTAATTCTTATTGAGACAATTTTTATTATTCATTTAATTATTTCATCTCATTTCTTCCTTAATATATAGACTTTGACATAATATTTTAATGTTGTTTTTGTGAAGAAACAACTAATCTAACATTTATTGAGAGAATATGTTCAAATGTATCAGATACCTAATCTTATTTATCTACAATTATTCCATAAAATATTTCATTAAGACCAGGGAATATGTACATCTTACTACCATTAACTAATTAAGCAATCATAACTGGGATGTTTTTTTGTAATGTATATTAGAATTAGCTGAATTTTAAGAAAGATAATTTAAGTTGTTCAGATTGATAAATCTAATAAGAATATTGATTAAAATTACTTAGAGAGTACCAGCATCAACTTATTTTGGTTATTAGTTCTTAATTTCAAATAATTTACATTAAGGAACTTCCAATAATAATTATAATTGATAATCCATAATTCTTTCTTTAATTAAAATAATTAATTAAGAATGAAAAATATATTCATATCAGGTGGATGTAATTCTGTATATAATGGTTTGGATGTTTGTTAATTTGAACCAAATTAAAATTTGATAGCTTTTCCTTGTAGTAATCAAGTAAAATAGATGAATATTAATAGATATTAGTATATGACATTGAGAAATTAAAGATAATATATTCTTATTCAACTTTCAATAAGAGAGTGAATTATGTAAGATTTTTGAACTCAAATACATTGATAGGTGCAGATGGAGAAGGCAAGATAGCAATATTTAATGAGTCATAAAAATTATACGAGACAAAATTGAATGAATCAATATAAGTTTTTAAAGTGATTGGTAAGTATATAATAACATTATCAATTGATGGTATGGTAACAGTTTTGGATTAGGAGTTGAATGAAGTATCAAAACTTGAATTCGGTAATAATGTAATGGAGAATATTGATGCAATAATATTTGATAACAATATATTTGTAGTTTTGAGTGGTGTAGATACTCAAATTCACTTATACATATTAGAGAATAATTAATTATAATATAAGACATCTGTGAAAGGTCATTAAAGAAGTTTAAATCATTTATAATTTAATTTGAGAAATGAGAATAATTTACAATTGGCAAGTGCATCAAAAGATACTTATACTAGAATATGGAGTATTTATAAGGTTGATGAGATAGAGGCAAAGATTAAATGTTTTAGAATTGATAAATAATTATATAGTTTTAAGTTAGAAACAATTCTTTAAGGACATATAGAAGAAGTATCATCAGTAAATTGGTTGGATGAAAATACAATTTTGAGTGGGTCATTTGATTATAATGTAATAATTTGGAAATAAGATAAAGATACAGGATTATGGTTAAGTGTATCAAGATTAGGATAGACAAGTGGAAATAAGAATTAAATATTTGGATTATAAACATCATTAGATAAAAAATATATAGTATGTTATACATTGACAGGTGCAATATATATATGGAAGTAAGAATAAGAAAATTGGATAGAACAACCAGTTATAACAGGTCATTATGCAGAAGTTACTGATTTAGATTTTAAAGATTATTTATTAACTTGTAGTGTAGATTAAACAAGTAGAATATTTACAAAATGGATTTTAAATGATACATATCATGAAATATCAAGACCTTAGATACATGGTTATGATTTAAATGCAGTTAAATAAATTGGAAATCAAATTATAAGTGGAGGAGATGAAAAGATATTAAGAATGTTTAATCCATCGCCTTTTACTATAAATTAATTAAATTATTTGAATGAATAGAATATTAATTAATCAGTTTTTTTGAATTAAAATATCCCTTCATAAATTGTAACATATAATAATAGATAATTTAATGAATTTAAATTGGCAACTGAAGGTATTTAATAAGCACTTGGATTAATGAATGTGTAAATGTAATTTGAAGATGAAGATGATGAAAAGTAATTCATTAAGTTTTATATTATTATAGTATTAAAAATAATAATAATGATGATGATGTAAATCTGGAAGTGAAATATGGGAAACCTCCAAATGATGCTTTACTTGCTAAGAAATCTTTATGGCCTGAAACTAATAAATTATATGGACATGGATATGCAATATCAGCTATTGCCATATATGAAAATATTGCTGCTTCATCTTCAGTTGCAATTACATCTAAAGCTGCTGAAATTATTATATGGGATACAAACACATTTAAAATCAAATAATTATTATCTTGTCATAATTATACTGTTGTCTAATTAGTCTTCTCTAAAAGTGGCAAATATTTAATTAGTGTTAGTAAAGATAGATGTTTAGGAGTATTTATTAAATAAGAGGATAATAACTATTAATTATTATCTAAATCATAACCTTGTTCAAGAATTATTTACACATGTTCATTCAATAATGATGAAACTCTCATATTCACTGGCAGTAGAGATAAAAAATTTAGAATCTATAACATTTTAGAAGCATCATTACCAATTCAAGAAATTGATTTTACTGATGAAATCACTGCTATAGATTCAGTTTATATTGATAATAAATAAATTGTTGCTGTAGCATATGGTTAAGGATAATTATAAGTATTTGAACTCACTTAAAATCTTCAATTAAATTTACTATCTACTGTAGATAAATATCACCAACATTCAAAAACTATTAACAGAATTAAATTTAATAATAATTTGCTTGCAACATGTAGTGATGATCACACAGTCAGAATATATCAAATATGATAATTTAAATATTATCAATAAATATAATTATAAATTTAGATAATTACAATTACTTCAAAATATTCGAATTATAGAATATTTTTTTAGTTATTTTTCAAATCTAAATATCTTTTCTAAGAAAATATAATCAAAATTATTTTTATCATTCATTATTCATTCAATCAATCAAAACTAATTTGCTAAATATAAATATTCCCCTAACAATTTATTATTATAAAGTAGAATAAAATAAAGCAAAATAAAAATACATGTTTTATAACTATATAATATTAAATCAAAAAGAAATAGAGAGAGAATTCTTATATTTTTTAATTGTATTTATTTATTCATTCTTTCTTCTTATGAATCAAAATAATTTAGATTGGGTATTATTCGATATTTATATGATTTCATAAAGTTTAAGTCTGGCAGGAAACTTAATAAGTTGAGATGGAATAATTATTTATTAAATAAATTTAATCTATATAGTATCACATAAATTAATGAAATTCGGAAGTGTCTTTAATCCAAGAGGAGTACTCGAGATAAACTATAAGATATCATCTATAGATGCTAATCAAAATGTCTTATACACAGGAGATGAAAAAGGCATATTATATAGGTAAATTATTGTTTGAGATTAGATATCAATTGTAACCTGATTAAGCCATGATTATTCAAGCAAGTTAGCCATTATCTAAACAATTAACTAAATCAAGGATTGATTAAATAAAAGTTTTTCCTCAAGCAAATGCTAATCTTTTGGTTTTATCAGATCAGACTTTATTTTTTGTTGAAGAAAAAACTTTGAAAGGTGAATAAATCTCAAAAGAAAAAGTATCATTATTTGCTTTAAATGAATTTTCAAAAATAAATTAATTTGAGATAGTAATAGTGACTAAAAAGAAAGAAGGCTTCATTTTGAATTATACTTAAAAATCAGGGAAATTTGAATGTATGAGAGAGAAATTCTTATTGCCAGACATACCTGTAACAATAGCATTTATAGGAAATTTATTTTATTTTGGAATATAAAAGAAAAATTATTCTTTAATTAATCTTGAAGATAAATAATTATAAGTAGCTAATTTAGTTATCGATATTGGTAATAATCCATATCTTAAAGCCACTGATAATGATGAATTATTACTTATTACAACAAATAATATAGGTATTTTTATTGGTAAGGATGGATAAATGAAATAAAAAAGTACAATCTAATTATAAAATAAATCAATATAGATTATAACAATTTTTAAGTAGTATTTGATAGTACTTTTTGATAACTTAATATAAGTATTTAATTTATTGGATTCTAAACCTATGAGTGATATTTAATTGACATCATCAGCTAAATGTATTACATAAACTTCAAATCATATATTTTATGGTAGTTCTAGTGAAGTAAATAATTATTATTAATATATTATAGATCATTTATTTATATCAAACACCTCCTGAATAATAAATTTAAGATTTATTGAAATTGGGTAAGGTTGAAGATGCGCTTTAAGTATTTTAATAATATAATCAAAATTCTGATGCATCAAAAAATTAGCAATTAGAATAATTGAAATTAGATTGTGGTTGGGCTCTTGTTCGATTTATGTAATTTTAAAGTTCTCTGAATTATATTTAATAAACAAACTTTGATCCTAGAGATTTTATTTGTTTATTTCCAGATTATTATTATGCAGTAGAGAAACTTGAATCAGTTAATTAGAATCCTTCATAAAATACAATTTCATTGATTATTAATAAATTTGTCTAAGATAATTATAAAGGTGATCCAAAGAAAGGTTAAGAATTGAAATTATAAGCAAGAGATTTTTTGATTGAAATTTTAGAAAAGAAAAGAAGTATTTTAACTTCAGCTTAATATGCATATTCTATGAAAGATAAATTGACTTTATTAACAAGTACATAAAATTATAATTAAAATTAATGGCATGCTATACCATGTGAATAACTTTTAGAATTAATAGATTTTGCATTGATAAAAGCATATTTAGAAGCTTAATAATTATAAAAATTAAAAAGTTTTTTATCTTGTAATTAAATATATTGTTTATCAATGTATGCTGAATTATAAGCAATATTTTAAAATAATAAAGCAATAGAATAATAATAAGGTATATTGGCTAGATTTTATGAATCATTTAATAAAATTGATTTGTCTTTAGAAGTTTGGAGAACGATAGGAGGAGATTCTTTAAATTAATAAGTATAATAAGAAGCTTGTGAAGAAACAACTAGAATTTTAAAATAGAATCCTGATAAGAATAGAATATTTAAATTTATTTTGTGGGTATTTAAAAAATAAATGAAAACTGGAATTCAAATATTTTATGTTAGTGAAAGTATAATATCACCTGATTAAATGATTAAATTTTTAGAAGATTCAGAAATGGAATAAGATTTGAAGAAGAAATTAAAAGAGAAATATTTAGAAGTTTTAGTATTAGAGAAATAGACAGAAGAAGAGAGATTTCATACTCAATTAGCTTATTCATATATTGATTCTTTATTTAATATATATCCAAAAGAAATGTAACCTACATAAATTGATATGAAAAAGAATTAAATTGCAAGCGAAATTTATTAATCATTAAAGAAGTTTTTGAAGAATCCAAATGCAAAATATAATTCATCAAGCATTTTAGAAAAAAAGGTTAAGGATTCTTGGATGATTCAAGAAGTTATTTTACTTTATGGAAGAGAGAAAAGACATGAAGAAGCATTAAGTTAATTGTTGAATTTAGGATTTTATGAATGGGCTGAGAAATATTGTTGTGAATATTCTGACAATTTATTGACGAAGCTTTTTAAAAAAGTATATATGTTATCTAAATAAAGTACAAAGAATTATATATATTTTTGAAAGGGAAATATAATGAGAGACCTACAGATCAGTAAGCATCATATACATTTAATTAAATTAAAGTAATGAATATTATTTATATTCTAAATTTTAGATTACAATCAACAATTTTCTGAAAAAATATGCAACTCATTCTTAGTTAAATGCTTTGGAAGTATTAGAAATGATACCAGAAGATTGGATATTAGCTGATTAAGGTGAGGATGATGGATTATTTTAATTTTTAAATAGTGTAATAAGTAATTATTTCATTATATTTATAGGTCATACCTTACATTAAAAAAGATCAACAAAAGCAGCTTATCATTTATCTGATATGGATTTATTGAATGTTGAATGTTTAAATGCTAGTACTAAATAAGCAAATGTAAGAATTACATCTGAAAAGAAATGTGCTGTATGCAGTAGATCAATAGGTGAAAAAGTAAAGATGTATTTTTAAACTTTAAGGTATTTGTTGTTTATCCTAATGCTGTTATTGCACATCATACATGTATAAGGAGTAATACTGTATGTCCATTAACTGATAAAGATTTTGAAAAGTATTTTAAAATGTGAGTGTTGAGTTTATCAGATAAAATAAAAATTATATTTTATAACTATCTTTTGTATTAAAATTATTTATTAATTACGTATTTATCATCTTAAATTCTTCTTCTTATTAATCTAAATCGATATTCTATGCGATAACTTGATCAAAATTTATTATCGCACCATTTCTGAAATCGCTATAAACATTTTAATTTAATTGGCTGATATTGTAATCATTCTAATCATAAGTTTTATTTTGCTGTAGGATTTTAATGTGAAACAAAAAAAATTGAAAAACAATAATTATTTAATGTACTAGAACTTATTTTAGAACTACATGACTACTCCCTAAGGATAATACTTCCCATAATGCTATCCTTAATACTATTATCCTGTTTAAAATCCATATTATTCACAATATTAAGTAATGTAGGCTAGACCTGTTCTTATGATCAAGAAGAAACCTGATCAAATAAAATAAGAAGACAATATTATTGAAACTATACCTAAAAAGTCTGTTCCTATTGGTGATTTTGAGAAAACCTCAGAACAAATTTAAAAACCTTCAGTTTAAATCTAATCTGATGATAAAGGGAGCAATTTAAAGCCCAATTTATTAGTCGATTCAACTAATATTCAAAAAAATTTCTCTAAAGCTATCGTCCAATATGCTTTGAGATAAAAGAAAACAGTTTATCAAATTCTTGGAGAAGAAAAAGGAAATCAATTTCTTTTGTTCATGAGTGAACTTGTAAATCAACTCAGAAATCTATTCCATCTAGTCAAATACACACAAGATGAAGAATATCTTAAACTCATTAGAATTTTAGGGTATATTTTTTTGAATGATAATAGTAATAACTTTTTAAGGAAAGAAAGTACATGTTATATTTATAATTCAAAAATAAGATAAAAAACGAGTCACATCAAGCACAAAGCAATAGTAAAAAAAGTCCTATTAAAACTTTGAAATTAACAATATTTTTTTTTATGTATGAATCCAGTATCTTTATTTGTCAGAAATTAAAATAAAAATTTAATACAGAATTTTTGTTTTATAACTTCTTATCTAATTAATCTAATTTATACATATTTTATATTAATAGAGAATTTAATTTAACCTAACTCAACATTACCATCTTTCCATGACATCTAAAATGTTATAAATTTAATATTTTTTTCACCAAATATGCTAATTATACATTGAATTCATGGTTTATAAAGTTGTGCTATCCTACTAAGGTTTTATAAGCAACCTTTAAATTATGACTATGTTTTTAAATATAAATTATCTTGTCATTATATTCTGTTTAATTATATATCAAAATTTGTTATATACTCTATTAGATGTTGTTTAAATCTCTCTTTTTTTTAAATTAAGGCTATATAACATGAAGGATCTACATAATTTTATTATTTTGATAAATGAATTTTTTTCAAGATTGAGAGAGATCTATTTTTATTTTATGGATTAGGGTTATTAATTTATTATTATTTAACATCTTAATAAAATAAGAGTTTAGTATATCATATAATCTAAGCTCTGATAACTTTATTATTTTTTTTAGACTAAAAATAAACAATTAGAAGCATTTTATTGATTTAATTAAGTTTATGTTTCTTTTAGAACAAAAGAAATTCATTAAATGAAAATCCAGCATACATCATAATTGTTTATGTTATCATAAAACTAGCTTTTGAGGATTTTAAAAGATTTCAAAACATATTATTTTTATTAAGATTATTTTGGCTCCTATTATTTCTTTAATCAACTTTTTTTGTAAATATTTTACATATCTAAAACTTCTTCATATATTAATGTAAAATTTATTTTTTGTTCTCCTTGATTATTAATTTTTTCAATCTAATGTAAAAGAAACAAATTAAGTATTAAGTGATATTATTATAAAAAAGATTAATCAATAAAATAAAAAAGATAGAGTTCTTTCACAGACAGATACTGATAAATATTTCTTGGAATAATATCCCTTAAATAACTTATTACTTTAAAATTAATCTTATTTATGTCTTAAATATTAACGTATTTTTAGTGAGGATGTTATTTTTAAGAGGAGTTTTTGGTTTTAAATTAATCTATATGAATTCAGAAATTGAAATAGTATTTTTAAATTTTTCATTGAAAACATTATTACCAAAATAAATTATTGTCATTTTAAATTCTATAAACAATCTAAAATATTAAAAATAAATAGTAATTATTTATAATAAAATGATTCAAAAGATGATAAATTTTTGCTCATAACAAATTGATAACAATAAATGTATGAAGTGATCAGATAGATTAATCGAATAATCAGTATACTAAATTCTATTAAAGTGAATCAAGAAACAAATCATTGTAAAGTAATTCAAAGAACAAATTTAGTAAGTTACATGATATAATTTTTAGAATCAATATGTTATATTTTAGAATTTGTTATCCCAATAATGAAGTAATAAAATGTCTTTAAAAATTAATTGATGTTTTAAATTTATATCATTGTTAATTTTGTAGTATAAATAATTTAGTTTAATAATTATAAATAAAATCCCTGTAAAGATTGATTTAATGAGATTCAGAATTTATATATGGAACAAAATAATAATATGAATTCAGAATAGTTTAATCCTCAAACTTATGAATTATAGAAATTGTATTAAATAAGAGAGACTTTACATTAATAATAGAGATAATAATAATTGAATGCATTGTTGTAGTAATAAAGAATGTAAATGATGAATTCTTAAACATAATAATAATCTCCTTTAGCAGTAAAATAATTAGATTAGACCTATGATTCTAACAATTAGTCGAAGTTATCTTCTAGCAAAAATGCTTATTTGTTTTCTTAAAAATTAAAAAATAAAGATTCAATATTGGAATTGACAAAGATGATTCGAATATGTCCTTTAAATGGTGAACAAACATAAGAGTTGACATCTTTAATTGCTGAAAAATTATTGTTAAAATAATAAAAGGTTGATTATGCTTAGTAACACAATCTTATTATTTTACATTTATAAATAACAAATAGATTATCTGTTGAAACATTACAATTTTATGTTTTGTTGTTTGTAAGATTTCCAAATTTGCTTACAATAATTGGGATAATAGAAAATTGGTTGTCTACTTCAGAAAATGCAATTGCATATTTGGAAGAAGTTTGTTCATATTTTATTAAAGAGATATCTGGAACTTTGGTATAGTTTATTTGCAATAAGGATAACAAAAATAATTACAAGGTAAAAATATTGATTATAATAAAAGGGCAGATTAGAAATGCTTAAACTGTTAATTAAGTATATAGGTAATGAAGAATTGTTATCTGCTTTTATTATGTTAGATGTAGCAGAAATGTTGGAGAATTGTATTGAACATAATTTTTATAAGGATACTTTCAATGTAATAGTTACCTTTTTTGAGAATAGTAATTTTAATCATTTTGTATTTAATTGAATTATGATAGAAATCGATAGAGAAAGCAATAAAAAAATTATATGAAAAATTAAATCCAGAATATAAATAGTAATTGGATATGTTAATAAAGGAGTATAAAAGAAATCAAGAAAAAAATAAAGAGAAAGCTCTTAAGAAAACAGATGAAGTTTGATATTAAAATAAAATGATTATATATATATATATATTTATAATGAAGAATGAAGAACAAAAGCTTAAAATTAAATTTAATTTATAATATGGATAATCACATCTTTGCTAATAACTCTATAGTTATTGATATGGTATGATATATATAAAAATATAAAAATATAGGGTTCAAGTTAGATAAAGGCAGGAATAGGTGGGGAAGAAAAACCAAAATTGATTTTCAATTCATAGTAAATAAATTGAAAAATAATTAAGTATTGGACGCCCCAAATATAAAGCCTTACCTGTAGCAAATAGTTAAGAATTTTATGTAGGAAATTAAATTACAGATAGTACAAGAGGTGTGATAAAGATAAAATATCCATATCAAAAAGGTATAATTAAAGATATGAATGAAATGGATTAATTGTGGAAGTATGCTTTTTAAGAATTACGTGGAAATCCAAAAGAAGTAATCAAGATATGGAATTTAATTAGTGTCCAATATTATTGACAGAGCCACCATATGCATCATAATAATAAAAAGTTGAGATTACAAAACAATTTTTTGAAAGCTACAATTGTCCTGCTTTGTTTTTTGCAGTTTCTGGAGTTACTAGTTTATTTGCAAGTGGTAAATCAACAGGTGTGATTTTGGATATTGGAGACACAATTTCTTAAAGTATTCCAATTTATGATGGATTCTACATTTAACACAGTGCATAAAGAGTAGATTTAGCAGGAAGGGATGTTACAGAAAATTTAAATAATTTATTGAGAAGAGCAGGATATACATTTACAACTACTGTAATATAAATATACTTAATATAATTTAAAGGCTGAATATGAAATAGTTAAAAAGATAAAAGAGAAGCGTTGTTTTTTAAGTCCAGCTATGATAGGAGAAGATAAATTTTAAGAAGAAAGAAAGATTAAAGATTAATACATGTTGCCTGATAATAGTACAATAGAGTTGAGTTTTGAGAAATAAAGAGCACCTGAAATATTAATGTGTCCAGAAAAATATGGTTTAGAACTGAATTGTAATTTGTCAAGAAATTAATTTTAGCTATTCCTGAGATTTTAGCTAATTCAATCTAGAAAGTAGATTTAGATTTAAGAAAACCTCTATATAGTGAGATTGTTTTGACTGGAGGTACCTCTTTGATGTAAGGATTTCCTGAAAGATTAATTGGAGAAGTTAAGAAATTAGTACCAAAGGAGGCCAAGGTAATTAATATTAAGAGTATATAAAGGTAAAAATTTGGGCACCACCTGAAAGAATAACATTGAGTTGGTAAGGAGGATCAATTTTAACTAATTTGGCATCCTTTAAAAGTATGTGGATATTAAAGAAAGAGTTTGAAGATGAAGGTGAACGCATTTTAATAAAAAAATAATTATGAGGTTTAAATAAATATATTTAATGGATTGTTATTGTACTGTCATTTTTCAACCTTGCCTAACCATAAAGCAAGTAATGATTTGCCTTTAACAGCGATAATCTTAAATCTAACCCCTGGAATATCACCAACAGCATGTCCCTTTCTTCCGAATCCTGCAACAGTGACTTCATCATTCTCATTTAAAAAGTTCAAGCAACCATCCTTAGGAACAAAGGCTGATATTTTTTTACCATTTTTCTTAAGCAATACTCTTACACACTTTCTGACAGCAGAGTTTGGTTATTTTGATTCACTAAAATATAATGATTTAAAATTACACTCCAATTTTTTCAACAACCAATCCTTTTGCATGTGATGCACCCATAAATGGATTTTTATATCTTGATCCAATCATAGCCTTATTATATTCTTTATCAGCCCATCTATTAACTCTTCTATGATCCTTGAGCTTTCTTCCCGCTCTCATACCTCTTGGTTTTCCAACACCCATGATTATAAATAAAAAGATTTTATTTATTTTTTCAAAATATTCTTTATAAACATCTATTCAACTCGTTTATTACAATAATATTAATTTATTCACTCCATTTATATTAAGATCAATTAATTATCAAAATTTTATATGTATAACTAACATTTTTTTTTAATTTCAGTGTTTAAACTTTATTTATATTTAAAGTAAAAATATAATTATTCCAAAACCAATGATGAAGTAATATAATATTACAAAATGAATTATAGAATATATAATTGTTGAACATTTACTGTTAAATTTAGATTTGATGTCTAAATTTATCAACTGCTTTTATTAATATTAATTAATCATAATCTTAGAGAATATTTACAAAATAAATTAAAAATAATACATTCAATAATATTTTTAGGCAAGAGAATCTCTCTTCTAAATATGATATTTGAAATATATTTTAATTTTTTAGGACTTAATATAAAGGTTAGATAATAGGGAATAGAAAGATATGTGATATATATAAATGAAGTAGTGAGAGTATATGTAGATATGGATTTGGTAGACAAAATAAAAGAGGGTAGAAATTGAATATAGTTGATATATTGACTTTGCTGAATAAAAATTCTAAAGGATAGATATTTTGATTGTATATTAATTTGATATATAAACATGAACATGAAACAATATATACACAGCAAAAAGATGAGATGGATTTTCAGCTACTGCTTGAGCTGACAGTAAATGTTACAACTCTTCCTTATTTAAAGTGACAGGTAGATTTATTATTCTAAATGGTATTGATGTTATTCAAAGAGGTTAAATTCTCAATACCAAATCTTCTTCTTCCTTTAAGAAATACATTTTATTCTTCTTCTGGTTCTTATTTATTGATTAGAAATTGAATTCTATCGATTAACTTTTTTATTATAGAATATTCATGAATTAAGAAATTGATATGCTATTTAATATCTATAAACATTTAAAACAATATTAGGAATGATGTAGAACATATAATACACCATCCTAAATTTAGTTTTCCATTATCTTCAAATTGATTTGTTTGTTCATTCATAGCAAGACCCATTATAAACATTTCTGCTAACCAAATAATCAACTCTGAACCTACTTGTTTTATTAATTCATCTTTATCTTACAGTGGTTTTACTTTTATCAAATAGGCAGCCATCATCATATTTAAAAGTGACACAAACCCTATCTAAATACAAGGAATTGAATAAAACATAACTAAAAACATCATAAATAACATTTTTTTAATTAACAAGATTATGTTGAAATAATAAGTAAATGCATTCTTTTACAACTTAACACCTTCATAGATTGCTCCAAAATTATTCTATATCACTTTCTATTTGAATACATAAGCAGGTTTAGACATAAATATTATGGCTGAATAAACGAATATCACTTCAATTAATAGAGCAATTATGCAAAACAAAAAACTACTAAATAAAATTGGGTCTTTTAAATAAACATCCTTTAGCTATAGAAATAGGGCAAGGTTATAATCAAAAGCTACTGCCATAAATGTTCGAATTACACCTGACATAAATTCTTAATTAATTTTTAATAGCGATTATTGTAAATTCCTTGTGACTCTATAAATAAAGAATGTACATAAACTTTATTCTTATGAATCTATTGGAGCATAAATAAAAGAATGAGAAATTTTAGTCAAAGTTGAAAACAACATTCTACATCCAATAAAAGTGATTAGTGTTGTTATAAAGACAGTCACAACAGTTATAATATTTACAAAAAATACTGTGGAGTATCCTTCATTTCCAAATTTTGGATCTGCATCTGGTGTATTAACATATTAACTTATGAATTATTCCAAATCGATATATTGTTTAATAAAATCGAATTAGGCAAATCCAAATAGAGTAAAGTAATTATTAACATTGTATGGATATTCAACATTTAAATATTATAAATAAGATACTAATTGTAGAACGTCTAGTAAATTCCAGAATATGTTTAGGCCTCCAAACAAAAATGCTAAAATTGCAAATCCAAATAAAAGGTACAAAATGTATTTACTCAATTTCATTAAACCATTAGTTGCACTCTCTGCTAAATCAGATTGAGCCTTATATTCTAATAATGAAGTCATATAATTCTTCTCCTTAAATGTATTACCTTATTCATTATAAATGGCTTCTTGATTTATTATTTAACAAATTAATTATGGATTAGAAACTACTGATTGTAATTGAATATTCAATTCTAAAAATAGATAATTATATTCTTCAGAATATGATGTTAAATCAATAAAAGAGATTTCGTAAGAATTTAAATTATTGATTTTAAATTTCATAATTGAATTGATATTACCTGAAATTGAAACTTTTTGATCAGTTTTTATTCTTACAATCCTTTATTAGTAGTACTTATTATCTTAGGGATTTAATTCAAATAAAATAGATGGATAAATAATCTTTTCACATAAAGTTTAACATTAGTAACCTTCTTCAATTTAACATATTTTATCACAACCGTCATTTGATTTTTAATTGCCATCATCACATTGTTCATTCAATACTAATATTCCATCTCCACAAATATTTATACATTAATCTCCTTATATTTGAAATCCTTGATCTTCATTACACATTACACAACCAGATCCATCAGATTTGTATATCATACAATCAGTGCAATTATCAGGTTTATTTATGCATGTCTTACAACTTGAATTACAAGGTTCACAAATAGATTCTTAACTTAAATAAAATCCATCAATACAGCTAGTACATCTACCAGCATCGCAAGCTATACATGTATAATCTAAACAAAAGGAATTACCATTTAAGCATTTATAACAATTATCTCTATAATTATTGTTTCCATCATCACAATCTTCATTCCATTATATAATACCATCTCCACAATTTGAATAACAACTATGGGTTTTTGGAGGATTAATATAATCATTACAATTTAAACATAATTAACCATTTGATTCATAATATCCTCTTCTACATTTACATTAAAATTCAATTGAATTAACATTAAAAAGTGGTTCTCTAGTCGTGGGACATCTAGTACAGGATGAACTAGTATTCTTGGAACATTCTAGACATGAAAAGTGACATTCTACAAATTTATAGATAAATGAATACATTCACAAACATCCGATGAATTTTCAAAATATCCTGGTAAACATTTACAAGATTTATTGTTAATACTTATAATTCTAAATTAACTATCATAACATGATGAACAGGTTATAGCATCTAAACAAGTTTTACATGTTGATGGACACTCTAATTTATTAAAAAATAATTAATACTTTGACAGATCAATTAGCCATTATCATAGTATCCATCCATACAAATACAAGTATCATTTTTTGGTAGTCGATAATGAGAGGGATAACATGAAGTGCATTAATCTTTAGTAAAATTGCATTGTTGACACATATCTGAACATTTAGAACAAACTAAGTCATTATCTCCTTAGAAATACCCAATCTGGCATTCACATATATTAGATGAACTTAAGATTCTATTTTATCCAGAAACACAAGCTTTGCAATTTCGAGCTCTGCTTTGACATTATCTACAAGTTGGATAACAGAGATAACAACTAAAATCTTCCATATAGTATCCATCTAGACAATTACATTAATTAACATTCAACCATAAATTTTTGGATTCATCACAAGATAAACAATTATTAGGATGTTTTGAAATTAGAACTCCAACATTTTCTTTGTCATTCAAACATGTCTGGCAATTATGGAAGCATTTACTTTATGAACAATATGCAACTACATCCTTAAGAGCTGAACAATAACATATTTTATTTCTCAATTCATAACCATCTTAACAAGTCAAACAATTTGAATGTCCATCACAAGTAGCACATCCAATATTACAAATAGTGCATTCCCCATCTTCATTTAGATAATATCCAGACTTACATCCATTTATATCATAATTTATAGTATCGATTGGAATTAGACAATTTCCATTATCATCACATTATTAGCAATAATCCTAACAAGTCCATATAATAATTCTATAATCATATATTCCACAATATGCTTCACTGTCAATATTTCTCATACAATGTAATTGCACTATTAACTCATCAGTAGATTAAAAAGATTTTATATAAATAACATTCTATATTACTTCAAAAATATCAGATTAACCTACTTAATTACCTACTGATATTCCACTACCAAACATAGAGTATATTGGATTTTCAGAATTAACACTTGTTCTAAATTGAATTTAATTATTTTTAGAATCAATAAATACTAACATGAATTCTAATTTTATTTTATAAAATGGTTTTTTATTTCTAAATCTATGTATTACTTACTCATTACTCCAAAAATTAAGACCTCCTAAAATTATCTTATTCATAAAGAATGAATATAATTTTAAACTTTATTTATCTGAATAGGATTCTTAATGGTAATGATTTAAATCATGAAATAAATTAACTAAATATTCTTAATTTGCATCCACCATCTAAAAATCTACACAAACATTGCTAATCGCTGTTGTATAATCTGGACATTAATCAATGCATTTCCCCTTAAAAAGATTCTTACTACTTCCACAAGATAAACAGATATTTAGTGAATTCAATTTACAAGTCAAACAATTGTTTAAACAATTCCATTAATTATTTGATATTGAATATTGATTTACAATCAGATCTCTGATTCCCCATTTTCGTTAAGGTTTATTTAATATAAATTTAGAGCTGAATTCTATTTCATTTACAGTTTCTACTAATTCAAATTTCATATAAATTGAATATTATTTACATAATGGGTATTCAGGGGAATTACAAACTTCTTTAAATAAAACTCTACTTCCTTAAGGAAAATATGAAAATAAAAAAACAGATTGAAGATCAACTAACTTGCCTACTACAAATTAATTAAATTTAATAGATATTTCTTCTGGCATTAAACTAGAAATACTACCAGTTACAAATAAAGTAAATTTCATTTCATATTATCCATTTGCAGGTAATAATATATCATTATAAACTATTTTATCAGTATTGCCAAACATACCAGCAACACTTTTGCTTCCAATTGTTTAGGTCATCAATTAAAAAGTACTATAATATTTATCAGGAATGTATTAGAATTTGTAATTATTAAAATTAATCTGTTCTAAATCATTATAGATATTATTTATAACTGCTAATTGACAAATATTATTCTCATCTGGGATATAATTTGTTGGACATTCATTAACACATTATAAATCAGGATTAAAAAATGAATAATGAAGTACATTACATCTGCATTATGATTTAATTAATTCATATCCTAATTTACATGTTAAACATTAGTATTCATTGCAATCTTCACAAAGGTCATCACAATAAAATACTTATAATATAAAGTTTGTTATTCCATAATCACTGGTCGAACCGCTAGAAACTTGTTCATGGACAATTTCAATATTTAATTGAGGATCATTAAATGATATTGTTTAATCTATTCTTGATATTTTTTCAGAGTTTGATTTTCCAAAAGGTCTTGATTTGCAAAATCTGATCGAATAATCTTCCAAATAACTTGTATTAGGAATTTCGTTATGTATCAATAAACTATTTGCATAAACAGTTATTGCTTCTACAGGATTCCATAAACCCAAATAGTAAATATCAAAACTCATTCGTATTTTACTAAATCCTCTGGATGTAGACATATAGATAGTACGAGTTAAGGAAATGTCACCCTAAAGAAGTTTTGCATTGAGTGATGGTTATAAATCACAAACTTGTAATAAATTCGATTAAGGCATGTTATTTGAGTTCGTCCACAAGTGAAATGTTGAACTATCTATTAATTCCGATTAGTAAAGTTCCCAACCTAAAGATTACATGATAACTAATACCACAATGAATTTTTATTATAAAGACTGATAAAACTAAGAATTCCATGTATTTCATTATGTTATTTATATAACTAAATCCATATTACATAAATGTACAGAGATAAACTCAAATTATTTTGATAAATTCTGTTGTGAATATTATAATCAATGTCATCATCATAAACCAACAATCATTTTTGTCTACTGACTTGTCATCATTTGACAAATTAATTTTAAAAAATTTTTCAATAAAAATACTTTCCTGAAATAAATAATTATAATGATATTACCACCTTCAGATCAAATACTTCATTCAGTGTAATCAAAATAATGGTTTAACTCTCGATGTTAATCTAAAGTTAAATTGTAATATTTGAAATCATCACGTGAAATTATGAACGATAATGTTGTCACAAACACATTTCGTCTAATTGATAAAGATTAATCATGTAATTCTATTCAATCTTATTTGAAGAGACACTTGAAATCGAAGAATTGTACTCTATGTTTCTTAAGAATGGTTATCCAATAAATATTAATTTGCTTAGAGGCTTTTTTGAGAAAGCAGATAAAGACAATAACAGTACTTAAATTTCTATATGTTTTAGAATCAATTGAGTTAGAAGAATTTAAGCATGTTATGTATGATGAATAAGCTATTCAATGTAATTTGCCTTACTTAATTAGCTTTTAGAGAAATGATGAGAAAAATGAGAGAATAAGCCAAAGAATCAAACTATTACTCTACTGACTTTGTTAGATTATTGAGATATCTCTCTTATTGTTAAGATAGAAATGCTCTTTAATTCTAAATTAATGTATGCCATCTTCCATTACCTAGAATCACAGACTATCAGTTGAAAAGAGATCAAAATTAGTATCTCAATTGATTGAGCTCAATCATCAATATAATTAAGATTAATAAATTACAGATGAATAGTTACAACCAAGACCCTATAAAAAATATACTAATGAAAAGAAAACTTTGCCACCTCTAAATAAACATTATGTTGGTAATTCAAATCCATCTTCCATCATTCAATCCTAATTTAAATTGAACTTAAGTGATCTTCATAAGAATTCGATCTTATCCTTACCCTCTTACAAATCCCCTCAAAACACTGACAGAAGTATCAAGTAACATACACAGAAATATCAAAGTTATCTTAGAATCAACAATAAAATATTTGGCATTAATAAAAAATGAATACCTTATTTATTTATCATTATTTGTCTACCTCACTTCTAGTAACTTTATAAATAAAATATTTAAAATAAACTATTTAAATTTAAAAAAATTAGATTTATGAATAAAAATCAAATTCTCCAGCTTAGTTGCTTCAACATTTTAAACACTCATAGTATGATTTAGAAAAATTAATATTATTATCTAAATTGTAAACCTTCAAAAATTATAATTTTAGATAAT